TCAGTTTGTCACCCGCGGTGCTGAACTTGAACGTGAACGTGAACGTATTTGCCTGAACGTTTGAACGCGTTCACCTGAACGCGTTCAAAATCACGTTCAAACGTTCAGAACGTGACCGTAAACACCAATGGTATATGACAACATAGATACTAGATACAAGCATATATTGGTACAGTAAAACGTCCTAGCCGTACACCTCAGTATCGCTATCGTCCTCGTCGTCCTCGTCGTCCTCGATCTCGATCACCTGTCGCGAGGATGATGCCGACGTAGAAGCTACCTGATTCGCGTTCACGTTCCCGAACGCGTTCACGAACGCCTTCTCGCTCAAGATACCTCGCCCGGCCCAGTCGCCAACGATCATCTGAGCCGCTGTAGAGTCCGGCGATAGCTTCGTACGCCTAGCAGATACGACGAGGCCCGCCTTCGAGAACGCACGCTCAACCTCGACCGACGTAGCTGATAATAAAACATCATGATGTTAGCAGAAGACTTGCGTTCAGACGTTCAAACGTTCAAACGTTCAAGAACGTACCGGGAGTCCCCAACACATCGAACGCCATCTGCTTCAGCCCATCCATCGACGTCTGAACGTTCCACCACGCCAGCGCTTGCCCATAGAACGGAGCGATCGAGAGGTCCGTCCTTGGTGCGTCGACGAACGTGTCGAACGCCTGCCCTACGCTAGCAGGTACCTGGCTAGATTGAGCCAGGATTCCGTCGAGATCGTCGTATATCTGTATGTGTATGTGGCACGTTCATACGTTCAAACGTCAGAACGTCTAGCGTTTGAACTCATCTTATAGGTACTCACCGACGACGATGGAGGCTTGACGCCCTTCCCCTTATCGCTACCCTCCGCAGGAAGGTAGAACGTCTTCCACATATCACGGCCCAACTTCTTTGCCTCTGTGATCCAGGCCTCCAGCCATCCCTGTTCTCGGAGGTAGGCGACTCGGTACCCGGGATGTAGGACTGAACGTTTGAACGTTTGAACGCGTTCAAAATTAGTACAACATGTATAATACCAGTAATAACGGAACAAGACTTACGCAGGGCGACCCGATACATCACACTCTCGTCAGTCTTGCCGTAGTACTTGTTGAGGACTGCTTGTCCCCTTCTGATGCCGTACTTAACAGCTTGACCGACCGAGGGATCGTTTCGGAAGGCGTCGAACTTCCGGGTGAGGGCGTCCATGACCGGGATGACGCCTGCGATCGACGAGCTGTCGATTCGAGTCTCGGTGGAGATCGAGAAACATTTGGTCGCAGCTTGAAGGAGCTGTATATCGAAAAGGAAAAAAAGTTTGAACGCGTTCAAAAGTTCAAACGCGTTCAAGATACTGGCTCACCGACAACACCGGCTTGAACTGCTTCAACAGATCAATGTCACCTCCAGTAATCTTCTCCTCCTTCTTGCACTCCTTGCTAGGTAGTAGAGCGTAGAAAGATTTGCTATGTAAGATGAAGGTTTGATGAAGTTCAGGGAGATCAGCGTTTCAAAGTTTGAAGTCTCGAACGTTTGAACGTCTGAACGCTTACAGAATAGGTGCCGCATTGATCACCCCGTCCAACGTTGCCAGCGTCGAGTTCCACCTCGTTTGAACGTCCGGTGGGATGGCGTACGTGGTGGATTCGATCTTCTTCTTGTCGTGAAGATCTTTGATGGCTAATTGCCAACACCTCCTGTACTCCGATCGCCACCTCAAACGTTTGGCGAGAAGTCGACTCTACACGTTCAAAAGTTCAAACGTTCAAATGTTCAGTCACTTGCCCATCGGATATACTAATCGAAGAACATACCTTCCACAACGCTGATCGAGCCCTCTGCTGCTCCCCCTTGACCTCCTGAACGTCCTGGGAGATGTCGACCTGTGTGTCAGGGACGACAGGGACCTCGAGACCGTCGAGAATAGCCTGATCAGGGGCGAAATCGTCCCCGGTCGGCACCTCGACTTCATCGTCTTCGTCCTCGATCGTATTGATGTCGTCAAAGACATCGAACGTGTCTTCGTCCCCAACAACAGTCTCCTCGGACCACTTGTCCCCGGTCGTACCTTCAATGATCGCCTAAGTAAAGTAGTAAGATGATGGGTTAGCAAGCGTTCATGCGTTCACGGTCAAACGTCTGAACGCGTTCACTTACACCGACGATGAGGTTCAATACGTGGGCGAAGCACCTCACTTGCCCCTGAGCTTCCCCAAATCGCTCCCAATCGAGCTCGCAGATCTTCTTGACCATCACGTCGTTCGACGATGCGTTGTCCGCGATGATCGAGAGAACCCTGTTGTGGATTCCCCATCCTTGAAGACTCGACGCGAGAGCGTCGGCTAGGGCCGAACCGGTATGCTTGCCCGTGAGACTGAACGCGTTCAAACGTTCAAACTTGTAAGTATTCTAGCTGTTACTGTATACCAAACGTCTAAACGTTCAAACTCACAAGACGAAGTCGATCAACAACGAGTGATGCCTCGGCTCAGCATCCGAGACGTCCGTCCAGTGAGCAGTAACTCCCATGTACGAACCACCCGAACGATCGGTCCAGCAATCGGTAGCGATATGGAAGACCCCGTTGTGGAGGTGGAAGAGACCACCAACACGCTTCCGATTGATCTGGAATATGGCGCCGAGGTCCTCAGCGACTTGCCGACGGGAGGGGAGGATTGCCTTCATAGCTGGGAAGGACTTGGTGAACATTTCCCGAAACTATGAACGCGTTCAAACGTTTGACCGTATTAGTATACCAAACTTCTTATAGCAAGAACATCGCACAGAAGCAAAGAATAAGAACTCACTCCGGGCTGTTCAACGACTCTGAAAGAGTGGTTGTTCTGAGCGATCCAGGATACGATCGCATGTCGGGTCGCAGCCTTTCGAGGTTCGCTAGACACCACTTCGAGGTTCTCGCCCAAGGTCGTTTGACCGGTAGCGGCACCACCGTATTTGCCCTGAAGGCATTTCTTTAGATGCGGGGCCAGAGAACTACCTGACCCTGCTGCCTTCACGGTCTTCAGTTTGGTATAGGAGTTGCAGTTCCTGATGTAACAAGCAAATCGAGTTGAGATATCAGCCTTCTGAACGTTTGAACGTTTGAACGTCTGAACGTCTGAACGCAAAGTCTACTTACTTGCACTTCCACACCCAAAACGCTTTATCAAGACTCTTTCGAGCCTTCTTCTTCTCCTCCTGCGTAGCCAAACGAGGTCGGGTAAAGTGGACGTTCGTCGGATTGGCCTTACCGCCATCGATGAACTTCGCACACCACCGTTCGAGGTATTTATGATGTTCCTCGTTGGACGCTGTCGGATCGGGAGCGGTCCCCTTGACCGCGGTAGAAGGTGGAGTGGCCTTAGTAGCCTTATTGGCTGCGGTATTTGTTAAAGTAGAATCAGTATCTTGAAGAACATCTAACCCGTTCGATCGTTTGAACGTCTGAACGTGAACGTCTGAACGCTTACCACTACCACCCAGATTTTTCAAGTTTATTAAGACCTTAGTGGTCTTCTGCTTCTTCGAGGCGGGAGTTGGCGAGTCTAAGGTATATCCGGTTATAAGAAGCAAGTTAGAACGTATGAACGCGTTCACCCACTAGTCTCGACCTCCTCCAACTCGTCTTCCTCTTCCGTCAACACCGACGATTCCTTACCGTCGTCCTCCTCATCTTCTTCGAAGGCGTCATCTGCCTTCCTCTTGCCCTTAGGTCCGTTGACCGTAGCCCATGATGGTGGAGAGGAGGGGGGGGCTTCTTGGTCGACGTTATCGGACTCGATGTTCTCGACGTTCTCGGACTCGACGTTCTCGTTCGACTCTAAGTCGCGTACCGGTGACGTTTGCGAGTTCCTCGTATTCCTGACCATCTAGACGATTATAAGACGCTATTATAACGTGTCCATGATGTCTAGATGTTGTTTGAACGTTTGAACGTATAATAACGTCGAAACGTAGAAGTTAGTTGATGCTTCTCGCGAATAGCTCGATATCGAGCTGACGTCTAAGTCGCGCGGATGCAAACGATCGCTTTCGCACGCGTGTTTTTGGGTGTTTTGCTTGCCGTTTGAACGTTTGAACGTTTGAACTAGATCACTTGTTATTTCAAGGGTGGTACATGTGATCTAAGTTGCTATTTGAGCCTACTGTAGTCCTAGAAGTGTTTGGTATGACGTTCAGACGTTTGACCGTTTGAACGTCCCATCGATGCCAGCCGTGAACGTGAACGTGACCGTGAACGTATTAGTGTGAACTTATGAACGCGTTCAGGTGAACGCGACGTTCAAACGTTCAAAAACACGCGTTCAAACGTTCACGTTCAAACGTTCACGTTCATTTTTTGCCAACACTAGTCATGAGTATGGATTTATGGAATTATGGAAGTGCAAGCAGATAGTACCTCATATACACTCTCAATCAGCTATAATTTGTCATGCCAAATGAGTGATATATCGCACACAGCTCTCAGGGGATTGCAGGGTATCTTTACTGATACCTTCTTACATCCCTCCATTGCTACCAATACTTTCAGAAAACATAAGCTCTGTGGACTTACACTTCCAACATCAGGTACGCAATCATCCACTCAAACATTAACATCATCTGCTTCCATCAAAGGTCTGTTTGGTAAGCAATCGCCTTTGTTTTAGCGTTATGTATATGGAGAAACAACTAGGCTCAAGAACGTGCTGCTGCCATTGCTTGCAGGCTGCAGTGGTGCAGATCCTCTTGGTTCGACATTTCTACTGTCAAGCCTTGAGACGTCTGTCTGGTTCCATTGTGACTTCAGCTTAAGCTCATGGGGTAGTTGCTGATCACTGTTGCTTTCTCAGATACTTCAGTGTTTTTCCAGTGACTGTCTCATGTCTCATGCCTAACCAACTACTTATCCACATAGCTTTCCATGAAGAGGATTCTTCCGGAAAAGCAACTTTCCGCAACAACCCGACATGATCAAGTCCGAAACATCTGTGGACCTGTAGGGTAGAATCACTTGTCAAATATTCATCATTGGCTATTGGATCATTTAGCCTGGGCAGTCGATGCATGCAACGGTCTCAGCAGGACAACTGAACGAGGGCGTACGCCGAACAGCAAAGCAGATTCAAGCTCATATGATTCCGCATCACGAATCACATCGCATACGGCATGGAACCAGCAGAAGCTCAGTGTGCTAAACCGTCAACAGTCCCAATACCGCGCTGGGACTACATTCACGCCCTATGACTGCGTGATATCTACATGCTTTGACATACTATCAGCAGAGCGGACTCGGAATAGGGAAACGAGAAGCTCTATCAGAACCCGGGTCTCGGTTTGCCTTTTCCTTTGTCTTGATCGGGTTTCTTTCCCTTGTACCCGGATTTGGCTTTCCCGGCACCCTTGTCCTTATCGCCTTTCGGCTTCAGGCCCAACTTCTTGTTCTTCTTGGCATCGGAACGTGCTGCAATGTGCTCATTCCTCTTCTTTGCCTTGATCGCCTGAGACTGCTCAGCTTGACGCTTGCGATCGCTCCTACGAGGTCAGTTGTATCAGGACCACAAACCCATGCACTATCCGCCAGCAATTGTGACGTACCATTCTTTGCCACTTTTGGCCTTTTGTTTCTCCATCCTCCTTTCCGCCTTCTTCAGCCTCGTCTCATCATCACGCACTTTGCCACCTTCAGCTCGTTGCAGCATTTTACCCCAGCGTTCCTTCTCCTCGATCTCCTTCCTCTTCTCATCCGGCATCTCGGCCAGTTTCGACTTCTGAGCATGGAGATGAGCCAACGCTTGAGTCGGGTTGGAAATCGACTTGAGTTGAGTGTGCGACTTGGTTCCCCCTACGGATGGCAGCGAAATCGATGGGAAGGACACATTTGAATCGGGGATCATACTAGCCGAACTGGAGCTAGCCTGTGCGGTGGAGTTCGGTACCAAGAGACTGGTCTGGAATCGTTTGCACCGCAAGCGTCAGCGGTCTCGTGATACGCAGTCCTGTTCAAGTCAAATCGAGCACTGACTTTGCCGGGTTTCGCAGTGAAATCGGTCGTTTTAGATTTATCGCCAGGTTTGATCTCGGAGCCACGCTTTTGGGAACCTTCTTTGCCCGCCCGCCTCTCTTCTTTTCTTCTTCTCCGTCGGTTATCTCGAACCTCTCCCCTTTTCTTACGTCTTGCCTCGAGCATCTCATCACGGGAAGCGAGGGTATCATTGTCGCCGTCCGAGAGGGAGCCGTCATCGCTGGCTACCTCGTCCGGCTGTGCATCCGTTTCTCCGCCCATTCCGCGGGTGTCTGGTCTGCCATCCACCTCATCCAGAGGACCTTTGCGACCCTTTCGCAGCGAGTCAATCTTGTCTTGCAGCTTTTGTCGCAAAGTGGAGATCGACGCGGTCGGCGTCATCGGTGTTAAGCGAGTGGCGCTGTCGTCGTTGTTCAATGCAGCTCGTTCTGCTTGCAACTCGAGAATGGTCTTGTCGTTTTCCGGATCGAACTGCCAGGTCCCCATGTTATCAATAACCAAGTTTCTAGCAAAGCAGCGCTGAGGGATGCAACATCACATACCTTCTCAAACTTGGCCTTCTTTCTCGTCTGTGTAATCTCCTCGGCTGACCGCTTTTTCTTGTTCTTCATCCATTTATTGTCGGCCTGTGATACAATATCGTGATCGGTGGGATAGCAAACGCATTAGCGCTAGTGCAAACTGCAGCTTTCCCCGGCTATCGCTGGACGTACCTCTTCAGGCGTATCGACAATGTAGTATCGAGCCGGAATCAAAGTCATCAACCTTGAGAATGCAAGGTCTCTCTCCTCGAGCGATCGACGTAATGCCTGTGCTGACGTCTCTACCTGCCCTTGCGCCATGTCGGATGATTCCCTTGTCCTCTTCAGGTATGATTCGGGGTCGTTGATTGTCCGACCGTAAGTTCGATATAAGGTTCGGTTGATGTACTACGAATAGATAGGTGGGTAGCGGGTGATTAGCGTGGCGTATACTCTGTCGATCTGAAGCTTCAAGGTCGGAGATGATGATACTGCATATCTGGGATCTGGAAGTAGCTGGCTGGTGGCCTCATGGTCTGGGTCGAGGAATCTTTTGAGCTTTGCTTCCGCGCTCATGTGCCGTAAGTGAGATCAAGCACAGTCACGTGATAATCATAACGTTCCGGCGTTCCGGTCGACGCCAGACGACGGCGTGATGCATGTGATTGATTGCATGCATACTACTGTCTTGCCCACCACCACCCGTCTTGATCTGATACCGCAGCCTGCGATCGTCTGTTAGCCACATTGGAAGCTTACATCTGCGCGGTCTGGTCCTCCCGTTTCCATATCTTCGAGGCCTGGGTCGCTCACTGTCCGGGCTCCTTCCGGCAGCTTTCCGTAGCGTGATCAATACCACGGTTGGTCATGTCGATATGGGCATCAACAGGAGCTAGGATCAAGCCAATCTCGGTCATCGAAGGGCGAGGGGCATTTCGATATGGGGAAAGTCGAGCACTTCGTAGGGAGCGGTGCTCCTGTAGGTCGTTGCATTCCGGTACTCCATCTCGAGACAGAGTGCCAGAACGAGCCATGGGCAGCGCGCAAGTGCCGATTCAAGTTGAAAACGGTTCGTGACGCATGTGGACGATAGTACCCGCAAATATCTCCTGACAGTAGTTCATATACATCACAGGTAGTCTTGAACCCCCTTTTTTGATAGGATCCAAAAAATCTCCCGTATCACGATTGCAAGGTAGACTTTATCCAAATCGAGATGCCAAAATGAGTGGCACTCTCAACAGGACGAAAGGCGATGACTTTCAAGTCCCGCAATCAATGGGAAGCGATCCACTCAGCGAGTCATCTATAGGACTTCCATCAGCGTCCCCCAAGGGCCCAGTATCCAGACGCGAGACGACAGACATCGAGAAACTTCGAACCCGCCAGGACCTGGTGATCCATTTGCATACCGTGTTGTCTTCCCGATTACCGCCATCGCTGCTCGAAGTAGTCAACCTTCACTCTGCCAGGCCTCATCTCAAGAGCATAAGGTCTTACAATATAGTACTTGCGTATGCCTACCGAGTGAGCGATTTCAGGACCGCACGCAAATTGCTGGCGGAAATGCGGGATGAGAGGTTTTCCGAAAATATGATAGGAAACCCGTCCGCAACTTCAGAAATCCACAGCACAGACCGATCTGGGGTCGATCCGGAGCAAGAGTTCCGCGAGGTGATTTATCGAGGAATTTGGACACGAGGAGGTGCAGGTCGGCGTAAAGGCACTAGAGCTCAGACAGTCATGGACTCCGCTGAAGGCCAAGCCGATGCAGATCCCGGTTCATCCGAGGCGGTTGACATCACACAGAGTGCTTCAGAGCCCACAGCACCGCCTGAGAGACCTTTTCCTCGTGGATCGATGATGGACGTAGTTTATCGCTCAGTGCGTATGCAGGATCCGTCCCGCGAGAGCAACGAAACCCTCAAACGTATCTTGCTGGGAAGCAGAGTCGAGCCGCAGTTGGGTGTTCGACGCAAAGCGAGCAGACATCAAGGTACCGCTACGCTTGCTGCGCCAACTGGCGAAAGCAAGGTGTCTTGCCGGGCTCTTCGCTCGGATTATGCACCCAGCCCGGCCAACAATCAAACGGCGCAAATTGATTCCTGGGAGAATACAAATTCTGCGGCGACATCGAATTTGACGAGATCTTCTCTCGCCATTACCTCACCAGGCGGGCAGCGCCCGGCGGGCTCAGTCCCGATACTTCCATGGTCAACCGCACTCGCTCTACTCGGGTCGGCTTCCGTAAGCGCAACGCCAGAGCTTTTCCTTGCGTACATCAAGTACATCATAAACTCGTCCTTGAGCAGCCGCGCCCTTCCATTGGCACGCTGCAAGACCGATCCGCGAAGCATGGATTCGTCTGACGGAACAAAGGAGAATGGCTTGGACAGATTCAAGCACTTCAATGAAATTCCTCCGATTACTGTCGCCCTCGAAGAGTTGTTGAAGCTTCACGCTCAGCGACCGGACACCAAGAATAGTCAGCTGCAGGGATATCTGCAGAGACTTCTCGATCTTTACCTTCATCCCCACCTTGCTCGCCAGTATCCGCCCCATCGGACTATCGAGGCATTTCAGTTTGCGCTGAATGCGCTAGGCCAGCCATTTCAGCCCACGGCCAGAACATTGACCTATGCTCTATACGCGTTGCGAAATCAGCGTGCGCGCAATCTTCGAGCGCTGCAACTGGTCGACATGTTCATTTCGAACTGGGGTGAGGCATCGGTTGGCATTGTCAGTTGGCGACTTCTAGGCAAATATGGTATTCAGCGCCGCTGCGCAGATACTATCAAAAGGGCCAAAGCCGGCCTGTGGCAGTGGTCGGCTGAATATCGAGCGAACCGAGCGCGAGCCAGGTCGCAGCGACGTTACGATCAGCTCGATACTCAGCACAACAGCTCTAGCGAACTGGCGACACACCGAGCATCAGAGGTCGTTGCGATGCCGGCCAGTCAGACCCGGTGGAAATTGCCTTATATCAGGAAGAATCTCTCCAAATGGCGTCGGATGATTCGTAAAATGAGACAGGCCGAGCACTCTTCAAGAACGAGACGCAGGGCAAACCGCGACCTAATAGCGAGGCCACGCAGGAAACGGTCAACTGGCAAACCCACTGGAGATGTCGGCCTTTGCGCTTGATACTTGTAGACATTGAGTCATAAGTCGTTAGGTTACAATTAGAGGTGCCAGTTCCAGTAGCTAGTCAGATCGACATCGGTCCAACGACGTAATCCCGGGAAAGAGCTCACGAGCTATTTCGCGGGCAGTCGTAATTTGGAAACGTCACGCTGCTCGTCCAGCTTTAGCAAAATACAGCATCAAATGTTGCTTTCCGCTCAAGACGCCGTAATCTAGAGATATGAAATCTATACTTTAACCATTGCCCTGAGATAATTCATCACTTCTGTTTGCTGAACTCGACCGGCTCAAAGGGCGACTGCCGATGCCACTATTTGGCTCCATCGATCGCTCAATGATCAGTGCACATAGCGAATTAGCGAAAGAACGGTCATTCTAAAGGTGACACTATCATGCGATCTTCTGCGATCCTACGAAAACTCCCCGCTTTGCCTCCCAAGGCGGACTGGTCAAAACATTTTCCTCTCACCGCCTTCAATGTCGTCAACCGTCTCAGCTCGTATGGCGGCAACAAGTCTGGGAAAAGAACAAATGTAGTTGACCCCGCTCTGGCGGAGGAGATCGTTCATAGCCTGGATATCGGCAAGGCGACTCATGTGGTTGAAGCGTATCCTGGTGAGATCTGCTTGCGGACTCCCGCGATGATGCAGATGCTAATATACTGCGCCGATACACTCCAGGCATGGGTGGTCTGACAAGGGCTCTCTTGTCACAACCGCCTTCCATCGTCACCAAAGTCACAGCGGTTGAACCGGCAGCTCCATTCAGGAAGAGTGGCCTAGGAACCCAAGAACCGGATGAATATCTCAGCAGGGAGGAACGAGTTGGACAAGCTTGGAAACAGCTCACAATCAAGGATCGTATCAGCAGATCGGAGCATGCTGCTTTGCAAAGCAGCATGCTCGATGACCGCGAGAATCCTCTGGAGCCGGGAAACCTGCCGAATTGTGAAGAGGACGAGGATATTGACAGTATGCTCGAGCATACGTCGGATTCGAGTCATTCTCCAGCCGGCGTAGTGACCGACAAAAAAGGGTTTGGTCTTCTCGAACAACTCAGAAACGAGGCTGTCGATCCACATGGCAGGTCTGCACCAAGTGATTCAAACCCGCTGAATACCTCTAGCCTGAAGCACTCAAAGTCCCCCGACCGGCCACCTGGTACGCCCTGTTGCTCATCAGGAAAACTTCAGTTCAACTGACATGTCTGAACCTGGTAATTAGACTTCTTGACGATCTGGCCATCTTCCCTTGATGATCGGCTGGACGTCATCGACGATACGCTGTATGATTGGGCAACATTCACAAAGCTCGACCAAATGCATATCTTCCAGGACGTCGAAGCCAAGCCTTGGAATGAAGGTCAGTCTCGCAGGACAACCTGTCTGTCACTCGGGCGATCTAGACCTCCAACAAACTTGCTCGCATAAATCATTCACAGCATCCCCAAATCTCCGATTCGTGGCACAGATACCAGAGTCGGACCTCGGTGAACAACTGGTCGCGCAATGGATAGGCTGCATAGCGAACCAGAGCTGGTTCTTCAAGTATGGCAGGGTCCAGCTTAGTCTTATCGTGAGGCCTACACTGTATGATGTACCTCGCTTCTCCGCACAGACTTCTAGTTTATTCTGCGAGCTGAATACAAGCTCTCTCAGCGATTGACAGCTCTACCCGGAACAAAAGCCTACTGCAAACTATCGGTCATGCGAGCCGCATTGTGTGACTACAGGCCGGCGACAGACAGCTACCTTAATCTCAGTCTCCAGGACACCATGTCCGAAGTCCAGCTATCGCGTTTGCAACGCTTAGATCGAGAAAAGCTTGTGCCTCGCCCGCTCACGCTAGTCGCCGGAGCGGGAGCTGGCGTGAGCAAAGTCAAAGGAATGTCAATAGGCAAATCGAATTTGACGGATATTCTGGCCCGCTACCCAGATTTCGCACCTTTACCGGCGAAGAAAAGCTTGAATCAGGACCCCCTGCTAGACAGAGGGAAGCAGGAGTCTCTCAGCGATTGCTATTATCCAAAGCTCAAACGTAACAAGCGCGAAGGATCCCGCCCCGGCATGATGGCTCTGACTCTGCAGCCCAAAAAAACTCCTTGGATAGACAAGTACTCTAAGGACGTATGGGATTACGTCCTCAGGCGGATGTTCGTGATGCAGGGAAGCGTTTTGGAGATGGCGATCAAGTGAGTGAGACCCGACGTGTGCATATCAGGCGTCCGAATTTAACAGAGTCGTCGTGGCAAGGAACCTTGGTCTGGGAGCAACAAATCTGCTGCCACAGTTAATCAGCGATAAATTGCCGCCTGAGCAAAAGGTCGACCCTACCAAGCTTGTTCGCGAGTTTAGTCTACAGGACTGGTCCAACATCGTTCGCGCATTCTCCAACTGGAAATTCGCACCGGATGTAAGTCCCGATCGCAGAGGTCCGTGTCCTCGCTTGTTCGTACGTGCCGAGCTGACTTCTACCGACTTGCTAGGTATTACTCTTAGGCAGCGTAACTCAGGCGGAAGAGGGCTCTTCGCGCATGTTGGGCTCGGGCATGTGATGTGTAGATCGCGTTTGCAAGTAAGATTCGTATAGGCGATACCATGTCTCAAGCACAAGAGTCCACCTATATACTATGAAAATGTCTGCCCACAACTTGCGAGTTGCGTGTTGTATCATAGATTCATCAAGTTCTTAGTAAACCGTTTTGTCAGATAGGATGGGGATCTGCCCTCTGAGCGTGCGCGCGCGTCAAGTCTACGGTCCGAGCTCGCCTCCCATGCCCGTCCATTATATGTCCATCGATCCATCCTCCATGTAATCATGGGTACGCTCACGATATTCGCAACCATCACTGTGAACCATAGCAACGTATCATCATCTGATCACATCATCGCCAACATCGACCTTGTTGTTGACAAAACGGAGCAAATAGTAATTCTGCGCTCTGTTCCAGGATTCCGCAAGCACAGGTACCTTCATCCCGACACCTCGAACAATCGGGATTTGGCAATAGACGTTCACGGCTCGGGAATCGGTTCAGTACATAATGTCTACATTGACGTTGCCACCTCCACAAAACGGTGTAGGAGCACAGGAAGTTTCAACGACCGCCCCCTCGTTATCCTCTCATAATGGCGACGTTCCGGAGCAGCCGCGGCGGAGTGAGGAGCTCCTTAAAGGCATCATCTACCCGTCACGGGAGATTCGAGGTTAGTGGTTGTGTCCAGCCGGATGTATGTTCGTAGACTCTGACACTGCGTACTACAGGTATCATTGACAAGACAGCAGTCCATATCGCCAAGTCGCCGTCTCCACAACTCTTGGAAGACCGCATCCGAGAGCATCAGCGAGCGGATCCCAAATTCTCATTCCTCCGAGATTCCGATCCCTTCAATCGGTACTACCGGTATATGATAGAGAAAGTCAAGGAGGACGGCGAGGAGGTCGCTCTGTCAGCGAGCACAGCTCCGACAGCCGCAGACTCGGCCGAGACATCCGCGGTCAATAGGGAGACGGAAGATGAACGCCGGAGTAGGGAAGACGCCTTAAGGAAGGCGAGGCAAAAAGAGGTTATCGAGGCACCGAGACCGTTCGAGTTTACGGTAGAACTCCCGAACGTCACAGCTATCGATCTGTGAGTTTGCTGCTACATGGACCGTATGAATTAGCTAGGCGACTCGTGCTCACTCGTGCTATACGTAGGGATACCCTTCGCCTTACGGCCTTGTTCACGGCCCGTCGAGGCCGCAAATTCCTTGAAGGTCTCTCTGTCCGGGAGGGTCGCAATTTCGAATTCGATTTTCTTCGTCCATCCCACTCGCTATACGGATACTTCAACCGCATGGTCGAACAATATTCCAAAATACTTCATCCAGCTGAAGAACAGCTTGCGAGACTGAAGCAAGGGGATTCAAGCAAATGGGAGCTGCTGGAAGAGTGCAAGAAACGTGGAGAATGGGAAAAGGTCAGAAAAGACAAGGAACAGCAGAAAAAAGAGGAGGCGGAGAAGGAGGCTCAGGCTTTTGCGGAGATCGACTGGCAAGATTTCGCCGTCGTGCAGAATATCGAATTCACTTCGGCCGATCAAACAATCGATCTCCCCCCTCCTACGAGCATCGATGCGTTGAGGATGATGGGGCTGAACGAAAAGCGCATGGCAGCCATGATCGTCGAGGAGACCGGAGCGGAACAGATCGGTCAATCGCAAACCGATAAGCAGACCGCTGACTCTACTGACGCGAATGGGGAAATGGATGTCGAGATGGACGAGGATAGCGAAGATGACGAGGTCAAGGCTCAGAAGACCAGGGAAGCGGAAGAGCTGGCTAGAGCCCGAGAAATTCAAGCAAAAGCTATGGGTCAGGCGGGAATGAAAATCAGAAAAGACTATCAACCCAAAGGTGAGTGATCCGTTGTTTTGTATATCTCTTCGGTTTATTGACGGAGTCGTATCAATCATCAGGTCTGGCTGGTCGTCAAGCTGGAAGAGCCAAAGTGGCTACAGCCATTTGTCCTTACTGCAAACAATCGATACCCGAGGCTGAGATGTCCGAGCATATCCGTATTGAATTGCTTGACCCTCGTTATCGAGAGCAGCAGCAGCACCTCGAGCAGAGAAAGACGCAGCAAGCGCTTCTCACTGTCAACGCGGACGTTGCCGGATCGCTCAAGCAACTTGCTAACGCACGTACCGATCTATTTGGTACCGCTGAAGAGGAGGAACGCAGAAAGCAGCAGGAAGATGAGGAACGGGCGGCAAGGAGGGCTAAAGAGGCGATCATCTGGGACGGACACACTGCGAGTAAAGCCGCCACTCTGGAAACTTTTCAAAAGAGCTTCAACCTGGACGACCAGATCGCTGCCATCCAGAAAAAGCATCATCTACTGCCGTAAGCTTTTTCGTCGGGCTACGAGATATGTTCCAATCTGACAAGTTTGACATTACAATTCCTTCGGACAGGACTGCACCGAGTACCGCGATTGGCCCCCAGATCGGTGTGACTGCAGCAGAAATGCCTCCTGCTCACGCTGCTGGAGCAGGAACCCCTGGCGGCGGAACTGCATTCACTGGCGCTGTCATCTCGGCCGGCCCCTCGGCACCCTCTGCACCACCGATCCCTCAGATGATCAACCCATATGGGGAATTCCGGCCGTTCCATGATCAGCCTGCATTCGACCCATCCGTCTTCAATGCGTCGCCGATGCCTACGCACATGCAAGGATCAGGAACGCCAGGACAGAACGGCGATTTGGGTGCTCAATCACCTTCCGGTCCAAGTGGCCTCCCTGCACGACCAGGTGGTATACCCATGCATCCATCCCGCATGGCTGCGCTAGGTGGTGTACCGTCTTCAGACCAGGCGGCGGTTCCAAGTCCTCCAACGACTGGCCAAGTACGACCGTTTGACGCCATCGACTCTGCAGGCGAGGACGGTCAGGCAAAGAGACCCCGTATCGAGAAACTGGCTGGTGGCGCCTTCTACCCAGTGAGCAAAGCCTTGATCTCCCTTGAATAGTCTTTCGGCGCGAGCTGACCCGTGTCCTCTTTATCACAGGAAACTGAATGGATCGCCTTGCATCCAAACCCCATTTCGATCGCTGTGCAACTACCCAACATGCCTGAAAAACCCGAGTGGAAGCTGAACGGCTCGATCATCACCATTCCGGACCTGCCTCTCAACTTCCTAGTCTCCTCCTTGCGGGATCGGATAGCTAGCATCGTCGAAGCACAGCTCCCGATCTCTCGAATGAGGTTCGACTATGGTGTCAAGGTCCTCAGTAACGCCAGCACTTTGGCAAGTGTCAACTTGGACGATGGCGACATGATTGTGCTCTCCATCCGAAAGAAGTGAGCGTAAAGACGTCTGTCGTATCAGTAGTAGTAGTATATACTTTCTGCCATACATTCCCCCGATGACGCGTACCGGTCGATCCGACTCTCGTGTCCAACAGATCACAAAATGTACTCTGTAGATGCTATGCTGTAAGAAACTCTCAAACCGGCTTCGTATCGCCAATCAATCTTTCATGCATATAGCCGGCTCTCAATAATGTCGACTGCTTCACTACAACTCACCGCACTGGCTCGCTACTTTGCCGATCCTGTCCTGAATGACAGTACGCGATTGATCCCCCGTCAGACGGAGCCTGTTCAGCTCACAAGTCATCATCAATCGCTGCAGTACTCGATCAATGTGGCAGCGCGATCACTGAGACACTTCGGAATGCTTTCATGTCATTGATACCCCGGGACAATGCGTTGGGATCATCGGCAGAACATGATGAAGCATCCCTGGCTTTCCGAGCGTTGCGCAAGCTTGCCCATCGCAAAATCCAGTCGTTGCCGTTCGACACCGTCGGAGGGCAATGGCTTCGTCTCTATGTAGATGCGACCGTTGGATTGGTATTAACGGAGACGATCACTCCTAAGGAGGATTACCATCGCGTCAGCCAGAGGATCAAGGCACTCGATATGGCGATTATCATTGCTGGGGCCACAGGTCGGGAAGATCAAATTCAGCTACTCATACGGGTCCTGCAGGATGGCAGATTTCGGCAAGCTTCCAAGGACATACAGAAGGAAATACAGCAGGAAAAGTCAAGCCAGGGAAGCCCGTCTGCTTATGGTCGCCCCAGCAAGCGTCAATGTATGTTGGATCATGCGGGTGCTAGCGGTCGACAACCTATACCTTGTTTGGAGAAACCGCCAACGATGACGCAATTCATCGCACACGAACGGAACAAACCTTTTATACTCAGGCGGTACATCGCCGAATCGGACGAGATATCTAACCCGTACGGCCTGAGCTGGCCCGCTGTTGATCAGTGGAAGTCTATGGACTACCTGCTGGGACTTGTCGGCGAAGACAGGGTAGTTCCGGTCGAAATTGGATCGTCATATACGGATGCCGCCTGGACTCAAACTATAGTCCCCTTCCGAGCCTTTCTCGAAAGCGTGGGTTACGGACGACTTGGTTGTCAAGCGGACGACCCCGCTACGCAGCGGACGGATGCTCCCATGTATCTCGCCCAATACTCGCTTCTTAAGCAATTTCCGGAACTGGAGAGGGACATTGTTATGCCCGACTACGTCTATTCCGCGCCCCCCGCTCCCGATTGTTTCCCAGGCTACAAGCCACCGGGTAACGAAGAGGAGTTGGTCATCAACGTTTGGGTGGGTAGCGGCCAAGGGAAAGTAACAAGTCCTCCACACACGGTGAGTAGGGTAGACGGCGAGACAACCATGAATTGCCGCGCTGAAGGGGACATCATACCATCTGGACAGGATCCGTACTACAATTGTTATGCGCAGGTGCTGGGCAGAAAGCGGGTTTGGCTCGCGCCCCCATCAATAGGTCCATATATGTATGCCCACGGAGGATGTCCAAATGACGAGGCTGAGGTCTATGCGACAAATACGTCTCAAGTTCCGGTCTTTGAGCTCTCTTCTAGCGATCGGACGAAATATCCGCATTTTTTCGAGCAAGTCGAAGCCGAGTGCATGGAGGAGATACTCGAACCTGGAGACATGCTGTTCATGCCACCAGGCTGGTGGCATGCCATGCGAGGAGAAGGAACGACATTTGCGTGGTCCGTTTCCATGTGGTTTTGAGAATGCAGTCCCCGTACTCATACTGCCAGAAGACCGTGGTCGCTATGTATACCAATGATGATTATAGATTCGATTCATGCGTATATACGTAATGATATCATTCTGCTCCTTACACAAGCCATCGCTTTTTTACAATGCTGGAGCGGAACCTGCATGACACTCAAACACGGCTTATCCACATCATTATTCCTTCTTCTCGTCTAAATTCTCGCCGTATCTAGACTCTCCCGCAACATTCTCCTCGAGTTGCCGCCATTCGCCCTTGGCTAGGCTACCGGCAGGTCCAGCTTCCTTCTGGGTGTTACCGCCTACACCTGGACCGCCAATGGGTTCCGATCCCTTCGCTTCGCCAGGGCCGATGGACGCAGTAGGCAAGTCATCCTTGTCGGACGACCTCCGCACGGCGCTAGTGTGATAGCCTCGCTTGCCAGTGAAGCCGGCAGCCCTGTCGGCGTTATTGAGGTTACCGAGATCACTGAGTAGCTTCTGAATGTCGTCCATCGAGTCCTTTTGGCGCTCATGCTCCTCGGCTCGAGCTACACGTCGTCCAGCAGCACCGAACTGACGCCCGCCTGTACGAGAGCTGCCAGACATGTGTCTGGCCATCTCGAGCAGGTCATTCTTCCTCTCGGCACCGACCCAACCCTTCTGGCCGACGAGTCGATCGCCACCGTTCTGAGCCCGGTTGAGCTGATCGGCTTGGCCGCTAGCAGCCACCTGGAGCTCGAAGCGCATGCTCTCCAAGGGATGCTGCGAAGCTGCACTGGCATGATCGCGGGAGTGAGGCGTAACATGACGGATAGATTGATCGTTGAGAGCCACGGAGGACAAGTTCGAAGCGGGCATGGACGCAACTACCGAAGGAGGCGCCTCAATCCTGGCTGATGTGACCCTGAAAGTCGAGGTAGATTTGGTCTCCGGGTCGGTTCCGGTAGGGTCCATGCTCGACAAGCCTTCCGACCGGGCCCGAGGCATCTTGGCGGTGAGACCAGCCAGACCGACAACCTTCATATCGGTGATATCATCCTCGTACGGAATGCGACTCTGGCCGACAAAGGCAGTGCTGAGGGCCTTCTTCGACCTCTGCCATGCTGCCTCCTGGTGTAACTGGCTACGATTGACTCCGTTGAGGACCCGACCAGGCAGCGACATTAGGGGATGAAGCTGGCTGTCGGCGTGAGAGCCCTCAGAGTATGCCATGCCAGACGTCTTGTGAGGTCGGGGCGCGATCGAATCGGGGCTGGTAACCCGAGCGTGTTCGGAGCGAGCGTCGTTGGCGAGGAACGAGGGAGCCGCTTCTTCGACCAACGCGCCGCCGGTCTGGCGATATTCGAAGAGAGGCTTGTCCCCACGTTCGGTCAAGGTCTGGGCGAATCTCTCGCGAGAAGCTCTGATCTTGCTCAGGTGCTTTTCAAAATGCTCCTCGCTCATGCCTTCGACATCAGACAAGTAGAGCTTGACTTCTTCCGACGCGTTGTCGCCGGTGTTCTTGGGCTCGAACCAGGGATCGAGGTCGACTGAATCAGATCGGGAGGTGGCATAACCCGACTGATTCCTTCCGCCGACCTGACGTCTGGTCTGCTTGTACAAGCTTGAAGAATCCGACTTGGATGCATCCGAATCCTCTCGATTCCACCCGTATCGACCGTCACCCCAGGTTTCCATCAGACGAGCCTCTTTTTCCCCCGAAACGTAATCGCAGCCTAGTCCCTGACCCGCATCGAGAGATCGTAGACGGATGTACCGGGATTGAGGGCGAGTCGCAGTCGACGCGGGCAAGGTGTACTTAAGACCCCAATCTCCCTTGCTTCGGGAAGCCGTGGGAGCGGTGTAGATCCTGGTGATCAAGGGATCATGGGATGCGAACTTGGACTTGCGGAGAAGGGCCGCAAAGTTGGAGCTGGTCGACATCGTGAGGCCGGCGGGAGCTGAAGTGCGTGGATATTGCCGCTGTAGGGAGTGATGGAGGTCGAATACTAGTATGAAAGCGTATCTTGGTGGATGAACGAGTGGGATGGCAGTGGCAGTGGTATGATTTGTGTATGAATGTGCGAGATCCAAGATCGGCAATCAATCTAAAGATCGACTTTCCGTCAGCAAAGCTGGGGCAGGGTGGGTGGTACTCTTTTGCAGGTCACTCGCCCACCAGCTATCATCCTTTCGATACGCGTCGCCCCCGGGGAACAGCGAATTGATCGAGCTTCACCCACCCTGGCCGCGACCCACCCCCTTTGCTCAAAATTGGAAGGTTCATTTCATTCTCCTCACGACCAATCTCTTCTTGCAACCATTTCTCCTTCAACCACCTCGCACCTCGCAAGGGCTTTTATCAGCTTGGCGACGTTTCTGACCCTCTTGACCCGCTTGTTTACGAGTGTGCGGTCAGTTTCGTGAGTACCCTTTTCGAGCGGGCTCACGTGAATACGAATCCCCCGCTAACCCGGACCCTGCCTCTCGCACGGACACGAGTACAGACGAAACGTTTCTAGGAGAGGAACCTGTCTTCGTGCAACGATAGATATGGAATGCGCTGGGAAGAACCCTTCTTACGGAGGGAACTGCTAAATTAAAACAACTTGGTGGAGATCTAGATGTCGATGAACCCGAGTCACCTATTAGCATTTACATCTGGATTGCAAAAGAGTCTGAGGTTTCGGTCGGATCTGCTGACAGGTAGCAGCTAGCCGCATGTATATCGTGCGCTGTAGACATGAAAGCAGAGAATGAACTGTCCTGTACCTGATCCCTCCCTGGTTCAGTGATTCGCTCTGACGTATCCTGCTTGCTGCACGCTACAAGTTCTCACTCGTCGGGGAGTTCGCGCGGCAAGCCGTGTAGTTGTTTACAACGTGAGCGAACGAGCGAGTAGTACAGGAGCTAGGAGGCCAATCCATGCATGATCATGCGTGATGTGAGAGACAGGTTGTCAATCCATAGGTTTCGCACTGCTCCAGAGGCCAGAGGCCAGAGATCCTAGAGATCGGAGCCCAGACTGCTGTCATGTCGATCATGTCGAATATGCCAGGAATTCATTGAGGTTGTCAAAAACCCCCCGATCGACAACCGCGGATACAATCTGCTCCCGTATCGGTCGATGAAACGCAGATCGGCGCACAGACCCTTCCCCCGTTGCTTGTTGCTGGAATGATGCGCGTTTCCAAAGGACGCCGGCATGGAATCCACCCGAAAGGAAGGTGGATGGCCCAAGTAATGCGACAAGCCATTCCGAGACCATCGAAACGATCTCCGGAATGACAACCGAGTCCTGTGCCTCGCCTCGACGCCTCACCCCGCTGATCGATCCACCTTGTGGCCCAAGCGCAAGGGTCTCGGATCATCAAAGGAGGGTGACAAGCGATTGAGCGGAGTGTGGCTGTGAAATCTGCCCAGCGACATCGGAGCAACAATAAATCCAATGGAACAAAGTTCCTGCGACAGGCTGGATCCGACTTGATCCGTGTTGTCGCTGTGGGGCTTACCTCGTGATCGCCGTCGTCCTAGCTCGTCCTCGCTTCGATCACCTAGCGCTGTCGCTCGTAGCCGTTGAAGGTTGATGGAATTGATCAGACATCACGTCCCTGTCGCTGGTAACTTGCTACTGGCTAGTGAGCTAGTTGACCCGCGTGGATTTTTTGGTCGACTTTTTCACTTTTTGCACACTCTCCCCTTCTGATCGTGCCACAGTCATACGCCTCTTCTTCTCGCACGCATCGACCACCTCACCACCTGATACCACACGTATATATAGCTATTTGATCGATCCTGCCGACCCTCACGACCATCACCCTCCTCATCATCAATCCTGCATATTCCTGCGCCCTCCTCTCCGAGATACACTCTCGACACCTCCGCTTTATCTGCTACCTCGCTTTGACCTCTCGGCTTTCTGCACATCCCTGTTACCGGCCACCAATAACAATCCTCATCGGCGCTCCTGACTACGCTCACCGACCACCGACCTCTTACGCCGCCACATCCGACACCTCGACTGAAGCACGATGCCAGCTCTCACCGAGGCTCAACTCGAGCAATTCGGTTTAGCATTACTCAGTCCGCGGAAGGGACAGAGCTTGGGTCCTTTTCTGATTACGTTGGTTAGTACCACCTGCTGATACTCCCCCATCTCATGAAATCGAACGCCTCTACTGACACTGCAGCCTGACTTGCCAACAGTTCCTGGACGCGATGTTCTACGGCATCCTATGCATGCAAGCCTTCAAGTTCTTCACTGAATCCCGTAGGGATAGTCTATTCCACCGAGTCGTCGCTGGATCTATTCTGGCATTGGCGACGTGAGTGTTGCAACGACTCTGGTCCGATCATCCGACTGAGCGAATGAAACCCTTCGACTCAGAGCCGTGACCGCCCTGTCTATGAGTTGGATGTACAATCTCTTCGTCCTCAATTTCGGATCTTACGCCCACTTCTTTAGCGTCAAATACGTGAGTCAGACCTTGTTTCCTTAGGGGATGACCACCAGCGACGCGATACCCTATGTTGACAATAATCTTTTATGACTATAGCTCTCTTGGTTTTACGTCTTCGACTGCTGCGCCATGGTTATCGTCCAGAGTTTCTTCGCCCACCGAGGTGAGTGGAGCTCAGGAGACACGGCGAAGTATTACGATCACAACTGATGTCCTGGTTTATGCTTATTTCATGACACAGCGTTTCAGGTATGCCACGACGGTCCTTCTGTACGGTGTTAGCCAACCTATCTGTGCTGACGATGGAGCATTTTTGGTCAACAGTTGACGAAGAGGAACTACTATATCCTCGGCGTCATCGTCTTCTTTATGGTCACGGCGTTTATCACGGGGATACTGATGAAAGTTCGGTAGGTCCTCGCGCTTTACCAATCCCTTCTTAGTATATTTTTTCACCTCGGCTGAAAACTGACTCTGCCATACATGTCTATAGAGGCCAGCAACTCGGCAGCTCCGCTGATCCAGACGACGTCTATATCAAGGCGTTTGTCTACAGCTGGCTAGGAGGTTCGTACATCGCAGCTCTGCACCTTTGCCTCGGTCCCTGTCTGATAAAGTGATTGTTGCCTCAACAACAGCCACGCTCATAGCTGATACCTTGATTACCCTAACGATTATGAGCGTGCTCATCCGCCGTCGGACCGGTTGGAAAGTGAGCAGCGACGGCTTCCGTTCGATGTTAGTTACAAGCTTCTGTGATCTGACACTCCCAGCTTATCAGACAACCGACCGCCTTATCACTCGGCTGCTTAAACTTACTTTCGGTATGTCACTATCGACATTGAGTCCTTCAAGCCAGCCACAGCTAAATTGATGCGCTTCCGTCCTGCTCTACAGAATCACAGCTCCCGCCTACCGTGATCGCCATTTCAACCGCGTGCCAGTATGCTACTCTGGTCAACACCGCACCATACATCAGGTAAGTCGTCCATGAAGTTTCAGATAGAAAAGACCGCTTACCATCCATCCTGTGCGATGAGCAGCATTCCCTTGTAAGTGAAACGGCGTCGAAGGTACCGTCAACGCGTTTTCAACGCTTATCCGTCTGCCGTGGTATCTGATCCGTTCATGCCGACGCAAAAGTGTCGTGTAAGTTCCCTGTTACTTGGTGACCCGTGTTGGATACTGACACGATTACTGCTGATCCTTTATAGACTTCAATCTAAGATCTACGCTTTCGCCTTGTTCCACACATTGAACAGCCGATCGGGTCTGACCAACAACCAGAACGATTTCACGATTAATACTGCTTCTGGGTTCTCCGTCGGTGACAGCTCCTTTAAGGCCAAGGTGAGAAACGCTTGCTCCTTACTTCCAACATATCTGATGACATCGCGTTGCACAGAATTCGCACGGCGGAATTGAACCGGTCAAGGTCACGACCGAAACCTATACTCATACCGAACCAATCGATATCGTTCTCGAATCCTGGCCTGCCCGCGGACACTTTAGCAACCGACGATCCGATGTCGACTTGCAGGTCGACGTCGAAAGGCAAGATGATGGCGACAAGGATATTTACGGCTCCAAGGATCACATCGTCGCTCCTACCCATCCCTTCACTAGCTTCGAGAAGCAAGACAGCAAGGGGCTCTGAGTGCAGTGAAGCGCGTTCGGAGAAACCTGGATGGCGCCAGCTTTGTCGCGGTCGTCACGTGCACCGTTCGCGTGTTTGTCCGAGAGAGACGCTTCGGCGATCGGGCTTTGCCGGTCCGAGGGACAGTCGATCTCTTCGAGAATCGTCTATATATTGGGTTCTACGTTCTTTCGAGATTTCCTCTTTGATTGACTATTGGGCTTTCCCTTGTTATGATCTATGAATATCGGTCGTGACTCTTGCAAATTCCCTCGTTCATCTCACGCGACGAACCTGAAACTCTTGCGCGCGCTTGCGATATCAGTAAACCACAGGACTGCTTCAGTCCCCGTCCCGCCTGCACTCACCATCATGGCAAGTCATATCAGGGTCGAGCCTGTCGGTTGGCAATACAAACAACGGGAAACCGATGAGAGACCTTTGTCAGAGGAAATGGTCTGCCCAGGATGGTCCGCCTGCTCGCAATTCCCCACCGAGATTCACCTCGAGTTGATGAAAGCTAAGAAGATACCGCATCCCTATAAGGGCAGGAACGAGCATGAAGTCCAATGGGTCTCGAAGCGTCATTGGCTTTTCAGGAGCGAAATCCATGTCAGCGCTTCCGATCTTCAATCGCGCAACCATTTCGAGCTGGAATTCGAAGGCTTGGACACGTTTGCTACGGTGTATCTCAACGGTAATCAGATACTCGAATCTGACAATCATTTCCTCCCACACCATGTAAGTCCGAGTCACAGGACACCGGGAGCCACATGGAATCACTAAGACGGGCCCTTCGGATAGATTACTCTTGACAAACAAGATCTGAAGGAAAAGAACGAACTCGTCCTAGTCTTTCACCCTCCGTTAGAGATCGCTAAGAAAAGAGAAGAGCAATACGGCAAGGTGCGTCAACGACAGTTTCTGAGACTCATTCGCCAGATTCTGAACTTGCCTTGTCCCGTTATAGGTTCGTGCAGGGTCATGTAATCTGGGCGACCCTTGCCGAGTATATGTTCGCAAAATGCAAAGCTGCTGGCGATGGGATTGGGGCCCAGAGCTGCTGACTATGGGACCCGATCGCGCTATCATCCTGCACATGTCTACATTGACCATCAATCCCTGGGTACGGAGTGAAGTGGATGAAAACTTGATACCACATCTGTCGCTTGATCTAGGTCTCTCAGTCTCGGTTCTCCCGGAGCAAAAGGTCGAAGCCGAAGTCGTGTTGACTTCACTCGCGCCAGAGCAACGCCAGATCAAGAGCGAGAGGAAGGAGATCACCGGGACCGGCGAAATGTTTGTTGACTGGGATTTGCACAACCTTGTCGAACTCTGGTGGCCAAACGGGTCTGGAACTCCGCACCGTTATCAGCTAGATATCAGACTCTTTGATACAGTCAGTCCGTCGCTCAATCACTTCAACTCGGTACCAAATTGAATACATCTCATCTGCAGGAGGGTGTTGTACTAGACGTCCATAACAGCAAGATCGCTTTCCGAAGAGCCAAACTGATCCGTCGGCCGCTAGAAGGCCAGCCGGGCTCGACGTTCATGTTCTCGATCAATAATCGACCGATCTATGCTGGAGGTGAGCTGTCATCCGGCTCTAAACTCTGATTGACGACTCAGGCCCTTCCGAGAACACAGGTTCCAATTGGATACCTACGGACCAGATCCTTCCAATGATTGAGCCGGAAAGATACACCAAACTGCTCGAATTGGCGGCAAGTCCTACGAGCCCGAATGAACCCACGCTCAACGGCTGAAGTCACGACACTGCAGGCCGAAGGCAATCAGAATATGATTCGTTGTTGGGGAGGCGGGGTCTACGAACCAGGTAGGGCACGTTGCGAAGAAATGACGTAAGCTAGCGCGCTCACATGAAACGCGGCAGACTCTTTCTATGATACGTGTGACCGTCTAGGCCTGATGGTTTGGCAGGTACGAGAAATCTGGTTCACCTTCGCCTTACCGCTATTGAAGGCAAGATCCTGGCAGGACTTCATGTTTAGCTGCGCGGTCTATCCCTGCCACGCAGAGTTCGTTGCCAGCGTTCAGGCCGAAGCTATTGCCAACGTCAAGAGACTACGCCGTTTCGCATGCATCGTGCTATTTTGCGGCAACAATGAAGGTAGGCGCCGCTTCGCAGCACGATGCCCGACTCTACTGAACTTACAGGTGACTCATTGACTTTGCGTAGACTACCAGCAGATACTGCAATGGAACATTGTGCCTCAGGTCTTGCCAGCGCAAGTCATCTACGAGCAAGTGCTTCCAGACATCGTTCGCGAGCATACTCAAGTGTCGGTCTATCTCTCATCGTGGCTGTCAGCACTTACTCGAGGACTGATAGAACAGCCTAACCTGCACCTATCCACTTCTAGGGATTATTGGCCGGGAAGCCCGAATAAAGTACCAGGGGACAGGTGAGTTCACTTCGACAGCGGATCGTACCAAGAAAGACTCGCTCAACAGTCGTCGATGTAGTTGGAAGACCGACGATCCTACCCAGGGCGATGTTCATAGATGGGAGGTTTGGGCTGGCACACGTCCTTGGCAGGATTACGATCTTCTCAATGGTCGCCTAGTCTCAGAGTTCGGAATGCCGAGCGCCCCCGACATCAGAACCATCGATTGGTGGTTGGAGGGCGGTACATCCGAAAGGTATATTGATTCCAAAATGATGACTCAGCACAACCGGGCGGGTAGTCACGTCAAGCGGTTCGCTGTACATATGCTCGAGCTGTTCCGCATGACAGGTGACTTTGAAACGTGAGTCTCATGAGTTGCGCCTTGATATTTGCAGTGTCGCTCAAGTAGATCTCAACAGGTGGGCATATCAGACCCAGATCTTGCAATCCGAAGCGCTTGGTTTCGCCTATCGATCGTGGCGTCGACAGTGGAAAGGGAAGGGCAAAGAATTCGTGAGTCATTTGTTTCAGAGAAAGACCACATCGTGACTGCTCGTTGATCAATTAATGTCGTGTCAGAACTCCGGGGCGCTGGTGTGGCAGGTCGGTTTCACTTTAAAGCCATACAATATATAGGTGATTGCTGATCGGCTACAACCTGACAGCTCAACGATTCATTCCCGGTCACGAGCTGGAGCATCATCGACTATTTCCTGCGACCCAAGCCGGCTTACTTCGCGGTCAAGCGCGAACTTTCGACCGTAACAGTGGCCATTGCACGCACAGTCGAGAAGAATCGAGAAAATGACCGACCGCGGCAGGTACGTGGCCTTCAGAGTCTGAGAGTGTTTTCTGTCACTTATGAGAGTGATTTCTGTGTGAAACATCATTGCAGTTCTACGAGTTCGGAGCTTTCCAGACTAGAGATGTGCATCTCGACATCTGGGGCAGCAATGCCTCCGATTCTCCAGTTAAGGCGACGCTCGTGGTGACGGCGATCGACCTTGCGAATCCCACCTGGCATAAAAGGTCGCCTGATGTTCCTGTGACTCTGCAGCCGAACGCCTCGACGGATTTCCACACGAACCTGCCCATTCCCGAGCCAACCGAAAATGTATCGGATCCCATTGCTCCTAGTGGTACAGTTGTGGTGCAAGTTCAGCTCGTTGCCATGGATGGGAATACACTCGCATCGCGCTGCGATTGGCCACAGCCGTATCGTTTCCTCAATTTCCCGGATCCGAAGCTTAATGTTCGGCGCGAGGGGGAGCGCCTCATTATGACTGTGCAGCAGCCGCTCAAGGGGTTGGTTCTCAGCTTGGCAGAATGGAAAGAAGGAGAAGCGGAGGTCAAGTTTGAAGACAACGGTGTAAGTCCCTGCTGTTGTTCGGCTTTGGAAATCCGATCGATTTGGTCCTTACATGGTCATCGTGGAATTTCGCACGGCAGTTGGATCTCTTCCCGAACGACTGCGTGACTGTAGTCGCGAAAGGATTAGCAGATCGACCGCTGCGAGCGAGGTACATGGGGACTGAGCAGGGTATCATTGTCTGATCGTCCGAGAACATGTATAAGATGACTGTATCTCTGCGTCGGTATAATACTGGTTTGATGGTATGATATACAAGCACTAGATCCAGCGCTCTCGCAATGAATATAGCGTTCGGAATGAATCGCTTAAGTAAAATAGCCACGTCGCACCATATCCAATCAGACTCTCGCGCCACCTTGCCTGATGGTATCGCCGGTCAGATGGGCAGTCGGGCCTTGTTCCGTGGCCAGCCGCCAAGCGTCGTCTTCCTCTTCGTTTCTTCCCCTGTCCCGGGAAGGAGGCCCATTAGGCGCGCTGTATTCACTCGCCGCCCCACTGCGTGCTGTCGGTCCATCGCGCTGAGCTTGTTGCCATGCTTGTTCTTGAGCTTCGTACGTCATGTCACGACCGTCCAACTCTTTGGCGTCGCCATCTCCATTCTTGGGTGCATAAGGAGAATCGGCAGGAGGTGGCCCGGGGTACGGCGGTACGTATCCTTGAGAGCCCACACCGGCATAGTCGCCACCGCCATAGGATGTCAAGGGATAATCAGGGTGGCCTTGGTAAGGTGCTTGTGGTTGCAGAGGGTATGCCTGCTGTCCATCTTGAGTCCTGGATCTGCGCTGAACGACGGAGGAAGGGTCCAAAAGCTGCCTGTACAGTCGGGTCCCGCGTGTGAACTTTGTCAGCGATTTGCTAGGGCTCGCGTTCCATCTGAGGGCGGACAGACCTGTAGAACGCTAACGTGATGGAGCACCATAGGATCTAACAAGAGTCACGGGATCGATTATTAGCTGCCAGAGCTTCTGTCGGAAGTGTCTGCTGCTCTCACTTACCGAAACGAACAGGATCGCGAACAGCCATATGAAGCACTTCCAACTACCTCGAGACCAAGATTGCTCGCACCCTATAACGGCAGTCGCATTTAGTCAGCTGCGGCACTTCCGTATCGTCACGTCCCCTACTCACAATCTTTGGCCTGGGCTTCTGTCAATTCGGTGACATCACCCTTGTAATTTGCGACTCGAGTGCCAGTCTCAACCTCGGTACATTGCTTGATCAGGTCGGATTTGAGGGCATAATGAAGCTGATAGCAAGACGAACGGTCCTGGACTGTAAGCATCACGTCTCGGCGCACAGTCAGGCGACAGACGATCAAGACCTACCGCAGTATTCAGGATTTCCGCAGCTGTAGCGATGATGGCTCCCAACGGTGCCAAAAAGACAAAGAGCTTCGCTAGTTGCAGACGCGCCTGCAGGAGATGGAGTCCAGTGTTATAGCTACAGCGAAATCACGATGATGATGATTTCCCGAGCTTACCAGAGCGGCAACTACGAGCGCAAACAGCTCTAGAGCTGCGACAACCAGATACATGACTCCGAGCACAATCGAAAAGGTGTTGATTTTCGTCGTAGCTGATGGTAACCATGGTCAGCTTGATAGGGTTCCGGTCGATTGACACGTTGACTTCAACGGCTTACCACCTTCATCTCCCACATCTTGTAGATTGCTGACTCCGACAGCTGCCGCCCATACGAGTCCGAGCAAGCTGATCACGATGACCACTGGACGCAGAGAACCTCGGTAGACACGACGGATGAGTGTAGGGCGGCGGAGCGTCCGTCGGTGGAGCGAGCCGAGTCTGCATGATAATGACAATTTCTGATAGAGCGAAATTGGTGTAGGGAGAAGAGTCTGTGACTTTGAATACTTGATGATATCCTTTCGCCCTTTGAATGGATGGACTGGACGGTGTTGTCAACAAGAAGGGGAGGGAGGTTAAGGGGTATCTGCCTCCGGGGCTGTGTCAAGGATGCCGTAAGATGACTGCCTCCGTCTCTTGCTTACGTCAGCCAGTCGCTCACTCGCATCATCGCTCGAAGCCGATCCTGCGTCGGGCGAGCGAGCGAGTGATAAGGTTGAGGCGAAGCAGTCAAAATATTGATCTCTTCTTGCACTTCGCACGTTCAGGACAGCGTTCTCTCATCTCTCGATACCGATAGGCAGGTTGTGGAATCTTGATTCCCTCTCCCTCTCAAAAGACTGCGAGAGGCTGGCGATTCCCTCCCGTCCGACCGAATCGTCCCGATTCACCACGATCTTCGACCAGGCCCAGCAGCTCAGCAGGTAGCAGGTCCAGATCGTGGATCCTCGCTTCGCAATGGATCTCTTCAAGAACGAGTCGGTACATTTCGGGATCTGCCCAGAGAATCATTTCGTGAGCTTGCAGGCTTTGATCGGTTCAGAAGCTGCAAAGGTCAATGCTGACATGTCCTGGCACTTGCTCGCGGTCTCGACAGGAATTCACCTCGCCGTGCTCTGTCGCAGTATTGAAGGCGCTCATACCATCTTCGATTGTACTAGTATCTCTAGCTAGCTCTTTGCCGGTGCCTCGAGCTGTGAAAAGAGTGCTACATCCCGTTACCGACATCTTCCAGGACAGGACATCGCTGGACAACATCGCCCCTGCGCACGTAAAAGAGTCCTTGGAACACTCTAGCCATGTCGGGCCCACCATCGCTCGTCAGTCGATCTTTGTCGGTGTGGGTCTCATCGGTAGTCTCTTTTGGTCCGCCTGTCTCGGCCTTCGAATCGTCGGCATGGCCTGGAGCAATACAACCCGTCAGGAGGCTGTCTGGCAGGTCTGGACTACAACTCTGATCTTCGTATCTTGGGTGCGTAGACTCGGGTCTATGCCTATGATGTCCAAGAACCTGATCACACCGCTTGCGGCCGCCTCGAATTCAGCTTTATCTCCTCTGTCTGCCCCTCTTGAACCCGAGTAGGAAACCTCGGTACTCGGCCTTGTGCATCTATATGGCACATGCCACCTTGGCTACCGTTTCGTTGGCCTCTATCTTCTACCTCAAGACGGTGAATGGAGAGTACCCAGCGCGGGCCAAAGATCCCATCTTCCTGACACAGGAGGTCACCTCCTTGTTGCTTGCCGGGCTCGGCATCGGCGCCACCATGGGATTGTCGGTGACGGACGAGTTTATCATTGGTGGCTCGCCCGATGTACAAATCGACGACAACGTTAACCTATACCAATGGATCACATTCTCCTGGGTATGGCCTTTGATCAGGACGGGTTACGATCACGACCTTGCCGACAACGAAGTACCTCCATTGTCGCGCTCCATGCGAACCAAGGAGTCGTATGAGACGCTCAAATCGTACACGTCTTCCTCACTGCTCATCCGGATTCTGCGAGCCAACTCGCTCGATACCTTTCTGGACATTTCGTTGACCTTCATCTCCGTGATTTGCAACTACGCCTCGCCATACTTGATCAAGCGCATCCTCGACGCGGTCACCGATCCAACTCCAGAAGCGAAAGCTCGAGCGTACGTATACGCCATCCTTGCGTTGCTGGCTTCGATAGGCAAGGCGCAAGCGGATATCTTCCATCTTTGGCACGGAAGGCGATGCAGCGTCCGAGTGCGAAATCAACTGGTCGCGCTCATATACGACAAGGCTTTGAGGCGTAAAGATACCTCTGGCGTAATAGACAAGGAAACTACACAAACACCTGTCACCAGCAAGGATAAGAAGAAGCAAAAGACGACACCTGCTCAGCCAAAGCAAGCGGCAGACTCGGGTCGGGTCGTCTCCTTGATGGCGTCAGACTCGGCTCGGATCTCAAACGTCATTTCGGGTCTGTACTTTGTCGTATCAGGCTGTCTCGAGCTGCCTGTAGCGGCGGTCTTTCTGTATTCACTCCTCGGATACTCGGCCTTTGTGGGATTCATTGTCATGGTTATCGCCAGCCCTTTGACATCCCTTTTCATGAAGAGATATATCGCCGTGAGCAAGGAATCTCGAGTGATCTTACAAGGCGACCTATACTGACGGTAGCGTTCGACCTGGACATGCCAGATACAACAACTAGCGAACAAAGCGAGAGATAAACGTATTACTATCATGAATGAGCTTATCGCCGCATGCAAAATCATCAAGTTCAGCGGAGAGACGGAAAACTGGAAAGAAAAGGCTTTAGCGGCTAGGCGAGCTGAAATGAAGCTTTGGGTCAAGGTCTGTCAGTTTCGTTCGACATCGTGCCAATGTTCGAGCTGAGTGGAAGACTGCGCGTAGAATCTCATCAACGGATTGATGTTCCACATGGTCTATAGTAAGCCCGCTACTTTGATGCAGAACTCGTCAGGTTCTGTACAGCTTACCGTTTGATATACTGCGTGCCAATGTCAGTCTTGGGACCCCTGGCGGTGACCCTTGTCTCTTTCTCTTGGTAGGTTTCACTGCTCTATCGCATCATTGTTTGCACTGATCACGGGACTCTAGGTACATCTTTGTCGCGAAGGGCAAACTTACTGTTGCAACGGCGTTCACCAGCTTGTCGTTGTTCTCAATGATCCGCCAACCGGTGCGTGGCTTCACTGTGGCGATATACGAAGGCACAGCTCAAGTGAATTTACTGCGCCTTCTTATAGCTCAACACGATTCCTCAGTTCGGCGTGATGATTTCCCAGGCGTATGTCAGCCTACAACGAATCGCTAGTTTCTTGGAAGAAGACGAAGTTCCCGACTGGGTATCATCGTTGAAGCGTCCCCCGCCAACGACGTCTGGAAAGACCGAGACCTCACGAATCGGGTTTCGGAATGCTAGTTTCAAGTTCAACACCGGGGTTTCAGCCAGTCAAGAGACTTCAAAAGACGCAAAAAATGCTGTGGTCGGTAATGGGCCTGATGAAACGCCTGTGGAGGAAGATTCGCTGCCATTTGAACTTGTCGATCTCGACTTTGAAATTCCCACAAACAAGTTTACGGTAATCTCAGGTCCGGTGTAAGTTGTTAGCAGTCGGAGACCTAAGACCCATGTATCTGACGCCCGATATCATCGCCCTCACGATAGTGGATCTGGAAAAACCGCGCTACTGCTTGGCCTCTTGGGAGAAATGGATTGCATCAAAGGCCAGGTCTTGTTGCCGAAAGAGCCTACGCAGATCGATCCTCGGACCGGTCTGAGAAATTCGGTCGCTTATTGCAGTCAGACCCCTTGGCTTCGCCATCAATCGATCAGAGAGAATATCCTTTTCGGAGAGGACTTTGATGAGACGCGGTATCAAACGACGCTTGAAGCTTGCGCGTTATTGCCCGATCTGGATGTGCTTGAGGATGGGGATTCGACAGAAGTGGGGGTTAGAGTAAGTCTTTGACTGCATTTCGCCAAGCTCTGCCGAATGCTCAAGTTCTTTTCGCTTTCCGTGCAGGGCGTCTCCCTTTCAGGTGGCCAGAAGGCCAGAATCGCGTTGGCGCGTGCCGTCTACTCATATAACGCTCACGTCCTCCTTGATGATGTGCTCGCCGCAGTCGACAGTCATACTGCTAGGCACTTGGTGGACCATTGTCTGAACGGTCCCATCCTCGCGGGTCGTACGGTATTGATGGTCAGCCATCACGTAGAGTTGCTGCTTCCGATCAGTGCCTACTTGGTTCGCATGTTGGCAGGGCGGGTGGACAATCATGGCACGCCTGCCAGTCTTCAGGAGAAAGGCCTCCTCGACGGTTTCATCGCAACTGAAAGCATGATCGCTCATCGCACCGAAGAGAGTAACGAGATGGAAACCGAGAAAGTTGCGCATGACGACGCTGCGGACAAGAAAGCTCGGCCGGGGAGAAAACTGGTGCAGGACGAGGAGAGGACTACAGGATCAGTTCCGTTCCAGACATACAAGACCTATATCGTGAGGAGTACCTGGACTGTCTGGATCATCACAATTGTGTTGTTGGGCTGTTCTCAACTCGCAATCAATGGAGAGAGGATCTGGTTGAAACTATGGGGCAGCGCATATAGCGTTCAGGGAACAACCATGGGATTCATGGGGACTCGGAGCGAGAGTCTCGCAACGGACTTGCATTTCGCTGCCGCGCAGCAGCATTTCGTAGCATATCGTCATCAGCCGGTTTCACGTATCCAACATGCCTGGTTGTCCTTACCCAGTGCTGACTTGCACCCGGGATACTACCTTTTTGGGCTTGCCCTGATCGACCTAGCCAGTTTCGCCATCTCAATCCTATCCACTCTCAACACATCGTGGGGATCCTATAAAGCCGCAATCTCGATTCACGACTCGATGCTCGACAGGGTGATGGGCGCAGACATACGCTTCTTTGACACAACACCGTCCGGCCGTATCATCAACCGCTTTTCGAAAGATGTGGAAACGATAGATAATTCGTTGTCGTCTACCCTCAAGACGGTGCTCGGGAACGTTGCCCTTTTGATTGGATCGATCGCGATGGTAGCCAGTATATTACCGGGCTTCCTCCTACCGGCGTCCTTCATCGGCTACGCATTCTATATGCTCACGACAAGATATCTGGCCACCAGCCGGAGCTTACGACGGATAGAGGCCACGAAAAGAAGTCCGATATTTTCGGGGTTTTCTGAGGTGTTGGATGGCCTGACGATAGTACGCGCCTTTGGCGCTGAGTCTTTGCTGATGCGAAAGTAGGTCGGTGGCCTGAGATCCAACTTGAGCGAAACTCAATATCCTGCTACCTAAACAGGATCTTTCACGAGCAGGACGAGTCTCAAGCCGCCTTCTACCGTAGGTCTGCTTCGAGGGTCCCCGCTCGAGCATCGGCTGATGAAATTATTTCTTTCAGACCTCTGGATGTGTGAGTTTGCCCGGGGCCGACTGAACCAGGCCATGCTGATCCTTACGTGAGGGTGATTTGAAGGCAATCGCTGGCTTTTATATAGATTCGACGCATTGGGGGCGGCGGCAGTGAGCGCTGAGCTCGAATGAGCCGATGGTATCCACGTACTGATGTCGCCCGGCATATCGATCGCATCTGTTACAGGTTTTCTTGACCACGGTTCTGGCGCTCAGCGGTGCTGTCGATGCAGGGTTCTCCGGAGTAGCTATCCTATCCAGCCAGTCCCTTGTGATGGGCGTCTACTGGCTCTCCAGGTTCTGGGGCTCACTGGAACAAGACTTCAACAGCGTGGAGAGAGCACAAGAGTACCTGGTTCTGCCTCAAGAGCCTCCCTCAATCATCGAAGGACACCGTCCACCAGCGTATTGGCCGTCGAATTCGAACAAAGAGTTTCCCTTCCTTCAAGTGAACAATCTTACAATCCGCTATGCGCCAGATCTACCGGCCGTTCTACAGGACCTGACGTTCTCAATCAAGGCCAAGGAGAAGATTGGGGTCGTAGGCCGTACAGGTAGGTCCGCGTTTGAGCGACGCGCGCCTAGCAATCTTATTAACAAGGTGCTCCGTATGCGCGGAAAGGCTCGGGTAAATCGACGCTGGCCATGTCGTTGCTCCGATTCGTAGATCCAGATCCAAGCGGTTCGATCATTCTGGATGGTATCGACTGCACCAGTATCGGAGTCGACGACTTGCGAAGCCGGATCTCCTATATTCCACAAGAAGCTTTCCTATTCACTGGTACAGTGCGAGAGAATTTGGACCCATTTCAGCGTCACTCAGACGATGAGCTTTTGGAGGTCATGGAAAAGGTTCAGCTGGGAGGCGCTGTCGGTCGAACACCATCGGATAGCAGGGCCGCAAGTCGGGTCCCTAGTCTGGCCAATCTGCAAGAGAGCGATGCCGCGGTCAAGTCGATCGCCTCTAGAGGACGGATCACCCTCGACACGCAAATTTCGCAAGGTGGATCATCGGTGTCTGCGGGTCAACGACAACTTATAGCGTGAGCTTGTCAGAAAGCCTCTTAGCTTGTTTACATGCTGTTGCTCATCGATGGCTGTGCGTATAGTCTGGCACGTGCATTACTTCGGCGATCGAACCTTGTACTGGCAGACGAATGCTCTGCCTCGCTTGATACCCAGACGTCAGTTCCTCTCTGAGCACCATCCGCGATCACGAACGTGAGCTGATGCGTTCGTGGCTGTAACAGGGATGAGGCTATCCAGGCCTGCATGCGTGAGGTCTTCGAGGACACGACTACCATCACCATTGCGCATCGGCTGGTATGTTCCGAATGAGCGAGAAGTGGCGGGATAGATCGAGGCTCATTGACAATGATTCTCCGTCCTTTGCCATGGACCGCTTTCCCATTCGTCCATCCAGTCTACCGTCATCGACGTCGATCGTTTAATCGTCCTGGCTGACGGCAAGCTGGCGGAGATTGGATCGCCGTGGGAGTTGTTGAACAAGGCTGATGGCAAGGAGGCCGTTTTCAAGGTCCGCTCAAGCATGCGCTGGACTAGTTGTGCGCTGCTGTGGCTCATCCACACCGCAATTCTCTTTGCATACACAGAGCATGGCCGTCAGCAGTGGCCACTTTTCGGATCTCTTCGAATCGGCTCGAGCCGCGGACGAGAAGAAGGAGGAGAAGAAGCAGACGAAGAATCGGTGTGTCTAGATGATGCATGAACAAATGAATAGAAGATTCATCAACATGTAGCATGTTTCAAGACTCTCAGGCCTCTCAAGCTATTATAGTGGTCATACAGGAATCCAGACGATTGACGGATCCGCACCTATCGTTTCCCCATAGAGAAGTCTAGGGTCAGGAAACCAATCAGGATAGTGGTGATGACGATGGTGATGAACAGGAGGTAGAGTTCAACCACCTCGCTCAGACCTGAGACTCTGAGGCTACCCGCCTAGACCCAGACTGTTGTACGCGCTCAACTAGTACTCACCAGCTCTACCGAGCTACTTTCGAAACCCCTTTACCTCTCTACATGATCAACATCATCCGGCAAACATTCCGGCAGCGCACATCAAGTCAGACCATAGGTGTAGCTGACCTCGGGGTATTTCCGTTCGAGACATCTTGTCGCTCTCAGATCGCCAAACCGCCGAGATCTGTTGGCCTATCGCCGCGTACGTTGCGACGTTTCTCTTCATCCCGGTGATCGTTCCGAATCGTATCTTGCCCGGGTTCCACCTCTTCCTTGCGAAGAGGAAGACCAAGTCTCCAAAGACTCCAGATCAAAGTCATTCGTGGGCAAAGCAAGAGGCTTGCGGCGAAACCGCCTCCCCTGTGGGGTATCACCTAACCCTAAGGTATGGTTCAATTCCCCTGAGCTGGAGACCGGACGCGTTACTCACTGCTTGATTTGTTGTGAATTTAGTATTTACCCAATGGGTGGTTGGAATCTGACTGTTCGGCCCATTATGTTGCGTCTTGCTCCCCTCTTGGGCTTGATTTCCTGTGTGTCCCCTCGAAAGTCGGGTCATCATTGCGCCAAACATCCCCCGTGACACCGTAGCTTGGGCACATTCCTCTCGTCTCGGTCATCTGGCAGTGATGAAGGCAGCTGCGACGCACTTTGATGACTCTGACCGGAATGCGAGCGGGACCCACCTCACTACCCTTGCCAAGAAATTCAGTGGGAGTGGGACGCGCATAGTGGACATCCGACGACTTGATCAACCAATCATCCTCCGCCTGCTTGCGGGCGAACCCCTGTCCCAGCGAAAGAACAAGTCGTACTCTTTCCTTGCTGCGGGCCCGTTGCGATGCATCGTCTCGGTGATCTCGTGATGCGGGAGCTCGAAAGTCGCCAGCCGACGAGGAAAGAATGACGTAGTCGCGGCCTTTTCTGCTTTGCTCACAATGACCTGGACGAGGAGATCTAAGGGTCGGATACGGTTCGAATCAGGAGGGGTGGAAGAAAAGATCGTGCGGACGCATCGGTGGACGGGTGGACAGGAAATGTCAAGGAATGCCCAGGTCGGTACGTCTAGGTCGGAGCAGTGCGACTGCTTGATACAGTCAGACATCGCTGCGCCGCTTTCGCTCGCTACTGCAGATCAAGAACGATACCATGTTCTCCTCTGGCCTATCACCGACTCTTCCCTTCCGATGACAGCTTGTGCTGGGACCTTGCCGTCGAAGCAGCTCTCCGCTTCGGGCACGTCCTCGTCCCCCGGCCTCCGCGATAGGGTTTGGGGGACTGAAAGTTCGATATCGACCTGAACAACGTGTCAGAAAATTCTGCGCCTGCGTATCTGATGCGCAGCATCTCCAGAGGGAAACAGACGAATTTTTGCACTTTTCGACCATTGGCTAGCATCCTGCTTCGTGAGCGTCAAAGATACCGTCGAATCACACGTCGTCCCGATTCTCGCTCTCTGCTATCGACATTGGCGCAACTCAAGGGACCACTTTCAACGCCGTCGACCTTCGATCACTTGCCGCGATAGAGGTGTTGCGAATTCTCAGCGAAAGACATGGCATGAGCCCCGACCGTCTTCTCCACGGAGTGGGACGGTAGAGTTACGGCTCGCGATGGGGCTGTAGTCATATCTGATCTGATTTCCCACTCTATCCAGTATGTGCATTCGGGTCGGACCGCTGTCTGAAGGGAGCGAGCTCTCGGGAAATGTCAAGGAGATCTGAGCTTCCCGATTATCAGTTGGACGATGTGGCGCGTCCTCGGAGGAGTTGCTTAACATGGAGGTTGTTGAAGGTCTATCGGTCGCTGGTGTTCGAATTACCGCTCTGCAGCCTGGCGTATCTCTGCATACCCCTAACCCCAAAGTCATGGCTTGATTTCTCTCGGAGGTGACGACAAGGCGATAGTTTCGGCGTGAACGGGCCGGGCAGAGAAGTTTCTTCCAGGCGGGACGGTATAGTCCTGAACCCCGTATAATGGGAGCCAAGCGGACCAACATCGGATTGGGAGGACCGGATTCTGCTCCCTGCATATGCTGAGGGAGACCGCAAACCTGCTGGTGCATGGCGTACGGATTACATGTTTGTTTCTCTTGGTGTTTGCGCTTCGGCGTCAAAACAGAGTGAGCGACGGGGGAGGGACTGCTCGGGAGCGGTCCCGGAGATCCTATGCGGCAACATACAAAATCATCATTGTTCGGGCAGGAGCATATTGTACAAGTCGATGGGTGTTATAATTGATGACATGAACAAAATCAAAAAGGATGTCCCGTGGTCCGAGAATCGCGAAGTCTAAGCTCTAAGCTTCTGGCATCAGTCCCAACCTCATAGCGATCTGCTCCATGTAGGTCTCTGTGAAAGTTGAAAAGGCCTTTGTTAGCATGCTTCGACGTTATCGGAGATATGATACGGCTCACCCATAGCATCTCGCACGCTTGCGTATTCAGCCGTCAATGTGTCGAGTTGCTTTTTCTGTTCCTCCCTAAACTTGCGCATCTCGTCCTCGATCATCTTCTTGTCAGCGCGACGGCTGTCTACCTCTCGCAACGTGACTGTCCGTTCTTTTGCCTTTGCAGCGTACCTATAAAGACGATTGAGAGGATATGGCATCGAAATCAGTATTTGAGGATGCGTAGCTGTCACCAGGACTGACTCGGCCTTGAGCTGATCCATCTCCTCCTTTGCTTGTTGGCGCATCTCCTCGCCGCTCTGGACCTGTCTCGCCAGCTTCTCGTTGGCGAGTTTGATCTGCCGTTCGAGTTGCTGTACAATCAATCCGTCAATGTGAGTATGCGACCCAGTCTAAGATCGGTCGAGCATTTCATGTACCTCGATCTTGCTGATCGCAGCATTATTCTCGATCTCGCGCTCTCCCAGAACATTGGAAGTTCGCTGGAGGTACATCTTCAAGTCGGACAACTTCTTCTTGTCTGCCTCGATGCCTTGTGCGAGATCGATGAGCCCTTTCAGATCCTGTCAATTTACCAAAGAGGATCAGATCTGGAGTCGCAATGCGATCCGAGAGAAACACCCACCAATTCCAACCCGGCCATGACGTCAAGACGCGTCGCCAGCTCTCTTCCCTTCCGAGAGCAATCTCTCAGGTTGGTCCTCAACTCGGCCTGCTGCTTGGTCATGTCCTCCAGATTCCTCTTGAGCTTTTCCGGGCTCTTGACAATTCGCATCCTGATCCGCTCGTTGCCATCCTGAAGCGAAACGACCTGATCGACCTTGTTCTGCACTTCGGCGACGATACCTGAGCGCTCGACCTTGAGCGCGGCGGCAGTGTCGTAGACCTTGCCGCTTTCGACACGCAAGTTGGAATTCTCGGCCTCTAGTGCCTCGTTACGATGGCGCGCTTCCGTGACGAAAGGTGCATTCTCTTCATTCTTCTCGCTGATATTTGAAAAGGATAACAGATCAGCTTGAAACTTCGACACCGAGAGGATTGAATCGTTTCTTACTTGATCTGCTCGATCTCTGCGCGAACCGCTGCGAGATCATCCTCCAACCGGACGATACTGTGATGAGTCGCGGATCGATTTACGATCAGCTAGAGCGGCAGATCTCGACGTAGAAAAGCCGTTTCACCTCTCCCGTTGCGTATCCAGTCGTTCTACCTGTTGGTCAAAATACTCCCCGTTGGCAGTCCTAATGCGCACAGCCGTCAGGGTTCGAGTCTCGCACCGATGTTACGTGAATCTCGAGCAACTCACCTGAACTTCAGAAAGTTGGCGATTGCTGTTACTATTGATCGAAATCGAACAGGTTCTGGTCGAAGCAGATCGGCATGGCTGAACGAAGGTACCCCGCAAAGCAATGCCAAGTCTCGTCTGCGCAAATCAGGATCACCTTCAAGTCAGCTTCATCGGAGGAATGCGGACCTAGCTTTCGCTCACAGATGTTTGAAGAACATGGCAAACTTCATCGGCTCGTCATAAAGCTCCTGCCCAACGGATGTCGACATGCTTGACCATCAGTATCCGTAGCCTGATCAACAAGACAAGCTTTAAACCTACCCTGCCGTACGCCAGCATGTTCAGATATACCGATCGATGTTCCGCCGCGCTCTCGCTGTTGATCTTCCATGCATCTTCCAGAATCCGGCCATAGAATTGCATGACAAAAGTTTGGGTCGGTTTCACAATGTCCTCTTGCGAACATTCGATGTTGAGTCCACTGTAGTAAAAGTTGACAATCTCCTGGGGTGGCCATGGGGTGAATGGCATCGACGGTTCGACGACGCGCTGTTGTTGGGCACGACCTGGAGGCGGCATCTCGGAGAGCTGTGTTCGCTATGGATTATTCTGTTGTAATTCCACACTTGCTCCAGTCGTAAAGTAAGGGGAGTGTACGAAGTGAATGTACGAGTGTGGTACTTTGAATCATATGCTATCGCTCAGGAGTGGTTTGTTTGTTTTGTTTGTGTCTCGATAACCCTGACGGGCTTGTTAGCTGATATGCACGGACATCGTCAACTGATACTGGATGTCCGCCACTTTGACATTGTAAACAAAGCGTCATATCCGATTCGTCAATCCCTACGTATCTATATGAGCCATGAGCCATGAGCCCAATGCGCAATCCGTCAGATATCTACCCGCGACGTAGTGATAATCTTGATCTATCCGGCTAGTTGTACAAGATGGCAGCGACGAATCACGAGCTCGAGCTGCAGTACTTTCGCGATACCCTGGAATCTTTCGACGGGTATGCGCAATATCATGTGAGACCTCTCTCGATAGGGCGCACCCAATAGCTACCATATCGATACTGACCCGTTCTCCCGCACGTGTAACATATAGCTCTCAGCGAACCACACGAGGCGTATGAACATGCTCACGCTGCCGAAAGACCAGCGCGCCCTGCTGACTGAGATCGGGTACAAGGACAAGCTCGATGCGGTCGACGAAGGGATACGAAGGTGAGGGTCGATGCAGCCGCGGTGTTTCAGTATAAAGTGAATAACCATCCTATGCCGAACAGGAACGCCGAGTTTCTCGACGAAATCTACAACTCGGGAGCTTCCCCATTCATGGGCTCTGCGCGACCGTCAGCTCGATCAGCGATGACGCCTCAGATCGTCGACGAGGATCTGGAGACGTTTCGAGCGTCCCCAACCCTTCCCCACCAACGAGATGGAGGTCATAGTCACTCCCATAGCACCCCGCACTCGCACTCTCATGCGCACAATCATGGTGCTGCCTCTACACCGCAGCTCATCTCGACCAACCCACCTACGACCACCACCCTCAATGCCAAACAGCGGTCCACTCTCAAGATACAGCAACTGCTGGACCGTCATGCTGGGCTACAGAAACAAGCCAAGAAGGACAATAATATGGACAAGGTGAGGAGTACGTTGAGGCAGATGATCAGGGACTGGAGTGAGGCGGTAAGTGCAGTACTGGGCCAATCGCTCGAGGAATGTTCGTGCTGATGATCATATGTGTTGCTGCTCTTTGGCAAGGGGGCAGCGGAGCGGGAAAAGACGTACAAGCCATGTCTCGACGCGGTGGAAGAACATTTCAGCCATATCCCAGAAGAAGACCGGTTAGTCTACCTAGCGGTGCAGTCTTCACTCGCCGGACTGGTTTTCAGATTGAGAGATATTTGTGGCGCCACAGGTCGAGCGTCAAGGTCCTAGTCCCCGGAGCTGGCTTGGGTCGAATGGCTCTTGAATTTGCTCAGAGAGGTATAGTTCTCATCGATCTCGGATACAGAATCGACAGCTTACTTTGCGGTCAATCTCCTATCTCAAAGGCTTCGCCGCTCAAGGCAACGAATTTAGCGCTCATATGCTGATCATGTCAAACTGGGTGTTGAACGAGTGATTGGGACTTCTAGCATTCGGAAAGCTCCATGCGACAAAGCTGATGCTCTTGCTTCGCCACAGGAGCTCGCAGATTGGCCAATACCAAATCTTCCCCAACCTTCATTCGTTTTCGAATCACCTTACGACACACGAACATCTTCTTCGGTCGTATCTCGTACCGGACGTACTTCCCGGTCAACTCTTGGGACCCAACTCCGACTTTAGCTTTGTCGCCGGTGACTTCGAGGAAGTCTACGGAGGACGATCGGATGACGGTAGTTGGGTTGATATCCCGGCGGATCAAGCCGGCCAATGGGGAGCGGTCGTGACCTGCTTTTTCCTGGATACCGCGAGAAACATTATCAACTACCTCAAAATCATCAAGGGGCTCTTGCGACCCGATGGAGTCTGGGTCAACGTGGGGCCTCTGTTGTGGCATTGGGAGAACGTGCAGGACAAGGAGAGGGGCGAGGGCAGCATCGAACTCAGTCTGGACGAAGTCAAAGATCTAGCTCGCAAGATGGGTTTCGAGATCAACGTAAGCGTTGCTTCTGATGTCGAACGACATCCGCGTCCGGAACTGACCGATGCGATCGTATTGACAGAACGAGAGGCTAGACCGGGCGACATATACGGGAGATCCAGACACTATGCTGCGATCAGAATACCAGGTAAGCTCGAACTGGACAATTCTTTACTTCTTATAGGCACTCTTAAAGGAAGACCTGACGTTGCCATGACAGATCGCCTTTTGGACAGCAACTCTGATAGAAACCTGATACGGTCGTGACCTAAGGAATGAATCTCGGGCACATGATAAATAGATGAATGTTGGCTTGCGTTTCCCTAGACCAAGTGAGGCGATCATGATCGGCTACGCAACGACCGCAAACTGCTCCTTGATATCACTCCTGCCATCCGATCCTCTCAGACGCATTCTCAACGACCTTTGATCCGTTTCCCCGACCTATGCACGTTCCAGTCTCAGAGCTTTGGCTGCCGTAACGTTCTTCAACGGTGTCATCGAACCATAGATGAAGTCCGGCGCGGTCGCAGGTCTCCTGTTTGGCTCATTCGGTGCGCAAGGGGAAAGGAGATCCCGTCGACATCGAGATGATTGAGATCGGATCCAGTATCATGAAGAACGAAGAACCTCCGCCTATGGACGATTTGCTTATGAACGAGGAGGTCTTGCGGATGGATGAGAACACCAACAATGCGACGCGAGGAACAGGAAGCACGAAGATCGAGCAAACGGCCGCAAATAGGGTACACCTGTGTTTTTCATCATAGGTCTATCCCCTGTGCATCACCTATCTACCGTCTTTCTGAGGCCTGTACAGATCTTGCTGTACAAGCCCAACGTGTAGCCAGAAGATGCTTCTTCCTGGCTTACGTAACGAGCGAGGCTTGTTCCTGCGCAAGTCGGAGATCCGAATGCTGATGAGCATTGGGCATGCCATCGAGTCTGGCTTGCTTCGAGCCCTATCGAGTATCGCAACATCGTTTGGAAAAGTTCCACGCCTGTGGTATTTGACAGATCATGCGTCCACCTCTTCCATATCCTCATCCTCGTCATCATCATCCTGCTGCCCTGCACTACCCAAAGCACTCCCAATTCCAGCCTGACCGCCCTCGGCAAGAACGTCCGGACTGCCCTGAGCAGTGCCCGTCCCATCTTCCGTTCCAAAGAGGGGTGACGAATGGATCGAAACTGCCGGTGATGGGGCGTTCGAGGTGGATACGGAATTGCCAGGGATGGCGAGGGGATTAAGAGCGGGGATGGGGACGGGGTTCATCTCCATGTCTTCGTCGTCGTCGTCGTCATCGGATAGGTCCAGGTTGATAGGAGCGGCGGAAGAAGTTCCTTGTGTTTGTGCTTGTAGTCGAGATGCAGGTTGAAGTTGAAGTTGAGGCTGAGGTTGAGAGGCTGGATTGGGGATGATGCTGATCTCCGCGTCCTGAGCTGAAGGCAGAGCGGGTGTCCGTAATGATGATCCCGCTGATGATATCGCTGACGCTGAAGTGAACGAAGATATTGTAGGTACTGCAGAAGAAGGGATCGCCGTGCTCGGAGAAGGCGCAGCGACTACCTGAACTTCTTCGTCACTCCCATCGGCATCCCCACTCCCATCCTCATCTTCGTCTTTATCTTCTTCTTCGTCATCATCGCTCGCGTAAATCTCCCCCAACCGTAACTTCCAATCAAAGTTGCTTTCCAACCCTTTTACGATCCCTTTCGCCTTGGCCAACCTCTCCCCGACCACGTCCACGGCCTCGGTAACGTTCCGGTAGATCCCAGGTAGATTCAGCTTATCCCGTTCTCCTTCATACAGAAGCCTTCCGAGTTCTTCGTCAGGGACGAAACCCAGGCTCAAGGGGTCTTTTTGTAGTGCTTCCAGCTCGGAGGTGTAATAGGCGTAAAGAGAAGCTCGCTCGGCCGAGTAGTTGTTTTCTGGGATGGAACGTAAAGGAGGATCGCCCTGTGTGTATAGGCTGGAGGTTTCGTTCCGAGTCGAGCTGGAAGGTGTCGGTTGGACAAAGGTCGTCTCGAACAGATTGGGGAGGGCCGAGCTGTTCGTAGGGCCAGAGGGGAGGAGTCGAGGGTTTCGGAGGAAGAGGGAAAAGTCTTGCACTTGTTTGAAGATCTCTTGATACCATTCCAGGAGGTTTGGCCTGAGGGGCAGCGGGTCTCGTGGTCGAATCAGCTACGAGATAGATTCGTATGCCAGGACCATGCTTACCATGGTAGTATACTCTGCCTCGTCCGATCCCCAACCGGGTCTTGCTGAATGATGTTTAGCAGATTCAAGATGGAATCCCTAAGCTTGTCCGCACGGGCAGCTAACAGTCTCAGTGCCGTAGCTTGTGCTTGCAAGGTTGGGTCCATCTGGGTCTTGAGCTGGGTAGAACCCGACGCAGCCTGGGACATGTGATGCAGTCCAGAAGCCATAGTGAACAGAAGCTGATGAGATATGTGTAGAATCAGCTGCGGGGAGAGGAGAGGAAAGGTAGATGGGTAGGCTGGTATAGCTAGATGGACATGTCCTCCCGGTCGAGTCGGTCGGCCTTGTCCGCGTCGGACTCTACACATATTCTACAATTACTACCTCTACTACTGACTACCACTACTTTACTCTCGACATCGACAAGCACACAAGTACAGCCCCTGGAGTTTTGGTGAAATCATGTCGTACACACCCGCATCTTCCCCTCCGTTCGGATATCACGCCGCCTCACCATCGAGCCATGCACTGTCCCCACCTGCCAAACGGTCTTCTAGCGGGACCTCCAAACAGGCCGCCATGAAACGACCTTCCAAACCGTCATCCGTCAAAGGTAAAGCAGGACAGGGGTTATCCAGCAATTATAGGAAACCGGCGACATCGAAATCGGGCTCAAGAGCGCCTTCGTTGATGTCGGCCAGGTCGAGACCCGGGTCGATAGCCGAGTCCGAAAACGTAGGCCCGTATGGGAGGTCAAAGTTGAAATCCGCTACACCTGGAATGGGAAGGGCAAGTCGACCAGGATCTATACGCCCGACGAGCGAGTTTGGAAAAGACAATTACGGGGACGAGGATGACGAGGATGACGAAGCGGGGAACGAAGAAGAGTTGGCTAGCGACTATGGGGATAATGAAGAGGGCGAAGAAGGAGGAACGGCACCGGGCGAGGAGAAGAAGCTCTTGAGTGCCGAGGAAGAGAGGATACTGGAAGAGATGGGTCAGAGGGAGGTAGATTTGCAGTCGTATGTCATCCCAATTACCTGCCGTCTTCGACGATATTTGAGGCTGGCGACTGTCGTGCTGAATTGCGACCCACTACTACTAGATTGCGAAAGCTCATGGACAGAGATCAACAACGCCGGCACGACGAGCTCAAGTCCACGAACTTTACCTTTCAATCCATCCAGAAAGTCAGTCATCTACCGCTCAGACGTCTCCCTTACATATTATATGTCTTGCCAGTACTGAACCTTCTGGGATTTTCCTGCAGGTCTATCGAGATAGATACCCCGGAGCGGGACATATAGCAAAAAACGTCGCTGCGCTCATTGGGGTCGTGGCCAAGACGCATGTGGGGGAGATCATCGAGTTGGGTACGTTGTTTGGTTTCTTGTTATATTCTCCTGTCGGCGAAGCGATCGAGGGAAAGACCTCGACTGACACTGTTCCATGTTCTGTTTCGACACGTATAGCCAAGATGATCCAGCTCCGCAAGATGGAACAAGACCCTCGATATTCGCTTCCATCTAACGCACCAGTGAACTCAAAACAAGTCGCTTCCTCGTCTTCCGCACCAGGACCGACAACGAGTAATAACACGCAAGATCGACCGAAATTGAAAGCCTTGACCGCTAACGACCTGAGAGAGGCGTTCGAGGTGTACATGGGGAACACAAGAGAAGTCAGAGGGACGGTCGGGAGGAGAGTAGGGGAGGAACGGAAGGTGGGGTTGTTTGGAGGGTGGGCGTGAGGCGTGAGGCGGAATGAAGAAGGAATCTCGAGACGATTCAGATGACGACCTTGATGACGGAGACTACGAATTTTGTAATGACTTTTGGTAGACGATTGAGCATGCATGGCATAGATCGCCGGGGCTGCTTTATATAGTTCTATAGTCCCCTGCCTAGTCTAGGGAATCCGATTCATCTGCAATCGTCCATGTATTGCTCCGACTTGAGTGATATAGTAAAGGTTCAAGTGGCAAATCCTGGTGCGCGCGCGCCGTCGTTCAATCAACAGATCGCATTAAATGTATTATGGTATAAGTTACGGATCTTACGGATCATGTCGCCTATTGCCTATTGTCGGGGGATCTTGTGATTTTCGGTACAGTTGCCAAGAAAAGCATACAAAGTGATAAAAGGACTACGTGATATATGGTCATCATCTCCAGCAAGATCCTGTCCAGGGCAATTACGGGCATCAGTCAGCCGAGAGTATGCCTTTCAACGCATCCGTTTCATTTAGCTGAATATGATGGCATCAAAGCCTGCTACATGCAGCGCCGACACCTTACAAGCGCCACGTGATAGATTGCCATGTCGACATACCCGAACATCTTTGCCGAAGGTGTGACATGCGTTCATCAGCTGATGTACCGCCTGACGACCGCGCTTCCTTTGAGGTGGTGTGAAGTGGCGTGACCACCGCAAAAAGCATTATATAAGGGCAGCTGTTCGTCTGCATACTCGTACTTGGACAGCCCGCATCGGGCTATTCCCTAACTAACATGGTAAGATAGCCCTGGAACGGTTACACTATTGTCACAGGTCAAAGCAGAACATCTCATGGACTTTCCTGACTTATCAACGGAAGGGGGTGACGGGGGAGGCCAAGACGACCAGGTAAGTGTTATTATCGTTAAGCCGCCGCGTCAATCAAATTCCGAATTGTCTTTCGATTGCACGGAAAGGTTCGGCCCGGGGGACGACCTGTTATAGAAATGCAAGAAGATTCGATGATCGCCACGTCTGCAGGAGGAAACAACTCTTTTTTCACGCAGGGTGGTACAACCCGTTCTCTACGATCCCTCCTGCCTCGACCTTCATCCGATATGCCCCCGGCCTCGACATTGGTGGAATCGGCTCACGAGCCATCCACTGTCTTTGCCGAACCACCACAAGACTCTAAAATCCCTCATTCTTATCGAACTCTCATGCCCCGACCTCATTCCAATATGCCTGCGGCGTCAATATCGATGGATTCGCCTCAAAAATCATCCAGTGACTTTTCCGAACCATCACGAGATTCTGGAATGTCCCAGTCCGCCGCGCCCATCGAACCTTGGATGGCTCCAATGCTGGTTGACTTGCTGAAAGCAAAGAAAGAAGAGGACCGCCAAGAACTCTACAACGATGAGGCATACACATGCAGTACTTGTTCCAATCAGATGTGGGATCTCCCCGGCAAATGTTATGATTCCCGGCACAGGTTGCATGCCGGAGCCGCCAGCCTTGTTGTAAGCCCGTGGCTGAAAGAAGATCAAGGTTGGGATGCGGAGCCACTGAGACTAAGCCCATACCATATATGGCATTGGTTCTGTGGAATGCCATGTCTGCAAGAACATCACAAGGCCAACACGAATGACCATTCCAAGTGGCTGAAAGCGCAAAGGGAACTACCGGCTAGTCAGAGAGCAAACAAGGCTCCGCCAAAGCGGAAACGCAAAAAGCAAGGGGAGGAGAAAGAGAAACCAACAAACAAACGACTGATCTTGCCAAAACCGACCACGTAGCTCATCGATGTTTTAGATACCGAAGTGTCGCGATAAGGACTTGTTCACGTTTCACACTTGTAGATTTGTATATAGATTTCCCAGATCCTCTAGACTTCAGTGCTATCTTATAGATGAAAATGCAACTACTGACAGCAAGATCTAACAGGCAATAACACCTGTGCCCCTAGTGGATCAGACCACGTGCAGCGCTTGCGCAGGGCAGCGTGCTCAGCAGATGTGTCGTCTGCGCAAGCATGCTACTAGAACAGTAGCGCCACGCATCCCATTGACATTTAACGGTAGTCAACAAGTCTGGGTTGTCAGAAGACTTCAAACGGCTTAGTACAGGAAGTGACTGTGGGGAGAGCAATGTATGTGCTGGGATTACACAACGATTCGGCCTTGCAGACACTGCTCGGGTGGCGACAATCTTGAGCACGCCGATTCGCCCAATGTACGAGATCGTATTGGGACCATTCAATCTATACAGATCCGACTCATCTAATACGGCACAGTCGAGCGATCATACAAGCCCCACGCCCAACCTACTTTTCCTCCTTGTGAATCTCGACGCCTGGAGGAGCGTTCAAAGCCTCCTTGATCCATCCGTAGATCAAGAACTGACCCGTGACCAGACCGGCCGTCATGACTACATGTACACAAACGCGCAAAGTATCGAAACCAATCAGCATACCGCGAGCGCTTGAGCAAATACTAGCGCATCTTACCGATCCTGGGTCCGAGACCCGCCCAGAGTCCGCTGAACCCAAGTTCCCCGCCGACTTGGATGAGCCGTTTGTACATCGGTCCTTTAGGTCCAGCTCCCTTGTTGACGGCCGAGAGCATCGAGTCGGCCGGCTATCCGGTGCGATCGAGACGAAAAAATGAAGAAAGGCGTTCAGCACCGTGCAGGCGGATAATCCAGATCAGACAAGTCACGCTTCCGACTCACGTGAGACAAGATGGCAGCAGCCGCACCGGCCGTAATACCACTTCCCAGATCGATACCCAGCTTCTTCATCCCTCCCAGATTGGCCTTTTCGTGCTCGTCCATTCCCTTGAGGGCGAGTTCGTGGCAAAACTCGTTGACCGTGAACTACCCGCGGTACAACAGGCGAGGTCATACTCGTCACATCAGCTTTCCTGTCGGATTGCAGCAGTTTTCGCACACCAGAGGGAGATGTGGACTCACCTGCCCGATGGCATAAGGAATCTGTTTACAGATCAACGGCAAGAATCCGGCGTACAGTCCCGCAAACCCTTCTTCGGCGCTGAGCTTGGCGAATCCGGTGGCGAGGCCCGTGGCGTACTGTCAAGTTGCAAAGGTAAAGAATTTACGTTCGACATCGACATAGACATAGATCTCAGCATCAGTTTCGGCTGAAAGCCAGATCAAGCCTGATGTGGCATAGGAAAGTAGGAGGATTAGAGACTGACCTTGGGATCCGAGACGAGCCTGATCCGAGTGGCTTCCAGGGGTGCCAACAAGATGTCCGCAAAGAACCTATCCACAAGCATAACCAGACCCGTCTTCAGTCAGCGTAAACCCTCACGAAATTGCCTCATTCCCGCCCTCTTGACCACAAAAGTAGTGCAGAGGGCGAGGACGAGACCGAAACTGAAAGTCAAAATGAAAACCCTTCAGACTCACTCGGCTACACTCGCCCCAACGAGATAAATAGCCGTCCGATGCTCCACCGCCCCCTCCTGACTGCCGACAACCTCGACCAACTGTTTCTTCCAAAACTCGTACCCGGCAAACTTGGCTCCTCCCTGGACGAGGTATCCGACCGCCGTCGGCCCGAACCCGGTCAACAACCCGCGAGGGCCTTCGGAGGCGATGATTTGGCGGCCGGTGGATAGCATGGAGGTTCGGCTGAATTTGGGGTCGATTTGGATACGGGCTGTGAGGCGTTGGAAGGGGGAGGGAGTTAGCGAGGGGTTGTCGGAAGGCCAGAAGCTATAAAGATGGACGAGGACTCACTCTTGACGACGTCGATCGCTAAATGAAAGGGAGAGATGCGATCCGGTCAGTTCCTCATTCAACGATCGTACGTTGTCTTTCAGAGAGCGTAGGCTTACGGGTCATAGCTCCGTGCGTTCTATGCGACAACAGATTCACAGTAGTAGAGTATCGTCAGCGACACATTTCCAGGTCTGGCGAAATTTGGCCAGGGTGGGCTTACATGGTGCAACATAATGCTCCTACAACGGCATTCACGAGGTAGCAACAACGTCAATGTGGACCGTGCGGTTCATCATCGTTGGAAGGATCGTTTTAGAGTATGATAAAGTGTGGACGTCAGCAACGCTTCATCCTGCAGTCAACGTTTTACATGAACTGACCTGCCAGGAAGAAGGTCGAGTCTACCGGCCAACCCATCCGAGCAAAAGATCAAATCATCAGCCTCATATAACGTTAGATATTGGTGGAAAGTGACCATGCAGGGACTCACAATCCTTGACCCCGAACGTCGGCGTAAGGGGCATGACTTTCCCCGCCAGCTTTTCGCCGGCCTTTTTGGCTTCTGCGGTGATGGTTGAGGTGGACATCTTGTTTGGTGGCTCGTCAAGTGGACGTTCTATCAATCTACGAAGAGCAAGAAGCTAGGTATATACTCGATCTAGAGAATGTGTGAGATTTGCGATCGAGGTCTAAGTCAAAGTTGTCGAAAATGGAGACGACGTCGATATACACAGAGAGAGTGATCTAGAGATAGGCTACCCTCCTACCCGGTCAACACCGAACCATTCCGGCCGCCGGGGGGACAGAGCGAAGGCTATTCTCAGAAGGGAAGTGACGTAGGTGGTGACTAGCCTCTACGTAATCAAGATACGTAACAACTCTGGCTGACGGACATTCTCACATTCTAGTTTGTCGCATGTCCGCTCCCGGGGATAGTCGGCTTTGATTCCCTTTCGCTAGCTAGCTACCGGCCGTCGCATACACACACTCTCTCTCAGGGGACATCCTCACCCAACCCCCTATACAACTATCCATTCGATACACACATCACATCGTCTCGTCTTCCTCTCCTCCTCACAAGACGCAAATCAAAAGTCGTACATCTCGTCGGAAAGAACAACATGTTGTCACAATCACTTAGAGCTTCCAGGTCGGCACTCCGAGTAAGCTCCTGCCTCCATTCCTCGTGTCTCTTGGCATGTTCGGTATGGCCGTTCCCGACTCACTCGTTGCATCGTTGTTCTATCCCTTCGACCTCGACTTCCCGCCTCACAGCCCGCCGTCTCGGCTCAGAGGCAGCAGGTCCGGGCCTTGTCCATTCACGAATACCAGTCGGTCCAGCTCTTGAACTCGGTGAGCATCCAGGATGGCCCAGACCCGGTTTCCTGTAGACGCCTTCTTTTGCTAAACTCTTGACCTTGAACTTGAACTCGTTACACACTACGCTTTTCATCATGGGGACCGTCTACAAAATCGAACGCACTTACTCTAATTCATACTTGCAACATCGACGCTTCTATATTATACTACATTCTCGCACGACGCAGTATGACATCCCCACCCCCATCTCCAAACCCGCCTTTTCGCCCTCGGAAGCTGAATCCGTCGCCAAGTCCTTCTCGGACCCCAACTCGCTCGTCCTCAAAGCCCAGGTCCTCGCAGGAGGTCGAGGGAAAGGTCACTTCACCTCGGGCTACCAGGGAGGTGTTCAGATGATCGACTCCCCCGCCCAAGCCAAGGAAGTCGCCGGGAAGATGTTGGGCGAAAAGTTGGTCACCAAGCAGACGGGCGAGGCGGGGAGGTTGTGCAACGCCGTCATGCTGGCCGAGAGACTTCCCCCGCAGAAGGAATATTACGCGGCCATCCTCCTCGACCGTGCTAGGGGCTGTCCGGTTTTGGTGACTTCCAACCAGGGAGGTATGAACATCGAAGAGGTCGCACACGATACCCCCGAGGCGATCATCACCACCGAATTGGACTTCGACAACGGGATCAGCAAGGCCGATGGGATCGCCTTGGCCGAGAAGCTCGGTTTCAAGGAAGAGGCTAGGGAGAACGCGGCCGATGTGTTCGGCAAGCTTTATAGCATCTTCAAGGACAAGGATGCTACGCAGATTGAAATCAACCCGTTGAGCGAGATGTCGGATGGCAAGGTTCTCTGGTGAGCTGCGGGTTCGGATGGGAATGAATCCTTTCTGCTCGGAGAGCTGACCTCAATACCGTTCTTTCGAACTTAATTCTGATTACCACGTGACCTTTTCTCTTCCCTCGTCTCTACCGGTCACCCTCTCAGCATGGACGCCAAGTTCGGTTTCGACGACAATGCCGACTTCCGTCAAAAGGACGTCTTCTCTCTCCGTGATACGACCCAGGAAGACCCTCAAGAGGTCGAAGCGGCCGAGTACGGTCTGAACTTTATCAAGCTGGACGGCAACATCGGATGTCTCGTCAACGGAGCCGGTCTGGCCATGGCCACGATGGACGTCTTGAAGCTGAACGGAGGGGACCCGGCCAACTTTTTGGACGTCGGGGGTGGGGCTACGGCCGAGGCGGTCAAGAAGGCGTTCGAGCTGCTCTTGACGGAGAAGAAGGTCAAGAGCATTTTCGTCAACATCTGTACGTCGCCGAGGGTTTGGGGTTTCAGAGGGGTTTCGACTTCGGATTACGGATAAGCTGACACTTCTTGACTTTCTCTCGACGCTCCATCCAATACACTCTACACCCCACTACTATTCTCCTCGATGCCACAATACTCATGAACCTCTGATAGTCGGTGGAATCATGCGATGCGACGTGATCGCCGAGGGAATCATCAAGGCGACCAAGGAGTTGCAATTGACGATCCCCTTGATTGTCAGGTTGCAGGGTACCAAGGAGGCCGAGGCCAAGGCGTGAGTGTCCCCACGGCTCATTTCCTTTTCCTGCCAGAGCGATCGACGAGCGTGAATGAAGAATCGACGCTGATATGAGAACGTGGTGTGGGGCTTGATGATGGTGTTTTTGTGAATTGTAGCATGATCAAAGAGTCGGGACTCAAGATCTTCCCCTTCGGTAAGTTTCGAGTCCATTTCACCGACAGACACGCGCGTGGCTGATCGCGACCTTCTTCTTTCGCTCGACTCGCTTTTCGATCCACGTACAGACGGACTGGACGAGGCTGCTGCCAAGGCCGTCGAGGCTGCCCGATAGGAGAGACGACTATACAGAGTAGTCTCGTCGGTGTTTGTTTGTTTTCGCAATCCTACTAGTCTATCATTATGAAACCGAGAGAGATATATCAATCGACGAATGTGGTCGATGACGTCCGTGTCGCGTGGTCGGTCGTTTTCCACTTTCGGCGATCGAAACAGACGGAAAAGCTTCCGAGAGTAGAGTAGAGACAGGTTGCAGGTTGGTTGTCGACCTCGAACGGTTCAAGTAGCATCAGCATCTCCATCTACCATCTCGATTGCAACCAAAAGCAACGTGCTCTACTTGCGATAGCCACATTTCTGCCCACCATGCCTCTTATCCTCAACATCCACACCCCGGCTCATTCTTATGCGCTCCCATACCGCAGTGAGTTTCAACCAGCCCGAACCTCTTACCCCGAGCAATGGTAGCCCTTTCTCTTCAGAGTCGAAGGATTGGTTCTTCCCTACAACTTGAACTGACTGTTCTTTATTGCATTGGAATCACAGAGAACGAATCCTCCAGCGCCCTCATCGACCGAATAGTCAGGAAGTCCGGGCTGGACGAGAAGGCTTCCCAAGGTGTTAAAGAGGGACGAGACGGCGGGTTGCTGCAGTACGAATTTGAGGGTGGGAGGTGGACGCTCCAGGATGGTCAGTCTGCCGTGTCCTTCATCTCTTTCCTCCCGAAGATAGCTAGGATCGTCTGTTTGATTAATTAATACTGGGGAATGCTGGTTTTCATGAACGGGGACAGACGACGACCTGGAGATCATGCTCTCCCGATACCCGGCCGACGAGACCCCTTCGATCACCCTTCATTTGACTCCTCCCAAGTCCACCTCCAACACCTCCACCAACAACAACTCTGCTCAGACTCAAGGAGGATCCAACTCCACCTTCCCGAACAACTATAATTCAAAGTCGTTATACTCGACCCCGCCCAGGGAGAAGAAGGAGAAGGTCAACGGGATCTTGAACAAGAGCTCGGGGTCTGTACTGGGTTCTCAGAAGAAGAAACAGAGTAGCGAGGCGGTCACGGGGGGTGGACATATTAGGACCATTACCCCCGAGAAGCCCGTACACGAGAATCACAACCACTTCAGCGTGCACAAGACCACCAGCACCACTACCAACACCCCTAACAAAGCTCATACTAACGGCAACACCCATAGCAACCAGGACGGCCTCACCCATCTGCCAAACATCCCCAAAGCTCCCAGCTTCAACCCCAACCCTCCTTCAGACCTCGTCCTTCCTCCCGCCCCTAAATCCACGGGAGCCCGTTCGACCCGATCGACGGCTACGGCCTTGACGACCCGCCCCAAATCCGTCCACCCGAATACCGGGGCGATCAGGGGGTACGAGGATGACGATGATGTCGTCGAAGGGGAGACGCTGGGAGACAGGCATAAGAGGAAGTGGAAGGCTTTCCATGAGGGGAGGGGGGTGAGGACTGTCGTGGGGAGTATCGGGGGGGTCAAGGATGGTGAGTCTCAGGGTCCTTATCTCGTATGGTTTCAGGCAGAACGATTTCGAATGCTGATATCATCTGATCTGGGTGGTGATATTGTTACGGTGTGTCGGGTAGTCCGGATGTTGATCAAGCTCGGGTACCGACACGTCTATGTGTCGAGACCGTTTGCGACCCGATCGGGGTTGATCCCTAAGAACGTTAGTCCCCGATTTTCTCTTGCTTGAGTTCGCGTTTTGGTGCTCGGACGCTGATCTTCTTGCCATTTTCCGATCGTTATCGCTTCATCCCTGCTGCCCTTCCCTCGCTATACGCCCAATTATCGACTCTACCATAACCTCACCATATTCATATGGGCCGAACCTTCAGTCGGCCATGGGCACCTACGGCTACGCCGGTCTCGTCAACCTCGGTCAGCTGCCTATCACCGTCGGTTCGAAGACGCAGAAGCACACCGTCATGATCTCGGAAGAAGCCAACTTTGACGTCGTGCTCGGAAGGAGTTGGATGGAGAAGATGGCGATCAAGTGCGTATTACTCTCCGCTTTCACCTAAAAGTACTCGGATTTTTCCACGGGGCTATGCTGACTGACATTTGCGATTGCGATCTCGTCTCTAGGACCGACCCGCTGGATCAGACGCACATCAGCTATTACGATTCGAACGAGGTCATCCCCTGTGACATCGTCGTCCTCAAGGATTCGAACGGGCAGGTCATCACCGTCACCTAGAACTAAAGATAGAAGTTACCACGTGTGAGAGTTCTTGTAAAAGGAAGGAAGGTTCCGACATCGACAAGTGTTGTTAGCTTTGATATGTGATTCTATTTGCCGATTTGATTGGGGCGTGGCGATGATGGGGTTTTCAGGTATGGGTCGATCTTTGGTCTCCGTAAGTTGGAAGAGCATATGTTTCGATACCGACCCTAGATATACTGTACACCTTTTCGTAATTGCAGCGTAATTGCTATGCAACCCGTAGATCTTACTAAAGGGCATCAGAGTTGGGGGTAAACTCGGAGCGAAAGTACAAGCCGAATGCAAGAGAAAGAAGTCGGTCCTAAAATCACGTCGAAATCGATGTGCGCCTCAAAGTCGATGATCTGAAAATTGCGATATGCGTCGATGCGTCGATGTCGAGTTGATGTTGTCGATCTCGTTCGCGGTCACGATGTCGGAATCGAGGTCGTCGCGGCGAGACTCATGCCAGGTCCAAGAAACTAGCCTGACCCAGAATCTTTCCATCGTCTGAGTAGACTTGTGCCTTTATTTCGGTATCGAAAATGTACAGCCGCACTTCGAAATGGTCTGTGAATCGTCTAGCGGACGTCAGATATGCAATCAGGCCTCATCAATCAGGAAGAACATAGCTTACATTTGTATCGCCGTACTCCGGCTCTTATCTCCACAACTTCGGACGGCATCTTCGGATTGACCTCCAGTCGGACCGTGCCAATCAGTTCAAGATCGGTATCCCCTGAGTAAAGCGGCGCCTTGTCTTGTGACGACCGGAACAGTTTGATGGTCCGGCTTTCCTTTTTCAAAGGACGGCTTTTGTACTCGTAATTGCAGCGATGACTGAAGAAATCATCTTCTTCGACAATCTGAGCCTTCGCCTTGATAGGCAGGAAAGCCTCAAGATGTTTGGTGCCATCTAAGTGATCGTAAACTAGATCTGGGTGATCAAGAATCTCCCACGGCTGTGCTTCTCGATGGTACGCGATGCCTATCCAGTCGTTGCTGATGCGAGAAGCAACCGGGTTCTGGATGATGTAGAGGCATGCCCCCAAGGATACCGCTCGTGATCCACTGTGACGGGGTAACCAGTCAGACTCTGATCCCTTGTAGTGAATGGTTGCACACTCACGATGATGAAGCACTACATTCCGGTTGTATGACCTGAACAGTCTTACCGGCACCCAGTTCGAGTCTGTTCTTGAGGAAAGCGTTGTCCCCAAATCCACCTGTCAAGAACACGTACTATAGCGTTGCATCAGAAGCGGTCAGTGATGCGAGAGCTTGGTGCAGCCCGACAAAGGCGCTCACCTTTGGCTTGTCGGCTGCCGCTATCCTTGACGCAACATTGATGATAGCCTTGACATGAGGTCGGAAGGCTTCTTCGATCCAAGATGGCGGAACCTCCACGCCCCCGCAATCGAATTCGGTCGTGTCTTGCGAGATCTGCCAGAAGGCGACATCCGAGGTAGGGGAGAACCAGCGTTTGGCCTCGATGAATTTGGCAACTCCTTGATCGATATGTACACTAGAGATTTGCGCTGGGTATTCTTGCTCCAATTTCTCTTTGAACACCGCTCGGAAGGAAGTATCGACAAAGGTCGATCCATGAAATAGACATCTTTTGCTCTGAGTAGTTCCATATTCTTTGATCTCAAGGGGTATAGACCGAGTGACCTCATAGGAGGTAAAGTCCTGCTTTGGTCCTGTTCAATAACCGAGGCCAATATTAACCGATCTTGATTGCTACTCACGACAGTACCCCCACCTGCATCGATAACGCTAAATACGTCGCCCTACAGTATAGTCATCGGATCGCTCAGTCGGTACTTGAGCAGTGCATATGCAGCCAAGAACGAACTTACCTGCTTAGCGAGATGTCGAGTGCGATCAAAAGAATGGAGTGCGGCGGCCTCTGGTTCAGAGCAAAATCTCAAACAGGACTCCGTGCGCTTCGAGATTAGGCCGATCCGCAAGGCCTGGTGACGCAGTTGCGCCTGAATGGTTGGAGCTACATCCATGATGAATGATGCGTTAGTAAGGGGCTATATATTGAAAGGCGTCGACTTACTGCACCAAGCGACCGGGACCCCGATGACATAGATCATTTGGCCATTCCGACTGAGTTCGTCCATGCAGGTTGTAGTCATGACCAATACGTTCCTCGCGTCATCCTTGGCCGCCTTGATCAGGCACTCGAGATAGTCGCCCCAAACGTCATACGCGGTTTTACCGAGAGGTAATTGTCGGGCAGGATCAGAGAGCGCTTCGTGCTGCACTTGATTGTCGGGGTCAATATGCGCTATATCACATCGGACGATGCAGTACAATTCAGGAAGGAAACGGCATCGAGGAGGTCAATCGCGCTAAATTGTAACCCCTAGAGCCCGTGAATGACAGTTCAACAGATCACTCACGTTTAAACCATTCACATCGAATCAGGTCTCCGTCCCTCAGTCGTGTCCTGTCAGGCTTGGACAAGTCCTCTGTCTGAGTCCCCCACTTTTCGCATACGCCTTTCCGATTGTAAAGGAGGACGGAGGGCACCTTAGCCCTTCCCGGAACTTGGCCGGTGAGCCGTTCAAGTACCGCAGGCTGACGGCTACCGTGTGTGTGTTCGGGCACATCTGTGATTAGCTGCGCGTTTGACTTCTTCATTTCGCATCTCAACTCCCAGGCTTACATTTCGCCAGTTATTTGACGCCATGACATTGCGACACCAGCTGTCCATTACAAGATCAGACCTCATCAAAGTGGGTTTTAGGCATGGCCTCGATCGCTTTAGACCATACTCACAGAAGGTCGTGCCTATGTCGATCCCAAATATCACTTGCTCACGACATTCTTCTCTCTTGACAGACATTTTGTTGTGGTTTATTGGGTAGACTAGATGAACGGTGAGTATATGAGGATGATCTGGTTCTGGATACCAAGGTTTTGTTTTCATGGCAGTCTTGAACATCTCATATCTTTCGCATCGATCTATGTATCTATGTTATACAATTATACATATGCCACACATAGGCTTCTCGGAAGCTCAAAGCCTAAGCGCGCCACCACCCCAAATTTCGATGCCGGACTCCGTGAACATCGGGATCTGACATCCTCCTCCTGCCTCCTGTCGGTTGTACCCAGCTGCAAGTTGTTGCTGCTGCTGGACGTGCCGTGACACATCGTAGTTGCGGTGGGTCGGTGGATCGAACGGACCGATCCGGATCGACGCGGATCGACGTCCTTTGATCCTTTAGTTGCTGCAGTCTTTATTGTATCATCGAACCTAAATTCATGCTTCGTTGCTGCATTTACAAATAGTGGCATCTCATTCATCCAGCGCATCACAGCATATACAAAGCCCAAGACCGTCCGGCCGATCCTATAAACGAAACTTGATAGCCCAGAACGTTTGCGATATTGTGACCGATCCCAGTCAGACAACTGACATCAACCTCCATCGAGATTCTCCGCACGCGAAGGGAACCAACCGTTCATTGCAATAAGAAATGGTCAAGCTTCGCAGTAAGTGGAGATGAGACCCTGAATGCTCGCGCAGGTCGTCTAGTCAAGACTGAGACTGACTTGTACCTGTCTATACGATGTTGTTAAGACCGAGATATCGGCTCGCCGGCACCCTCCACAAGGGAGGTCCGGTCTCGTAAGTCAAGCCTCAGCCTGGACGCAAACGATCTCTGAAACGTTTTCCTGTTGGTCAGCCACCGAGATATCCGTCAGACGCTCAAATAGACGTACTATCGGTACGTCATCAGATGACGACGAGTACCAACCTGGCCCACCTTCCAAAAGAAAGAAGGCCGATAAGGCACCAGCCCTTGTACAGGCTTCAAAGCCGAAGCCAAAACGTAGGCAAAACCGAAAGCCGCGAATCACTAAGCGCGAGAAAGACCTCGAGGCTGAGCTCGATGAGACGCGAGATGAACACGCTGGCATCGCTGCGCAACTCCGTGAGAATAACGATCAGATCACCTCAGAGCTTGAAAAGATGCGAGTGGACTATATCAAGCTCGAGAAGGACGGAAAAGTGGCCATTGAGGAAATGAGTGCAAGACTTGTCAGGAAATCAGCCGAGATGGAGACGATCCAGGAAAGATACCGGGTCCTCGAAGAACAAGCTCGCGCCTTCAAGCGAGATCGGACCGCTCAGGCATCTCTTGTTCCGGTGTCCCAGAAGACGGAGGAAGAGTACCTTCGGGACCTTCAACACTTGAATCAGAGTATCAGAGACCTTACTCATCGATTATCAAGAGGTTCGAAGGAGAGGAGGGAATCCTTGACGTTCATCCTGATCGACCAACTCTGGAACAAGGTGTTTAGCGTTCTGGTCTTGGGAGAGGATGACGCGGATGATGAGGTGCTGAAGTCGTTTCATCGCGGGTTGCAAGGGAATGGTGAGCTTGCAATGGATACAATCCATTTGTTTTGTATATGACCGAGTCTGACCTCACTCTCTTTCGATGTGTTGTAGCCCAAACAATGTTTCAGGGCTTACTCTATGCGTCCGAGAACGTCAGGTCGAGAGACCAGGATACGATGACCGAAGAGCTTTGTAGGCGGATCTTGGAGGAGTCGCCGGAGCTGCGTGTAGGTGTCTGCATCTTGGTTGCTCATCGCTTCTGCTCCACCACTGTCACTATACTGATATCATCATCTACCTTTTTCAGAGCATTCAGGACATCCAGACAGTCGTTCAGATGGCTGTTAGGCTTCACTGGGCGATGTCTAGCGAAGTCAAGCAAGCCCGGCTGGTCTACTTCTCGAGAGGGTCGGTGTTCGACGCGGGGACGATGCACACACGGGGTCAGAGCGGTACCGCCGGTGCCGCCGAGGCAGACCAGACTGTTGGAAGATGTCTAGGATTTGGATTCTACGGTTCCGCGGGGACCCTTGAGAAAGTGTTGGTGACGATCGAGGAGGATTGCCTGTAGAGAGGTCGTTCATGTAACATCAGCGTGTCGCAGATTTCGTATGATATAGGACTCAAGCAATTTGTACTGCCGACGACGTTAATATGTCAATGAACACGAAGGTGATGGAAATTGTTTGTGGTGTCTGTTTGTTTTACGAGTACAACGGTGATGCTCACGGGTCGGGACTCGAATCGTTGAGCGTGATCATACAGTCACATCCGCTCGCGGGAAGGGGATGCCGAGGATCCGGACCGCTCTCATCAATCGACATGAAAGCACTGTAAAAAGCTCTACGAGAACAGATACATCGAGTCCGGCTATACAGCACGACCTCGTTCTCGACATCGACGTACTACCAGAAGCACCACCCCGCTCGAAAGAGCAGATACGTCGAGGCCGGTTGTACAGCACGATCTCATTCTGTAACACAGAACGGATGTATCGGGATAGGCAGACAGTAGCGCGGTGTCGAGGAAGGATGTATCGGAATTGCCAGACAGCCCGAATTAACGTCGGATCAACCTGAAGGTCGACCTCGATCTGATACGAGTGAGTAGGTGCCGACGCATAATACTGGTAGCAGGCGTAGACGAAACAGAGCAACGGCCGCTGAGCTGGCACATGTAGTCTATGCTGAGGTATCAGCAGGAGAACATGGAGAACTAGTCAGATCTCCAATAAGCTGCAGGGGGGTTGAAGTACCAGCCGAACGTACCGGTCATCGCTCCGCCTGCTTGCGTTATTCTCCTAACTTAAACCTAACCCTTCCCCACTCTCGATTTTTCCGCTTCTCCTCAGACTGGGTCTACCCAAATCGCCAGCAATTCAAGCTACCGCTTATATCGCAACCCAAACTTCGAGTGGTTAACTCCCGATGTCTTTTGCTTGGCCTGATATCCGACAAACTTGACGACCTCCGGGTTCTCCAACAGCCGAGGTATGGAGAAGAGCTCCTGGGCTAGCTCTCTGTTATCGGCTATCCGATGCACAGCCGAGTGGCATGGTCGGCAGAGATAGGCGATATGAGTTGTTAAGAGGGACTGTTTGGTGATATTGCTATCGACGTCGGCGGGTGGATGGGAGAGGATGTAGGTATGTTCCGACCGCGGGAATAGGTGGTGGATCGTGAGGTGGTTTTCACGGTCGCATAGTTCGCAAGCGTCAGGTCGAGGTGGAGCACGGAGTGTTTGTTCGTCGTCAGTGTTGAAGGAAGAGGAGGCGAGGTGGTATGCGTCGAGAACGTCCCGGCTGATAAAGGTCGTTTCCTGGGGGTCCTTACCGAGCAGTAGGACGAGGTGTTCTTGCAATAAAGAATGCAGCGTGTCGTCTTCGGCTTCATCGGTAGAAGTGTAGCCTGTAGTAGCCCTACTAACGTCTGATTTAGATCGAGCATCCTCTTCTAGGACTCGAGGAGCGAAACCGCTGTCAACGATGACCTCGGCCAGGAAATCGATCACCTCGTCGTCGCTCCGCGGCAATACGTTTCGCAATGCTTCTGCCCAGCGGTCCAGCGAGTCGGACTTGACAGAGTGACCCATACTATGGAATCGAGGAATACATGCTCAAGTCTCTTATCGACTTGTACGTGGCGATCAGGGTGGACGATTAGTTAGTAGATGTCGCCTTCGAGCTGATCTGGCCTGCGATCAAGCCCGGATGCTAATTTCGTACCACCAGAAATCGGTGGTACAAAATTAGCATCCGGACAGCCGATGGTTGCGTATGACAGTCCTGCAAAGCCCTATGGCTTGCTCCGATCCTCTGCCCCAGCCATAACTCTGCGTCACGAGTAGACATCAGTGCTTTGCTCTGTATTTGGTCTGATAGAGGTCCATGTGACCATCAAGCCGGGTGAGATCGATCGATCGACCGTAGGTCGCGTCCGACCGATTAACTGTCGAAAGACCCGTCGACGACTAGCTCGACCAGCATCTAGTATCTAGCACGTACTAGCAATCTAGCGAGTGCAATGCAATTCGGAAAGAGCCTCTGGGAATCGAGCGCTATGGCGATAGTGCTCGACGATTCACAGAAGCGCACGGAGACAGAATGAAGTGATGCGTGATTCCCGTTGACTCAGGGACCTCGGGGAGTTGATTGGTAAGCGCGCGAAGCCCAGGGTCGATTGAAGTTCGAAGTCAGCTGACGCCATCGGCTTAGTAAGTGAAACACGTCGAGATGTCGAAAATGTTGGAGCTTTACAGCCAACTCTGACACTTCCGAAACGCATATAATGGGCCAAGAATCGACGATGATTGCTCCTCACTCTCCTTCGATTTCTGTCCATCATCAATCACACAAACACTCAGCTTCCAACTCGAGCAACTCGCCTCCCTTCAACTTCACACTTACCAACAAAACAACAAATTCGAATAATCGATATGTCCCGAGTCATCGCAGTAGCAGGAGGATCCGGCCAGATGGGCAAAGCCATCATCGACGCTATCCGTGCCGACAACAAGTTCCAAGTCGTCAGCCTCGGTCGAAAGGTGAGTCCTTTTCGCGTCGTTTCCGGTCGGTGTTGTAGACTGACTTGATGAACTCAACTCATAGTCCGCCGAAGCGACCGCTGATAAGCCTCGAACCATCGGAGTCGATTACAACGATGTCGCCGTTCTGGTCAAGATCCTGGAGGAGAACCAGGTCCATACCGTCATCTCCACCCTCAACACCGGAGGTGATGATACGGCCGAGTTCAACCTTGTCGAAGCTTCGGACAAGTCCTCGGTCACCAAGAGGTTCATCCCTTCTACCTGGGGTATCGAGTACACCGAAGAGTGAGTCCATAGCTATTGAATTGGGCATTGACATCGTACTGACTTCTTTTTCGCTATGAACAGGGTCGCTGGCTACTTCCCCATCGCCAACAGCAAGCTCAAGCTGATGGCCAAGCTCGACGCGACCTCGCTCGAGTACACCAACATCCCTACCGGTCTCTTTGCCGACTACTTTGTTGCTCCGTACATCGACACCTATCTCTACCCCTTGGCAGTCTTTGTCGACCCTGCGCACAACACCGCAGCGATCCCCGCCTCGGGGGACGTCCCCGTCGCCTTTACCCATTCGTGGGATACCGCCAAGTTTGTCTCCGCGGCGATGTCGTTGGACAAGTGGGAAAAGACTTCGTACATCGGTAGCGACAAGGTATCCTGGAACCAGCTCGTTCGCCTGTTCGAACAGGCGAAGGGAACCAAGTTCACCGTCAAGCACGATGATATGGAGACCCTCCGACAAGGTCAAATCACCGAGCTTCCCTCGCACCCGGCTACCTACCCTCATTTCCCCAAGGAAGCGATGACGGGCATGTTCTCCGCCTTTGGGGTCATGTCCGAGACGGGCATCTTCGACTTCAAGCCGGAGAAGACGTTGAGCCAGCAATTCCCCGAGATCAAGTTGAGGAGTATGAAGGAGCTCATTGATACCGCTTACAAGAAGCAGTAAGGTGACGGTCGAATCGTTGTAATACAGCCCATGACATCGATTTAAAGCATATTGTTTCGGACATGTTGACTGGCTGAGCTGCGTGTATCGAATTCGAGAAGCAGCTCTTGTACAAGGCTTGATGTGATTCGCTTGTTAGTATTCGCCTTGGTACCCATTCCTCGTTCCGCAGGTCAATCCCGGATTGCCGTGCACTTAGCGAACAGTATCGCTGTCCCGACGAGGTCGCTTGCTGGAAGAACGAGACAAAGACGGGGCTCTACCTTTGCCCTTCTTCTCGCTGACAGGCTCATGCGGATTGGAAGCTTCTTTCTTGGGTACCTGGTTAACCGCCTCACAATGTAGGTGTTGCAAGTGCTCTCGATGCTCGATGTTCGGCTTCCGCTCGTCCTCGCCTACTTGTGGCACGACTCGGGAGCTGCACGCACACCGTGCATCCAAGTCTCGTTCACGCTGCAAAAGTACTCTTTCACGCTCCTCGAGCCCCCGCGCGATTTCCCGCTGTTCTCGGTGAGCTCTTTGACGTTGCTCAGCGAGATCCTGCTCTTGTTGAGTAATCACACGCTCTCGTTGTTCAACCTCTTGCAATCGACGTTCCAGATCGGCAGCAAGCTGGACAGAATCCGGCTGTCTTCCCTCTGGCTCGCTTGGCTGATCCACATCTACAGCGTTCTCTAAGCCTTGCTGTTCCTCAGCCGTCTCGACCTGCGGCTCAGCATCGTCGCGCTCTCCACGTTTGCCAGCATGTCGCTGTCGCTGCCGCTGCTCGGCTTTTTCCCGTTCCCAACGTTCAAGATCCACATACGTAAAGTCAAACGAGTGATAGGGTTTATCATCGTCATCCCACATGGCAAAGACCTTCCATGCTTCGGGATCATCAGGTTGATCTGCAGCCTGGAGGTCTTCCTCATACTCATCCCTTTCTGTCTTCGCTCGCTTAGCAGATCGTTTGGCTGTTTTAGCCGGTACCAGGATACACCTGAAGATGTCGATTTCGATATGCGCTTCGCAATGAGTCGCATAGATCTGCTTGGCCTCGATTGCAGGGTCGTTTGGCTTGCTCCAACTGCCAGAGAACGACTGATTCTGGGTGCATGGGAAGTTGATAGTGAGGATGTGGGATTCGTCGAGATATACCTCGGCTCGCAAGTCGGTGCAGTCTTGAAGATGTGCCTGCGCACGGTTCCGACGCAACACGTCCGCATTGGGTTGTCCTCGAAGTCGGGGGACTCTACTGGAGAAGTATGCGGCCACATCTAATTCGATGCTGAAGGGCCTTTTCCCGACAAGGTTAATAGTTCCCGAGGTTTCATTCGACTTATCCCGATTGATATCCCAAGGTCTGGCTGGAGTTCCGTTGACAAGCACGGCGGCTTTCAGGAGGTTGTTCGAAGAGATCAGAGTCATCCTCGTTCTTCCGCCGTACGGCAACTCTCAATGCTAGTTGGGTCGAAGTTCATCACAGTGAGGATTAGGAATTAGCTACGTAGCAGTTAGACACGGCTTTTGGGACTCGTTACCCACGGTGACAGTTCGTTTGAAAGCTCAAGGGCGATGAATTGACAATCAATCAACGAAGATGACAGTCTGACGAGATATTTCGCGATTTCATATCGTTAGGACCGGGCTGGTTAACAATCAGCTCGTGAGAGATTTATACATACCTTGTTCATAACCCTCAGTCATATCAGAGGATCACCAGAGACAACCAAGAAGATGGTGTTTTGATGTGAAAGGTGTCGAGAGCTGATTTGTTTAGCGGAGGCCGCTGTTTGATGACGCCAGCCCGGCGCTTCTGCGACGTCCTTTTGTATGGTATGAGTGTTAATCAAGGCTACGCATTTGCGATAAAGACGAGACCAATGGACGAGCCACAAAGTCTGACATCGCTGCGATATCGAGAACTTAGTACAGGTAAGGTACTGCTAAGCTGCTGATGAACCGGCAAGTGACACCGCAATCTGGGCGACGCGCATCGACGACGCCGACCGACCCTAACCCTGCAACCCAGACGCGACCCCAGCAACCCAAAACCGACCCAACAGCCCAAAACCGACCCCATATACGCACGGCGACCCCGAAACTGCGACCTCACGCAGAGCCTGTCAGCCTTGTACACCTTCCTTTCATATCAGAGAGGGGGTGGGTTGTAATCCTGGAGCTCTTGTATACTGGTGCGAGTGGGAACCTCGGTCATCTCGAGAAAGGCGCCAAGGGCACCAGGATCGAAATTGAGGACGTCAAAAAGAATGTTCAGACATTGAGCACCAAGTTGGAGATTCCGGCTGGAGATTCCGGCTGGAGTTCCGGTTGAAGACTTTGTCAGGTTGAAGGCTAGAGTTGACAACTACAACGAACACTCCCGCCCTATCTGGGACGCTGAGATTGGGGCAAAGCGGCAAAGTGACTCGGGATGCTGGTGGATAGGTTGGATTGCAAGGCCAACATGGATTGCATCTTGCAGGACGTTTTTGGTCACTACTCGACCCGATATATATGCTTCTTGAAAGTGGAACAAGGTCGATTATCTCTTTCCGGAAGCAAAAAAAAAGAGTAATAATCTACTCTTTTTTCTACTTCCGAGGGATACACTATTTATCGTCAAGGGGCGCCTTGCCGCCTGGTCAGGGCCTGCCGGGACGGCACCCCTTATGACAGAACGAGGTCAATAACACTATCGTCTGGCCTGTTTTGCCGCAAAGACAGGATCGACCAGCCGTTCTTTGCAAGCACCTGACCGAGTTTCATGCTCTTGCCTAGAGGCTGAGCAGAAGAAGAGCGAGGAGGAGGAAAAGGATAATGATGAACTTTTGCCTCGACGATCCTAGTAGTACAAGGCACAACAATATACGTTCTATACTATGGCTTCCTCCTAGACACAGGCAGTCTGTTACGTTATATGCTTATGTGCAGCGCTCTATCGGTCCCTGATAGTCGATGCCGCCCTATTATTCGAGAAGAACTAGACACTTCTGCTCGATTCCGGCCGACCCGGCGAATCCGAACGAAAGGCAAGACCTCACAAGAAGCGGTCTCTCGACCTTGTATGACTCGTCGACGATGATCTCGCTCGTAATACGACGACGCTGGGCGATTTCCATCTCCGCTGGCGCATAGATCGCAGGTGTGTTGGCGAACGCGTAGAGTACCCTAGTATTCTTGCCCTCCTTTGCCATGGAGAAATGGATTCGGACCGCTGATTCGATGATCTCGTCAAGGGATCGACGCGTCTATACATAGCTGTGAGCCTCCCAGCCGTACACAGGCTGACTATCAGGCATTATGCTCACCTCCTTGTTGATCTTTTGCGCCAGTTCGTCTCCACGTACGGCTTGAGTGATGGTAGCCTTGATGAGCTTGTCAAGATCGACCATCTTCTCGATACATGTGAAAGTTGTGGCTTTCCAAACCGTTCGATCTTGACGATATCGAGCGTGAAGAAGGGGCAATTAAGTGGATCGAGCTATTCTGGAGACCATTCAGGAACGCTTACGGAGGGGCGGAATTTTGGAAGCGACCTGTTCAAGTACGCTCGCGCATATACGACCCAAACCAGGACAGAAGTCCGAAAACACCTCGCACCAGAGGAGTTCGACACACCAGTCTTGGTACGTATCTCGCTTTTGACGTAGCGTACCTGCGGCCGACTTCGCAATGTCGTCTCGCTTGACCATCTGATGCGCAAGGTCGACGATTTTCTGATTGAGCTCCCGGACGTCTCGTAAATAATCTTCTTCCGTGTTCGCGGCTTCTGGTACCAACAATGTGGCAGCGCTTCGTTCTTGTCTAAGCCGAGAGTTTTCGACGCTCTTTTCTTTTAACTGTGCTTGCACAGCGGGAAGTTCGGTGTCACGCAACTCTGCGTATAACCGATTCGTCCCATCCGCTAGCGCGCGCTTCACTTCGAGCTCCGCAGAGACAACTTCGAGGCGTTGACGACTTTCCGTCAGAAGATCGTCGACACGGGTAGAGTGTGCCTGTGCTCGAGTAAGTGCAGCCCGAAGCGCTTGTATCTCGCCCTTCTGCGCCTCGATTTGATTTTGTAGGAGACCGATGTCAAAAACTGATTTGGTGGCTGATACATTATTGTTGTTCAACACCGCAATGTCATACTTGGTGTCGTTTTCGCTCGACTGATCGTGCGATTCGAAGCACCGCTTTTTGTTGACAGGCTGCTGTTCAGTCGAGTCATCGGTCGTGTCGATCGCCCTCTTCAGCGAAGCAGGGGTGGAGACCGTCGAGACGAAGAAAGGGAAAGAGAGATACGTGAATCGCTCTCCTGTTCACTCCAGGAACAGATCAGCTATGCAATGGAATGAGGGAAACACAACGTCTCACCCCAGATTTTTTCGAAGACGTATTCGATCACCGCCAGCTTCATATTTGCGCTGTATTGAGGTTCTCAAGCGTATGAACCTGGTAGAAGACGATGCGGTCAAGTACTGTCACCGGCCGACTAGATTGCCACTAAGCACATAGTCTAATACGGAAACGGATACTTCCAGCGATTGCGAGCTTCTCGGCCGCCAAGCCTTTCAACAGCGAGGTTGTACGATGATTTTCCAATCCGTCTGACCTTATCGCTCGAGAAGCTCCGACACAAACGGAAAGGGTGACATGTCTGTATGTCAGCGCCGGTTAGACGATAGTCCACCCTTAAGATCTTTTGTTTCAGATGATCATCGTTGGTGGATCGGCAAGCGGCGCTAGCGATTCATGACCAACCTTCCGCGAGTTCCGCGAGGTATGGATCGAAGAAGCTCGCGGTATATGACTATATTAACATTACTGTAGCCTGTGATCGGAAGGTGCAGTTGAGAAAAACACCACACAGATCTTCCACCGACTGGTCGAAAGCCACTGAATATGACGTCGTTACGTGATATCGTGGAGGACCTGGCGCAGGGTGATGAATCGGAACTTCTGGTCATGAGTTTTGACATCGGTACGACCCAGTGTGAGTCGCCTGGTAAAGTTCTCACCGATTACCACTAAGTCGACTTCATCGTTGTTATGTGTGATCTCCTAGCTGGGGTCGCGATGGCGTATATTGCTCCGCAAGCGCAGGGATGGTGCGCTTGAGTCTTGATTGCTTCGAATGCCCGGTTCCGCTAAGCGTTCGGGACCTTCTAGTCGAGTGCCAGTTGTGATGGAGAAGCTCAACAGTCAGCCGGCAGGAAAAGCTAAGGTCCCGTCGACTTTGTATTACGATAAAGAGTCAGTTCTAGGTCTCAGCTCTCCGTATCTTGCAATTTCACCTAACCTAACTCTTATATGACCCCTTGAACCATCCCAGCGGAAAGTGTCTGGAGGAATGGGGTGCCAACGATCTCAACTCCGCAATGAGAAAAGCTATCGATAAGGGCGAAATATCCAAAAGTGAATGGTTTAAATGTGAGTACCTTCTGTCAGAGCCATTGCTATAGGTTATACATACGATTCACGGCGCGTGTATTCCACTACTAGTGCATATCGATCCGACTAACGCCTCTCAGAAGGAGGCATTCGTAGACCGCTCATCGAAACAACTTCCGCCAGGGATCGGTGCGATTCGAATCTGGGGGGATATGCTTGAGAAACTGTATAGGTCGGCGAGCGAAATCGCTCGTCGAGACTGGGCTATGAACTGGCTTCCTACCCTGAGGGAAGAGAAAAAGGTCAAGTATGTCATCACCGTACCGGTCGCATGGAACCGGGGTGAGCGAATGACGATCACCAATACGACCCCAAGAAGGGATGCTGATTCACGATCCAATGCGCTATAAAATAGACCCGGTCATCAAGATGGCGCTGCGGGCCGAAGCCATCAGAGTGGGTCTCATAACTCAAGAGACGGGATCATGTCTATGTTTCTGTTCCGAAAGTGAAGCAGCTGCTTTGCACTGCGTGAGCATACGATCCCAAAATTCTTTCGAGTTGGCATGGCAGAACAGCTGATATCGGTATTCCTATGGCTACAAGTATGATCAATTGAAGATGATCAACCTGGCAGTGAGTCGTATGGACAGATCATGATTGCTGAACGACGTCCAACTTACCGAGATTATTAGGTCGGAGAAAGATTCTTAGTCATTGATGCGGGAGGCGGGACTGTGGTGAGACTCCAATGCTGTCTCGTAGTCAGTTAGAGGCCATCCCGCTGACTCGAACAAATCACCAGGATTTTACCTCCTATGAGATTACGCAAAAGCAACCTCTCGAACTCAACGAAATTGGAGCCGAGAACAAAGTCTGCTTGTACAACGGGTCGACCTATGTCGATCGGACTTTCTCGGATTTACTGAAGGCTTTTCTGGCGGAGCAATACCCAAAGACGATCCCCTCGCCAAAGCATATTGAGAGGGCCACGAGGTGTTTTAGTGAAAACCGAAAACCAGGGTTCTCGGTATCGCTGAAAGGTCGTGGTCCGTTTCCCCTTGAGCTTTCGGATAATCCCGACGATTACGAGGATGGTGAAATCGAAGTCTCATGGTAAGTTCTGACCGCCTATCAGTAGATCATATACCGCTGATCGACGCCCGGGATCTTGACTCTTCGTAGGGATCTCCTAGAAGCAGCATTTAAACCTCATGTGGACCCGATCGCGAGCACAGCCGCTCAGATAGTTGCAACTGACGGTTTGAAGGTATGTTCTTTCCCTGCTCCTACTTTTGAAAGGTTCAAAGTTCAATTCTATCGAAATCCACTGCAGCATGTCTTTTGCTCCGGAGGGTTCGGCGATAGCCCCTATCTCAGGGAGACGCTTGAGAGGGTAGTAAGGGAAGCCCGAATTATCCAGCCCGAGCAAACGGCCTCTTCTTCGTGAGTGCTTTCCGTTGTCTTAGACTTCCTATTCCTTCGAGCCTAGGACGAGTGAGATTCTGATTGATTGGTCTCTCATAGTGGATCGCGCGCTGTTACCCTGGGAGGGTGCATCTTCGGCTTGAGACCGTGGATCCAGCAGCGCATCAGTGAAGATTCTAGGTCCGTCCAACAGCAAATCTATATTGTTGCTGATTGCTTTTCTTCTTAGATCCCAGTCGGATTGGTTGCACCACTCAACGTAGGCTACACCCTTGGGACACAATCCCTCCCGAAGATGCTCACCGGATCACAAGCTTTCACGGTAACAAAAGAATGACGGGCAAGTTCTCGGTTATTGTGGAGAAGGTGAGACCGATATGGCCTCCTGCTGGTTTACAATCGAACTCTGAGTCATCTCCTACTGGTTCAGAATCAAACGGTTATGGCGAAGGATTATCACTCGAAGCGACTGTATCGAGAGTACGAGTATCCTTTTCCAGAGTCCGAGAAAGCGGAGAGATTCGTCTTAAAAGAATCTGTCGGTCTTGATATCCCGAAATGGGCTGACGATCAGCGTGAGCATCTCATATGGGATTCTCACGCTCCGCTTGTTCCAACGAGGTATCTGTCCTCTTTAGGTGTTAAGACTATCGGAAGTTTTCCCTATACAATCCCTAAAGACGCGCCACATGGCATCGAAACGGCTCCAGATGGTCAGCAGATCGTTCGATGTACGTCTACGTCTTGTCTGTGTTTCCAGCGCATGATCGGAGACAAATCACGCTCATAAATGCTTCTTTGTAGATGATTACGAGGTCCGGATTTACTGCGGGGAGACCGAGTTGAGAGCGGCTGTCTTCAGCCCACAAGGCAAGGTGAGAAAATTGCCCGCTGGTTGTAGACCCTGACTGATACATCTATGTCTGGATATCCACAAGGTTTATGGTCACAGCGCTTACCTTGAGGGCGCCGAATCGGCCATGGACGAGGACTGAAAATTTCCCACTTGGCCATATCAGATGCCAGCCTCCTGCAACCCTGTTCAACATGAGCTTCGCCGCAACGAAAGCTCGATATATTTGATCGTGACACTTCCCTTGGTATCGACTCCGAAACTACGATGTAATGAAGAAGATAAGAAAAGGAGAAGAGTCCCTGTACAGGGCTTTTGGTCTCCATACGTATACGCTCAACCTGTAGTTAACTCTTGACATATACGACTGTCTATGTACGCGATCCTTCTTGTCGGCCTGTCGCATAACATAACTTGAAGACAGGCAGACAACTCGATCATGGCTTGCGATACGGTGTTTCGTGCCGTTGTTCACCGCCACATAACTAACGAGACGACTTCATTCCGCAAGGATGACCAGACATTTTGCTTCGATCCCGTCCGAGCCAGCGAAACCGAAGGAGAGGCATTGTTCTACCGATCGGACCCGAGTTTCAGCTTCGCGATCGTTCGAGAGCGTATCAAGCTCATCCCGAGTGTGTTTTCCAGCTCTGGCGTCCTGCATCACTTGGGCGTCAAACGATTCCCCCTGCATAGGGCAAAGAATCACGATGTCCTTGCTGTCCTTGGACAAGTACCATTGCACCTCCATAGCAAGATCGGTAACGTCATCAAGGATTGCCAAGGCCTGATGTTGTATGGGATGTCAGCTTCACACTGTCAGAGTTCATGTGAGCTCGACGGACCTCATCCGGGATATCACTACATCTCTTTGCTCCAATAGCTTTCAAAACGCCGGCTCGGGTCTCAGCCTGTCTATCCGTCAGGGGCACGCAAAGATCTATCGCTTTGATTGTTGTGGATTTCCAGAGCCTGAAATCTATAACAGAGAAAGCGATCGGGAATTAGCACTACCAGGTACCGACACCACTATATCGTTATCACACCCACATTGCTCGGGTATCTCTTTGGATAAGGTCGTCATCACACGATTGACTGTCTTGCCCAGGCCCGCCAGGAACTTGTCGAAAACGACCCTCCTAAGAACATCTACCAGGATCGATTGCCAATATTCTCTTCGCTCTTTTCGGGTGGTCTGAGGATCGGCATCGGCTTGAGAGATAGTGGTGATGTGACTGGAGAGATCCTTGATCTTTTGGTTGAGTCGCTTCAGCAATCGCAGACATTCCTCCTCCGTCTTATCCGACTGCGGACTCAGCAATGCTAGCGTACTCCTTTCCGCTCGCAAGCGATTGACTTCGGTTTGAGCTTCCCGTAATTGGCTGCTCATCGTCTTGTTGCTGAGGTCGAGTTCGTGTGCAGCCATGATGAGAGAGTCGTACCTTTTCTGGAGCTTGTTGGCGCGGGATCTTTCCTGGGCAACAAGGCCATCGAGGTTTGCGATGTGAGATTCCAGCTTGGCGGTAGTATCTTTGTCCTGCTTGGTCGGCTTGCTGATATCCCTCCTTTCCTCCTCCTCTTCCTCTGTCTCCTCGGCTTCCTCTTCTTCCACCTCGTCGTCGATCTCCTTCCCCTGCTCTGCGTCGTCATGCTCGTCTTTCATGCTTGGCGATGTGCAGATAGTACCAGCTTGAGAGGCGTTGCTGTTCGCTCTGAGTCTCTTAGGTTCCGGGCCAGAGTCGGCATCATCCTCGTCGATCTCGTCATGGTCTCGCTTGTAACCGGCTGTATGACCGGGCGAGCTCATGCGCTCAGTCTTCTGTTCATCTTCGTCATCTGCATCCACATTGATGGGCATTGCACCCTGTGGCCGGCCGTTATCAGCAAGACTCTATGCCATCAAGGGTCTTATATCAGGACTTACCGGCATCTGAGGAACATCCATAGTCTCAGGAGGATCGATCGACAATCTCGAAAGTTCCGCCACAGGGGAGTTCATCGAGGAAGAACTGATCAACGCACACGCGATGTTCTGTTATCAACGACTCCTCCCAGTCATTGTCAGGATCGAAAGTACTCACCACTCAACGATGATCTACTAACCGGTAGGCGTGGGTCGATCCGTACCCTTCTCTTGTACTGCAGCTTGGATATCGCGTGTCCTATTGGATCGTATGGCAATGGATTCATAAAGATCAGTCAAACGACCTTGCATCAGGGTTCGATGCGACTTCACTTAGCTGCTTACCTCTCTCTATCGGAGTAGACGACCTCTCGGATCTCGAATTCTTGAACGTAATATTGTGCGGCTTTCGGGTTGGTGCAACGAGACCTCCTAAAGCAGGGGGTTGGTTGGGGATTTGTTTCACTCCCGGATGATCAACGCCCCCTAATAATGCAGCTGCACAGAGTGCCACTTACGAGGAGACTGGTCTGTACTGGATGGACTTCAGATTGAGTCGGCAGTGAGCACTGTGGTCGATCGATTTCCAGGTCATAGAGGTTGAAGACGGCTTGCCCATCGATCATTGACGCGAAGATGTTGTTGAAATGTCGAATTGGTGATCAGCACGTCAGCACGTCAGCACGATATGTCGCGGGTGTCCCAGCAGCCTACCCATACAGCGCACAGCAATCACAGCCGAGAGGGCAGGAGCGCTGTCGCTCCTCCGTCATACACAGCCGTCATCAGAAGCTAGAAGCTTCTGATCGCGTAGAATTCAACGGGAGCATTTGAAGTGTCTCAGATGGCACACGACGACGGATTTAGCGCCGACCTACCTGTCGCTCGATCCACCCTCAAGCTCGATCCACCGCGCACAGTCCTCGTATCCACCTCTCGCTTAGCTGATGCGACAACGACAAACGGGCAACCGGGTCTGAACGCTTTCTCGGGGATACAGGGGGATCTTATGTCCGGGCTGTGCTGCTAGGATGAATCACCCATCCGGGATGATGGGTGGCCGCACACTCGTGCTCGACGCACATCGATCTTTACAACCTGCAACCTGCAACTCCCATCTACCACCATTCGCTATTATTCCGCGCGACTTGTAAAGAAAAACGACGTCTCTGCCTCTGGTATCTCTGGCCCTCCTTGTCCGAAAGATGACATCCTTTGAAGCACTCGCCAAACGGATGGGGAGCGCAGGCAACAGCGAGCTGTTGATCGTCAGCTTCGATATCGGTACTACCCAGTGTATGTACAGCTTTTCATTTTCTCATGAGTTTGAAACGGCTGACCGATATGATCTGTGGTTCGTTTGCGTTGTTGGTAGCTGGAGCCGCACTGGCTTACATCGCTCCAGAGGGGAAAGGAAGGTAAATGGAGAATCTTCCTTTACGATCGATCCCTACGTTCCATCTCAAGCAAATGGCCATCATCATAGTATCGCCCCGGTCGTGATCGAGAAGTTACCCGGTCAGACTCCTGGTAGAGCAAAAGTTCCTTCCGTTCTCCTCTATAGCAAAGGGTGGGTCACTCGAACCTGCTCGAACCTCTGCTAACCAGAACGATGCTGACTGTATCGAGGTGCCTCCTTTCAGAGGCAAATGCTTAGACAAGTGGGGCTCACAAGTCGGCAAACTTACGAAAGAGGAGAAGGAGGATCTCAAGTCAGGGAAGATAGTCAAGGTCGAATGGTTCAAGCGTATGTTCTGCCTGTTCTCTATCCTCTCGCTGTGTGGTTTGTGATTAGATACTCAGCTCATCGATCCTTATCTGGTCTTATACTTTAGTGCACATCGATCCAGAGCAAAACAACAATGCTACCCATCTGACCGAGCCTACTAAACGACTACCCAAGGGCAAGAAGGGAGTAGATGTCTGGGGTGAGTATTTGGGCCGACTCAGCTCAGGTGAGTTTGTATTTTGATCGCCTTAGGACTGGAGCGGAAGTCAGCGCTGACCAGTGGACAAATCGATTCTGAATGCCGATCTCATTGAACAATTATAGCGGCTAAGGAAGCGATCAAGACCGACTACCATATCACTTGGCTGGAAGAACTGGAGAAGCGGGGCAAGGTCCGATACGTGGTGACGATTCCGGTTGCTTGGCAGAAAGGCAAGTTGATTCTCATCGCGAAGCTGTCAGCAGCCCAATCTGTGGCTAACTTGCCTTTGACAGATGCAACGACCATGATGGCGCTCAGGAAACAAGCTGTGCGTGTAGGGCTTATCAAGCAAGATACGATGTCAAACTTGAAGTTCTGTTCGGAGAGCGAGGCCTCCGCGTTACACTGCGTAAGCGATCGAGACCGAGAAGTGAAACGCCTCTGCGTGCGTCGAACCATTCGCCTTGAATCCTGTCCTTTACACAGTACGAGCGATCGGCCATCTTAGACCTAAAGGTGAGCCAGAGCTTGATAGAATCGTGGATCAATATGGCTGACCGAGCTCCTAATAGCGCAATGACGTCTTTTTGGTACTAGATGCTGGTGGCGGAACTGTCGTAAGGCCACCCAGTATTGGCGGATAGACCATTGGCTAATGACGAGACAATGCGACAGGATTTTACTTCGTACCGGATCAATCAGACCGATCCGATCCGTCTTGAAGAAGTGGGGCTGGCATCGAAGGTTTGCCTCTATAGTGGTTCGACCTACATCGACAAGTCGTTTCGACGAGTTATCAAGGATCACCTACAGGTACAGTCGAATCGAACCAAACACGTGCCCTCGCAGGATTATAACGATGTCTTCCCTCATGACACAATCCTATTATACAGTCAAGCTACCCCAAAACACAAGCGGTCTCTGAGATGCACATCGACAAAGCAGTACAAATGTTCTCGTATGAAGCAAAACCAGATTTCACAATGAAGGACGTATTGCCAGGCTGTTGGAAGATCTCAGAGAATGAAGATGATTTCGAGGATGGCGAAATCACGGTACCCTGGTCAGCGAATTCCGTGACATCTTACTGATAGGTTCAGGTACTCACAACAGCTACGCGACAGGAGAGTTATGGCGCTGGCTTTCGATGAGCATGTCGACAAGATCGTTCAATCAGCAGGGCATATTGTCGCGGACGAGAAGCCGAAAGTAAGTGTGCCATCCGTTGTAATGTTGGACATATTCATGGGATCTGACACCTTCATCTCGCTATCAGTACATATTCTGTTCAGGGGGATTGGGAGACAGTGTATATCTCCGCGAGAAGTTGGAGATGCATTGCTCCAATGTCAAGATCGCACAGCCGGACAAGCAAGGATCTTCCACGTGAGTGTACCGATATAGCCCATCCCGAACTGACCGCTGAGATGTGGGAGTGCTAATCGATCAATCTAGCGGATCTCGAGCTGTTACGCTGGGAGCGTGTATTGCTGGCCTCCGTAACTGCGTCGAGAAGCGAAACGTTTCGGTGTGCATCGGCTGCACTACAGAACGAAGAGTTCAGCCTTGGGAGACTGTGCCAATGGGTGAGACGACCAGGCGCCAACATGGATGGACCTATCTCACCAACAGATTTACTGTGATCATCAACCCGGTAAGTTAATGACTATGCTCCTGTCATCAAAGAACTTATTTACCCGTTGAAACAGAACATCAATGTGGGTGAGAAAGAACATTACGAGAAAACACTTTGTCAGGAATTCCCGCATCCTTTGAAAGGTCCAGGTCGGTGTACCTTGAAGATACTGCAAACCCACTCCAAAATTGTGCCAGTAAGATCTACTGATCCAGGTGTGTACTAGTATATGGTCGGCAAAAAACGATCTTTCTCCGATCGCTGAATTATTTTCTTTCCTGTGAACTGGTCTTAGTGCTGAGCGAAATTGGACAATTCAGTTTCTCTATTCCGGTCCATGCTACTCACCGGATCCAGCTTGCTCCCGATGGAACATCTATCGCCCAGTGTAAGTCACCCTTTGATTTCTTCAATTCTTGCTTGCATTATAACACCGACAACCACAAATCTCGACTTCACAGATACTTTCAAGGTGAAGGTATTTTATGGGGATACTGAACTGCGTGCTGCCGCCTATACGCTGGAAGACGAGGTAGGTCAACGCCGACATGCAGTACGCTCGATGAGCTGGTACTAAAGCTCGGCTATAACAGGTCTTAGGGGGAAATACTTTCCTGGAAGGTCCTGCTAAGATCCAGAAATGATACAAGCTGCTACACTCCTCTCGCGGTATCGGGTTATAGGATGTGATGGCGTTTCAGAGGGGCTCGACTGCAACTGCGTCGCTGGCACGCGCAAACGATGTATCCTATATCGATTCAGGCCTGTCACCACCATTGTCATATCGGAAATCATCGATTCAGGCCTGTCACCACCATTGTCATATCGGAAATCATGTATGTCTAGCAGCAACAGCAAGTTAACATCATATATCAACGTTCTATGACATGGTCGAGATCACCTTCAAGTGCTTGCATAGCCGAAAGCAGCTTTCCCGATGATCGATACCATCTGCTACTCATAGCAACTAGCTAGATACACGGAAGAGATAGAAAGGCGCAGTAACGTCCATGAAGAAACCAAGACTGGAGTAATAGTAGATTTAGTAAGGTAAAACAGTCGAAGTATTGTCCGTATCTAGGTTGTCCATCACGAAAAGGAAAGAAGAGAAAGAAGAAACCCCTAAAGAACAGTACTCTATCTATACGACCGAATCCGGAGGTCGGTCGTTCATAGAGCCACGCAGACGCTGTCGACCAGCTTAAAACCGGTGGCGCAGTTGTATGCTACAGGATGAGAAAGACGGTCGATGTCAGTGGCATGGTTTCGGATGACAGTGATGAGGGCGTAGCGCACCTTCGCATTGTCCGGCATTGCAGGTGACGGCCCTGACACCGGGAAGAGCGGTACAGTCGACACCCTCGCCAGTCGAAGCGCATCCACCACAGCTGTACACAGATCGATAACTCATCGTCAGTGGGATGAGCTGTGGCGAGAAGGGAAGCATGACGTACCTCTCGAGCTCGGACTGAGTATCGATACATTCGTAAGACCACGAGTGGTCCAAGGAGGCGGTGCCGTTGACCGAACTGGATCGATACTCACGGTGTATCAGCGCGTCTGTTCTCAATCGAAACCCGGGCCAACCCTGACTCACCAAGCTTGCAACCTTCCGGGACAGTACATAGCGTTCAACTCTTCCTGCTGGATCTCAAGCTGCTCCTGCTCAGTCCTCAGCTTGACGGCAGCCTGAACACGTTCCTCAACGGTCCTCTTCCAGTGATGACCGTTGTTGTAACCGTGCTTGTCGTCCTTCTTGTCCTTGTCGTGGCCGTGTCCAGGCTGAGGCTTAGGCTTGGGCTTCTCGTCCTTGGGAGGTTGACCATGAGGAGGCTTAGGCTTGGGCTTGTCGTCCTTAGGAGGCTGGCCGTGAGGAGGCTTAGGGTTACCAGAGGGAGTAGCGGGGGGTTCACAGCATTGGGTGTTGTCGTTCCAGTCGTCGCCTACACATCGAATCAGGAAGAACGTTGGACTCAGTAACATGTCACGCAGGTTGATACAAACGTCAGAAGGATAGGACTTACAATCGGGAGCAGGGGTGTGAGGAGTCTCGGGCCGGCACTTCTTGGTCCACTTGCACCAGTACCATCCTGCAAACGCAGCCGACAAGCGTACAATCTCAGATCAGCATGCAGTTCGAAAGTTCTCCAAGGGATCTCGAGCAAAGGAATCTCGAGCAAAGGAGAAGCGAAAGGAAGCAAGGCGGAAGAAATCGGGATCGAAGGTGGGTGAAGGGAAGGGAGTGAAAGGACGAGGTCGGGCGATCGGACGTACCTTTGGGACAGGTCTTGCCCTTAGGACAATCTCCCTTCGAAGGAGTGTTCGGTACACACTCCTTGGACCTCTCGTGCCACCTGTCGCGGATGTATGGGATCTGATCAGCATCTTAACCCAACGCCTACGCGAACGCCGAGGAACAAGGCGCGGACGCGACTCACCACTCGCTAGGCTTGCAATGTTGCTTGTTCTTCGTGCACTTGTTCAAGTTCGAGTTCCACGTGAAACCTTCTCCACAGTCGCACTCGTTGACCTCTTTCGGGGGAATACAGCATTTTTCCCATTTGTGCATGTACCAGCCGATCGGGCAGTCGATGTCACGGGGCTGCAGGGGTACGAAAGAAAGATGGAGGATCAGCATGCTGTGGTGGTGCGATAACTTAAGGCTGAAGAGGACGAAAGGAGAGGGGACTCACGGGCGTCTTGGTCTTTTCGCTACAGCAAACGGCCTTTCCCTTTCCGCCGATGTAAGTGAAGAACGATCCTCGGGAACTACAATCGTCTCGTTCCTTCTGCGGGGCTTTCGAGTTTCCACAGCCCCAGTTTACGGGTTGATGGAATTTGCCCCAGGTGGCGGTGACCGAGGAAGCTCCGAGGAGGGCGACGGTGATAAGTGCTTTGATGGAGGGCATCTTTGTCGTGATTCGTTTAGAGGGTTGAGGATTGACGTAGGACTAGGTGAGAGATGAGAGGAGATGATCGAGTCTATCGAGGTGTGATGGGAAAGATACGGTGGTAGGTGGGCGTCGGATCCAGTCGGGCGTGAGGAAAGTGAAGGGAGTGGAGTGGTGTCGAATGAATACGACGAAGTGATAGGGAGAAGAGGCCGAACCAGTCTTTGATGGAGAGAAGAGAAGAAGAAGAGAGAGGATGTGAGTGAAAGGGGGAAAGCGTCGAGAACGAGTCGGGGTTGAATGGTTATATACGTTCCCCGCCCCATCATCGCCATCAGCGTTCGCGATCAAAGGGATCGAGTCGCCGGAACATCAAACGTCAACAACAAACGAGAAAATGCGACCAACGTGGTGTCGCCCGGTCGGTCGTCGCGCCGATGTCGTGCGGTCATCCTTTAATCAATGAACTTTGATCGCTTGCAAGCTAGTTGTCGCGTTTCACGTCTACTCGCTTCAGTCCCCGCCCTCGAGGGTGGAGGTCATCACACCCAACAGACCCTAGCGCATCTGATGGAAGGGAGTTCTCGACACCTTCGATCTCCCTTTGAAACTCGATCGAAGGTCAACTCCCCCTTCCTTTGATCCTTTGATCTTCCCGCGAAAATCCTTTGATGACGACACCCCCGCTCCACCCTTCAGCCGCGGTGAGTGAAAATCAAAAAAGATGAAACGCGGAGCTTCGATCGGCATTTCCTCCCTCTCCGCCACGCGCGGTCGCGGTGTCGGCCGCCGGGAATCGCGCGACTACCCGTTCATTATGGTATATGCTTCGGGCTTCCCGCTCCACCAGCCTCGGGATTGAACCATATCAACAGTGTACATGACAACATCGGTCGACAACGACAGCGCTCGAGCCGATTGGGCTTGTCTCCGGGGTTTCATCCATGCTCATGTCGGCCGGTTGATTGACTTTTGTACGCAGGTACTCAGCTGTGCGCTGCCTCTGCTTATGCGTCGCCTGTGCTGTGTCGCTCGGCTCCTACCTGTCGAGCCCGCACCTTCCCATTCTTCGGCGGAGTCCTAAGCGATCGAAAAATGCAAAGTGACACCACAATCCTACCCGGCATCCGGTTATTCCGACGGAGAAACACAAAGAGGAACAAGACAAAAGACTCCCGAACAACGAGCGCGCAACAAAGAACGGGGCGGGGCGGGGGCGACGCGAATTTAATCACCCGGGGGCAAATCCCAAGGCTGTGTCGTATCACATTGCGGTGTCGTCTCGATCGTGGCTTTCGGGCTGGGCGTGGCGTACAGTACGTGTGCGTTTCATCTTCCTCTCTTCATCAGATTCGATCGTGATCGTATTGACGTTGCCGGGTGAGGATCGATGACCACGGGCGCAAATCTGGGGGAATCGCGGATTGAGGGTTTGCCGGCGTTTCAGCGTTCAAGGTGGGTGGTTTGGAATGAAACGTCTTGGGAATCGAAATTCGGGGAGCACTTCATCCCCGAACACGAGCAGAGGCTCAAAGGCTTTTTCGTCGCAAATTCCAGTTGGATTGACTGGCCCGAGTCAGGTTCGACATCAACCCGGTGCGATTGTCCGAAGTAACGTCCGCGCGTCCGTCCTATCTGTCGCAATGTGCAGGAACAGAGGAGGTACCAACTCCGAGATCGATTAGCCCTGTGCGGATGATAGCTAAATTGAACCAAGTCTTCGGGACTTATTAATAAGATACTGGATGGGTGATCAAGAACGATAAACTTGTAACTTAAAGACTACGAGCATCGAAAGACCTAGGGTGACGATGATGGCGACAGGCCCTCAACAAGGCTACCTTTTTCGCACTCGCAAGGAGTGCAGTCGTGGCTGCGATATACAGCTAATAGTAAGCCTCGCAAAATCTGGTTCATGCAGATAATTTGCGCCCACGTTGTTTTTTCGGATCAGAAAGCGCTAAGAATCGAAGCTTATAGTTCAATTCCCCATTTGCATAATATTCGTCTCTCGATCTGCCAAAGCTAAACAAACAGTCTACTTGATTATTTGCTGCCTATCCCCTTTCACTTGAATCACGCGCCAAGTTGACGCTACTCTTCTATATGGTGCTCGCAGGCTATACGCCACCCATCGCCTATACTCGTGTTTTCTGCTTCTAGTTGCGCCATCGCCTGTGCGGTTTCAGTCATCTATCATAATCGTCGGCCATGTTGTATGCGGTGATGATGCGCTCATCTTTTGCCTTTTATCCTCGCAGGACCCTCAAGGAACGTACTTCCCCCAAGCACCTATATATCAACCATGTCAACGTGGCTTTTCCGTAGCTCGCTTGATTCCACTCACTTCCCCGTCAAGGCTGTACGCCGCCGCACGTAATTCGGTCTCTCCGTAATATACCCGGACTTCGAAAGGGTCTTTAAGCCGCGCCAGACGTTCAGCGGGATTAATACAAGGAAGAGCCAATCTGGAGCAACTCACACATGGCCAAACGAGTCCCGTCTGGGGCTTTCTCCACGGTGTGGCTAGCGTCGGCCGGGATGAAAAATTCGAACTTCCCAACCTCACGGGCAGCTGTCAAGAGTACACGTTAGCGAGGACAGTAGTTGCTTATGCAGGGTAACGCTTACAAGGATCGGTCGTCCTTTTTGGTGGCGTTTTAGCAGTGGTTGAAAAGATAGTTAGAGAGCAGTCCTCTCCGAGACCCTTTACCGGGTAATCAACTTCTTGAATGATTGTAGTTCTATGGAAAGCCTCAGCACCAGCGGCGCGGTCCTATCGTAGCCATGAATACGTCCTGAGTCTCGTTGTTTGCTGATTCTGACTCGATGCTCACCAAGCTGTTGATCGGTGTGAACCGATTATCAAGATAAGTCCACCCACACCGCCGGCTGACGTAGGTGGCCTCTCCTCGTGGAACTTTCTGCCAGGACTGCAGGCGTTTTTCCGTCTCGCAACCGAGCAACAGGGTCACTTAAGAGGAGTGAGGTTGTAAGCATGGCAACATCAGACGCCAGATTACTTTGGTAACCTATCAATACTCACAGCTGCGCTTTTCTACCCAGTTACGTAGTTCGAAAAGACATGCGCCCAGAGTGACGGCCCTCGATCCGCTGAGGTAAAGCGAAAGAGTTACCGGATTGAACTCTAGGCCTGGGCATCGATGTTCGTCGCGAGTGTAAAATACTCACGATGAAGAAGCCGTTTGATCAGGTTGAGCAACTTTGAAAGATTTGGATTCCATTTCTAGTCTTTCTCGTAGGTAAAGAGAGTCTCCCAGACCGCCGGAGCAGAAAACATACTGGACAACGATAGCAGTCTCGTCAGAAACAGCCAGGCAGACCATCAAACGAAATTGCCCTCAACTAACTTTTGGTGCTTCTTTTTTTGCAATATGTACGGCACTTCTCACTATAAGATCGACGTGTTGATCAAAGGCGGATTTCATCAAAGTCCTGTAAAGATATCTCACACATGAATATTTACCTCAGTCTTCTGGCTCGTGATAGGTGACATACCAAGGGACCGACACTTCGCCTTCGTCGTAATCGACCTCGTTGTCAGAGATCGCGTAACAACCGGGCGGAGCATCCTTGGTCGTAAAGCTAAACTCGAGTTTACCGAGTGTAGCAAAGAGCATTCCTGCCTTATCCAAATGCTTGTCAGGGACTGTCGGCGATTTGGTGTATTCCGAGATCAAATGTTCCTTCAGTAAAGCTCGGAAGGACTTGTCGATGTAAGTCGATCCATTATAGAGACAAAGTTTGGAGTCCGATCCAACTTCCTCCATACAAAGGGGGTCGATCTTGGTTATGCGATAGGAAGTGTAGTCCTGTATATCAGGTCAATCATTCAGCGGGAAGTTCTGATTGTCATCGAGTGGACGTGAGGACACACCACTGTACCCCCACCGGCATCAACGACCAGGAAGACATCGTCGGGCTAGAATCATGATCGCTTCAACATCTTAGCTTCTACTGGTTGCATGTATACGTTAGAGCTCATCTTGAGGTCAAGAAGAGCCGAACGGGAGTACTGGTGAATCAGAACACGATAAGCAACTCTGGCACATAGGTTAAAACGACAGATGCAGTACTGACACAATGCAAGGCTGACGCCTCGCTCTCCGAACAAAATCGAAGGTTGGTAGCCGTGTTTTTGTTGATCAAACCAATCTTTACAGCCTGTGTTCGTAAGTCCATCATCGTCTGTGGATCTAGAGCAACCGTTCGTAAGTAAGACGGTGAATCTTTGATGCATGATGATCTGTGCGGAATCGAGCTTACTTTTGAGCCAACCTACAGGTATACTAACTATGTAGCGGACTTTGTGGCTTTGTTCTAGTTCCTCTAGCCACGTAATGTTGTAGTCGTTGCGGATCGCTTGCTTGGCTGCACTGCTAAGGCGTCCAAGGAATTCTCCCCACAGTTCCACCCCCTGTTTGCCTTCGGGTAAGCGCTTCGAAGGTTCCTCTGCGATCGCTCTGACATCCCGCCGTTGTTCGGGGTCGATATGAACTGTATCGTAGCACCAGAACACTACCTGAGCGTCTGACTCCGATGCAATTGACGTTCACTACGCTCACTTTTGAACCATTCAGCTAATTGTAATTCGCCCTTGCTAATCTTAGTTCGCTCCTCTTTCGAAAGGTTGGTGAGTTGAGAACCCCACTTGTCTTGACAAACACCGCTGTAACCAGAAAGCCAAGTTAGCGCGAGACCGAGCACTTCGTCTCCTAGTTGAACGTGCCTCTTGTCATAAAGAAGGATGGTTGGTACTTTTGCCCTCCCAGGCGTTTGCCCCGGGAGTTTCTCCAGTACAGTAGGAGGGATGCTGAGATATGTAGAATAAGCTGCGCTCTTTTACTGATTACCGAAGATCACTCACGTTCCCTTTCCTTGGGGGCCATATAGGTAAAGGCCGCTCCCGCTAAGCCATGGTAAGCAGCGCAACAGGTTACATTTATCAAGTCTTGAGAACACGTACACTGGGTTGTCCCGACGTCGAAGCTGACAACAAGGAGCTCACTGCTTCCTTCAGTTGTGAGCTCTTTGGTGAGAGTGTCGAACGAATTCATATTGAGAAGATGTGAATTGAGGTCAGACATCGAGGTAGCGATGTTTCCAGAATGCTTTGCCCTTTGTTCTCGAGGTATACGCCGCCAGCCGCCAGATATATATACGTAGATGCTTCTTCGCTTCGCCCAGCGTTCCGATCCTAACAAGAGTCCGACTAATCGACGAGACGGCGCGGAACAACAGTAAGTGCTGTGGATTCGCCAATCTGTTGAGATAAGTGGATCTTCATAAAGTCTAATCTCAAAGGACTTTGATCCGGACGAGCGAATTGATAACAGCGCTAATCCTGGATCGGCGATCCACTTCGGATCCGGTACAAAACCCTTCCGACTTATACGGAGAGGGCAACGGACATACCTTCTCAACCTCTTGAGGTATAGCAAAACCCTATTGTTCTTCCAGATTTATCCAAGATTGTTCGAAGATTGTAAGCCATCATCATTCCGGTGCGATATAAATCACTATTGTTATATAAGACTGTAATTCGATAGTAAATTCTTGCTTCCTGGATCTTTGATGCTCGAGTCGCAACGAATCCATACAACAAACAATTCTGATATGATCGATATGATGTATATCTACGACAAAGGCAAACCAAACGAAGCCACTCCTCTGCCAGAACCCCCCCAATCGCTACGTGCGAGATCAGAGGATACGTGCGACTCCATTATGGAGATCGATGATTGCGCGATCCCGGTGAGCAGATTCGCTCATCTTCACTAAATGAGCATGTTGAAATCTGCTTACTGATCGCTCTACCAAACAGGGCGCCATGCCACAAGGTGGCTCATCTACCCTTCAAGGCCCAGCTAGGCGTGACCAGCTGCTACGAAAACGCCAAATCGACGAGATCAATGAGCTGTCGATGACATCTCTTCCTGGCAATAACAAGCGGCTTCGAATTGCCGCCTACGCTTGGGATAGCAACGAGCCGGGCTCCTGGGATAATATGTCTGACATTGAGGATGAAACTGCCAAGAAAACCCTCTCACTCGAATGCGCTGTTACCGCTGAGGCAGAACAAGCCATTGAGATGAAACGGCTCAGAGCGGAGGTGACGAGTCTCAATCGTCTCGTCGACAAAGAGCGATCTCAGCATTACAGTTGTCAGAATGAACGAGATTTTCTGCAACAGAGAGTCAGGGAGCTGAGAACCGAAAACCATCTATACCAGACGCATTTACGCGAGTCACAGGCCGCAGTGGAGCGTCTGCGCGGGGCGCGGAGCGAGGTGGTCTTACTGACCCCGCACGCAACAAAAACCGACGAAGAACATCTTCGATCTCTGCTGGGCCTGAACCAGAAGGTCAAGGACTTAGCTCAGCATCTCCTCAAAACGTACCCAGCTCTCGCTGCCGGTGCGACTTCCGGTTTACGCCGCCGAGACCATGCTCAATGGTGGTTGAATGACATGCTCAATACGGTCATCTTCAAAAAGTACTTGGCTGCTGTCCAGCTCAATATCTGTCGCATCATTGCAGACTTAGCGAGTGAGATCCCCGTCCAGCGTACGTTTCTTGGCCTTCAAGAGGTTCCATGCTATCGAAATCGACGTTTGACGCATTGCTCTTGCAATAGACCGGAACATCTGGAAGGCGATGACGGCAAAGGCACTCAACGCGCATCATCCGCTAGAGGATAGAAAGAGACAAGCCGCCGCTCACGCCAGCAACCTTCTCTCGTCTTATTGGCACAAGGTTTTCTCTAGCGAGGTATGTCTGCTTTTGAGTTTGGTTCCTTCCACGCTTGGGGTGAGGCATGAGATTGAATGTCTTCCATCTTCACACCCAATCAAGACCCGTCACATCATCGAAAGGATCATTTTCACAGCCGTAGAATTGCAGTGGGATATCGTCAAAGAAGGCAAAGATCTCCAGACTATGTGGGCACAACCAGGCGACATGTTTGACCCTAATTGGATGGAGAACGTGAGGCCCGCCAACGATGACGATGAGCCGGATTTCTCGGTCGTCGAGCCGAAGAAAGTAAAGAAGGCCATCGCTTTTGGCGTTCGTACATCTGCGGCTGTACTTCAAAAGTGTTCAGTCGCTTTAGAGGAATAGATTCCCTTCTTCCCGTCTGTTTGCAGGCGACGCATACTCGATATAGGTAGATCAGTCCAAGACACACGATACGATATGTCGCGGGCACTCTTTCCCTTCTTTCTTACGATTCTCAGTCTGACATTCTCGTCGTTGTAATCCAGTAGACATCAATGGGACAGAATTTACGCCTACAGTTTCCCGATCGGGACCTTGATAAATCGTTTGTAAGATAGCGATCGACCCATTATTTCCCGCTCTGGTGTAACGACGTTGCGCCAGCAGCAATCGCAGCAGGAGTACCGATATGATATACCGCAGTTTCCCCGCAACCGAATGAGGTCATCGGCCTTTGAACCTAATTGAACACAATTCACCGGCGATCCGTTGATCACCAGCGTTGATGGCTTGTAGCAGGGATACCCACCTTTTTGACCTTCTCAGGCTCAAAAAGTGAATTCTATTGAAAGTGGTCGTCAAAGTTCCATTTGCAATCGGGCAGCCGTGCACAACCGTCTTCTTTTTCTCTTCCGACAGGGTGGTTGATCGGACAATACGATCTTCTGGAATCCGTCAGGATACTGCCATATTCTAGGTGGGAACCTGATAAATGGCGTGGAGCGATGTCTGTAACGCCCACCAGCAGAGGCGCGCGCTACCAAGAAAGGCAGTTATTCGGTCTGGATGTATATTTGATTATCGTCACAACTGCAGCAGGTTTGATGAAGAGGCGCTGAAGAATTTAGGTATGAGGTCCGCTTGACGACCTTTCAACCGATCACCAATTTGATATCCTCTTAGGATTTACCGGACACAGTCTGGGTGCGTGTTTGTCTACGCAGGCAAGGTCAACTTGTTCACAAACGCCCACGAACGGGTGGTCTCGCCCACTAATATGCTAGAATTGCTGACTGAGAACCGTTCATTACATTGAGGCTCAGCTCAATTATGTACTTACAACCGCATGAAAGATGTTAGAGCAAGATGGCGAAGACCGGTTCCTGTACCCAGAAGATACGGCGAGGTGAGTTGTCGAAAAGCCTCGAGCAGTATTGGAACGGAAAGTCATACACGGCACGCCGAAGAGACCTGGACGAGGGCGTTGTTGATCCTTGCGACGAATTGGGCGACCGCCTCTTGCACGCTACTCACAGTCTTCCGTAGTATTTGTGGAGAAATCCGCGCTCTGGGCAGTACTAGGTAACAAAATCTTTTGCGGTCCAGTGAGGCGAATCGGGCTTCTCGGGCCTGATGTCTTATACAACATATGGAAACATGAACTTGTCTTATGGATGGTCAACCTTGGCCTCAAAGTGGTTGAGGTCCTGATCAACATGATTATAAACAGGTCTTTGGGTTCTTTGTTCATCTTCATGGCGAGTTAGATTACCCTAGCAGTCCATGTCTACTGCTTGAGGAATTGGAGGAGGTCATTCATCTGGCAGCGGACCAAGTCAAGGTGCAACAAATTGGCAAGGCAACTTCCACAAGGCCAACAATTGTGGCAACTGGTGATTCGCCGTGGTCGCCACGATTGGGCGATCGTCCACGACCATTAGTCAAGACCTGACCGTGCTTTATACTCAGAGCTCATTAACACGACAAGCGCTGTCGTTGTCGAAGAGTATCTACATCCAGCCGTTTACATTGTTGATGACTATACAACCGTATCCAGCGACTTACAACGCTGCGCCAAACCATGTTAAATTTACTTTACGTTCGTTTCCTCAGTTCGACCCCTACGGCCCGATGATCCGACCACCTTCCCACCCAACCCGTCTCATCCCCCTTTCCTCCTATGACATTATCGATCACTCCATATCTCTCCACCTCCCACCCTCCCCTTATATCTTCCGCGTGTACTCCCATCAGGTTCTCATCCTCTTCAATCTCGCCAACGGGTGCGCTCCATGATTCTTGCTTTTGTACGCTCTTCCTGCTCAACCTCCGATCCAACCTCGTACTCGCGAGCAGAACCAAATCAATCGGGTCGTCCACCTCACATCCCGGGTGTGTAAAACCCGTATACGTTCCTTTGTGCCCGTACGGTGCAGACATTCTCCCTTTAGTGTGTTTGTTCTGGCGTCGGTTCAGTATGAGGCGGGTGTCGAGGAAATACATGTCGTCGCCCTTGGAATGAGGGAGCGGGTCGCGGGAGATGGCGTGAGTGTAGCCTTCTTCTCTGGGGTCGTCCGTCGGGGCGTCTGTCCAGCATTCGTAGGCTCGATCAGCGCTCGAATCTGGAGAGGTATCGAAATTTGCGTTGGGGACTTACTGAAATCGCCCATCCAGACGACCAGACCTTCTCCCTTCCCTCTCTCGCCCCTTGCTTCCTCTTCTTCTTCATCCTCCTCCTCCCCACCCCAAGTCCCCCATACGTCCAAATTTTTCCGCCCGAGACCCTCATGACCTCTTGCCCCTCTCTCGGTTTCGCCAGCTTTCTCCGTGTCGAGCTCGGCTTCGATCATCCGCACCCAACCGTTCATCAACTCCCGAATGATCCAACTCGCGCGTCCTCGAGATTTCTTCCCTTGGTCATCGTAGTGCGTGTTCACCAGATGAATTAGGTCCGAGGCGGTCCTCGTGGTGGAGGTGCTGGACTTGTCGTATAGCGTTAAGAAAGTTGCTATCCTTGTCTGGGCCTATGAGTACATCATCATGAGACGCGGTGGGATGCAATGTGAAGCAACGGCGGACGATATGGAATGACATGACATGACATGACATGACATGACCATGACATGGTTGGTCAAAGGATGATGCTTTCCATCAGAAACGATGCTCATGTATGAAACAAGATGAAGGATCGTAAGGGGGGGATAATCTACTCACGGCATCCCAATCCTTTGAACCTGGTTCGTCAGGATGTTTCGATAGCCATTTCGTCCCCCATGATATCTTTTCGAACCGTTCTCTACAGTACGTCCCCCGTGAAGAAGGAAACGAGGAAAGCAAGACAATATAAATGAAGTTGTTAGTATATCGAGTTACAGATATGAGGCTTGAACTCACGTATTGTAGAAGATCGGCTATATTCCCCACCCTTCTGACCATCATCACGACCGACCCCTACGTAAGTCCATCTGGGGCCTAGAAGGGATTGGATGTCGCGGAGTTGGTTGTGGAGGACTTCCTAACACACCAAGACGACCAGAGTGAGACTCAGTATCGGTAGCCCGGAAGAGAGATCGGGTTTTCGAATTCGTATTGAGAAAGAAAGAACGGGATTGAGAAGGGCGAGATCAATTCAAAGGGATTCAAGGACGTAACACACCTGAAAACCGATAACGTCCGCACCCCAGAACCATAACGCGTCGACCAACCTGCTCCTCCGTTCAGCCCAGGGTCGTTCTTTGTAAGGGTCCTCCAACGTCCAATGTCGGCGTGGGGATTGGATGGTACCATTAGGAGGAATGGGGACCGGGTGGGAAGAGAGACCGTCGAACCGGACATTGCAGGTTATGATACGGAGTGTCGTTTCTGGTGGTAAAGTTGAGGAGGAGAAGCGGGAAGCCATGGTTTGCAAGGATGTGAAGGCGATCAGGCATGAGATGGCAAGGGGTATGGTGTATGGCGATTTCATCTTTGTACTTTGTCTCTTGTCATTCGCCCGAGTTGAATATGAGAACGAGTTGCGTGTGAATCAAATGGCATCGATCTCGAAACCATGATCATATGATCATGAGATGATGCTTGATGATGCTCGCGCGGAGAAAGCCGTATACCCCCCCTCCCAACTTCATCTCCGGAAACATATCCTCGACATGCTGTACCGCTTCCTCTCGCTGAGAATCGCACTCAGACATCGCTTCAGAGCTCGACAATGAGCAAGGCAACCCCTGTTTCTCACTGTACCAGTTGAGGAAGATGGAACAGACGATTTCGTTGCGTATCCACCGGTCCACCCCCATCGGAAGCATATAGACTCACTTCCGGAACCAAAGTACTTCCGAAATGAATCACGTGATCGTTCGACTTTCAACATTTGAGCTTCCCGCCGACCATCACCCATAGCAACTCTATCGATCAACTCGATCCTTTTTTGTGCAAAGACTCGATCTCTTTGACCTAAATCAGATTCAACGTAACGACATTAGGAAATTAGTTGATGACAGCCATGGCCGACGACTTTATCCTGACGCTCGATTCGGATTCGGAACCGGAAACTTCCTCCCGTCCTTCTTCCTCGAAACGCACTCCCAACAAGTCTAATCCTAAATCTGCTGTATCAAGCAAGAATGCCAACGGCAACAGTACTGGCAAGAAAGAAGAAGAGAATGAGGAGTTCGCACTGGATGACGATTTTGCGCTGGATTTCTCGGGGTTGGACGGGGCGAGGACGGCTCTGAGGGAGACTCTGGGGGATGGGGTCGATTTTTGGGAAGAGGGGGACGAGGTCAAGGGAGGCAAGTTGGTACGTACAACGCTTTTTCTTGTTTTTTTCTGTGTGATACGAGATGTTATCGCATCTTCTATCATTCCCTATCACCTTTTGAAGCTGATCTGTCTAACACGGTTTGATATCTTCTGTACGGTATAATGTGGACGATACTCGATACTCGTAGCAACCCTTGAACGTCGACGATATCATCGCACGGAGAACGGGCAAACCGATCTTGTCTCATCGGGAAAAGACGAAAAAGCGTAAACGATCCGCCAAGGACGAGGGCAAACGAGATGACGATAGCGATAGCGAGGATGCGGAGGAAGATTCAGAGGAAGATTCAGAAGAAGAGGAAGGTACTGAGGAAGAGGAAGACGAGATGGAAGTTGACGACGTCTCCGATGATGGATCTGGGTTCGGGATGGGCGTTCAGAGCGATGTCGAGGAGGAGGACGACGAGGATGAAGATGAGGAAGGTTCTGAAGAGGAGGACGAGGAAGACGGCGACTCCGACCTCGATTCCGCCGAGGATGAAGATGAGGAGGACGACATTCAGATGGGCTCGGGTTCCGACTCGGAGGCTGAGAGCGAGGAAGACACCGCCGCGGAAAAGGCCCGCAAGGACGCCTTCTTCTCCACCGACCCGACTCTGAAAAAGGACGCCCAGAACAACCCGATCGACCCGACGATCCCCACATCGTTCAGCCAGATGAGCCTCTCACGACCTCTTCTGAGGGCACTGACGGCTCTGAACTTGTCCACGCCTACGCCTATCCAGGCGAGGTCAATTCCGCTCGCACTCCTCGGAAGGGACATTTTGGGAAGCGCGGTGACGGGTTCGGGAAAGACCGCGGCGTTCTTGATCCCCATTCTCGAACGTCTGCAGTACAGGGACAAGTCCAAGGCCGGGGCGGCTTGTCGAGTCCTGATCCTCTGTCCTACCCGAGAATTGGCGGTCCAGTGCGAAAATGTGGGGAAATCGCTCGTACAACACTCGGGACTCGATTCCATCCGATTCGCCCTTCTCGTCGGAGGTCTCTCCCTCAGCGCCCAGGCGCACACCCTGCGGACCCTCCCGGATATCCTGATCGCCACCCCAGGTCGTCTTATCGACCATATCAACAACTCTCCCTCGTTCACCCTGAACGCGCTGGACATCCTCGTCATCGACGAAGCCGACCGCATGCTCGAAGTCGGGTTCTCGCAAGAGTTGAACGAGATCATCAAGAACTGTCCGAAGAAACGTCAGACGATGCTCTTTTCGGCGACGATGACGGATTCGATCGACGAGCTCGTCAAGCTCTCCCTCGACAGGCCGGTGAGGTGTTTCGTGGATCCCAAACGGACGACGGCGAAGAACCTCGTACAAGAGTTCGTCAGGATCAGGGGGAGGTCGAACCCGGCTCCTACGGCTTCGGCTGCAGCGTCAGGGTCGAAAGCGGGTTCTAACGACCAAGGAGCTGTCCAGGGGGCAGATCGGGTCAGAGCGGCGACTTTGTTGTCCCTCGTTACGAGGACGGTCAAAGACAAGTGTATCATCTTTTTCCGAAGCAAAGCGTTGGCTCATCAGATGAGGATCGTGTTTGGGCTGTGCGGGTTGAAGGCGAGTGAGCTGCACGGGAACTTGACGCAGGAACAGGTAGGTCTCGCAAGTCGCCTGATCGTTACCGCATGACCAGAGCTGACGCGAGCTGTGCTCAACCGGATGTAGCGTCTGGTGGCTCTGCAAGAATTCAAAGCGGGACAGGTGGACTACCTGTTGGCTACCGATTTGGCTTCCCGTGGTCTCGATATCAAGGGGGTGGAGACGGTCATCAACTACGATATGCCCGGTCAACTCAGCGCATATACGCATCGAGTCGGTCGTACCGCTCGTGCCGGTAGGAACGGTCGGTGAGTCGACGAGTCGAGCAACCATCGAGGTAGTGGGAGATGTGGCTGACGAAGATCGCAACCCGCAGCTCGATCACCCTCGTCGGTGAAGCCGATCGACGGATGCTCAAGGCGGCCATCAAGCAATCAGCTTCGTCGCAGATCCACAACCGAGTCATTCCCAGCACGGCCATCCAGTCGTGTGCCAAGAAGCTCGAAGCGCTTCGTTCCGAGGTCGCCGAAGTCTTGAAGGAAGAAAAGGAGGAAAAGGCCGTCCGACAGGCCGACATGGAGTTGACCAAGGGAAGGAACATGATCGAGCACGAGGAGGAGATCTTTGGTCGACCGAAGAGGACGTGGTTCCAGAGCGAGTCTGAAAAGCAAAAGGCAAAGGGTGAGTGCCGGCGTTGGTCGGAGTTGTCGTGATGTCCGCTAAAGATCTGCTTTTCTTTTTGACAACCTCCTACCAGAGGCCAGTAAGTCGGCGTACGTATCTGCTTTCCCGGAGGTCAAGGAAAAGGCCAAGTCGGCTGCGGATCAGGTGAGTGACAAGGCTTGTTTCCGTGGTCTTCACAAGCCCTGTGCTTATCCCATTGACTCGGATCGCCCTGACAATATAGCCCAAACGAGGAAAGTACGAAGGTCTCTCTCGAAAGCAGACTCGACGCAAGATCGCCAGGGAGATGGACGAGGCTGATGGTAGTATGAAGACCGCCGCCGCCGGTGCTCGAGCTGCCAAAAAGGCCGCACGACCTGTCAAGATCACCGAAGCTCAGCCTAAAAAGGTCGACGCCAAGAGCAAGCGCAGAAAGACTGAAAAGTCGATGAAGAAGATGGCTCTCGGCAAGGGAGGATTCGACACTGACAGCAGCAAGCGAGGAGGCAAGGCCGTCCGAGAGGGTATGCGAGCGGGTCGGAGTGATGGTGTCGGACTTGGAGGCAAGAAGAAGAGTGGCGGTGGGGCCAAGGGGAAGCCCAAGGGTAAAGGCCGCAAGTAGGCGGCGGCTCGGTCGAGATTTGTAACTTGCTCGAATGTAGATAGATTGGACGTGTTGGACACCCTCGATTGCTACTCGTCTAGATCAAGTTCATTCATAGTCTATCCATCCTGTCGTCAAAAGTCAAGCTACAGCGAAGAAAGAAGGCAGTCCTGTTTTCCATGTCGGTACAACCCCATACGAAGTTCCTCTATATAAGCAAACCGCGTTGCAATCGCTCCTCCTTCTGAGCCTATGCGGAAGCCCTCTTCTTCTGGTTCCAAACTCCTCGCTTGGCGACGAGCTCGTCCGACATTTCGCTCCTAACCATCTTGGCAGAAGGTCGTTGAGCGGCGAGCTTGCGTCGGGCAAAGTCCCGTTTGGCAACGGTACAAGAGACGGCGGATTGGGGACAGAAACCGGCGTTACGGTCTTGCTGGAGGGTACCGTCGTCCTATGATAGCAGATCGAAGCGACGGATTGAATTGGTTAGAGGGTTATTTCAAGGGAATTGGAAATGACAGGAAAGAACTGGCTTACGTTGTAGAGACACCCGCCCGCGGTACCTCCCTCAAAGCCAGCGTCCTGCTCGTAGTTGCCAGGAGGAGCACCTTCGGCGATGTATCTGAACGAATCGCACTTGTTAGTCCAGCAAAACAATCGAATCACAATTCTGGCCTCGAGAACTCACCCGCATTGAGGGAAAGAAGTGTTGGGGTCAAGGACGAATCCCATGACACCCTCCGGTGTCGCATCTTCAGCGGGACAGCAGAAATCAAGGGTGGCGGACTGTCGGGGTGCGAGAGCTCTGGAGACGGGGGTGACGGCGGCAGCAGCGGCGACGCCGAGCATGGTCAGGGTGGTCAGGATGGTAGAAGCCCTAGTGTCGATCGAAAAGGAGGTCAGTTATCGATCGAATGGTCTGCCATACAGAAATGAATCGATAGCTTACTTCATGTTTTCGATCGGGATGGGTTAGTGAAACGAGTGTAGTTGCGGAACGAGCGTAGGGTGAAAAGAGTGTGGCCGAGAACGAGAACAAAGCAAGACTAGAATCGAATGTGTATCAAAGTAGTTGCTACTGAAGATGACTTGGATCGAGAGTTCTCGATCGAGATGTACACGTCTTATATAGCAGATCTCTGGGCAGGCAGGGTATGGACGTTTCATCGGTACTTCGCAAGACATTTGTTGACATTCCAGGGCGATCTCGATGGCTTCCACGCCGTTACACGAGAGCGAAATGAAGGTACCGAGCTTTGAATTCCGTGTGGAATGTATTGTTCTTCATGTGCTCGCCAGAGTGACATGGTTGGCGTAGCGAGAAGACTGACGATGACAACAACAACGAACACGCCTCGTCGGTCGTCGGTTGCGATGTTTGTTTTGGATTCGGCCATCCCCATCATCTTCTGATCGCGATCGCGTACCTCGATGGCGTAGAAAAAGGCTGACACGCGTAAATTTGAGGGTGTTCCGGCGACCGGACAAATCACCTTGGCAAAGGATTTGGCCGAGATCTTGATATCTCGACGAACAACAACAGTTCACGGATATAGGAGCCAGCGTTTAACCCTCTTTCGGCTCGAGAGTACGTCGGTTGCCGGACGTGACTGTCAAGATCCCTGGCAAGAGCATGCATTAAATTGCCAACGCCAACAATCGAGCGGCGCACTGGTCGGCCAATGTCCTGACCCAAAATCTTCAGTCAGGCGAGCCCTGCAACATACAAATAGTCTTGCGTGTCCTCCGTCTCTGCACTTGTATCAGGTTTGTGCCCGCTAGTCTTGACCGTGCTATCATATGGGGTTTGCAGGAATGCCTTTGTCGCATCGGCTATCGACTAGATGACCGAGTACGAATGCATGCTTATGCACGTTCTGACGTCCGGTAATTCTTGCGTCTGGCTTGGGCATCTATTGTGAAGTAAACGAAAGGGATTGTGTCGCCGTGTATCCAAGGCTATAGCGCAATCGTCATCACTCATCGTATAGTTTGGGTGAAATCCGACTCGCCGAATACACGACAGGAGCAGAAACGGCGCGCCCATCGCCAATCAGCATATCGCCCGAACTCATGGGGCTTGGCTCGGCGCAAAACACTATGCTCGCTTCCAAACTTGGTATCAAATGATTGCCTGAAACGATTGTCCGGGTAAGACTTCCGCCGGGCTATGCCAGGAGTGAAGGGGATTGAGTCTGGCCCTCAGAGTGTCAGCAGATCTCGGTCAGAAGCAAAAAAGAATGCTCTCTGCCTGGGAATCGAACCCAGCGCGGGCGCGAGTAGTGTTGATAGTTGATATCATGACAAGCGCCAATGTTACCAATACACCAGCAAAGATGTACTATACTTGTGAACGTAAAGATGTCTTGTAAACATTTAAACATTCAAGATCGATCGGCGATGACGACTTCCTGTGAACCGGGCCGGTGAGCGGATGCTTTACATTCGCAAGGACGTAGGACTATATATATATATGCTCGAACCCTTGCTCTGATCATGCTGGTCATCATCTCCCTCGATAATCTTTGGACTACGTATCTCAACCTATACCTCACCTAATCTCGAAGGATCAAAAAGCCTAATTACATACCCAACCTCGAAACTATGCCCGCCGTGTAAGCCCACCGATGATCAGCGTTCTCATTTCCATGCGACCGCTTACGTATCATCGCTCCACCCCTTGACGACAACGACCTAAACCAATGGTGACTATGACTACGGCAACGACTCTGCAGACCTCAAGGTTCCCTCATTCTCGTCTCTGGTGCCTCGGGCTTCATCGCCGTACATCTATGCTCTCACTTGCTCATGAACGGCTACCGAGTCCGGGGAACCGTCCGTTCTACCGAAAAGGGCGAGTACTTGAAGAAGCTGTTTGACGGGGTCGGAAAGTTCGAATATGTTATCGTTGAGGATATCGCCAAGGTCAGTTCATCCGATCGAGCGAAGTATCGTATTGCTGCGGTCGAACTACACTGCAAGGATCACTGATTACTCGGTCTTGATGCTTGATTCGATATCGATGTCGATATTGGATACCTGTAGCCCGGCGCTTTCGACGAAGCCGTCAAGGGCGTCGATGGAATTGGTCAGTCCTGCACCTCATCTTCCAACTCATTTTCGTTTGATGTGCTTGACCCTCGCTCCTATATCTGCAATTCTCTGTATCCAACAGCTCATACCGCCTCTCCGTAAGCCTTCTACCTCAAATCGATACACCGCCTTTACGTACAAGCTCATACTGAACGCAACAACCATTTTGTCGTTTTCTGGTTCCCGTCGCGCAGCTTCTACCTGGACGCGCCGACGACGGACGAGTTGATCAAGCCTGCCGTACAAGGGACTGTGGGGATCATGGAGAGCGCTTTGAAGAATTGGTCAGTCTGAATTTCCGTTTCTTGCCTTGCTTTCTTCCGCTGAAATCGCTCTATCTGTCGTTGCCGGCCGTCCCTTACATTCACACTATCTACGTGGTTACGATTTCCTCTCGGCGACCTGCCAGCCCTCAACTCAAGCGCCTCGTGATCACCTCCTCCGTCGCAGCCGTCATCGTCCCTGAACCCACCGGTGATCGTCACAAGAACGGAGCGCCTTACACGTTCACCGAAGAGGACTGGAACACTTACTCTCCAGGAGTCATCGAGAAGGAAGGTCATGAGGCTCCGGGAGCGGACAAGTACAGGGCTAGCAAGGTAGGTCGGTTCGGGGTCTATGTCGACTGGAGACTGGATCATTAGATTGCTGATATGACCCTGGCGTTTTCGAGACAGACCTTGGCGGAGAGGGCGGCCTGGGGTGAGTGCTCCTTTGCTCAAGGCGATGCAATGCTCATCTCCTGCTCATCGACTGATCCGTAACATGTTGTTTTCGATCGACAGACTTTATGGAGAAGAACCATCCTTCGTGGGATTTCGCTACGATCAACCCGCCTCTCGTGAGTCCATGCCTCCTGCTCATCCCGTTGATCGCACGATTCGTTCCCTGCTAAATGGCTACTGTTGGCTGGCGTGTCGATCTTCGCCACGTTCATAGGTCCTGGGACCTGTCATGCACCAAGTCTCTTCCCCCGAGTCGATCAAGTAGGTTTTCTCAATCTCTGCGCTGTTGTTGCCATACAGCGAGTCATGCCATGACCCAAGCTGATCGGGCGTGCTGTTGACAACCTCGCAGCACCTCTGTCGCCAACTTCTGGGGATTCACCCAGGGCAAGAAGACGGATGACGATCTCAAGGAAGCTATGGGCAACTGGGTTGATGTAAGTGGGCCAGCCGAGGGGTCCAAATCGCAAAGAAAATTGAAAAAAGTCCGAGCAACTGACAATCATTTACCCTCCTTTCTCGTTCGCGCAGGTCCGCAACGTCGCCGAAGCTCACGTCTTGGCCTTGACCAAGCCCGAGGCGGGTGGGAACCGATTCATCGTCTCGGCCGGACCTCTGAACGGGCAAGATATCGGTGAGCTGTTGGTGTTCCGTTCACAACGGGTATAAAGCCTCCGGTCTAATCCGTAACAACGCTCGACTTCCAACCCCCTCAGTTGACATCATCCATGACTTCCCTGGCGACAAGATCCCCAACGTCCCCGTCGGCCAACCCGGTAAGGGCGCCGAGATCCGGGCCAAGACCAACATCCACAGCGGGGCCAAGGCGGAAAAAGAATTGGGCATCAAGTACGTGTCGCTGAAGGTCAGCGTCGAGGACATGTACAAGAGTTTGCAGGAAAAGTTTGACAAGTCGGGAAGCAAGGAGAGTAGGACCGAGTGAGAGCCAGAGGCAGGCTCGGCGGTGGAGGTGTCCCAAACCTGAAGTCGAAAGAAAGGTTGTAGCGTAAAGAAACAAATGATGCAAAGCGAAATCAGAGATCAGAATTGGATCATCGATGTCAGTTGGACAGAGTCTGTCATCGAGAGCCGAGAGTGTAATGTCGAGGTTTCTATTCGTCATCGAGTTTGCCCTCGGGGATTGAATTAGCGCCGACAATGGATGATGGATGATGACGTCTTTGGCTGATCTGGATCTTGGAACAGCTTGCCCCCATCTTCTCTATCAACGCTCTCGCCCATAATCAAGTCGACCATTCGTGTAAAAGCCAAATCAACGAGCTGCTCTACAGACTCCACTCTTCCCATTCGAATCACAGACATAGAGGAAGCCAAGATGGACTCGGCGTTCGTGCTCGCTAGCGATCCTCGGGTGGAACCTCCCGTTGACAACGAACAGGAAAAGATCGAACAGCTTAAAGAGGTCGTCTCGAGGATCCAGGATCGGAACTGTGAGCTCCATCAATCGGTTTGAATTCTGTCTGACTCGACATTGATCGACTCGGGGAGGTAGACAAGAAACACCGACACGCTTTTAGGGGAACGCATGTCAAGACTCAGGCGGTCGTCAAGGGTAGACTAGAGGTCAAGGACGGGCTCCCGGAACATCTAGCTCAGGTAAGGAAATGCTCTTTTCCGTTCGGTTTGATGTGGAAAGCTTATCGGTGTTTTCGGGCACGAACTCCAGGGCCTGTTTAGCAAATACAAGACGTACGACATCGCCATGCGTTACGCCACTGAGCCCAGTAAGCCTGCCAAACGAACACTATACTACCTTCAGCGCTACTTCTCAAAGAAGCTTATTGTGAATAATGTTTTACTTTCAAGGCCACATCCTACCTGATACGCAAAACGCCCCTCGAGGAATCGGGATGCGCATCTTCGGTGTAGATGGTGAGAAACTCAAGGATTCCAACCCGGAGCAAGGCGGGTGGCATGATCTTTTTATGAACAATGCGCCCATGCTTGAGGTAAGTCACACGTCGCCTTTCTCTTCAACGTTCTGATCAGCTGATGTAATGAGGTACGGGACGACTGTCGCTTTCAGCTGAAAGACGTGAGCGGACGATGTCGAGGGTCTTAGTTCGATGTCGTATCTCGTTGCTAATTGCACTCTGACCCTCCGGCGTTTCAGCTTGACACGACCCTGGAGATATTCACCTTGAGGGAAAAGTACTTTGAAAGTCCTCTCAAGTACAACGCGGCGATCATGTTGAGAAAGGACGCCTTGACCCAGGCAGCGCCGGGGTTCTTGCCCAACCAGCGTGAGTCGCCTTGTCACCTGTTCCGGATATCATTTCACGAGTGCAATGTGGCTGACCAAACGCCTGCCATAGACCCCATGTCCTTCACCTTCTACTCCCAAGCGGCCTACACCCACGGACCATACGTCGCCAAGTACCGCCTCGAACCGATCTTGGAATCGCAAAAGGCCTTGTCCTCCATCAAGCCTACCGAACCGGACGAGATCATGCCTATGCTCGCTCAATACTTTTCATCCCACCCGGCCCGGTACTCGCTGGATGTCCAAATGTGCAGGGACCTGGACAGACAGCCCGTAGAAGATACGCAGACCGAGTGGAAAGAGTCTGACAGCCCGTGGGAGACGGTAGCCATCCTGGAATTACCTGTCGGACAAGATTCCGCTAGCGACGAACGGCGAGTGTTTTGGGAAGATCGGATGGCGATCGGACCTTGGGAGGGTCTCAAAGCGCACGTACCCCTAGGAAGCGTGAATCGATTGAGAAAGGCGATCTATGCGCATTCGAGGGAGAACAGGCAGGCGAGGAATGTTACCTCTGTACAGGATGTCCGCAGGGTAGACGAGATTCCGTGAGCCGGAGAACGATGCGACGAAGCAAGTCAAGGAGTAAGCAAAATTTCGATCGGTTGCGTACGTTCATGTAATAAAGTACAGTATTGTCAATGAGTCAACACAAGTTTGAGGATACCACGCCAGAACCGGACGATTGGTTGACAGCCGCCTTGCCACCGTCAAGATCCTATGAGAAACCTCAAGGCGCCGAATTATACCATGTCTTAATTCGATACTGTTTCCGACTGTCACAAAGAGTTCCGACTTCTTCTCGAGCGTATCATGATGATCGCCATCCGCAGTTACGAGTCATCAGTCACAGCCTCCTCGCCTCAAAACCACCTCAGACGACCATATCTAAGTGGATAGAAGACATAGAAGAACACTGTCGTGTGGTGTGTATCCAGAGAGCTTTCAAAATGGTTGGCAGAACCATAGCTTTGGAGAATCTGGGAACACATGTGGTGTTTGACAAGGATATGGGTTGTGCCCCTTTATCAGTGGAACAATGTCTATTGGAATATAAAGGCGATGGGCTTCTTGAAGCCATCATCTCTTCCTCCTTTCTCCAACAAACAGCTACGATCTTCTCCTCAGCTGTCAACGACAAGACGCTAGCAAAAGAGGCTGCGTGATCAGGGGTTTTAAACTTGTTACGCTGTACGGGAACACCTTCCTATGGCTCGTCCAAAGCTGTCGGAGTGGATTGGGCCTACAACAAAAGCTTCGCCTATCACGCTTGTCTATCATTTGGGAATCGAACTTACTCGCTGTCACTCAGCATCTCAGCCGCGACAGATTGGGAAACTCTTTCGCATGCCCTATGTTGATTTGGAACTCGAGCGGACAAAGCGTATTTTACGACTTACAGGACTTCATGTCTGTGCGGAAACTTCATGAATCGCCCTGTACAAAATCTTATCCGTACAAACTGCTCGAGACGTCGACACCCTAATGTAATTCTCCCCTCGCGTCAGCCTCGGCGACCTTGGTCAACAGGCTGACCTGATCGGCCACGTCCTTCAAGACCCCCAAGACCCTCTTGTTGCCCTCGGTGAAACTGTACTCGGCGTATTCGATTTCCTGTTCCTGGCAGTACTCCTTGACGAGCTTGCTCGCACGTCGCAAGTTGTGTCGAGGTATCCGAGGGAAGAGGTGGTGCGTGACTTGAAGGTGCAGTCCGCCGTGAAAGAATTCGATCCATTCGTTACAGACGACGTCCATCGTCGTGCGCAATTGTCGAGAAACGAACGATTCGGAAGGGCCGAGGTCGGCCGTGGATCTGGCGAAATGAGAGAGCACGATCTGACAACCAGCGACCGGTTCCGTCAGTCGAAGTCACAGCCATTGACTCCAAGTTTGGGCTCACCTGAACATGCACCGGGCTCGTGACGATATGGCTAACGAGCAGGTATCCGACCCGCATCTTCCACCCATCCAAACCCTTCAAGAGCATCCCGAACCAGGTCCAGAAGAATACAAGTCCAGCGAGCTCGAACGCGAACCACTTGTTCCTAGGCATCTTGAGCGCTAGGTAACCGTACGAGTTGGCGTACAGGTTGAAGCGAGCAAAGGCGAGGACGACGTAGTAGACCTTGTGCCTGCGGATGCGAGACGAAGGGCAAAAAGTGGGATTGTTAGAACAAGGAATCAAAGCCTGTCAGTTCCCGACTGCTACGCACTGAACCTTGACCATCATGTTGCTAAACCCATCGAATGGCATGACCCGCTTGTAATACGTCGACCAGAGGTTGCCGAAAAAGTCGGTCGAAATGGCGAAGAAAGGAATATGCTGGATGTCCGGATCATGTTCCGGGTGGTTCGTGACGACTACGAGCACGGATTTAGTTAGGATCCCGAAGCGTTGATCGACAACAATAGCCAAAAAGACTCACGATGATGGATATTATGGTTCTGTGATAACGTCGTGACCGAGCCGACCAATAGATACGTCAGCTAACCCATGAACCCGCATTCAAAGAGTCCTCACGTCTCACAGAAACTTACATCCTTCCACCAACTCAAGCTCAACCCTCCGACCCAGTTCGCGACGACCGTCCCGATCAACCGATCTTTCCCAGCCTGCCCCGTGATCCCCGTATGTCCCGCGTCGTGAGCGAGGACTACGATAGCAAGGGAAAGAAAGACGTTGTCTGAGCTTGGGATCATGGAAAGAGGGATTACGGATAAGGCGAGTGCGACGCGACTGGGCTTACAGGTGAGTTGGTGCCAGAATGCGCCTAGGAAGACGGCCGAGCAGAAAAGCCCCCAGGTGCTCGTCGACCTGCGAACGTAGCACGTCCACGTTCACATTCAATATCAGTATCATTAACAGGAGCAAATGTCTCATATCGGCTTCAGATCACTCTGGTAAAACCAAGTCCATGCGACAAAAATGCCTCACCACGACGCGACTCACCAGAAATAAAACCCCGCCGCCAACCCAGCCAAGATCGTATACCTCCCCAAATCCCCTGCATACCCTTTGTGCCACCCTTCAGCCTGAAACAGGCCGGCATGTTCAAGACGGGTCCGTAGTTGGCGATAGGCTAGGGATCGAGCGTGTTCCCGTCTAAGGTCTATTTTCTCTACACGTGGGATTTGAGGGGTTGGGTGGAGGGAGATTGGAATGTCCATCTCGCCATCGACCCTAGAACCAGAGCTAGACCCCGAGCTCGAGTGGTCTTCGAACCTGTCCTCGTCCCCGCTTTCGTCGCTGTTCTTGCGATCGTGATCGTGTTCCTCGAACAGACTATCGACAGGCTCCAAAGCCTCTCTTGTCAAGACCGGGTAATAACCCCCTTCCCCTCTGGCATCCTTCTTGCCCAGATCCTCGTTCTGCGCATAAAGCCGGGTCAGACCTTCTCGCCTCCAACCTGTTGCTGATTCGGGGTCGCGTATTAGGCCGAGGGAGATGGGTGGGGTCAGGGGTTTGTAGGGCTGATATATGGTGGACAGAGAAGGTGGGTTGGTCGAGAGGAGGGGAGGGGGTTCACGAGAGAGGAGGAAGGAGATGGATTGAGAGAGATGAATGGGGCAGTATAATGAACAATAGGTCAGTCGACCGGCCTCCAGTGGAAAGTGTAGAAAGACCACCCTCCTCTTGCTGGACGAGAGAACTCACTTCGCGATCATCGACCCTGCCCACGACGAACCCCCCAACCCTCCTCAGATCCTTCTTACTATGATACGCATCCATCTCGTCCGTGGCGTCCCTCCCGACGAAATGCAACACCGCCAATTTCCCTCCGGGGTGTTTGTCCGCCCATCGAGTGAGATCTAGGACGAGGTCATTGTAGATGACCAGGTTTTCCCCATCGATGATCCGTTGGGCTAGTTCAGACCGGGGGATGATACGGGTACGGTCGACCTTGCGTCTCGTAGATTGGGTTTTGCGGGTGGATATAGAAGAGGATGCAGAGGAAGAGGAGGTAGGTGGGTTGAGGTGCCGGTGACAAGGACAATCGTATACGACTGGATGTTGTTGTGTGTTTGCGTGTTTGATGGTCATGGTGATATCGTGAAACAGCTCGACAGAGAGATCCCAAAGTGCTAAAGTGGAGGTCTCGATATCTCTGGCGTGCGGTCAGTTCACCGAGTTACGCAGCTATCGAGATGATCGGAAAGGCGTCTGTTTTAGTTGTACAGAGTCCCTACCAGACACACAATTACACACGATCTATCTGGACAGCTGTAAGGTCGTCGTGTTGCCTCGGAGGGTGACTACCCCACCCCACCCCAGGGGTCACTTTGTGAGAAAATCACGCTAAGTCAGCGAAACATCGGCCGGCCGAAGACAGAGACCTCCACCTAATCGTGTTTACGTTTTGGTCATCCATAGAGAGCGACCCTCGCTTTCGGCCTCGTGCTCGAATTTGGACGGGATGAGGGATGTGATAGCGAGCTGGTCATAGAGTTTATCCACACCATGCAACTATCTGGGGAAATCGTAGCAAGATCTGGTCGTCCAGAGTCGAAAGGTGCACATCAACCCGATGTCGAGGTCGATTGAGCGGGCATACGTATGCACTCCTCGCGCGCCGGGAATAGCGGCGGGGGCAACGGAAGCAAAACTCAAAAGGTAAAACATCCGGTACGACCTGTCCTCGAACGTTTCGAGATTACAATTCAAGAGCTCGCTCTCGTCTGCGCGGGGCACAGCTCTGGTATTGCACTTTCATATGGTTTTCATACTAGATGTCCCAGCTGCATTTAGAACACTCGAACAGAGTACGGCTTCCAAACTATCGAGAGGTACCGTCAGAGCAAAGAGCTCCTGCTCCGCCAATGAGGATTTCTCAGCGTGTTTGAGTTGTTCCAAAGTCCACCACTTACCGGAACCAAGAGACTCCTTCACTACTAGATCCTTTGCCTTGATTTGAATCAACTAGTGGATGTTTGGGTGTAGCCTGGAATTTGCTTCTATCCTGTCCATCATGGTCACGTAATGATGAATACCATTGATGCCTACCAAACTGTCTCTAGCAACCATTATGATATGTGTCCCGGTCATCAGGAAGCCACTTGAAATTGATAGATAGGCATGTTGACGGGATGGTCGAGTTGTATTGATGTAAGCGATGAGTAGCCGGGAAGGTTGTCTGCCTGGTGGACCGTATGGGCAGACTCATACTCGTACCTTTGCAAATCTTATAACAATAATGTTTCGACTACATCGTATATCATATACTCGGGCCCAACGCGAACCAGCAATACCTCAGGTCGGGTTGAGAGATGAATGTGTATATCATAGATCGGATACCCGGATGACGGGGATACACTCAGAGACCAGAGGGCGATCGAGGTGGTATATTACATCTCGGGAGGCATATCAGCTCTATCGGAACGCTACTTGAGTATATGAAAGGGTTGGTACGGGTCTAGTCGAGTTGATCCGTATCCGATAAATCAGGGTCGTCCCGGGTATAACAGTTGTAATGAGATCGAAATCCGATATTTCGCGTCGAGACGGCGATGTAGGCCCCATCTAGTTCTGTTGTCAAGGCGATTTGTTGATATGCCGCTGTTTCAAGGACGACTGTTCGCGGTCCATGACTGATTCGGTTGCGGTCGCAATTGAAATTTGTCCGTGAGGTTATGTTGGCGGTATCGGAGCAAAGGTAAAGCCTTGGGCGGCGTCACCCTTTGAGGATGCTCTTCAACAATGAGGATCCGGTCGGGTCGATGTCTAACAGATGGAACCAAGAGTTTTGAATGTCAGCAAGCGAGCAAACATTTCAGCGTAATCGACCTGACACAGACATCGAACTGAATACCGACCTCATTGACCACGACCTCTGCCCCTTCGACCTCTACCTTGTCCTCGTCCAGGTCCATGTCCTTGCTCATGAGCTCCCCGTCCATCCTGCCCGATATGCTCCTGCTCATCCGGCGACTCTAACTTCCTCATCCTCGCGGCCAGGGCCTCTCCGGACCTGGCAAGCCGTTGACACCTATTGAGCTCGATCTGCAAGACGCGCTCGCGAAACGCAGGATAATCGTCCTCCAGGTCAGGCTCGGACATGAATAACATCGACAGGCCATCTTGTAGTGCCTTGACCAAACCGAGCTTGGCTTCAGAGACCAGCCTGGCATCGTCCCAACTCGACCCCGTATACGAAGCCCAGTAGTCGAATTCCGCCAAGTAAGCTCGAGCGGAAGAGGTCTGACGTAACGATTCAAGCTTCGTGGTAGCGAGCCTCTGGGCCCTCTCCCCTCCCTGGGCGAGGATGTGCGTTTCGAGATCCCCAAACATATTTAACATGTACTTGGCGAGGTTATCGAAATCCTCCTCTATATCTAGGTATTTGTTCTGCGGTTGTAGTGCTTTCCCTTTTCCATCTTCGCCATCATCATCGTCCTTCCTGGCCGTGACCCCTCTCTTCCTCACAGCGTGTACCAGCTTCCAAGCCCTTCCCTCCAAGAGGCTCAAGGCGTAAAGCGCTTTACTACGCTGGGTCTGGAATCCGGGCTGATCGAGTTCGAAACGGAGACGCAGCTTGTCGATGAACCGCTCGACGTCTTCGTCCGGTCCGCCGTGAAAGGGAGGAATGGTAGGTAAACCGACCGGGTCGGGGAGGTTGATGATGCTACCGGCTTGATGTGGCTCTCGACCGAATCATCTTTTGGTACTTTGACTAACCAATGACACAAGGCGTGAGGATACACGACATTTGGATTAGCTTGGTCACACGGCCCACAACCGGGTGGCACAGCACGACATACCATTCGTCGACATCACGGAGCGACATCACGGAGCGAGAGGTCGACGCTGTTGATCCCGAGTATCGCGAAGGTGGGAGATGCCGGGCTCGTTTGGCAGGAGAATTTGTGTTGATTAGACTCGGAAACTCGGAAGAGTGTGTGTTTCAACACTAGTCCTCGACAGGTATGCAATGCGATCAGGTGTCTACTTGCTACTTGTCAAGACGATGAAAGTGAGTGCATGAGACTAGTGATGAAACGATAACAAAGAAGGTCTCGGTCGAAGCCGGGCCTTACGTAAGCGCACCAGGCCGCAGGTCTACAAGATTGGGCAAGTCGCTGGACATCAAACTCGGCTCGGATAGCAAGCGGCGATTCTGCTGCTTTCACCGACGTTGGAGGTGCCAGATAAAAGCGAGGCAGAGAATCATATACATATGTGTCAATGTTGGGTCCAACGTCGATATCGATGTTGTGTCGAGGGCGATGTGTAACAGTATCATACCCTTCTGCGCGCTCTTCTCGAACATCTGACCGTGCTCAACTCGAGAGCATGTAACTTGACATACGGTTGACAGACAACGACAGGATAAATGTATCCCAGTTCTTCACAGCGAAATTCATTCGACCGGGAACGGGAATCCGCCCATTCACGAGAACTCCCTTATTTCAATGACAAGGCCAATCTGCTTTGGGCATGATGATCGCGGTCCGAGATCGCTCGATCAAGAGCGAGAAAGGTATACAACGGTGTGTGCCTCCCGCGTTCTCTGGTCAACTCAAGGTCGACGTCGAGGCCAAAGAATGGGCCGTTGACCAGACGCATGGCGCGGAGGCTGTTATACCGGAGCCGTGATCTCAGTACAAGCATGATCTTACCAATCGTCGGCAGAAAGGCCACGGCAATGACATTGACTCACTGAGGTCGCTTCATTATCCCATATAAGCACCCCTTCCTCTCCCACGTCGACCTCGACCTCGAGGTTGACCCCGACCTCGTCCATGGCCGCGTTCCGACCGCTGATCAATCGATGACCGGCTAGAAGTAGCCCTCTCATCGTCCTCAACCCCCTGCCAACCCCCTTCCTTCTGTTTCACTACCCCCTCGTACCAGGAATCGATCCTCAGGATTTCTTCACGGAAAGCCGGATAATCGCGCCTTAAGTGTGGTTGCCCGACCAGTTGAATATGGACCTGCTCCTGGAAATGTTTTTCGAGTCCCCAATTGACAATTACGAATAACTCCTCATCGGTGTATCCTGCGTAATGACGATAGTAATCAACCTCGAGCAGATAATCCCTGGTCGAGGTTGTGGGTGTCTGTTCAATTTCGTTCAGCCTGGTGCGTGCACATCGGCGAGCGTCGTCTCCGCCCTTGTAAAGCGCGATGGTCTCGCCCGACCCAAAGTGATGTACGAGGAACCAAGCCAGCGTCTCAAAGTCCTCGAGGTCCTCCTCGCGTCCAACGACGCTTCCCCGGCGCTTTCCTTTCTCTATATCCCAACAGGCCGAGACCAACCTAAAAGCTTTTCCCTTCAATAAGCTCATCGTATAGAGGGCTTTCATGCGTTCGTCTTGAAATCCCCTTTGGTCCAGTCGGAATCGAATACGGAGGTAGCCGATGAAATGGTCGACCTTTTCGTGAGGCTTGCCGTGGAAGGGGGCGATATCGGGAAGACCTTTGGGTGTAGGAGGGAGGTATTTGGGTTCGGCCGGGATGAGGCTACGGTCCGTGATCGCTTCTGATTCAAGAGAACACAGTATGTTCGGGTTAACTCGGTTGGACGGGTGGAAGAAGGTAGGACAGTCTTCGTGATGGATCATACCGTTTATCGGCATCGTGAAGCGGCAAGTTGAGGCTGGTGGCTCGAGTCGTGCGTGATGTGAGGATGTTGGGCTTGTTCGATAGCTACGTTTGTCTAGGTCACGGTTCGGGAAGTGGGTCTGACGTTCCGCTCGAGTTGGAGATCAGGTCATTGAGAACTGTATGATACATGACAGAGAATCAAAATGATGATACGAGATTCGCTCTTCGGTCGAAGCCGTGCGATAGTTGAATCGGAAGCGAATCTGCTGCCGAAGCCTTACGTAATCGCAGCAGCCACTGGTCCACAAGGTGATACGACCTTCCCTGTTAATCACTGCTTGACATGCACCGCCACGAATCGCATCGGGTAAGACCCTTGGGTTCCCATGTTTTTCGTGTAGTCCCACGCGCTAAAGCCTACGGGAGCCTGAGAGAAACTCAATGGATTCGGTCGTTCGATCGGCCAGATGCCCTTCTTGTTTCGGTTCACATCGCCAGAGTCCGCCATGATGACCATGACCGGATAAAGGTTGTTGACCTATCGAAATTTGCGGATCTGTATCGTCAGCAAGAAAGTCAAACTGAAGCGACTGCGAAACAAGACAGGGGAACGTACCTCTTTATTCGAATCCTGAACGACCCATTGCGCCTCACTGCTGTCTTCTTCATAATAGTTCCCCGTCGCCGCACACTTCTTGCCCGTAAGGATCTCACAATAAGCGATCAGGTGCACCTGAGCCGCCTTGATGTCGTCGATCTCGTTCTCGGGCTTTTCCGACGCATGCCACTCCTTCAACGCTTTACCGAGAAGGTAGACCCACTTGGTCGGTCTATCTTCTACGTTGACGATCGCGCCGACCTCGGCGAGCATCTTCTTGTATTCTTCACCTGCATAGGTCTTGGTTTTACCTCCAGCCGAGATCGTCAAGCTCTTGTTATCTTCGGGTAACATGCACCAACCGCTGTCTTTCAGCGACTTTCCATCCAGGCTGAACATCTCTCTGATCTTCTCTGTCCCGGTCTATACTCCCCGCCGAGGTCAGCTAGTTGCATCGATCCCCCCCCCCCGGAAAGTAGCACTTACCACGGCGACGGCTCGCATAGCAGCCAACCTCGCCCCATAGATCCAATTCATCTCCGCCCCTTTGACCATGGCGGAATCGTAATTCTGCAAATCCCCAATGGAATCCATCTTGGCTACGTCCTCACTATTTCGGCTGGGACGCCAGAGCGCGACACCTCCTTTGTCCGTACAGAGGGTTTTGATGTCTTCTTCGGTCTGACGGCGGTCGACTTCTTTATCGTATAGTCTCGCTTCGAGTGCAATATTAGCTCGAGAACCGAGAACTGACGCTGCTTGGGAAGCTATGGGTTGGAAGGCGGGTCAGTCTGGCTGTCCGATGTTATCGCTTGTTCGAAGCAAAGCTTACCCTTGAGATTGAGTACCAGCGATAGGAGCGCGGATATCAAAAAGAAAGAGCGCATGGTGATAAGTGAACGCTTCAAAGTTTTATTGTAGGTCTGTTTGGTCCTGCCAGGTTGATCGTATGCTTGTAAAGACATTGGTTGGTGGCAAAGTTTTCTAGAGCCGTTTTGCAGGAGCTATATATTTATACTCGTTCATTGAGCCGGTATGGAACGTGTTTCAGCCCGATACGCGCGCGGGTGAAGGTCGTTCCACTTGGCGTACTGATAGGGACCTAGGGATAAGTGTCCAAAGGAAGCATACGGGGTTTTTCTGTCGTCACAGACTAAAGTACGCCTTTGCGTTTTCTCAGGCTTTCCCCTGTGTGCCGGATTGGTACCGCTGGTTTTCCACGTCTATATCTTCCCCTGCATGACTTTATCTTCAATCGAGAGAGTTTTGGGTCGAAATTGAAGAAAGAAAAGACGTTTTTCTTGGCATCCTAGCCAAGAGCACAGTTTGGGCACAATCCCAACAAGTACTGCACAACTTTGACCTATCGATTGTGTTGGGAAAGGAGATCATGGCCCGGGATTCAAGATAGGCTGTCAACGCTAGCTCCTGGACAAATCCCGGCCCCTCTGCGCAGCTCTGGGATATGGCAGATAGCCAGGTCACAGGGGATGGAGTTGCACGACTCGCTAGTCCCGCTTTTGCTGATCTTTGGAGCGTAACAACTGTGCAAGTGGAATATCCTGCCGCGTGCATAAACAAGCACTTGTTTCAATTGTCTGCATCAGTCCTTGAGATAGCGGCCCCACAGCATAACCTTGTTGAGGGGGCATACCGAGGGGGTATCGTCGTCGTATAGGATGAAGAGGGTGGATTTCACTTGCGTCTTCAAGCTACAAGGGCATCATGGCGATCCTGATTTGTACAGGATCAGATCGTCTTGATCATATAGCTGGAGGTTTATTTCCACTCCATGTAAATAGACTTGCCCTTCCCCAATTCAGATTCAGTTTACTGCTTTTGATCTGAGCCCATGTGGCTTTCAGATCTGCGTCCGAGGGGAAGGCACTAGCTAACCTTAGCGGAAAGGTGGAATGTCATATCGCTCCCTCGTTCCTACAAATCTTTACATGGTAGCACGCTATGCATCCACCTGCATCGGTTCTTCCGGCTGTGCATCGCCCTTGATCGAGTTGCCATCAATGAGAACTTCTTCAGCAGCGATCATAGCTCCTTGCTCAGTGACTCCCTTGTCCTCGACCCGACCATCTCCTTCCGTCTCGATCATTTCAGCCGCAGCCGCTCCTGTCCATCGGGTCACCATTGTCCTCACTATCACCTCTTGTTCTTCTTCAACAACGTCTCGTCCTTCTCCTCCCAATCTTATCCTTCTACGAATCTGGCGAGTCGTAGTGCTGCTGCGATCCCCCTTTATCAAGTCGCTCGCAGTCGAGGAGGGGGCCATCAACTTTGCAAAAGTCTTCGAAAAGTCCTTTCGATCCCTCACGATCGAAGACTGCGAGTCGACCTGGTCGGCGGTTTCGACGGTCCAAGGTCTATTTTTGTATTTGTACCACTTAATCGCAGAACAACGCATATTAAAGTCGTGTAAAAGTCGGACTCACTCGGATGCTGCGTTTTTGGTCCTTGCCGACCGCCCGAAAACTATAAGCTGCTTGCTCACAGCCTGCAGCTCAGGGTGACCATTCTCCAGTTTCCGTTTCTTCGTCATCCTGGCCTTCTCTGGTACTGCTGTCAACCTGGTCTTTTCCGCCTCATCCTCGCTCTCCTCTCCCAGCGCCCGCCTGCAGCGCCATCGCAATTCCCGGGCCAGAGCAGCGGGGTCCTGGGTCATCTCGGACGGGATACCACTATGCACCGCTCGACGTTGCTTTTCGTCCGCAGTCGGATCCTCCATGATCCTGACTTCCCGAATCAGGAAGCGAGCGAGACAAAGGAAACCGTTCAGAACGACCGGGTTCGTCTCGCTTCGATTCTTGTTCTCAGGCTTTCGTCTCAGCGAAGTCGCGTCTCTGACTTGCTGGCAGAAGTGAATGGCAGCATACCAGCAGAGCCTGTCCCATGATATGAGAACGGGTCAGTTCGCAGGCTTTGATATGACCCTAGGCGACGTTCACTTACCGGTCGAAGAACGGAAAGCGGTACCGCTGTGGTACTTTCATCTCAATTTCCATGTCACGTAAACGAATCTCTGCAGCGACGAAGACGCTCGTGTCAACTACGGCTCTGCTGCATGTCGATCGCATGACTGACGGTTTTCAATATTGTAGCTGATATCAACTCGAGATCAGCTTCGATTGCTGCCGGACCGCTCCGTTCCGGACTCACGAATGCAAGAAGTTTCCTCCAAAGACGAGCGAATCGAGGGGTGTATGCTAATAGAAGACGAGTAAGTACCTCCTCGATGATTTGCGCTTGCCTGGGGCGGTCTTACTACTGCATGTATGTACCCGGCCGGTATGATCCTATCATGACCAGGATGAAAGATGCTGTTAGTATCATGTATCCTGCATGCCCAACAACAGTTCATCTCACATGGTGTCGCCTGCCAATAGCGTGACCTTTCGAACCTCGTCGACCCTGCTCAAAAATCATGATATTAGCCCGGACTCCTTTCTCCTCCTAAGATCGGGCTTACAGATCTCCTAACCAACGACCGTTTTGTGACTCTTCAGAACTCGACCCTAAAAGCAGTGCTTAAGGAAATGCTTGCAAGGGTCTCATGCCTAGTCGACTTACATTTCTTATATGCTGCTAGGTTGGCATCCGTCGGCCTGATGAAGAAGAAAGTCTACGCGGCGACCTATCAGGAGCTGGAGATCGTGCCCGCTAGTCGGATGGTCATGCTCACCTTTGACCCCGTATGTACTGTATAGTATACCGATGTTGAACCCATATCTAAATGCCACTCTGTGAAGCTTCCTTGCATTCCCATGAGACAATAAAGCTGTACTTTTGGCCAGTCTGATCGACCTTGCTCTATTATCGGCTCCGCTTCGATCTGAGCATCCTCCTTGTCCTGTTCTGCTACGTCGGCAGTACCATCCTCTTTTTGGTAATTCTTCCTCGCTCGTCGCTTCCCAGGTACATCCGGCCAGTACCGGTCCACCCAGTCGATCTCCGAGACGAATTTGGGTGGCCGCACCTTCTTGGCCAGAGCGGTTCCCGATATCTCGAGCGAGATGACGTTGTAGACCTTGTTACGGGGACGTTGTCCCATTGTCGATGACGATGCCTCGGCCTGTTGAGTCGAATGCTCCGTGATATAGTCCGCCCAGTCGCCCAGTGACCATTTCGAGCTGTTTTGGGTGGCCACATCGATGACATCCAGCTTCTGATCTCGGCCGACCAGATTAGCAACGTCTTGAAAGCCGAGTTTCGAATCAGGGACACGTCCGCCGAGACTGGTAAATCCTCCTTTACTCTTGGGAATGATGATCGGTTCACGATCTGGTCCAAAGAAAAGACTGGGAGGGGGAACACCAGGGAGCTGCTCGTCCGAGTCCAGCCATGCCTTGTCCAAGCATGAGCCATTGACCTGAGTATAAGGGCCTGTATCACGAGTTACTTGTTAGGCCACCTGGCATACGAACTCATCCACCAGATCTTGGGCTTACGGTCGCTTATGGTCCGTCCAGTCTTGCCGGGATCGGCTATCAGGTCCAACCACTTATTGGTCGAGGTCGGAATGACGTTATGCAATGCCTTGTAATCGGGCTGAATTAATGCGGCCTGTCTCTTTGGCCGAGATTTCCCGGAGCCGTTCAACTGACCCTCTCCTCTTGACTGCATGGGAGAGGAAGGGTCCGTTCCAGCAGATACCTGCTGCTTGCGAGCAACTCGGACAGCCGGCAAGTGTATATCCTCCCGTAGCTTGGCTCTAGGCGTCGCTCTGGAGCTGTGAGACGACCCGGATTTCCTCGTTCCTGAGATACATGGAAGGCAGTACCTGTCAGAGTTGCAGTAATATGGTACATCAGTTCTAGCACTTCGTATCACCATCAGTGCCGCTCAAACCTCACCAGCTCTGTATATATTGAGTATAGTCCCAAAAGAACGAACGCTGCAAGAGCTGCTCTACAAGCGGTCGAGGAAATGTGCTAGTGATGTTCTGGAGCTCGCTGGGCGGCGACTTCTTATCTCCTTCTCCTTCTTCAGAGGCTTCTTCTTTCCGTTCGGTCTTGCCACTTCGACTCTCCTGTCTGACCTCCCGGGAAAGACATGCCGCATGATACCACTTGTCATCACAATTTGTACAGCCAAGCCATTTCAATGCAGGGTCCTTTCGGGGCTCGATCACTACCGCTTCGTTTCCCTCCTGATCTAGCCGTACGTCCTTGAATGAAAGAGACGAAGGGGAAGGCTGCTGCTGGTCCGGGCATAGTGGACAAAGCTCGTCCTCATCCTTCTCGTCCCCGTTCGCATCCTCCTGGTTGTCGTTGCTCATATTTTCCGTAGCTGGGTGCTCGGCCAGAGGAACTGACTTGATCGCTGAACCGGATAACGACTATATACTAGGACGACGATCTTATCTAGACTCAGTCGGGGACCGAGATTCTTGATGTCAGACATTGACGAGCTTTCCCGGCGAGTAGTCGAGTAGGAACCCGGTTTCCTTCAGCAGTGAGTTCAAAGATCGGCCGGCCGGCAGCGACCGAAGTTTTGCTTCCGTGACAAGTACTTTCGGAACCATATCTATCACCTTGAGCTATAGGTTGGACTCTCATGCTTCATGGACTACAACATGCCCTCGACCCCGAGCATCATCAGAATCCGAGCATACAAGCTGATTCGTCTTTCTGGCAACTTCCACGTCTCCTCCCCGACCCGCTCCGAGTGACTTCGAATGTTCCCGAGCTCTGCGGCCATCTTGGTTCGGAGCTCGTTCGACGTCGTCAGGATGATGTTGGAGAGCTCGAGATCCAGTTTCATCGAGCGTGTAGATAGGTTGGATGATCCGATGAACGTCGCGCATGGCTTTTGTGGTGTTGAGGATCCGCTCGGTCCCGCAGGCGATAGCCAGATGCCTGAAGGGGAGTACGAAAAGATCAGCTTGCAAGAACACCCTCCGGTCCCGTATCGAGCTCTGACGAACCTTTGGCATGATACGTCCATCCCTCTCGCTTCCACTCATTCAGCTCCACCCCACTTCCCGAACCATCGGACCGGGTCGCCCAGTCTCGACCCCGTCTCACTAGATCCCGATGAAATTGTGATTCCAACAGAGTATAACCCTCTGGAATCAACCTCGATACCCCAGCAGAGCCAAAGAACCCGTTTGCCTACGAAAAAGAAACTATTAGCTTTGCTTCCGAGCATGCTTCTTCGTGGCCGTTCGACTCACCTCTGGGGAAGCGGCTACGATCCTATACGGCGCTTTGCCTTCTAGTACCGCTTTCTTGTACGTATGGTAGAGCCCAAAATACCCGCTAGTCAGATCCACCTGAGCGCCCTGTCCACTGCCTTGTACTACTGCAGCGTCCGGCAACATCTCTTCCGCGCACGCCAAGAATCTGCCTACTCCACGTTCTTCCTCTCCCACACCCAACGCTCCACCTTGTATCATAGGGAAGATCCAGGTATCCACATCCACTCGTCGACCACGCCGGATCTCTCTCCAGACCCGTTGGAAGGCCGTGATGGTTGCCAAGGCGTGGTTGGAAAAGTACCTCGGATGCACTGAGGGCTCTGGCCAGACGAGCGCAGGTTTGGCGTTTGACGTCTTGGGTACATAGTCGGGTAGGGGCGTAAGTGGAATGAGGTGATGCGGAGAGGAGGAGGGTTGAGGGTTGGCGCTCAGTCGGTATGCGTATGAGGAGTACAGCCGCTGGAGAGAATAAAGGTAGGAGAGGATGCTAGGCTGATTCTTGATGTGATAATATCGATCCTGTCGATTCGTAAAGTAGGTATCCGAAAGGTTTGCTCTGTATACAGAGGACCCCGTTTAGCAAGGACGTCCAACTTGCTGAGAGCGCATCCTAAACTTACCCGGAAAAGATGACCTCATCATCCACCCCATACCACTTGCAATGCCACAATCCCCATCCCTCATCGTAACGCCGCGGCACGATCCTCTCCATCAAGCCTTTCAGCTTTGGTGATCGGTAAAAGCAAGCATCCACCCGATCTGGAAATTCGGCGACGAGGGGGAGAAGCATGGTCGCAGTGGATGGTTTAGGGGATTGCTCCCGCGTCGATCGCAAGAGGTCGGTGATGATCGATACTCGAAGATGGGGATTGTTGGTCAAGGCCTCCCTTAACGCTTCTATCTAAAGGGCAGAAGGGGGAAGGTATAAGCTACTCGATATATGCGGGCGGAGCGGCGTAGGTGAATAGCAGAAGGCCTTGGCGAGCTCACCTACCAGTTCACCCTGCTCCGTACCGATGTACAATGCCGAGATCAAGATCCGCCGCTTGGCCTTTCGTATCAGTGACTATATGGTGAGAGAAAAGCTCTTACTATCAGCAATCAGAGGACTCTGAACTTATCGTACCGCGCCTTTCGACTCACCAGCAAGCGTTGGTGAAAGTCTGCCGGCTCAAAGAGCACATCGATCTCGTCCCCTCGCACGCCGAAACATGGCTGCAAAACCGTCAGATCCTCCTTGAGTTGATTAAGCGCGGGGTGCTCGAACCGAGGTTCCGCATGGTTGGTTGATGAGGTATAAGATCTCGTTGATATGGATACGGTGTTGCATGGCCACTTGACGTCATTCCGTCGAGATGCTGCTGGGAGGAGAGCGATCCGCGCTGCCGATTTCGATGATCTCGTTGCTGAGACAAGGGTTGTCCGTACGATGCTAGCAGCAAGCGTTCGGCTCATCTTTAAACCCCTTGCGATGCTATGCGATGCTATGCGATGCAAATGTAAGAAAGTAATATCATGTAAATATAAGGGCTTAAGCAGCTAATTACCATTCCTAATCGAAGGGTGCTTGAGATTACTCACTACATCCGCGTCGCCCCCCTCGCCGACACCTCATCCAGCACCCGAGTAGCGAACAGGGACTTGCGTTCAGCTATCAACTATCAGCTTTTAGCTACATCGTATCATCTGGCCCTCTATCATCAGAGCATCTTGAGCCTGCCTACAAGCATCATGAAGTTCTCCTTGTCCTCTCTTGCAGGCCTGGCCTCGCTATTGCTAGCGGCCTCCGCACAAGCGAGCACGCAGGACGACTTTCTCGCCGAAGCCAACGCCGCTCCGAACGGGATCATCAAGCTCGATTCGGCCAGCTATGAACGACTCGTCTCGAGCTCTCCAGGATCGCCGAGAAATTACAGTGTGACCGTCGTCTTGACGGCTTTGCCTGAACAGTTCAAGTGTCAGCCATGCCAGTGCGTTCGAGCCTGACTAAAAACGTAGCGAGCGATATCTGATCGCGCACTTCCCTTTCCCTTTCTTCGATAGCGTATTCGACCCGGTTTACAAGACTGTGGGCAACTCGTGGAAAAAGGCGTCCCGGGAGGAGCGCAAGGATCACTTCTTCGGTCAGCTTGATTTCTCAGATGGCCAAGCCGTCTTCGCCAAGGTAGGCTTGTGAGGTGTTCTGCACGACGCAGAACCATTACCACAAAATCGCTGACACCCTTTCGATATTGTGCGTTCTGCAGCTCGGTTTACAGAGCGCTCCCAACTTGCAGTACTTTGCTCCGAAAGCCGGTCCACGTAAATCAGATAGCAAGCAGGACTTCATCACCTACGACTTTAGCCGCAAGTCAGTGGACCTCAAATTCCCCTCTGAAGCGCCCGTTACAATTACACTCCAAGCTAACCCGGACCTTGATACGTGTTCCGTAGCGGGTTCGGCCTCGAAAAGCTACACAACTGGCAGTCCAACCTGGCTCCTCACCCCTTCCCCATCTTCACCCCCTTCAACCCCATCCCGTACATCGTCATCCCTACGACCATCATCGGCGGGATCATCGGTCTCTACTTCGCTTCGCCCTACATCGTGCCCTTCATCCAGTCCAAGGCCATCTGGCAAGGAGCTTGTCTTGTGGCCATCTTGATCTTTACCAGCGGACACATGTGGAACAGGATCAGGGGGGCGCCGTATCAGAACCGGGACGGGTCGGTCTTTGCACAAGGCTTCAGTCAGCAGAACGTCATCGAGACTCAGGTGGTCGGGGGTATCTGTAAGTAGGCATGTCCTGCGAATCCCATCGATTCGATATAAATGGCTAATCGTTTCCTTCCGGTTCGCCCCGCCCTTCTAGACGGCCTATTGGCGTTCTCGGCCGTAGCGTTGGCCTCGCTCGCACCCAAGATGCTCGGTTCTTACCGACAAAGATTCGCCGTCTACATCTGGATCGGCGTAATGATCTTTGTGTTCAGCTACTTGGTCAAGGTCTTCAAATACAAGAACGGAGGTACGTCGCAATGGCTCGCCGGGGTGTTCCCGTCGGTGTGTAGCGTAGCAGGGCTGATTCAGGGTGTGCTTGGTCTCGACAGGTTACCCATTCCGTCTCTTCCTCGGATAGATGTCTTTGTTATCTACGTGCCGGATCGAAACATAAATGCTCATGCTCATGACTTTGCTCGCCCGTTGCGGCGGCATGCTGAAACTCGGCAATGACAACTTTCCTTTTCGTGCAATGACCGATCCTGGCTATCTACAACGTCATTTCATCTCGCTCAAGCCTTTCGACCGAGCGGCTTTCCCTCTTCACTACTCCAGCTCAACTGATACCCCGCCGAGTCCTATCGGACCGTCACTCGAAACCCGTCAGTCATTGAGCAATCTCGTTTGTAACTCCATCTGTTCTGATCGTGCGACTCACATCGACTGACCACCTCTCGACAGCCTCCATCCCCCTCTTACCCCAATCGAGCATGGGATCGTCTCTGGCTTCCAAGTCTACAAACTCGATCAGCGACATGTTGGCGGGTGCGATGAACCCTTCTTGCACGGCGAGTTCGATCTGTTGTTTCAGCGGGGTGTAGAAGCCGTTGACTGTGGTGCAGCGAGACGAGAGGTAAACGATCGCCCAGACGATTGACACGGTCAAAGACGGCAGATAGGAGGCTCACCGTTGAGGACCACGACGGGTAACCGGTGGATCCGGAGTTGAGACCAGGTCGTCATCTCCATAACCTCCTCGAACGTCCCGAACCCGCCTGGAAGCACGATGAAGCCACCTTGACTCAAGTCGGCCATCCGTTGTTTACGCTATTTGAGACCCAATCAAGCAGATGATAGAATAGAGGAGGAGGAGAAGGGCAGGGTAAAGGTAGAGAAGGTGAAGGCGAAGATATTCAGGACGACTATAAGGATCAGCTTCATGGCGACCGGAATGGAGAATGTAAGGGAGACTCGCCTCGTGCATGGTATTCACGACTTCGCTCGTAAACCTGTCTGACACCCTCGCATCCGTCCCAACCTCTTCACCTGTACCCTCCTTGCTACCCTCTACCTCTGCTTCCTTTCCGCCGCCTGACTCGGGAGTGGCTTCTGCTTCGGTTGGAGAACGTAACTTTCTGACGGCTCGTTCGGCCGCTCGACCGGTCAGGGCTTGAGGGATGATGCCGTGGACGAGACCGCCGGCTTGAAGAGCGGCGTCCGAGACGAAGCCTGAGACACAAGCGAAGGCGAGGATGTCAGCGATTGATATTCGGATGATACTGACTGGCTTGAAATTGGATTCGAAGCAAGAGAGGTCCGAGCGGACTTACCCATCATCCCCCTAACACCACCGCCGTAGACGAGCTTTCTTCCCGATTTGGCGATGGCCTCTCCTACGCTCCTCGCGGCTGCTTCGTAAACAGGGCTAGTTCCTGGCGATGAAGCACAGCTATGATTGTTGATTACGGATCAGAAACGGGAGATATGGCAAGAGGAAAAGTAATATCAGTAAAGTGTATGGTGCAAAAGCTCAGAGCAATGGAAACGGAGACTTGCAATACGCAGATGGGTTCGGGAGACATGATTCGAGGGGATTTGGTAGAAGTTTCCCGGAACAGACAACAAGGTATATCGATAAATCTAGTAGCAAGTAGCTGGGTATTCCAACAATATAAGTACAGAATAGAGGTTCAGTATACCTCGACATGCCTACTCTAGCTACTTCCTTTGTATTCGGCGATCGGAGGTTGACTCGGTCATCGCTGCTTCTCGATCCCAACTCCAGGACAGATACATGTCAGGCTGATAGATATTACGTAAGCGAGCAACCCGTCCTGCCATTAACGACCAAGCACTCTCTTGTTCATCGTATGGTGTCATTTCCTCTTGTTTCGTAGACAGGCAAGACGCAAGACACCAGTATCCAGTACCATCGCTGTTGCATACCTGCCATAGATCGAACGAACGACAATATGCCTCTCCCCGTCGAGGACCAATTCCCAGAGTCCGAAGCTTCGGCTTCGGCTCAAGCTTCCGGCTCTTCCTCCTCGGCACCTCGTCCACCTCGCGAACAACCCAAGATCAGCAATCCTCAACATCTCAACTCGTTGCTCGACATGATCGCCGATGGAGATGGCGAGGAACCTCCTGAAGACGCTGCCGGTGGCGCAGGTGGAATACAGATCGAGGATATCAGGTCGGACGAAGAGGACGTTGATGAGGAGGACGATGATGACGAGGAAGAGGGAAAGGTAGCTGCGGCTGATGCACCAGCAGCCGGGTCCAGCAAGAGCAAAAAGAAGAAGAAGAACAAGAAGAAGAGCAAGTCAAAGGCTGTCGACAAGCTCAAGTAGGTTCACCTCCTCCTTTTCGCTGTCTGTTCTAGCCTATCGATGAGTTACCTGTCGAACTTTGACATGACGCAGTCACGCTGATTGACTTGTCCCGTTCTTCTCATAGAGGCATGATCAACCCGGGAGGAAATGTCCCCGACGAGCTAGTTGACGCCGTAAAGAGGGAGATGCAACAGAACCCTGCGACTCAGTCGGCGCAGGTGGACGATGGTAAGCGTTTCTTCCGCCTTTGTCCTCTGCTCTTGCTACGGCATACCATATCCTTTCAATGTGACTCAAAGGGTAGGTCTCATATCTGATGTCGACTTGATTTCCGCTATCAACAGAGGAGATCAGAAGGGCTTTGAAAGCGATGGATCTGCTCAAGGTGTTGGAGGGAAAGGAGGCTCTTGGCAACAAGTCGAACACGAAAGACATCGGGGAGCACAAGGTCTGTACCACACCGCCTTAGCTGAACGGACACGAGTCACCTATTGAGACCTGATTCCGTTCCGGACAATTTGATCGCCACAGTTCTGGAAGACCCAACCCGTACCTCAGACGCTGTCCGAGAACCTGCACCGAGCGTCCCGGGGTACCGTACCCCCCGCATCGGCCAACCAAGAACCGGATGGCCCTATCGATAGCGTCAAGGACGTTGCGGATGTCAGGAAAGAGCCTTTGCCCCTGCCTAAAGGGTACGAGTGGTGTACCCCGGACATCACCATCGACGAGGAGGTAAGCCGACTTCTCCAGGAAGGAAGCAAGAGGGCGCAAATAGCTGAGGCGATTCTCTGCGTTACGGTATCTTAGTGTAAAGAAGTCCAGACGTTGTTGTCGGAAAACTATGTCGAGGACGATGACGCTTCGTTCAGGTTGCACTATTCGAAAGAGTTCCTTCATTGGTCAGTTCTTGGGCGTGCTACCCTAGGTCTGCCAAGCGACGTGACCGTGCTGACGATTGAAATCTCGAATTGCAGGGCATTGGCGCCGCCCGAATATGTCGCAGATTGGCATCTAGGAGTGAGACAGACGAGCAACAAGAAGCTGGTTGCTTTCATTTCGGGTATCCCCCTGAGCACGAGGGTGCGAGACCAGTGAGTTTTCTGATCACCTGTATCTGTACAGGTATTCTTATTCGTGCTTACACTTGTTGCTCTTCAATAGCACGATCAAAACGGCCGAGATCAACTTCCTCGTCACCCACAAGAAGCTACGGTCGAAACGTCTCGCACCGGTGCTCATCAAAGAAGTCACCAGGCGGGTCAACTTGAAAGGTGTCTGGCAAGCTGTGTACACGGCTGGTGTGGTCTTGCCTACACCGATCGGGGTGTGCAGGTGAGTGGCGACCGCCAGAGATGGCAGGATGCAACAGTCATAGCAGATGATCTAATTGACACATATCGATCGTCCTTGCAGATACTATCATCGGACGCTCAACCCTGTCAAACTGGTGGATATCGGTTTCACTCCCGTTCGACGAGGAGACACGGTCTCACGCATGGTCAGGCGGTTCGGGCTCCCGGCGTCTACATCCACGCCGAACTTTAGGGAAATGTGCAAGGAGGACATTCCTCAGGTCTTGGACCTCATGAAGAGATACATGGCCAGGTTCGAGCTGGAGCAAAAGTTTGATACCGAGGAAGAGATCGAGCATTGGTTCATCAGCGGACGGGGTACCGGAGAGTACGTGAAGGGGCAGGGTAGGAAGGGTCAGGTCGCTTGGGCGTATGTGGTCGAGGCGAGTGTCAAGAGCCCACACGAATATCGCTGCCAGACCCAAACTGATCGTTCGGTCGACAATGCAGGACCCCGAGACACATCGAATCACCGACTTCATGTCGTTTTACTCGCTCCCCTCGCTCATCATGAAGCATGCCAAGCACAAGGATCTCGGGACGGCTTACCTGTTCTATTACGCCACCGACGCCGCACTGTCATCATCGAGCAGTCAGGGCGGAGAGGAAAAGGCGAAGGAGCGCTTGAGCAAGAGGTTGAACTCGCTGGTCAACGATTGTTTGATTGTCGCCAAGGATGTGAGTCTGCGTGAGATGCGGTGCCGACGGCGTCACAATACCGTAACTGACGGGACCTTCACCAGGCCGGCTTCGACGTCTTCAACGCCTTGACCATGATGGACAACAACCTGTTCTTGAACGAGCAATTGGTCAGTCCAGCTTGTTTAGATAGTCCGCTTGATTCGATGCTGATACTTGACCGGTCTTGTTCCCGCTATGCAGTTCGGTCCCGGAGACGGATACCTTGTGAGTCCCGCATCGTCGACGACCGGCTGCTACATACTGTTTACTGACTGTTCCTGTCGCGATGTCCCTCTCTGGCACTTCAGAACTGTAAGTCTTGTCTTGACATCCCGTATACAAACACCCCTGATGCCGGTCTGACCGTCTACATCTCGCAGATTACCTTTACAACTGGCGATCCGCACCCATAGACGGGGCCGCAGACGGTGTAGATGTTCTGCGAACATCCAATATCGGCGTGGTCATGCTCTAGACGCGATCGTCCCAATTTTTTAGCCACTCAGTCTCCGACAAGGGTTCGACGATCAGCTTCGAGGCCCCCTACATAGACGGAATACGCGTATGGGTGCATCAGATCTTGTGCAGGTGTCCGATAAAGGGGTTTTAATATTTTATATCCACATCATGAATGCCGAGAATTATAAACGATCCGAGCTACAGAGTAGCGATTATAGACAAGATGTTGATACAAGGGCAAAAGCCCAACCACGACGTGACTTCCCTCGCTTTCATCCCTCGAGCGAGATCTTCTAGACGATTGCGGCCGAATGATCGAGACATGGCTCTTATCGATTCGGTCGCTCCGCTTCCACGCATCCCCGTGAGATGATAGGGATACGTTGTCTAGCTTGACTTGACGAAAGCCGGTAGATTCGAGAGTGATTGGATCCAGAGCCGTCGGACAGGTCGTACGTCACCACGAAAGCTATTTCAGATAGGCAAGGCCTGCTTCAGAGCTCGCGATCATGATGACTCCGAGGAAGGAGCATGGCTCACGACACTTGGAAGACCTGTCCTCGGTTATTTGCTTCATCTCTGATCCCAACCCGGAGGCCCTAGTCCTACCACTTGACTCCTTTCGTCTAGTCGTCGTCCTAGAAGAAACTGTCGTCGTCGTCGTTCTCGTCCCCGTCATCGTTGGGGGCTTCCCCGTCAGACACGGGAATCGGACCCCAAGAGACTCTCCTCTCCCGATCGTTCTCGTCATTCGAAGCTCCGTCTCCTTGGCCTGAGCCTGTACAGAGGTAGACGAAATGCTTTGTTAGTCATTTCGCTGAGCTTGCTTTCTTCCGTCTGAGCGTGGGCCTACCTGTAGACGGGCCGCGTCCCTCTCTTCCTGCAGCGTCGCAGCGATCTCGATCAGGTCCTCGAGCTCCGCTGATCGGGATGCCTCCCTCTCCAGGAGCTGTACATTGGCCTGGTACTGCTCCTGCACGCTAAAGGATGGCGTAACAAGATGTCGAATTTCAGATGCGAGCGCGCAGCAACCGTGACGGAGACAACGAGTACTCACCTCGTCTCCAATGCCTTCAGAGCCGCCTGCTGGGCCTTTACCTGCTCCTGCTGGGCCTTTACCTGCTCTCTCAAGCCCTTGATGACCCTCCCCAGCTCCTGGATCACCGTGGTGGACGACGAGGCCGGGCGAGATCGACGGACAGAGGGGGCAGGGGCGCGGGGGCTGGGTCGAGCGCGGGGACTAGGCCGGGCGAGCGAGGGCGAGAGGAGGCCCTCCAGCGAGATCGAGGAGACCTGAGCTGGGAGAGGCAACTGGAAATGAGGCAGAGCAGGGACTGTGAAGAGAGAGATGGACAGGGACATCAACGACGAAACGATCAAGGATGTCGAGGTGGCGAAACACGAAACGACTCACCCCCGATCCTGCTCGCCTCTCGCGTTTGACTGACGGCGGCGCGCGCTTCCCTTCGCACCGAACCTGCCGCCACGGCGAACTTGCTCGCCCCGGGTACGCCGAGCCTCGACCTGGGCACAACCTCTGCCTCAGGCGTCGAAGCGAGCACCTCTTCCTTCTCGTCCTCGTCCTCGTCCTCCTCTGGACGTGGAAAGGCCCAATACGATCGGCCTGGTAAAGATCGATTGATAACAAGATCAGTCTTCAAGCACGTCTTCGGGGCCGAAGGCCTTGCGCGTGACTCACCTTGACCCGCCTTCGCCATCTCCGTCCCCGACCCTCCTACCCTCCGCCTCTCTCGCCACTCTGCCTCGAACTTACGGAGCGTCGCAGGCGTCTCGGCGATCGCGATGGGGCTTGTCTCGGTCCTCGTCGATACGTGGGGAAAGGGGTTGGCCCGCACGAATTTGCTGTCGAACAACGAGGGCCTGGGAACGGGCGCCTTGTCGAACGGCCGAGGGGTAGCCACCGGTCGAGGGGAAGAGATCGGCCGCGGGATCGCCGTTGATGAAGAAGCCTCGAACCGGACAGACTTCCGGAGGACGGTCGAGGTGGCAGGTCCCGAGGTCGCTTTGGTGACCGGATTGGGGATCGAAGTCGGTCGACGGATCGAGGTCGACAGGACCGGCAACTTCGTTCCTGCGGGGACCACCATAGCCCAAGGAGACGACGTGGGGGTAGTCGAGACCCGAGCGGGAGGAGTGGCCACGGGTTTAGTAGCGACAGGGACCGCGACTCGAACGGTGGCCTTGCCCTTGCTCGTCTCCTTCGCCACGTTTGCTTTGCTTGAAGGGGCGACCATAGCCCAAGGAGACGACTTGGGGGTAGTCGAGACCCGGGCGGGAGGAGTGGCCACGGGTTTGGCTGCGACGGGGACAGCGACTCGAACGGTGGTCTTCCCCTTGCTCGTCTCCCTCGTGGGCTTCTTGGTGGTCTCCTTGATTGTCGATCGGGGGGTAGTAGAGAGTCGGGCGACAGGCTTGTTCTCAAGACCGCCGCCCTGTTTTCGAACCGGACCAGCGCTCGTGTTCGTGTCTTTGGCCGCGAGAGGCACCCGGGTCTTGGTCGTGGAAGTCCTCGGCTGACGAGGGGCGCTCAAGCGCTCGAAAACCGAGGGTTCTTTGACTTTGACCGAAGCCTTGAGATGAGCAGAGAAGGGCACAGGAGGAACGTTGTCCTTGGCCGGCCAGACGATAGGCGGGAACATGAGCGATCGAGGGGAGATGGGAGGTGATTCGACGGCCGGGGTAGGTCGGAAGGGAGGGATCTGGGCCACTTTGTACGAGCTCATGTTGGCTGCATCGACGGCAACAGTCAGCCCTCTTCGCTCGTTTCGTAAGAACTAGGTTGACGAACTCACAGATTAGAGGGCTAGAATATGTTGTAGAGTGGAAAAGACCGGATGGAAAAGACAGGCAAAGCTCTGCGACAAAGATCGAGAAGGAAAGTAAAAGTGAGCCGAAGATTCGGTCGAGATCGTGGCATATCGGCCGGAAAGATGGACTTACCTTTCCTGAGCTTATGAGATGAACAGTAAAGTACGAGAATGTGATTACTTGTACGTGGCAAGAAGTAGTGAGATGCTAAGAGATGACATCGGGAAGAATCCGTAGACGGAAAAGTCAGTCGAGATCGCGACGATGTCGCGGCGAGCCGGAAAAACTCACCTTGTTCGAGATATCGGCAGGGTTGTTGTGTAGCGTGCGGGGTAACGAGTGTTGGTGTGCGGGTGTGGTGTTTCAGGTGTTGTGTAACGAGTGGATTGGTGTGAGGAATGGTATGATGATAGGAGTTCAGGTCGATATGATAGTTGGCAAGGTAGTCTGTCGAGTTCGACTCGCTATGTCGCTCGAGCGATGCGACGACGATCCAGACCCACTCACCGGTCGAGGCGACGTTTGGGCGAGCGAAGGCAACAAGAGCAGCGACCCCGCAATCTTCATTCGATGATTCTGCGCCACCAAAACGTCATCGTGGTAGGGGATCATCAGGATCATCAGCTGATGATCCACCCAGTGATGGGGGAAGGCCAAAGGAAGGCGACAGCGGGAATGAGTAGAACTTGCCTGAACACCCTCGTGGCCGATGCGTGATTGCGGGGTAATGACAGACGCCACCCGAAAAAGCATCCGGTATCGTGATCGCGGATCCGAGAGACGAAGAAGTTGTCCGCATGATTATGTAAGCAAGATTCGACTCCTTGATCGTCCTCGTCGAATCTCGGTCTCGTCAAGGTCACTTCGAGTGATCAAGGGTCGACTGATTGCAGATTGTCACATCCGTCGACAGCAATAGCCTCGTCAATAGTCACACAAACTCATCTACGATGCCTCCCAAACGCGATCTCAACGTAGGTTCTTTTGGCAAGTCACGTTGCCGCCGTGGATCCTCCTAGCTGACCCTCGCCGCTGCACGTCCCTTTACAGAAAGTCGGGACGGAACAGTCCGACTTTCCCATCTTGTAAGCTGCCGTGACAACACATGGCCGCTATCCGATGCTAACGGTAGGGCTTATCTATATCGTATAGGTGCGAGACGTGTCTCGGAGAGAATCCTTATGTTCGGATGGTAAGCCTGACCGGACCGACGGCAACATCGTTTGTCAGCTCATCACCCCGTCATCTTTTCTCTTACACAGAGCAAGCAGGAGTACGGAAAGGAATGCAAGGTGCGCAGAGGACAAGGAAGGCTGGTTAGTCGGATTGCAAGCTGACGACGGCCTACCTTCAGATCTGTGTACGACCCTTCACCGTCTTTCGTTGGAACCCCGGTAGTGGAGCCAGGTTCAAGAAGACCGAGATCTGTACCACCTGTGCCAAGATCAAGAACGTCTGTCAGACGTGCTTGCTTGATTTGTGAGTGTGGTATGGTCTTGGAAAGCTGTTTCCCGAAAGAGGACTGACCAGTACCGCCGCTTCACAGGGAATACGGTCTGCCGACTCAGGTCAGGGATGCCGCTCTGGGGCGAATCAACACGGCTCCTACGTCGGACATCAACAAGCGTGAGCCTCGATTTTCGTTGCTACATGCAACCGCATCAAGCTGATCGCATCATGGTTGCTGCGACCGATACGCAGAGTTCTATACCCAGGTCATGGAACAACAGATGGCCAACACGTCGTCTGGCATGATGGCCGATACCCACGATGCGCAGCTCGCTTCTTCTGCGGCCAAGGAGATGTTGAAGGAGATGGCGAGGAAAGATCCTCATTACAAGAGGAACCGACCCCATATCTGCAGCTTCTTCTTGAAGGGGGACTGTAAACGAGGCAACGAGTGTCCTTTCCGGTAAGCCCGCTTACCAGTACACGCCTTTGTTCTCACTCCAGCTGACGAGGAGGAGCTTGGTCGACCCGATAGACATGAGATCCCGGCAGAGAACGGTCTGGAAAAGCAAAACCTGCAAGATAGATATTACGGACGGAACGATCCCGTGGCCAAGAAGATCCTGCGTGATAATGCCGAGAGCAAGGGTCTCACACCGCCAGAGGATAAGAGCGTCGTAAGTCTGCCTTTTTATAGAACGCGTTGAAACCCTGACAGATAGCCTGACGGGACGGGCTTTTCTTGCACGCCTCTTGTCAGACTACCCTCATCTTCTTGACGTTACCGGTCTGCGGGGAGCCCGACGTACGGTCATCCCTGATGAGCGCCTGCCCATTCATCCAGGCCAAACAGATCAAGACAATCACAACCGTTGCTGCCAGTCGTGAGTCAGAAGGTCCACTCTGGCCTGAATCTTGTGCAACGACTGACGACGTCACCTTTATACAGACTGCGCCTTCGTAATCTTCCAGGATCGAGCGACTGCGGAGCGAGTAGCAGACTCATTAACCGCCCAGGGTGGTATCGAGGTGCTGGGCAAACGTGGCAAGGTCGTCTGGGGTCGACCAAGACCAGCTAAAAAGGCCATCACGGCATCGGCCACCGCTACCGCTGTCAGCGCGTAAGCAAAGGGTTCGATCTACCTATAAATCTATAGATTGTGGGAAATCAGTTGTATTACCAGGACGCGCAGATGATTGAGATCAACCACATGATTACTCGCAGGCTTGTGACTAGTAATCACGATCGTCACAGGTTTCAAAACGCCGAGAGATACGTCAGCCGTTCCCAGCCCACCAGAATTCGCCATAGGGCATGAGTGCCGTCACGCAAAAATTGTCCCTGGAGTCGCTATCTTGGAGTTAACGGCGAAAATCGCTAAGCGATGCTGGTAGCTTCAACAGTTGACAGTAGACTCGATTATCATCCATTTGATGGCATTGTCGTCGTCGCCGCTAAGGTGGCATCTCTAGTCTAAAAGTACCAACTTGCATCAAAACCCTCAATGACACCGACGCCAACAACATGATCCCCCTGCCGTTAATTGCGGTCCTCTCTTATATCTCGCCTTTCCTCTGCTTCTTCTATTCCTCACCGTTATTCTCTTTTCCTTCTATCACTTTTCACATTCATGGACCCATCGGATATTCGTTGTATCCGTCTCAGCCCTCCGGACCCTCATACTTGTCGTCCCTCACTCTTGCCACTGCTCCCCGTTCTCAACTCGCTTTATCACGCCCCCCTTATACCCGCCTTGATTCTGGAAGAATCCGTTATTAGCCTTGTTAAAGTGCCGTTTGCTCTCTCCTGCTGCCAGGATCATTGCTTCGATCCATACTTAGTTGCTAAAGAACCTCCTTCTGCCCCCTTTGATCATCCACTACAACCCAAAGCTGGGTCTTTACATACACAAATATCTGGAGTAGTTAAGTTTCAATGGAGTTTCTTTGCACGGTGGACACGAGACCATAAGTCTGATAGAGCGATATCACATCTAAGCGATCTGCCGATTCTGAAGCGGAACCGTATGCGAATGTTGTGCTGTGCTAGTAATACAATCTTTTGAACGGAGACTGGCCTGTGTGCCAGTCCCTCTCTACCTGTATAAGATCTCCTCCTCGTCTGCATGCTGAAGTCGTGGCTGGAAGAGGAATGATTGCACACCAAATAGTGTGCGTGCGGTGTTCAATAGCTGTGACAATCGATTGTTTAGCATTGATGCAGCAGTATGCAAATCCGCACAGGACAGGACTTACGTCTACAACGGAGTGACTCAATTTCGAGAGCGCCTCGCGCTCGGCACAGGCGTATAGCACTGCCAACTCTGGACTTGTGGTCCGCGGAGTCGGCAAGCCTGCGCTCTCGCTTCGATGGGTCGGAGATCGTGACCGAGACCGGGATCCGCTATTTAGGTGTTCCTCGACAGCTTTCGCCCAGTTATTGACCGCTTCTATGGGAGAAGTCATGAACTGAGGCAAAGGTGTGCGGGACCTCGAAGCGTGAGCGACCGCAAACATGACGACGTAGACTGATGATACCAAGTTTTGTCGGAGCGGAAGCACATCCAGTACCGTCTCCTGGCGAGGGATACCTTGTCGAATGGTCCTGATCTCAACGAGGAGATCGTAGATCTTGGCGATGTCGTTATTGAGTTGTACATGTATGGCGTACGGTTTCGGGAGGAGAGAAATCTCAAGTTGTTGAATCGTCGCAAGTGAGCGACACTGCCCGATCCCGATCTATACGACGTATCTTTTAGCAAGGCCTCGACTCCAGTTGTGCAGGTGTCTCACCTCGATACTACGCTCGAGCCCGGCGTATTGCTCTCCTGGAACGCGATTTACCAACGACGGCCGAAGATTCTCGCTATTGATAGACTTGACTTAGCATTTACTCTCGGACAACCAGGTTCTCGAGCAACTCACCGACTCATGGTCAGATCTTTGGGGTTCATAATTGCACTTCCGTCAGTAAACGGGGATTTACTGACCAATTTTCGGCCGCACGACTAACACAAGTCCCCTAAAGTATCCAGAGTCTGCGCGACTACCTTGTGGTATCGAGTTCTAGCATGGTAAGGGAAGATGAAAAGGTTGACAAGAAAAGCTCCCACGATTCTGATTCGACGGTATAAGCTGGCCGCAGACGAGCAGACATACTTCAAAGTGCTTACCCAATGACTATCTGCGCAGCACGCCATAGTGCAACGATCAAGGCGCCATGGTACGACTCCCGCTCAAGGTATGGGATGAAGAGGATGGGAGGTAAAGTGATGCCACTGCATGAATCGAAAAGTGAGCACGTTGCAACGGAACGCACAAACATGCAGACTTACGCAACGATACCGATCCCAGGGGTGTTGGAGAACAACATCAACCAAGCGATCGGTAGACTCGCGACAGTAGATACTGCGCTGAGTCCATATGGCGTTCCCCGTGACATAACGTAACCCTGTAAAGATTCCGATCCTCGATTAACCGAACTCTTCCGCCAAAAACCCAATGACCGAGAGCTTACAACGTAGCCAACAACCGCACCAGAAACAGTGCCGATCACACGCCACACTCCCAACCTGAAGGTAGCGCCGGTGGTGACGTCCAATACATACATGCTGGAGAGAACCTCTTGATCAGCTTAGATCTGATGCTTGCTAGGACGGCAGACGGCTTACTAGCTGATGACAGACTGAGGGGGATTAGGAAGCACAAAACCACTAAGTCAAGAACATGGACATGCACATCGCAGCCGATACTTACCCATTGCCCCCTTGCTGAAACGAAATATTTTCTGCCTATGTCGAGCGGGAACGTTTATCTTCAGGGTCAAATTTATATCTTGTCATACCTGTTTTGAGGCTCACTTTGACTTCCGAGCGGCAACAGACCCGGTAAAGACAGGAGCATAACACCCAAAGCCAGTTTGAAGGCGTATTGAATATGTCGGGAATGCTTGAATTCCGAGATCGCTCTCGACAAAGTTAGTCTCCCTGCAAGCGTGTATTCGATCTGATCAGAGGTGACCGTTGACGACGTTCTTGCGACCGAAACTCACGGGAGAGTGTGCTGTCAGCGTCCCACCACTTGGCATACATCAACTTGAGCCTGGGTATCAGGTCTTTCCATGGTGTCCTCCTCCTTCGCAGCTTCTCACGGGAATCCGACTTTTCGTCGTCGTGCTTTTCCGAATCCCGCCGTTGATGACGCGATATCTGGCGTGCCAGATTCTCTTCATGCTGGGCCGCCTCTCTGGCTTCTTCTCGAGCCTCCGCGTCGTCGACATCTCCTCGGTTGGACTCTATTTGACACGGGTTAGCTAACACCCACGATGACGCAAAGAGTCGAATCGCAGACCTACCTCGGATTTCCTGTGTCCAGCGATCCGACTGCAAACCCGCTTGGATCGTACTTCGTTCCAGCCAGGCCAAATCGAATAGTGGAAAGTAGAAACGTTTCCGCTTGAGTACGAAATGCCCGTCCTTGCTATTCTGACAGGCAAAGTTCAACAGGTCCCTTGTCGCGTTGCAAAGCAGGCTGACGTCCTTTGCGAGCTAGTGTCGAGATAACGTCACCGACTCGACATCAGTGTCAGAGTCAAGGTCTTATGGTAAGAGTTCGTTACTTACATCCAGGATTGCTACTAGCCAAGCGGCCGCCTTGACACGCTCCTCTTGCGCTTTAGCGACATCTTCCTTGCTAAGCGTAGCGTCAGGGTCGATCGGAGTGGATGTCCCGGTCGTATCCTCGGCATGATAACCTCGACGACCTCGCACCTTGTCCCGTTTGAACAGCATCCTGGCGATATCTCGGCTAGACAGTTCCTTCATTTCCCTCTCTGTGATCATTCTTCCGCTTTTAGGCTGGGAGAAGAACCCCGTCTCGAGCCAAGTGAGGAGATCGTGCTCGTAGCTCCAGGTGGCGTTCAAAAGAGCCTCTTGAGAGGCAGCGAGCCGTCTTCGAGGATCAGACGGTTCACCAGCCTTTCTGGCCCTCGTCTTGTGGGAAACGACGTGATTCTGCCAGAACCCGAGCGGTCCGCCCAAGTTTTGCCGCGAGTCGCTATCGTCCTGGTGCCAATCGTAGGCTTCCCGTACGGCTCGAAGCGAATCCTCGATAGCCAGCGCGATCAACTCTCGGATCCCGTCCAAGCTCTCCTTGAGCTGTTTTTTGCCATTCCCCGATTGGAGCTCGAAGGAGTATTCGCCCGAGGTGGTCTTGGCCAAGTCTTTCACGATAGGATTTCGACCGATGTGTGTGTACAGGATGGTCAAAATGGGTCTGAGACGACGGGTCGACATGGGATCGTACGTGATACCATGCAGAGCTGTCGAATAGTGTTCACGAATGATCGGGAGGAGCGAGATGAGCGGCCGGTATTTCGGTTTGACGTCATCCTGTTCCGCCAACTCGATAGATTCTCTGGCTTGTTCGATTTGAGCCGGAGGAGAGTAGGCGGTGGGAGTTGCCGACTCGTTGCTCGCGTCCTCCCGCTCTTGTTCCATGCCGTCTGCACCACCGTCGGACAACGTCCGAGAGTGGCGGGACACCGTATTCCGCATGACCCCTCGACCTCGAATGCCAGCTGCGAGTCCTTTCAAAGCTTCTCCGAGTATGTCATTCAAACGCTTGCGTTCTGGAGGTAGTATAGTGTGACCGATTATAAGGCTGATTATGGATAAGAGTGCCGACCAGAGAGTTGGATAAAAGAGCAGCAGGAAATGGTCGGCCGTAAGCTGCAGAGGAGTGGTCCTTGAAATCAGCTACCAGCAGTAAAGCTACTCGCGGTCAAGTGCAGATACTTGCCACTCTGATATTGCTTGTACCGACCAGGGTCCATATGGTATGAAAGAGGAGGATCCGGGAAGCATTGACCAGACGTGGGGAAGTCGATCGGATCCATCCCGCTGATATGTAAGCAGTTTAGAGATCAGTCGCACTTGAAAACAATGAAGCAAAAGAAGGACTTACATATAAGTGCTATTATCACCAGACCAAAGGCGCAAACCACCCTAGCTCCGATCGTCTCGCCTTCGACATTTTCCGGGAGCGACGAGTGCCGATTGCAGAGGATGGCAAAGTAGAGAACGAGGTCCGAGTAGGCCAGGGCTACGACGGCTCCAAGGAAACAAAGAGCTGGCAGACCAATTGAAGAGCTTGAGAATACGCAACATAATTCCATTCGCAAGACTCGCGATGTACGACTGACCACTGCTCTCGATCAAGGTGCTTAGGGTTCCGGCGGGGTAAAAGTACAGGAATTGCAGGGTCGAGACCAAAAAGGCGAAACTCCCCGACAAGTCCGCGATAGGCCGGACGGTGATGAAAACGCAGGAGAGCAAGGCGGCGATGACGGGTGGTAACAAGCAAGCTACGACATTGCGATCCGGTAGGCCAAAGTGGAGGCGGATCATCTCGTTGAGGAGGATCGGCTCCGGGAGTTTATTCTTATTAGGCGATGTTGAAGCGGCCGATCGCTGATATTATAAGTCTATTAGTCCCGATGGTATATCATTACAGAGATCGTCGCTGGCCAGGAATGTCCTGAAGGTCGGGGTCAGTGGAAGATGAACGTTGAAGATGCGAGTTATCAAGTGGCAAGTGGTTTGACTTGGGTACATGATGGAGGTGATCGACGTTTTGAACAAGGTGGAGGTCGATTCACAAGGGGGAATGTGGGTCATCGAAGAGTCCAAGGTCAGGTTCATGGTAGTAGTACTAGGATAACGACTTGCAACCCTACGAGGTCAAAATAAGTTGATGAACCTCTTGATGCTTGATGTCACCCTCGTCTCTTCTCGATCACACAAGTCTGAACCGACTCTATATGATACACGCAAGTGATCTCCAGGAAAACCAACCGCGACAATGACGACCCGCCTCTCTAGAACTATCAGGCCCGCGATACAATCGCTAGGTATTCGCCGCCTACACGCTTGTACACCTCTACGCAACGTCGAAGCGATACCGGAATCTGAATCTTCCACGCAAGCCAGCCAACGCAGTCGAGCAGCCGAAGCCAAGGCTAAAGCGTGGTACCTCGAGGAAGAGGACGATCTCGCCCCGACACTCCCCAGTCGCTCTTCTTCGGGACCGGTCTTTACGACGTATAATCCCATGACCACCTTGCCAGAACCCGCCGCCGATATCCCGCTACAGAGCCTGCCTCACGACGTCCCTGAATTCGCCAGACCCCTACATGCCTTTCTGACCGAGAACGAGCTCTTCGTACCGCATACGATCAGCTTCAACCGGACAGAAGGGTCTAAAGCGTCCAAGTCTGTCGCCGAGTTTCCTAATCCCCAACCGGAACGAGGGAAACGGAGGAGGAGCAAGTCGGACAGTGGGGAGGGGATCGTAGTTCCTGGACACGAGGTCGGGGCGTTCTGGGATTGGGTCGTGGTAGCGCAAGTTGCCGCTCGAGGAAAAGGAGCCGTAAGCAGACCGTCATAGCGAACAAATGGCGTTCAGAGCAAGTCCTCATCAGATTCTGTGTTCGCGCTTCTTGTCTCTAGGTTGGTAGAGGGGAGCGGAGTATAAGAGAATTCGTAAGTGCGATAACCTCTCCAAGAAACGTACCGACATTGCCGGCTGAACCTCCTACTTTACACTCTAGTTGTACTACAACCCCCTCAACGCCCCAGCTCGCCCTCGAAACCCAGACAAACGCCCAAACCTACCCCGATCCAACAATCCAGATTCAGATTGGACGCTCCTAGACGCCGGACGTGGGATCTGTATCAACATCATGACCGCGGAAGGTCGCGAAAGATGGGGACTCGAAGACGCTTGGAAGGAGAGCAGATGAGGACGAGTCTTGTAGGGTGTTGATCGCTTGTCTCCCTGGGCGTAGCCGCAGGCTCCAAAAAAGATGGTCTGTATCACATAACCAGGCTTCGACTGGCTGAGAGAAGTATCAATTCTCGCATGGAGTCCATTTAGCCTTTCGTCCATAGCAAAAAGAGCGAGAGCCTTTAAGACACATATCGATATATCTAACACTCTTGCAGCTGTTTGGTGTGCCTAGCTCTCACCCTCTCAAAAGACGACCACAGAATCTCGTCCTTGACAAAGCCAAGAACGGGTCGGAGAGCGGCCAGCTTGTTATCTACAGACTGAAGGCTAGATGCCCTGGACTGAAGCCACGTGGTGAGCGGATCGTGTTATTGCTATTTCCCGTACGTATATAGCCTGTGACAAGGTGGAACTCGTTGAGACCTTAACCGTACCATAGCCCTTGCCGGCCTCCGTTTCTCCTTGGTCTTAGGGGATGGTTGTTGGCGGGCTATGCTGCTTCAGGTCTACGACATATATGAGGCCAAGGGGGTGGTGTACCCCACCCTGATGAGAGAATAATATACATCGACTCAGCGTCATTTCAGGAATTGGCCGAAATAGGCGAGATATTTCCCGACTTTGTCTCTTTGAATTTGAGCAGGTGCCCCCTTACCTTTGAGACGTGGCGACTCAAGTGCAACAAGGATCTATAGACCGTCTACCTCCGTTCGACGTGGATAACCGAGCTGGCCGAGCGGTTGGGCTGTCTGGTAATCATTGGAATTCAAGCTGGATCTCGGGGATCCGAGACCCAGCATGCCTCAACCCCGATGGGAGCGCCTGATCGTGGCAGTCAGCCGACTCTCAAGGTCCCTAATTCCAGGGGCGCAGACGGATCATGGCAGCGGAGACAAGGAGCTCACGGACCGAACCAACAATATTGTGATTTAGCTTTTTTATGTTTTTAACGGCACGCTTGCTTTCACGTGTGTAATTTCTAGATACCCTACAGATGCCATCGCGGATCAACATCATCGGTCTGGTGATACCGAAGCACCACCTATCTCCTCCGATCGTAATCCCCATCCCTATCTCGATCCGACCGACGGTCCCGACCCCCCCTGTCCCGCTCCTTCTCCCTATACCTATCCCGCTCCCGATCCCTATCCCCACCTCGTTCTCGTTCACGATCCCTGTCCGAATCATATCTAGAACCACCCCTTTCCCCATCGTCCCTCCTGCTCGACCGGTAACGATCGTCGTCCCGCCGTCTAGAGCTAGACTCATAGTCCCTCTCCCTCTCTCGGTCACGTGAGGAAGTACTGTATTCCCCCCTTCGTCCTGAATCCCGGTCGCCATTCCTGCTATAGTTGAAATCAGCTTCAGACGATATCTTTCCAGTCAAACAGATCCTTCGGACCGACTAACCTATCCCTGTTTCTATCCTGATCAAACCCGTGTGTCTCCCGATCACCATCCCTCCGCCTAGATCTGGACGTATCGCTACGAGGAGGACTAACCGACCTAGACCCTTGCCTAGATCCAATTCGGGCGACGCTGGACCCCGATCCGGGAGATCCAGCTCGAGAGGTTGAAGTAGAGGTAGATCCGTCGATGTGGCTTTCCTGCGGTGTTACAGCATACAAACATCAGTCATTGATTAGAACTTACACCTTCGAGAGGAAAACAGAGTCGACCGAGAACTCACCCTGGCCCGCTTGACGACGGGTATATACCCTCTTCCTCCTCTCGTAGCATAATCCTCCTTCCTCTTCCTATCCCTCTCTCCTCTGCTCATCCCCTCAGTATTGCCCTTCCCCTGTCCCCCTTTTCCAGATTCCGACCCAGGCTTCTCACTCGCTCCCAGCCCTAACCCAGCCGGCCGACGCTTAGGCTCGTGGACTTTCGGATTAGGTCCTGAACCTGGGTTCCAGCCCATTCCCCTTAAAAGGGCTGCGCCGAAAGATTCGATGGGGACAGAGGAATAGTCCTCCATGGTCGATTCTTCGGGGCGGGTGAGGATGTCTTGCCGGAACGCGTCCGTCTCGTCACCAGGACCTTGAGGTCGGTCGAAAAGGTTGAGAGTGTCGCTTTGGAGGTCGATGGTCATGTCCCGAGATGAGGAGGAATTTTCGTTGCCAGACTCGAGGACTGCACGGAGGGCTTGTTGTTCCAGGCTCAGTGTCTCTGTCTCGGTAGACAGCGAGTCGGTCGGAGGCCCGGTTGAAGTAGGAGTTGGCGTTGTGGTATCACCGTTTACCTGCTCTTCCCCATTCACCGTAGAGCTCTCAACCCTCTGCAATCCTCCCTGTATCACATCGTCTCCCGACCGTTCTACTAGGTCGTCCGCGGTGATAACCCTCGGCCCACCCTCAGGCATATACGTGGGTTTCCTGGATTTCGCACCCTTCGAATGAGACGACTGCCTCCAATCCCGATTGGGTAGAGATGGAATGACCATAGGCCCAGCCGGCCTCGTTTTATTGGAAGTTTCCAAACCATTCTCGTTGAACCCTACGATGGCTTCGTCTTTTCCCTTTCCTTTGCCTCGTCCTGCACCCTGTCGACCTTGGTCGACTTCGTCTTCATCGTCATCGTCTCCCCCGAAAGCAGATCTCCGAGGACGATCCTGTTCTAATCTTCGAGTATAGCTCGAAGTGGACAATGGAGATGGCCGGATAGGCGCTGTAGGGATTCGGAAAGGGGCGGTAGTAGGAGTGCGGTTCTGGTCCGTGTTGGTTGACGAGGAGGACGACCCGTTGGTAGGCGGGCGGATGGTGAATGAGATTGGCGTGGACATGGTTGATCGCCAATGTCGTTGAGTTAGTGGCAAGAGGCACTGGAAGTCGAAGGTAAGAATCGAATTGGAGCTTACGACGATTACTAGCTATTAGCTACTAGCTAGAACCGTAGTAACTTAGTAGAGCGTCACTCTTTCGAATATGGCCAACCTCGAGTCGACCGATTACGTAAAGATTACGAGAGGTAGGGAAAGGCTGAAACCGTTCTGAACCGGTGAACCATAATCATCCCTGTCATGTTCGGCACTGCGCATGTAGCGACAGCATTAGCGACTCATACCTCATCGAGCGGGACGATGCTTCGGATAGAGTAAGCTCACATGGGTTCAATCGGTAATCGGTTCGGATCATTTTAGCCAGATCTGTCAATGTGTATTGTTCGAGGGGAATCTCAGGCGGGTAAACAGTCGGGTCAAAGCTGATTCTATCCGGTTGGCTACCTCAAAGTCGAGGCCATGACTCCACCGAAGCCAGCCAAATATGATAAACGCAGAGTCGCTCAGAGGAAGACACCTGGCAAAGAATAGACACAGGTACGCTGTGACAGGTGGCCTGTTATTAGTCATGGTATCTCGATCTTTTTTTTACACTCTATTTTGGCAATCGAGCATACATCTTTCGACCGAAGACTAAAAATCCTTTTCGCCGTAAACGTAACCCTTTCGATCGTAAATCTCGTCTCCTCGATCGTCAACGTCAGTTTTCCCCTTTGGATTCAACCAAGGGTCCGCTTGCGCCACAATTTCCTTCAACATGTCAACATCAACTCCTAACCCCTGACCAGGTTGAGCCAGAATTGCCTTTGCCAGGCCAACGCATCGTGGAAATCGCGGATCCCCAAAACCATCTTGTCCAGCAGTGATGCTGATCCTTGAAGCGAGACCATCAAGAGCGTCTTCTTTGGCAGTTCCGGCTCTCTCGAATTGGACTTGCCCCTCTCGGAAATCGGTCTGACGGAAAGATGCCAGGATACGCTTGATCTTTGGCCTATTTTCCTCTTCTCGCCTCAGCAAGGTCGCCAGTATATGCTGAATACTTGCGATAAGCAGCGGCTTAGCCCTACAATTGGGTTGTAGCAATTCAGCCTCTGCAGTCTTGAGCAGCTGAATGGCTTCACAGTTTCTCATGCCCTCGGCTTTCTTAATGATACCGCCATCGATCTTGTTCCCGACCATCTTCGGTAAAATGGCAAACTTTATAGTCCGGTACTGATGGTCAATGGATTCCTGATTTCCGGTGGACACGCTGCCGACTGTATCGGTTGTAGCTGTTGGAGCGCGATCGGCGGCGGCCACCTGGAAGGCAGAGAAGTCTGGGGCAAGTAATTGTCTTCCTGTAACTGTGGTTTGCGATCCCACATGAAAGGAGCTCGGTTCTATCGTAAAAACGCTGTCGTCGAAGCTGCCGTAATCCATTGTGGTGCCGAGATGTGGCGTCTGAGTGAGGTTTTGACCAGTAACTACCAAAAAAATCGATGCTCCGAGAATTTGACGGCTGAAAGGGAGTCGAACAGTACCTAATGCATTGAAGGACTAAAAATGTGGCGGCATTATATAGGTTCCCTATAGACAGGCGAAGGCCATGAAATGCAAGGATCATACTGCTGGGAAACAAAAGAAGCTGCACAAGGAAGGAAAGGCGGGGCGGGGAGGCAAAAGTGATGGAACGCAAACTCTCACTCCTGCAGAAACAAAGGAAGGTGTGCAGTGCAGGGAAAATAGTCGAGCAGGACAGTGAGACTAGCGGCCGACCTGGTATACGTCCCTTAACATGTGCCGCCCTATACTTGTATGAGCATTCTTGTTGTTTGACATCAAGTTTGCCAGTTCCAGTATTCCCTTGAATCGATAGCATCGCCTGGAATACGCGCTGGTAATCAGACACCTTGTACGATTACAGTTTGCGTCTGGATGAAATCTGATGACTCAAAAGGATCCCATTACCGGGACCTTACAGTAAGGAGACTCCTGCATAAATGCGGATCTGCGCTCAATAGATCTCCAGTGTTTTGTCCAACAGATGCGAAATGTTTGCGATCCGGCTCGTTTGCATGGCATGTATGAGTATCTTCGGATTTTATCTCTTATGCTTCTGTGTATCTGTACCCGAACGCATCTACAGTCCACATCCCGCACCCTCCTACTTCATGTCTAGACGGTCTATACAAGGCGTTCTTCCTCGAATGTCGATTCCGACGCCATTCTATTGCCGCTTCCTCCTCTCCTCCAGCGCCTGCTCGTTCTCCACCCAATGACCCGTCTGATCCTTGTGTCGCACGGTGAAACAAGCGATACCGAGGTATTCCGTGCTGTGGTTCCACCACGTACATTCGTATGGGGTCAGCTCAAGACAAGACATACGAAATCCCGACCACGATGATGCAGAGCGGCACTCACATCTGCCAGATGGTGCTCTTGGCAAACCTGACATAGTTGGCAATGGCGAACAAGGCGGATCCCGCCACGAAATACCACGTCCTCGCATCGGTCGTCTGGATGAACGACTCGCTATACATACAAAAACGCGGTCACCAGAGAAGTGGTGTTTGCATAGACGTCAGCCAACTCGTGGATTTTGCGACAGACGGGATACTCACACTCCGAATCTGGGCAAGTTGGCGTCCACCGCACCCAAAAAGGTCCAGATCATCATCCCGTTCCAGTAAGGGAACGCGCTCTTGGTCACGTGCGCCAAGATCAAATGGCTGACTTGGTACGAGAACCTACAAGTTTCCCGATGCAAAAATCACACCTCAACAGGATCAGTACGGTAACTCCTCGAAGATTTGACCGATAGCATCGAGTCGACCTACGTAGCAGCCCAGTAGACGGTAAACCACAAGATCTTCTCCGTGGGCACGATATCCACCTTGGGTCCAGCCAACCAGGCGACCAAGAGGACGGTGTGGAAGAAGTAAGGCAAGAGTCCCAGAAGAGGTTCTAGGACGGGTTTGTTGGCTTTTCTCCTAGCTTGGATGACGTTGTAGTAGCTAGTACAGAGCGACAAAAGATGTTTGAGTAGTGAGTGGGACTTCGACGGGATGGACGAGATGAAAGAGACAATATACTCACGCATTGGCAATGTTACCCGCCAATCCCAAAGCCCCAAAGTAGAGGAAACTTTCTACGACGCTAACCCCCTTCAACCATTTCAACTGACTCAGACCACCATGCAACTTCTCTACGACGTCCTCCACCCCATGTCCGATGCCCATCCCAACCAAGGATTGGAACTTGTGCGCGAGGATGGGCAAAAAGTCGATGACCGGAGTCTGCCAGAAAGCGGGCGTCTTGGCGGCGGTAATAAAGTACATTCCGCAGATCAGGAGGATACCCTCAACCGGCCCGGAAAAGGCCGAGAGGTAGAGGGTGCCGGTGTGGTATTCTTCCCAGCTGCAAAGTGATGTGAGATCTCGCTCCATCAGCCTCGTCTCTCTTGATGCAAATTCTAAAGTCGAAAGCGAGACTCACGTAGAGAGGTAGAAAGTCGCCAGACTAGAAGCCTGACAGACGACGGTCCACCACGTCCTGGTCTGCCCGAAAGCCGCCATACAGAGGATGACCTCGAGCTGCCATCGCACAAGAGCGCAAACATCATCGCATTAGCCCCTAGTGCGTACTTTGTCGGGAGAAGCAAAAGAAGAAGAAGTTCCAACTCACACTGGTGTTGATCGCGTCTACCAGAAAAGAAACGATCAATCAGCTCAACTGAAACATCTTTAAACAAGGTTCATTCTTCGCAACTCACCAATCCCATGATCGAACATCTCCCCCAAAGGCCCAGCCATACCCGTCCTCCTCGCTTGCTTCCCATCGATAGCGTCCATGGATTGGTACAAGAATAGACCGATACCCCATCTGTTCCCGGTCGTTGCATTGACGGTAAATTCGGTATCGAGTCAAAGTCAGGTCAGGTCAATATGAGATCCGGATGGATTGATGGTCGAGGATGGCGAGAGAACGTGCGTGTTGTCAGGTTCAGCGGAACGTTGCCAATTCAGAAATAAGCAGATTGGGTGATACACGCAAACCGAAACATAGGATAGACATGATATTTGATGAGCCATCAACACAATTGTCTTCACAAACTGTAGCTAAATACCGGCAGGACTTACGATAGATAGACCCATGAAGGTAATTCTTTCCCCTCGTATTTCGGGTCGAAGAACAAGAGTGTGGCTATGTTCACGGCTACGAATCCTAGACCGATCGAGGTGATCTATCGCGGGTAGAGCCCAAAGAACACGGTGATTCGTTTCAGGATCCGCTAGAACTTTATGGAGTGCTAGGGGACAGCGAGGGGGACTGACGGTGTTCGGTGCAATTGTTTTCGGGAAGTAGGTCACCAGGTGATTCCAATACGGTGTCAGGATCGTCTTGGACAAGAGGGACCTGTTGTTCGGTCACAGAACCAGGAACATGATAAGCTGGTAGATTAGATATTTAGTACGAGGGAGGTTAGATACTTGCTTGTCTACCCCAGAATACTTGTAGAGATTGAGACCTTCGAGTTGTTGACGAGTGAGTTTACCCATGGTGATCGGTTTTGCGGGCCTAGCGGACTCCGTTTTTTTCGGAACAAGCGTAGGATGTAGACTATGAGTTCCTCTAGCCGTATTATATGGTCCTCTTTCGGCAGATATAGACCTGGAATGGTTGCTAAATAAACAGGTTGACAACTTGATACTCGTCATCATAGCCCCCCCACGGGCATGACGTTGGTGACGGGTCGATCACGTGAAAGTGGGAAAGTTCGGCATTCTCGAGGTTGAAACTGAGATCATCTGGCATATCTTGTAGTTGCTTCGTTGTAAATTGTACCGGGCCTTCAACCTCTATTGCTACGAATTGCTACCCATACAGTCTTCTACATTATCCAGCATGAGCTCATGTGAGCTGCTTCTGATCTGCTACAGTTCGACCGTTGCTAATCGGCCCCACTCTTACCACTACCCATAGCCGCACCCACCGACGCCTCAAATGGCGAGTCCGTACAATCCAAGCTGGCCGCCCTGGCCGCCCGTCAATCCAAGGGTCAAACGACAGACCCCAAAGCTCTGACAAAAGCGTCTACCAAGAACGCCCGACTTCCCGCTCAGCCTGTTGAGGGAGGCTCGACGACCAAGGCCACGGCGAGGCAGAAGAGCAGCAAGAGTAAACGTAAAGGAGAGAAGATGAAGGAGAAGGCTTTGGGGACTTCGGAGAGGTTGGGAACCAAGGTGCAGCAGCGAGAGAATAGGAAGGTGAGTCTGAGAGAATGCTTTCAAAAAAATCCCCGCACTCCGTCCGTCACTGACCTGTATTCTTGTTCGCCATTACCAGTCTCAACGAGAACGAGCCAAACGAGCATGGGATTGAATCCTCGGCTACCCCTTTTCCTCTCGCTCGTTCACTTGCGTTCTCCCGTCTCGTCGTTTGACCATTACTCCGCCGAAGACGATAGTTGTCTGCGACTTCCCACACGCCGGACTTTCCTATCTAGTCCGGGTCTCGCACGATTTCTCAGCTTCGCGCCGACAACCACCAGAGGCTGCGAGCAACCCTCCGTCATCCAGCATTCTAGTTTCTTCAAAACACAAAGTCTCGCCTCCCTTAATCGGCCTTACCGGAATCATCCGTCCTGCCTCATTCGACCCCGGTTCTTGCCGGCTGATCATCCAACTCAATCTTCAGACCTTGCAACCTCATCGCGACAATCACCATAGACATATCATGCATACCATACCTCGGACTGGCCTAGCTCGTTTCACATCGCGTCACCGTACGAAGCAATACGACGGTATCCCGACTCCTCTGTTTTCGCTCTTTAACTCCATCGGCCTCTCCTCAGGTCCTGTTTTCAATGTATAGTGTACTTGTAACAAGTCGTCTGTCGTGATGTATACTACATTTATCGCAATGTCGGACATAGGTCCGAAAGCGATCTCGATTGCCTCGACTCGACCTAGCTGGATGTCCAGTCGCTACAGCGCGGAATCTCGACCGTTCCAAAACTGAGAAGAAGGCAAGAAAAGCTTGAATTCCCAACGTTTCTCTCCTTTCACGGTCTCCGAATCTGTGGCCCGTGACAACCTTTGTAATGCGATCGCGTCTTTACATAGGCTGAAAGGTGTTCCAGCGGCATAGCACAAAGGAAGATGTCTTACGTTTCTGGGATGGCAGCTAGCCGAATGAATGGAAACCTGTCTACTGCGACCGTTTTCCAGCATTATAAAGATGCGCCCAAACAGAGTTTGGAGCTGGACCTGGTGGTTCTACCTTGCTTTCTTCTGTTGCAAAGACTTTGAAGCCTCCATTGCAAATGTCAACAATCACTTACAACTTCAACGTATATGCCGAGGGCGATCACGATTCTGGTCAAGATGGCGAGTACGAAATCGATCCTGACTACGTTTTCTCAGCGAAACGTAAGTTATTGGTAAAAGCTTGTCGATTCAGATCGCAACTGAGGTCGGTATCTTTTTTGGTTCTTGAAGAAGAGCGAGGGTCGTTTCACAGGACTGATACCAACCAACTGGGTGACACCAGCGCTCCAGACCAACTCAATGGTATGTCTACCTATTCAACATTCCGCTTGCATGTTTAGCTAGTGCCTGATGACGTCGGGAATGATGCGATTTCGGCGCTCCGGTATAGAAAGAGACGCCTTGACTGAACAAGAAGAAGAGGAACTAGAAAGACTGGCAAATGCTCCTTGCGCATGCGGTCAGCACTACTACGAGCAAAGTTCCTCTGCCTGCCAAGATGGTCGCAAGAAGGACTTGCACGGGACTGTGAGCGCTTGGGTCGACGGTCGCATTCGACAAGTTATGCCCTGGTTTCCAGTCACTGCTATCGATGACTTCTATCGCGCAACGTTTGTCGCAAGACGTGGCAGACCCTGGACGGAAAAAGAGAATGGTGAAAGACTCTGCTGTAACATCCGCAAATGGAGATCACTGACTCGATCATCCTGCATTCTACCAACATAGTCGCTTTCATCAACACGAGCAAGGCGCGCCGCACTTACGGCAACAGACTAGCTGCACGCAGACATCGCCGCAAAAAGAATCGCGCAAAGGAAAGATCAAGGACAGGTTCGAAAGGGGATCGTAGTGTGGCGAGAACGAAGCAGGACGAGTCAGGCTATTCCGTCCTCTTGGATTCAGATCCGGACAGAAGCGAGGTCCTGACCGGTGGCGGATTGGGAGTCTCCAATCTTGACGCCTCTTCTCCCTGGACAACTTCGACCAACAATGAAGAGCCCTCAGGATCAAGTCAATGGGATTCTTTTGCCTTCAACTCGACGTTTCAAGGTCAAGACCATTGGTCAGATTGGGGATACGGTAGAAACTCCTAGCTTACCGGTTGTATGACAGGGTCGGACATAGATGCGTATACCGAACCATTGAAGCCGAGAGATGTGTATGTTTTCATTCGGAGGAAGTGAACGTGATAAGGTGATATGCAAGAACAACAGGACGTTCCCGCTCCAGGGGGAAATACATGCTCGCTCCCATGAAGCTACAGCTTGAAGAGACTATTGTGTTCAGGAGGGGCGCGGCAATCGTATTGATGATTGAAGGGGCCCTGACAGCAGCACCGCACAGTTCCCTACCCCGATCACTCAGTTTGTCATTTGACTATCCACTACCAACAATCAATAAATGCGGGCTGTGCGCAATGTAAGTGAGACGATGAGGAAAAGACACGCCTCCTGATTGCCAGGCCTTACTCTAGCTTGAGATCAGATTGCTCCCGCTGTTTCGTGCTGTCGTTCTTGCGTTTTCGGCAAAGTCCCTAGACTAGTGAGAATGCAGATCTGCTGATATGGCTACTCCCAATTCTTGCCTAGGTTGCGATTCGAAAGTGGAACGCGCCTGATGACCATTCCCGTAACCCTTCACTGTATCAACGCCGACGGCCCTTCTTGTGCATGTTTTTCTCCCCCTTGAGCGAATCGGCATTGCCGTTGAGTGCAATACAGTTGAGTTATGCAAGTGGTGTCGGCGGTACCTAGAGTTGGATTATCACGATCCACAACAATCGAGGATCTATGGTCTGGCTGAGTCAGGTTGACACTCTGCTGCAAAAGTGTTGGTTCCCTTGAACAACATTTTGTGCTCAAAACACCTTCTGCTGGTCGATCCGAAATTGTGGTTGATCGACGGCCTCGTTCCAGGACCCAAAGGAATGTCAGATGGACCCGATCTGGCCTGTATGGGTACTCCGAATGGCAATCACCATGTTCTCATCCTTGAAGAATGGACAATTTATCGGCGTTTCCTCTGTCGCGACACGTGACAAGCGGCGAGCGCCCAGAGATAAGTGCATAGCGAGACGCGAAATCGGTGCTGGAACAGAGCACATCGATGGGGAGGCGAATGAAAGGAAGCCCGTTGATCATCGCCATCTATATATACCCATGCCCATCGAGATGAAGGTTCCGGGCAGAACAGATCGACCGATTCCCTTTTCCTCTCATTATTGCTGCACCTACTTGAGCGCCAGACCAAATGTCATCATATGTGCACGACTCTGACAACCCTGCCTCGGGTGAGTTCCGTCATTCACTACAGAGATGATTATTCTGGTAGTGGATGCCTAATCTCTATAACAATGCCTCGAATCGATTGACGCTGATTTAACGGTCTCGACCGGGCACTGGACTATAAGAGATTGGAGAATCGTCTCTCTACGAACCTGCTCAAGGCGTATCTCACAACTTACCAACACAACCCAAAAGTAAGCAAGTCTTCACAACAATCTATGCACGACAGTTCCCGTCAACAGCTCATGAGAGCGACTGTGTCAATATATTGACGATCATGTCCGCAAGCAGATTCTTTGAATGCCGTGGATAAGTTCTTATGCGAGGAGTTGGCAAACAGTCGCGCCTGCACATGCGGTCAGAAGTCATACGAACAAGGTTCAAACACATGCGAAGATTTGGACAAGCATGACAGGGTCGAATGGGTGAACAAACAGATGACGCAAGTCATGCCCTGGTTCAAGTCATACGTCATCGATGACTTTCACAGGGACACTTTTGTGGAGAGGCATGGTGATTCTTGGACGTTTGCAGAGCAGGGTGAATACTCCACGCTAGCACCCGTGTTTAACGTTTCTGAATTCCTTCACCTCCGTGCCAATATTTCCAGTCAAACTCTGCAACAACAAGGCGCGTAGCACATACAGGAACAAGGTCAACTCACGAGCTTTTCGGCGCAGGTCAAAAGCGGCCCTACAAAATTCAATTGATCTCGGAGTGAGGGGAACTATGCAATATTCGATCCATTCCGATCATTCGGAGTCAGTCCCTGAAAAAATTGACAGGACATTGGAACCGTCCAACGTTACTGCATCTTCATTTGCAACTGAACAGGGAAAGCTCGAGAAGAGGAAAGCGCAGGGCAGGGAAAGACAGAGGTTGCACCGTTTGAGGAAGGAGAAAAAGTTGGAGGCACAGAGGAGACAAAGGTTGGAGGAGACACAAGGGCTAGAGACAAGTTCGGACGGATACCCTCTGTATTCGGATTCTTCCGGCAGAACATGTGTCCAGGAAATAACAGGAAAACCATCGTTTGCTGCACATGCGAACCAATATGAAATCGTAGGCGGCTGTTCGACAGATCCTATGGTGAGTTAGGAATCTGACTTGCAATCATGGTGCAGGTGTTTCCGGCAATCACATCTCACTTAGCTAATCATCCCTTATTGATCAGAGCATCCCAGGGAGCAGTGCCCATGAGGACCAGGTATTTACACGTCTTGGAAGCTCATTCGACCCCAATTGGGTGACCGACTCTGAACGGTCACCAGTACCACACAGTCAGCCTTTCTTCGTCAACGCAAATAATCGTCTACCGATATTGCCTTCGGCTGAGCTGACGGGAGGGTCGGACCAACAAGAGGCGGTCTCGACTGTCGCACATGAAGACCTTGCGCCGTCTGGGCTCTCTATCACGAACGAACGTCAGATTGAGGGATCGAGAATAGACTCGCCTGATACGGCCTACACTAGCTTAGGGAAAATCTTGTACGGGGATTGGCGGCCGTCGTAGCTTCAGGTCGGTTGGGGTTTGATTGTACATCGCTTAGAGAAAGCTGCTACGGAAATGAAGGTATGTTCAACAGCTCTTGCATACCAGTCATCTGCAGTAAGATTATGCGACTCCTTCAGCCACAAAATTGCGTTATTACGACTGAGGCTGGTGTCTGAACACAACTTGTGAAGGTGCCGCCTCTCTCACGATAAGACTACGAGTAGTTACGGCCGGATCACCTTACGTAATTTCAGCCTCCAAGGCTCCTTTTGCTTCGACGATCGCCCTGTTTTCATTCTCGAAGCAAGGCTGTTCTGATGACGTACCGCGAAGTCACCTTAAGTAGCGCTCTTGGCTATCGATTCCAGGAAGGTTTCTAGCGTCTCCATCTGACTTGAGTGAAACCCCCTCATCCGATAGTCCACAGAGTCAGTGATCCGGGCGACGTGGAATAGACTTTTATCAGATGGGAGGTTCCCTATTGTTGAAACCCGTTGCTCTGTTCGTACGCCTTGACCGATTTGTTCAGATTCTGTGTATTGTCGTGAAACATAGGTGCGACGCACAACATATCCCCATATTGTTCTTCGGGACATCATCTATCTACGCTGAACGACTTCCAACTATGAAGGATCATCTTAGATATCGAAACCGTGCAAGCTATAGCATGGGGAGCTACTCCAAATTCAACAAATCCATGTGACTTCTTCTATACCTTGATCGAGCGGAACGTTTTAGCGGGAGCAATCCGCGTGTTTCGACGCGTCTTCCTTTGTTCCCTGTGGCGTGACTGAATGTCCTCAGATCGCGACAGATGTCATAGTAGCTTTCGATATGTATCGTGTTCGGCATCACAGGAATCGTAGCCCTGAGACCAGATGACACCTGATCACATCAGCAGTATCGTCAGTATACATGTGATGCTCCTTTCGAGAGATTCGTCATCGCGCCGTCAGGTAAAACGGATACTCGTGGCTTGCCTCGGAACTCCCTTTGTGGCATCGGCTCGTGAATGCGGAAGTGGAGTATATAAAGATCAACTCATCGAACGATGCATACTAGTGTGCCGATTTTCGCCTCATGTGGGTAGATCAACAATCATCAAACGATGTCGTCTTTGAAGTCGAGTCTTCTTCGTCAGGTGCTAACCCGAGACTCGGCCACTACTGCTTGGGAGTCATCTACCAAAAGCTCCGAAATTGTAGGAGACCATTCCGTGACCTCTCATCCCAGACCTCAGAATTATCCAGACGATCTCCACCCACAATGGGGGCCTCTCGGATCCAATTGTTGGCGAGTATCTGTAGAAGACGAAACGAATGGACGTCCTAGCGAATGGCTATCATCGCGTACTGGTATGTACGACTGCCGAACTCTCAGGCTGTCGATTGGGAGTGTATTACTTATCTTACGCGTTCTCAACCCTCACATTATGATATGTACGACTCGGGAACGGCAGCGAGTAGGGGAAGCTTACATCATGGCTACGCCTGCAGTGTGAATACAGCGATACCTGTATCGTCCCTGATCGGGCCGGAATCTCCTTCGCTCAACCCGACCGAAATACATCACTGCCAGAGATGTGACGGAGCTGTCAGGTCGAATCCCGAAGAGGTGGTACGATTAGATGAGGCTCTGGACGAGAGGAAGAAGAAAGCCCTTGCGACCAATACAGTCAATCCTCTTCAGATTCGCGATGAGTGGTTCTGTCAGCCGTGCAAGGTCTGGAAGTGGGTACACCCTCCTCAGAAATGTCTGGCAGGAAATCACATGCTCGCACACCAGACTGCATGTAGGGGAATATGGAGAGAGACGAAGGCCGAAGGGATTCACGACATCGAGCCTTACATGTTTCTCAATTGGTTATACGGAAGACCGATCAAGAGACTGACACGGGATACGGATCTGGACAGGTACCGACTTTACTGCCTCGATGTGGAAGATTTCGAGCCGAAAAAGAGAGTAGTCGATCCGGGTGATGGAGTCGAGTCGCCATCGTCTCACCAAGATTTGGTATTGTAGCCTCATATGTACTCGTCGTAGGTTTGTAGTCAGGTAGTGAAAATTCTCCTTGATTGCTGGAAGGGAACACAAGAACCACTTGACCCTCGCCATCGGGTTACGCAACATGCGAAAAACCAACATTCCGGACTAGGTGATCTTGAGGGGCGAACGAATGAATCTATGATTCGCAGCTCTGACCGACTTTGTCTAGCGGATGAGCAAAGTAAGCGTCTTGACTGATGAACACAATCGTCGCGGTAAGCTCGGAATCCATTGATTGACTACGATGGGTCTGTAGCTGTAGACGAACATCAGCGTGATCGTTGGGATGCCTGTAATGGGGTGGGGAAATCTTTCTCTTGTTCATGTCCTGGAAAGATGACTTACAGCCGCCTTGACGACCGATACCTTGGCACACCTCACGGTGAAGTCGCTTGTTCCCCTGAGCCGCCTGCTGCTGAAACTAATCAGAGGGGAAAATGGCAAGGGAAGGCGTTTCAGCGGAAGGATACCATGAGTAGAAGGCTGAGTACGTATATACATGTAGAGCAGTTGAGCAACATGCCTCAATGACCTTCATTACTCGAGACTTTAGTCGATCTATTACGATTGACATAGCCAATCTGTGCCGTAACTCTGCAACCCCGCGATCTAGAAATCCGCCCGAGGGCTCCGCCTGCATTACCTAGAATCTTGAACGTCAATCGCACGTTTTGAAAAGGCTTTTCGCTACAACGAACGCAAGGCGTACTCTTATATACCTCTTTACGGAAAGGATGTCCCGCTTCGAATTTACAGAGGAAGTTCAGGAGAGATTGAGGCGCCCAGCTGCGAATGAAATCGATGGACCAGGATTTCTCTGGGAGTGTCATGTCTACAATAAGGACCACCAAAGTTGGATGCCAAGAGTATGCGAGTGCGATGGATACTACTGGCATCCGGCTCCCTCATCCTGTACCGATCAGATCAGGCGGTATAGGCACGAAAAGCTGAGTCTTCCGGTTAAGGAGGCTTTCGAACAGGAACATCCGACTTACAAGGGGCAGGAGTTGCATCTATGGATGTACTTCTGGGTTGTCAAGCGTGATAACAAGCCATTTGACCCAGCAAAGGGTAAATTCATGTGATCTTTTACTCTCTACATCGAGCGTTCAGCCCGTACTGATCATAATCAGCCTGTTGATCGCATCAGCTGAAATATTGTTGGAAACCGAGGCTTTAAAGGGAGAAGTAAGGCGCAACAAGCAAAGGCTCGCGCAACGCAAAAGATACCGAGACTCGCGCCAGCAAATTCGTTCCATCACCAACAGCGTGAACAGTCGAAGTTCAGCTAAATCCAGCTCAAACACCAGTAGAACGAAGAAAAACCGGAAACAAGAGAAAGACCAAGTTGCGCAATCATTGGGTAAATTTTTCAGACAGTCGAGCTCTGTATATGTCGCGATTCTGACTATATGACGGTCTCAGATGTTTCGGCTGCCGATGTGCTCGGCGATTCGCTCTACGTCTCGCCCAACGGCGATCAATTTTCAAGAGGAAGCCATGAGATGGGACATTCCGCCCTCTTTCGAGCTGACACCTTCGCAATCCCTCAAAAGACCATGGACGATCAATGGGTACAGGACAGCCATTTGGGATCATACAGCAAGTCGTTCCTCCATGACGGGAATGGATATCTAGGGGAATCGACCCCATCAGAGACAACGGTAATGCGGGAGCTCCAACGATTGACTTCGATGGCCACCAGAGAAGAATCTGTACTGTATGAACTGCAGCCCCAAGGTGGATGTCAAGCTGGGCAAGAGATGGTAGCTCTGCCAAGCTCGATCTACAGCTCGGGAGAGAATTCGTACAGGGATTGGGAGCCTGAGTGGTTTACACAAGATTGAGCTTTGATCGAAGATTGCTCAGCGATAGCTGGTATAGAGAAGAATGTAGATACCTAACTCTCCGATGATTTCAAGTGCAAGACGATCTTGATGCGGCTGTCAACCGTTCTGGCGCTTTGTGTCAATCGAGGAGCGTACGGCCCAAAGCTTACGAGGTCGCGGTCTGGCTGGGACTAATTGAAGTCCGGGGACGATCGAGTCTCCTTACATAATCCTAGATTCCTTTGTGATCTGCTTCCTTTTAGAATGCCAGCTCCGTTGTTAACTCCTCCTTTCTCGTTATCAATGGCAAGACTGTCTTGCTGGAATGCAACCAGTATAAATAGCGCTAATCGTCAATTCGAGAGTAGTTCGAACGGTTCAGGCTCGGTTTATCACAAGACTTCCATCATCCCGCTCTACAGGAAAAGAATCAATAGTCTACCAAAATCGAGAAACCATGAGCGACTTTCCAACTTCGTATCATGACCCTTCGTTTCAGGATCCAAGTAAATCGACGACCATTATGGTTGTAGGAAATTCCGCTGATCCCGATCATTTCCTATACAGGGGCTCCGTATTACTCTTTACCAGAGGGTACGAAAGGGGTACAAGATTCTTGGATGTCCCGGTCTGAACCTGATCCTTCCAGCAATCAGGATGTTGATCCTGACTCCCCTCACACGACCGTTGCAGGCGGTACATCGGGCGAAGTGACATCTTCGGGCGATTCAGGAAATCCATACTCTAGTCACGATTCAATCCAATCTAGAGATCCCACTTTCGCCACTGCAATCAACAAGACAGTATCGGAACCAGAGCGGGTAAGGTTGACTCTTATCCTTGAGCAACGGCAGAACATAGGCGCTCGTAGGCTATATACATGCCCAGACTGCAAAGAGCTCATGTGGTATGGCAAGGAAGGGTGTGCCAATCGAGGTCACCAATCGTATCATTCCGTCGCATTGGAAGTTGTTGCAAAGGATCTGGTCGCGAACAGTTGGCCGCCAGGTTCGCAGGCCGAGGAATACCAGATCTACAACTATGTCAAGGGCGAGAAAAGTGTATATGCAGACCGGAAGACCGACCGCCGAGCTCATACGAACCGGATCGGTGCACGGGAAAGGATGCAGAGGATACGGGCGAGGCAGCAGGGAGAGTGAAGAATCGAATCTTGTCTTGCATCAGACAAGATTTTCCGTGCTTTTGCCGCTACGCATCCAACTGTGTGTTAATTCACAGTTTTAGCACGTAGATTCTGCCCTCAAAGACTATTCGATGTCGCGCTTTCTGGAGCTAAGGTATCGCCGTAATCTATATGCGCGTGTCTCACCTCCGTACTGTAACACTCGGCGCGATACCGCGCGCTTGACTTGTCTGCTCGCTCGCTCGTGCTTTCGCTTCTACGTCTCTATCAGCTGTCAGCTTGAAGCTCTAGGTTTTGGTTCGTGACATGACGAGCGGACCTGAGACAGTATCCGGCAGCATTATCGACAATTTTGGGCAGAGCGTTAAGTTTGCATGGCCTTGAGTGTGTCTCCTTTCTTTGATATGTCTCAATCGGGAAAGGTTTAGTACTGCTGATACTCCATCATGGGGGCCAGCCCATGGAGACGTCACTGGGAGTGTCTTCCTTTGTTTCGTCAGGGTGCCGCTGATTGAGAGACATCGAGACTTGGTTCTTAAAGCTTAAGACATAGCCTCGGACCGTCCGTCTTGTCGAAACAATCCAGTGCTTCGCCTTCCTGTACAAGTGAAACTAGTAGTAGTTCATCATCATGAGACTATGCCACTACAGCGATCAAGGAGAGAAAAGCATGAACAGTAATAAAACATATGCAGACGAGTCCATTCATCACAACGCGGTGAGCCTCCTCCTCGTTAGGGTTAGAGGGCCCTGATAATAGAGCTGATTCTTTAAGCTTAGGAGAGAGATCCGCTTGATTCTACAATCGCGTCCTCAGGTGCTGGACTCTCTCTCGAACAGGTTTACTGGTCTTTACCTGAAACCGTCACGCATTCTACGTCATCCCGACAAGCCTCGGTACCTCGACGAGACTACGACTCGGCTTGGTTACAACTGGAAGATCAGCAGATGCAAAAGGATGTGTACAACAGATGCGTAACGTGTGGAAGGAACATGTGGAGGCCCTCTGACTTGACCGTCCATGGTATCGACGGCGGGACTTGTGTCGATGCGACGCATCTGCACTACCAACAGGCCTCTCTGGATTTCCTGCCAAGGAGACTCGCGGAGGGAGGGTATGCTGATACACACGTCAAACCTTGGCACATATTTGCCTACAGTCAGGGCGAGAATCTGACAGCCCACAAAGAAGGCGATTACAAAAAAGCTTTTGCAAAGTGGGAAAGTAGGACTAGATCCGAAATGGAGATGCGGAACTGGAAGAACAGGTTGAAGGGCTCTTGGACCATCCAGCTGAATCGAGATGCAGGCCAACATATAAGGTCTCGACCGGAAGACCGGGACGATGCCGATCACCTCCTCGCGACTACCGGCAGGGTCCCGCCAGAATGATTGGGACGCTCGACAATGGCACTAGCATAGTCTGGACGAGAGTGCAGGTGATTTCACCGTGTGGTCTTTCGGGTGTGTGCCGGTGTGCTTATAGCTTGTGGGCTTCATAAAGCTATCTCACTAGCACGAATACGGCTTAGCGCAAATCGAAGGGCTGTGTTTGGCGGATTTGCGTACTGGTCCCTCTATTACCCTGGGACGGGAAAGACCGATGAGCGCAAAACCAGTCAGACCATCTATAATGGATCGATCCGGATTGGGTAATGAGCAGTTCTGAGATATCTCTTTCAGCATCGTAAATGAATATAGGATCCAGATTGCGATTACATTGCCTGGTAATATAGTCGAGTCAAGAAACAGCCTCGCATTGCCCGCAGATCTCCAAGACATCTTAGCTTTGTGCGGGAGATACATAGCTAGTCATTGACCTCGAAACGCGCCAGACTGGAAGCGCCCGTCATTCGGCCTACATATCGTTTCAGATGTCGCGCCAAGACGATGTTTCACTTGCGCGACAGGAATCAAGGGGCTCACCGGTTCCTCCGCTCTGCGAACCGCCGGGAATCTTAGAGGAACATAGGGGTCTGACAGTGAAAGGGATGCTCTCGTCGCGCTTGGCTACAAGAACGGGGAACTCAGGGGTATGTGCGTCAGCTTGACAGTGATTTAGATATAAGATCGACTTGACCAATCTCGCTCATACCCGTCGTACACCTCGAGAGCAAATGGCGCGTATCCGCTAACTTCGCCACTATGACCAATATCACCTCCCTCCTAGCTCTCGTAGGCCTGCTATGCAGTCTGCTATATCCCGTATCAGCTTATAGCCGAGATGGGAAGACCGACTGGAACTATTTCGAAGAGTGGTTCATGGAGGACAAAAAGCTGCGAGAGGCTAACAAGAGGACAATTACAGACTCGGAGAACGCGCGAGGCCAACATACATTCTGGAATTTGAGAAAGGCAAGCGGTATCGGTTCAATGGGGATCGTCAAGGCACACAAGAACGGAAAGAAGGAAGAGCTGCGATGTGGGATGGTCTTCTATTATCCCGGCTTCTGGCAGACTAAAAAGGTCATGGGCGAGCTCTTGTCCGACGACATAAGGAAATGGGCCTTTGAGCAGCCTCTCGCGGTGTCGCCCATTTGCAACCCCGAGCCCGATGAAGATTGGCCGAATCGCAAGGAGAACATGATCGTCTTTCACAACTACTACACGGGCCCTGCCGAACATGACATGTACCTCCTGCTTGAGTACGTGGGATCGGGCAGCTGACTGTTTTCGTCTTTTACTGATATCGTTCATGACTCTGCTACCTGGGATGCTCACAGAGATGGTCCGATCCAGCCGGATCCGTCCGTCCTGGTACAGAATATAAGCGACTTCAAGAGTTATTCCCTGCTTTTCCCCGATGAAGAGAGGAACCTGGTCAAAGGGTCATTCAAGTGAGTATCGCATGCAGCAACTGCTTTTTCCTAAATGAAATTCGAGATGACACTGATAGAGATTGCTCATGTTAAATTTAGGACCCCTCCCGATGCCGGTCAAGTATTCAAGTGGCTCAAGGATTATTCTAAGGATTTTCATGTTGGTACCGTTCCTAATCCCTATGTGATGGGCATCAGTAAGTCGAACCGTATCGAGGACCTATATAGGTGCATCTCGTTGATTAAACCCTTTAGGCGATACGGCTTGGCCCGAATGGTCTCAAGTCGATAGGTTCTGGGGATACAACTCCCAGGGTGATCGTCGGGCGAAGCCGGTGGACGGCTATCCTGCAGAATGACGAGGTGGATCCGTTGAGGCAGATCTAGTCCATTGTTTGCACGCGAATATTATCTCTCTGTTTCGTTGTCCATATGTCTCTTCTTCTTCCTCCATCTTACATACCATAGATTGCTCGAGCTGTGTCTTTGATAATCGTGCGGCAATTGACAGGCCTGTTACAGGGCGCGACTCTTCACGGAGCTTTGAAGCGACTGGTATATCGTGTATCTTGCACCTATTGCTAGCGTTATCAGATCAATCGAAAACCTATACTGCCTCGGTTAAAAAATTATGTATACCGAATGGCACTAGCTGTATGGCAAATACGTTCCTGTCGTCAGGGCCTTCGTATCGCGAAGGAGGGAGAGATTCCTCAGATCCAGCGGGAACAACGAATGGATAAATGTAGCCCCTTTGCTCATCACGACACCAGAGGCCTTAACGACCAGAGGCTACCTGATCTTCATGCCTGATGCTATTCATATCCTAAACCCCCATCGTTAGGCTCTAAATCTGATATCGCCGGCGTCAGTGTACATACGCGACTGAGAACGTATTCCGCGAATCCGCCATCATGCTCACCTTGCGGACCGTCATCCTCTTTATGCCCTGTACAAAACTGAAGCCTGCCATGTTGAATGCCCTTTTCCAGATGCCGTGGCGTAGAGTAATCTACTCTTGCATAGTTCACTTGGTAACTTTCGGAGGGTAGAGAGTCGGATCATCGTTCAGGGCTTGACTATAACGAAGCTGACGACTCGAGTGGCTACTAGCTAGTAGCTCCAGGGTTTGCTTGCAGCAATACGCCAACCATGACGGTAAACTATACTCTGCAACCTGTATAGATGGACAACGTGTTGATCAAATCCGTCTTGCGACCTGAGACTTCACGTTTCAGTCTTTACGTGTTGAAACGTGACCCGGCGGCCGATCGAATGTTTGATGACGCAATCACACAACGCAATTGCTTCCGAGACTCGGGAGGGTGGTCGTTTGTAATCTTGTCAACTATGACGCGCCGAAAGCACCAATCGTCTTTGGGGGTCGCCTATGGACGTGTTTGTAGCCTTTGCGTCGAGATTTGTGTTGTCTTGGCCTCATTTCAGCGTCTTTGGTCCGCGTCTTTGCTTCGCGTGTCTTGATTGCACCCGGCCGGAGGCAAATAGTCCAAATTGGTCCAAATTGGTCCAAATTAGACCAACGAAGACCAAATTGGACCAACGAAGACCAAGGGAGACTGACAAAGACCGAACAAGTCGTATCGATACTACCTATCTCCCTCCTTGACATTACCTAGTCTCAAGTGCTCTACGTACCTCTCAAATTCATCAAGATGAGCCAAATTCCCTCCGACGAAGAGCTTTTTGCCATCCTCAACCAGAGGATGTTACAGGACAAGCATGGACTGGACCAAATCTTGTCCAGAATGAACGCTCCCGGTGTCAATGCTGGAGTTTATGGGCAGGCTGCTCCACTGCAGGCCCCCCCTTCGTCCCAAACTGCCCGCAACCTCGTCTCCCCAAGTGCCACGATCGATTCAATCGATGAATCAATCAACAATCGACCTCCTCCTTCGACTCCCGGTACCACTTCCTTCTCAGCTGTATCCAGTACAGCTGGTCGTCCGTCCTCCCAACTCGATCTCAACTCTTATCAATCGCGCTACCCATCTCAGTTCATCGGACGTCAAACCCCCTTCCCTCACCCCCTGCAGCTTGCTCCTCAGCCATCTTTCACCACCTTCGCGAGTGGTCTAGCTCCAAGCAGCTCTGCTATTGCAGCTACGAAGAGACTGCCAGGAGGAGGATACCAGCAAGCGACCAGTAGAGGCGTTGAGAAGGTTCCCAAGATTAGCAAGGTTACGCTCGGTCGAGGGCAAAACAAGGCAAGTCTTATTTCGACTACTCTTGGTCTCATTTGGTCTTATTTGGTCCAAATTGGTCTGATGAAGTCTTGCCAACGCTGGGTTCGTTCGTGCTTGGTAATCTCTAGGTCATCTTCATTGGCTGTGGCTCTATCTTGCGCACGAAGATCAAGTTATGGCAGTCGGGAGGAGGTCCCAAATTCCTAGAAGCTGTCGAGCTGCTTGGTTATATGCAATCAATCGTCGTTACTAGCAACATGACGCCTCGGGACGTGGGCAATGAGGTGCTAAGAGTCTTCCGATCTGTTCATGGACCTCAATTCCTCTCCACGCCTTTCGTCTGGGCCAAATGTGGACAAGGATCTACCAAATTCGACGGAAGGATGACTTGGCCAGGCTTCACCACTCCGATTGAAGACTTGAAGGACAAGTTTCGCAACTCCTACTACATTTGCATCTTTGAGGAAGGGTGGGACTTGCCAGAGAACGACAATCCAGAGTGGAGATTACAGGTAGCGGGTGAGATGGGCGAAGACCACGACCCTTGGGAGAAGACGATCGAGGACGATGAGGATGATGTTGATGGACTAAGGAGTTGCCAAGGATGCAGTAGACGATACCCCCCTGAGATGCTAGCCGCTCATCAGGGGAAGTGTCAGGCATGGTTGGACCAACAAAGGCGTCAATTGCTCGAGGAGTCGGAGTCTGATTCAGACTTGGAGTCATTAAGGAACCTGCCGCCGGTGCAAGGGAGACCAAAAAAGACCTCGGGAGGTCAAAAGAAGACCAAGAGAGTCCTTCTCACGTCGAAAAAGAGACCAGGCAAGGCTGTCGCACCACTCTCCAAGTCCACAATCGTCAAAGACGAGCCGACCGAGGAGCTGAAGGTGCCCAATCCCATCCAAGGCGAAGTCATCGAGCTCATCGATAATACCGACGATGAAGATGTCAAGCCCAGGATCACCTCTGTCGACCAACCTCCTCTCTCTACCCAACAACTTCTCGCTCAGCTAGCACAGCAGCCAGGATTTGGGGAAGAGTGGTTGCAACGTCAAACCCAACTCATGGCTTTGGCTGACGCTGGAACCTCTGCTGTCGATGGTCTTGGTCTAACGGGAGTCCAAGAAGAACCACTGTTCTACAGTGAAGACGAGGATGGGGAAGAACGAGGGGTACAGGAAGGATTTGGGGACGAGAATCATGAGCAGGAGCAGTGGATCAACGATCCCTTCGACCAAGATCCCAATGCGTTGGCAGCTGAACTGTACAGCCACTTGGAGACCCACATGGATTGGTCGGGAGGCATGCCCGAGTCGACTGTCGAAGATGTGGGAGGTCCGTCAACGGCTACTGTTGAAGAGGGTGGTCCTAGGGAAGTCGAGGCAACGGTACAAGGTGTAGAGGAGGCGTCTACTTCGGCACCTGTCAAGCGGGGAAGAGGAAGACCTCGAAAGACGAGCAACGGAAAAGGCAAAGGCAAAGAAGTCGTTGCTCCAGTCACACCAGTTGCAAGCCCTGCAGATGATTCGGAGGCCCTTGAGCGCCCAAACAAAAGGCGAAGGATCCAAACTCAACGTTTAGACCTTGATAACTACGCCAAGGCTGGTCGCAAATGATGTCGTCTCTGTGAGTTGGACGATGTAATGGCAAGCTTACAACTTCTAACACTGAATATCATTGCCGTCAATGTTCTTTAGTCTTTGATAGTCTTTGCTGTTCTCATTTGGTCTTCGTTAGACTTTTTTGGTCTCTTTTGGTCTTCGTTCGTCTTTGTTGGTCTTGCTTCGTCTCTGCTGGTCCTTTTTGGTCTTGTTTCGTCGTTCTTGCTCTTCTTGGCTTCTCTTTAGTCTTCCTTAGTCTTATCTGGGATTTGGAACATGTGTTTTAGACCGACTCGTGTTGACGCGAGTCGTGATTGGGGTTTCGAAGTTCTTTCTATGGGTTACGTTCTTAGATTAGTGTTCGTTGTTGGGTTTTAAGTCTTTATCAAGTCCAAGTTGTTCTCGCGCCGGCATGCATAGACATATTCAATATTATTGTACAACAAAAAAAAGAGAACGAAGTCAAAAACAAGAAGTAAAAACTCGACGATCAACGTCGAGAGAAGTCCGGGCGGGGGTTGGTCAACCTCCCCAAGTCCTGGCCGGACTCCGTGATGCGATTCGCAGCATCAACGAACCACCGCACGAGGTCGTGCACCGAGGGGAAGTAATGAGCAATATTTTGCTCATGGAGAGCCCACTGGGCGTTCTCCATCGCCCGCTGGAGCTCCTCGTTGAACCCGGTAAGTCGATCGCCGATGTTGGCGATCCTCGAGGTCGAGGCGGTGGTGGAGGGGGAGGCGGGGGAGAGGGGGAGGCCGAGGCCGGTAAGACCAGGTCGGCGGTGGGGGGTGGTGGGGAGGAGGGGGGCGGCCAAGTAGCCACCAGGGGGCGCCGGGGGAGCGTCGAAGTTGGCCCCAAAGCCATGTCCCGAGCCGAATCGGCTGTAGGGACCTGCCAGCGGGAGGTCGGGCTTGACGTCGGCGGGGGGGGCGGGTGGTGGTCGCCGGTACTTGCACTTCTCCTTCACCCCACCGTTCCACTGGCACCCCGAGCATCTCCCGCTCGACCCGATCACACAACGGTTGAACTCCTTGTTCAACGCCTTCAAGGCCTCCGATGGCGGCCCGTGCTTCCCGGAGGTCGTTCGGTGCCCCTTCTGGCACGGCTCGCACCGGTCGTCCCCCAACAACTCCACCACGCTCTCCCCGTGGTTCTCCTTCCACTGGCGGATGGACTGAGAACACGATCAAATATATATCAAGTGTAAGCAAGACTATTTTAGTCCAACGAGGTCTAACTCGGACGATAGACATACCTTTGCCAAGTCCATCTTGTATTGGGAGACCCCCTCAAGGGGCTCCCCGCTCTCCATCTTGCTCGACGAACGCTGTGTATATGCAAACGTTGAATATGAATCAGCAAGATGTTACTTGTACTCGAGTAAAGATAGAACACGTAGACTCGAAGACGAATAGACAAGACTAAACTCACCCCGCGCTCGTCCTTCTCCTCCTCCTTCTTCTCCTTCTTCTCCTCCTTCCCCTCGACCTCCTTCTTCTTCCCATCCCTCGCCAACGCCAGGTCCACCTGCCGGGCGATCTCGGCCTGCTGGTCCTGATCGAGGTAAGAGGTACAACAACGTTGTCGAGTCAGCGAACGAAGAGCTTCTAAGACTTCCGAACGATAGCTGTAGAGACGTTCTAACGCAAGCAAGACTTACCTCGGCCTGCTTCCTCTTCCTCCCCTTCTCCAAATCCCGGATCCTCTCCGACTCCTTCTCCGCCCTCGCCTTCTTCTCGGCCGCCTCCTTCTTCCTCTTCTCGGCCGCCTCCTTCTTCTTCTCCTCCGCCATCCTCGCCTTCACCCCCTCCTCGACCAAACGCGCAACCTCCGCCTTCATCTCCTCGGGGGATAGCTATCAGGTCAAGACAAAAACACAACATAATCGATGTCAGTACGAGTTGATAAGACCAAACGAGACCGAACGAGACTAAACAAAACCAAGAAAGACTAAACAAGACCACAAAGGACTTACAGGAAGCGGTGTGAGAGAGGACCCGTCTCTCTCCTTCCTGGCGTCGGCCCTCGTCTTCCTCTTCTTCCCCGCAACGTCGTCGGGCGCCGTCGACTTCCTCTTCTCACCACCGCTCTTCTTGTTCTTGTCGTTGTTGGGAGGAAGGCCGGACATTTTGATTTGAATGGAGAGATTTAGAGTACGAGTAGGGTTAAGAGGTGATAAAAGTGATATGAGAGTATTCGAGTAGGTCAGTGAAAGTGTAGAGAAGTACGAGAGAGAGGAAATAGGTCTAGCTGCTTACATATATACATACGAAAGGACCAAAGGACTTTGTTGTTTTGTTGTTTTTTGATGGCGAACAAAGAAAAAAAGATGAAACACTTGTTTGTTAGTCCAATAAAGTCTTTCTCACGCGCAACTCGCAGCACAATAGAGATGGGGACACCAGGTATGACGAGTTGTCTATGACATCATAGCGATGACGCTCATGAAATGTTGATGGTGTCATAGACAAACTCTCGTACAGCGAGATAGTACTGTGTTGCGTCGACGATGGAGACCCATTGCTGAATAGGGAAACGCTGTTCCAGACCTTGCCTGAATTCGTATGTCGAGAGCAGTGGTGGTACATGATCCATGTAGCGAGGCACTATGACGTGCGGATCTCGAACCCTAGGTGCTCTTATTTGATCGGCGATGGGGTCGGTAGCATCCATATCCATGATATTGAGCTGTTCAGGACGATTTTGTCGTAAGATAGCCTCATCTTGACTTTCGAGGGGGAAGAGATTGAGATCAAAGCCGCTTGCAGCTGCATCTACGACTCCTGTAGCAGTTTGGAAGTCCGATTTGGTCGATTTTAGTGTACGATGGACCAACGCAAGACCAATCTCGACCAAAACTGACCTCGATACCACATCTGCGCTGGGCTAAGTCCTTTGAGTCCTTGATTGGACATGCCATGATAGTTCCACATGTCGACGTAATACCCCAACACGAAGTTGATGTAGGGTAAGAAGACATAGTGTAGACAGTAGATGTCAATAGGATCTTCACGATAGAGGTGGTGAACACGTTCCATCTCCAGGAAATGACGAGTGAATTGCTGTGTTACTGTTTCTCCAACTTGTCGCCATTGCCTCTCGATCCGTACGTTCCGTGTAGATGGTCCTTGCATGAAGGAACCCCGATTCTCACCTATAGAGGAGCTCGCAGGTATGTGACAGGAGCAAGAGAGACGAAATTGGTCCAACTTAGTCTTGTGGTGGAGCAAATCGGTCTTGCGCGAGACCGATGAGATCGATCACATACCTCTCACCGCGTTCATCAACGTACGAACACCTAGATTCTCCCCACCATAGTCTGCCCTGACTCTTGATGGCCAGCCCCACTGCTGAGTCGCTTGTAAGAAAGAGTCTTCCACAGTTTCGGACTTGTTGTTGTCAGACGCAAGCATGAACACGATCAATCGACTCTTGCCGTCGACAGCACCGTGTATAACGAACTTCCAGTTGATCAACTTGTGTTGCCCGTCCATATGCCATACGGAGTTGACAAAGGGTACATCATAGTCCCTACGATGTAGTACTCTCCCACTTCGGACCATGTTGCCATGAGGATCTTGAGCTCGCAGGGTAGCTCGCAGCTGTGCTCGAGTGACTTTGACTTGCTGAGCGGAGAGTAGCCCCATTACAAGACGTTCTCCAGTGTTCTGCTTGTCGACCAAGTTCAAAATTGATGCTACGAGCTGGTGATCAAGTGAAATCAAGTCAAGATTAGACTTGAGAGGTGATGAACAGTCCAGACAAGACCAAATTGGACGAGAAAAGACCAAAAAAGACCAAACGAGACCAAATGAGACCAAGAGGAGACTCACACAATGCAATTGATACGGAGCGACCATATGTTTAACTGCTCGTTTGCCTTGCCCAAACGCTCTCCGTCTCCTAGTGACCGTACCCCTTGATATCCCTAGATGAAGAGCTATCTCACGGTCTGCATAGCCAAGATTGGTGTAAAAGTCGAGCAGACCTGGAGCTAATTCGATCACCGGACGACCTCCGTTTGGGTTGCTAATACGAGTAACAGTCTGACGAACGATGACGTTGGACGCCAGGGATCTTTCATAGGCGCAGAGACGTTCATGAAGGGATGTAGTAGACTGGATGTGGGTGATGTATGCCGAATGGGGAATCCTGGTCCTCACAGTGTGTTCGAGGAGGTGAGCAAGGTCGTCCAGAGCAGTGATGAGGTTGGGAAGCAAGAACACATTGCGTGTGGCCGGGTCTTGACTCAAATATAGTCTAGCAGGGTGTAATGTCTGCTCGACTAAGGCTGTAACAACAGGAAGGTGGTTCATCGTCTATGTAATACGTTGCAGGATCACTCACGATGAGTTGTTTGTACTTAGAATCGATCAATGAGTCGCGTTAAGACATGTACACCTCCCCCCACAACCACTAGAGACCATTACTAGACTGTTGGAGTCATGCATAGTATGATTTTGAACATCTAGAGTCCTTTCTTGTATGTCTACGAGAGCACGGCGGTCGTTCTGTAAATTTATTGGTCGTGTATGGACGAAAATCGTTGAGATAGGGGTAAATACGACTAAAATGGAGGTAAAGACGCGAACAAAAGACCAAAGACGGCCAGCAAAGACTCCGCGAGACCAAGAGAGACCAAATTGGACCAAGAGAGACCAAATCGGACCAACAGAGACGACGCGCGTCAATCAAAGGCGTTGATCAATGGTGCAAATGGCGCCCCATAGTCAACGACCTCCACACGACACCGTCCAGGAGGCCAGGAGTATATAACACTCGATCGGGGGATCAGGGGGGTACCAGCTATCTCCCTTCACCTGTTCAAACCTCTTCGAAACAATCACACCAAACTTGATCTTTCCATCATCAACATGTCTTCATCCACTCAGAAATCCGCCATTGTCAGCGGTACCAAGGGCAACATGACCGAGCCCATCACGGTCAAGATCGTCGACGCTCCTATCCCGTGAGTCTCGCCAAAGCTGCAGGTTTCGGCAAACATTTTCTCTGACGAGATGCCGTACCCCTCTCTCCTGTACCTTGCAGTGAACCTGGTGCGGAAGAGGTCTTGATCGAGGTCGTGGTCAGCGGGTCGAACCCCAAGGACTGGAAGAGTGAGCGAACTTCAAGTCTGCCTCCACCGCCTACCCGGGTGATGTCACTTACAAGATCATGTTGTAGTTCCTCCTTGGCAAGGCAAGAACCTCAACACCGGGGACGATATTGCCGGTCTCGTCCATAAGGTCGGCAAGAACGTGACCGAGTTCAAAAAGGGAGACCGAGTCGCCGCTTTCCACGTCATGATGTCCGACCACGGCTCGTTTGCCCAGTACAGCATAGCGCCTCAACATACCACCTTCCACATCCCGGAGAAGACATCCTTTGAAGAAGCAGCCACCCTCCCTTTGGCGGCTATGACCTCGGTCATCGGAATGTTTGACCGTCTTCAACTTCCCACCCCGCTGGCACCTGCTAAGGAAGAACTTCCCTTGCTCGTTTACGGTGGTTCTTCCGCGGTAGGAGCGTTCGTCATCAAGCTCGCCGTGCTAGCCAATATTCACCCTATCATCGCTGTAGCTGGATCAGGTGGAGATTACGCCAAATCCATCGGGGCGGACCATATCGTCGATTACCGGAACAAGAACGTCGTCGAAGACATCAAGAAGATCTTGGGTGGGAAGAAGTTGTTGAGGGCCTATGATGCCATTTCCGAAGGAGATTCTGTCAAGGATATCTCTGCTGTCCTTGCAGATGGCGGGCTACACACTACCGTCCTCCCCGTCCCCGAGGAAGAGACCTCCACCCGAACAAAGATCCTCCGAACGATGGTCGGGGACGCCCACTCTGGCGCTCCTTACCTTCAAGACCTTGCCTCGGCCTACTACCGTCTCTTCGGCAAATGGCTTCAAGAGGGCAGGTTCGAGCCTCATCCTTACGAGGTCGTCAAGGGCGGCTTGGAGGGGGTGGAAGAAGGACTGAGGAGGTTGCAAGAGGGGAAGGTTAGCGCGAAGAAGTTGGTCTTCAAAATCGCGGATACTCCGGGTCTGAAGGCTTGAGGTCTAGGTTGTTGAGTGGGATCGAAACCGGGCAACTCTAAAAACATTAGACCAGGCGGGAGTGACTGTATCTCAATTAGTTAAAAGTATACAAATCGAAACGAAACACTCGACTGCTGTTCGAGCGGAAGTACTATTGCTTTTCCGTTGTCGACGGTAGATTTGACTCCGACCGGTACGATTTTTACAAAACCATCGAAGCCGATTGCCCGCGTAGCGCAGTGTAGGGAACGAGATGGTCACCTGCCCGTATTTTTTGCTGAGCATCCACTGAGATCCGCTTTTGAGGAAAGGGAGAATAGAACGAGAACGTAAGAGGTATCAGCAAAAGGTAATCACCTTTGAGGACTGCCGGCTTGTGCTCGACCGTCGCTCCCTCGTCCCGAGCCTCTTGTCGGGGATCCAGAAACTCATATGACCTGACAGGCTTGGCAAGATCACAAATAGCTTCTTGGCTCATCGATTCTTCATTCGATATTGGTCGGATCTCTTGATACTGCTCATGCGATATAAATGATAAGGCCAAGAGGAGCACAAAGTTGAGGTGCAGTGTTATCCCTATCAGACAGACAATTGTAATGCTGATCATAATCCAGGGTGTATGGTTGTTGTCATTACATCGTCTGCTCGAGTTGCAAGATGATCTGTACTGTGACTAGGTGACAAAAGTGTGTATGAGTGACGGGAAACTCGCGATCCACGTCTTACGCATGCTGTGTATATCAGGATTGAAACGTAATCAAAACGACAACGATTCGAATCCGTACTCGGATTCACCCTTTCCAGCGGGACGCATCTCACTGTTGAGAGCGATCGTTAGTACGACCTCACGGAATACGCACGTCCATTTGAACGATGGCAATAACAAAAAACCAACCGGAGACTTGGTGCTGCGATTGAGGTCATCGTTCCATCCCTTTCCCATGCGGCCTTGCGGAGGCTTGTTGCTCGAGGTGGAGACAATGATGTTGTGGATAGGGCTTTTGCCAGAGTGTTTGCAGTGTCACATAGCGCACTCACCCGAGGGAAACGAACAACGACACTCCACTGCGTCGCGGAAAGAGCGCAATTCCAACCTGAGTTTGGGCGTTTCGTATCATTTCGCGATTGTTTCCTGGCAGGTCCGATATGGGATGCTTCATCTTCTTCAACGGAGAGAAACATTGGCCGAGCATCATTGTTGACTTCGTATCCGTTCATATTATCTGTATACAGTATCCAATCCGCCGGGTCGTATGTAAACACCACCGTTTAAAGTCCGCTTCGCCATCCTTCTCTTGGCCTTCTTCTCGAACAGCCCAATGAAGTAGCCATCGGATGAGACTGTACGACTGCATCTCCGTCTTCGTCCCCGACTCGAGGGAGGTATCCCTGATGGTTCCGATCGAGGACCATAAAAGACCTCTCGAGTCGAGCCCCGTTGCTCGTTCACTCGGCATGCCTGGAAAGGTCCTTCCACATGGCCTTCTTATCCTCGATCGCGCTCCCTTGTCGTTGCACGCCGATGCCGTAGTCGTAAACCAACTTTCCGCCCTGTGAGATTTGTCAGCCGTCGACCGATGGAAGGGGAAGAGGAACATGAACGTAAAGATGAATGTTAGTTAAAATCTCGAAAGAGGAGAAATGACCAGAAGAGAGAGGGAGACACCGAAACTCACCAATGCAGCGGAGAAGATCAGGGATCCCAGAACCAACCCGGAAGCCAACCCTTGTCGAGGGGTGGACATGTGTCCAGGGACGTTCTTTCTGGCTCTCCATAGGTAGAGGGAGTAGGCACCTGCACGTAAGAAGATGGCGGGATGGTCAGCAGGTGAGTACGTCAAAGACGAGAAAACAAAGCGGGTAGAACAGAACGCTTGGAAAAAAGAACAAAGAAGAGCTCACCAGTCAATGCGTTCAAAACCCCATGAATCGCAGCGACGTTAAACGTCCTCTGCGGGTAACTCTGGAGGACGACCCCATCCTCGACCCTCTTCGTCCCCAAATGCTTGTAAATCTCGTAAAACTCGTGAAATCCGGTAATAAGCGCCGGAGCCATAAAGATCAACCCGGCGGCATTGGAGTAATAAGCCACCTGGGCCAAGACCGGGGTGGAGGGGAGGAGGGAGGTGAGGAGTCGAGGGAGGTAAGGGCGGGAATGGACGGTCATGTCGATCCCGTAGGCTGCCATGAGGGTGGTCAGGGGGTAGTGGACGGTGATAGGGTGGATAGGGTGGCCAGAGCCAAAGACGTTGCCGAGGCAGATATCGTCTGCGAGATTGAGATGGCAGCGTCAAAGTCAGCTTCCCGGAGGTCGAGCAGCGGCGAGCCAGGATCGATCGTGACAGTGTGATTGTGCTTACGGTAAAGAGACATGATACCCATCGTGTAAGAGGTGTTTGTTTGTCGAGTTGTGGTGGATTCGAAGTACTTGTCGAGAGTGACGGATGTCTACTTCGCTAGCTACGGCTGTTCGGATTATTGTGAGCTTGTAAGATTGCGATAGAGTGTTGTAGACGATATCGAGTTGCGACTTGTATCTCGGAAGTCGATGGTCGAAGTCGGTTCAGATCGCTGATCGAGCCTCTCATCGCTGCTCTGGCCAGTCAGATCGAGCCCATCTCATCGAAAGGCTGGCTGGCTGATCTGCTGACATCATCATCACGATCGAGTAGACAGACGAGGCGACAAGGCGACAGGCAGCACAAGGAGGAGGGAACCTTGAAGTTCGTCATGATCCATTCACCCCGGAAATGATAGGCGCGTGCCATTTTTCTTAGATACGTGCCAGCTTGTGTGGGGTAAAGGTGGAAATAGCGTCGCTGTAGTGCCGCCGAAGGATTCCGCCGGAAGATTTATCAAGAAATGTTATGACGCGTAAATATGATTGTATTTGAGCCCGTGAATTAATACAAGTATTATTATTATTACCGTTCATTAAAGTTCGTAAAGAAGACCGCCGCCGGAGAATATCGTAAAACAAATACTAAGCCTTCCTCTTACCCGCACGCTTCGAAACCTTGCTCAAACCGTCAAGCGCCGCCGCCAGAATTCTCTGGACTTCTTCCGAGGGGTCGGCACCGTGCTCTTGAACGACGCCGTCAATTAAATCGCACTGGAAGTCGTGGCAACATTCGTTGCGGAGAATTCCGAAGGCGAGTCTCGTGGCTTCAATCTTGTCGTTCTTGAGCTCGTAGTGGCCGAGGCAAAATCCCCGGATGATCTTGGCGACGCGTAGAACCGCAGTCTGCGCCTCGTCCTTGACGTCGAAGTCCCAGTCGTCCTTTTCTTCAGCGCCGGGGTCGGCGCACTTGTCGCCGAGGGACTTGCATCGGCCGCAGGACGAGAACGACGAAGATTTGGCGAGGGGAATTGCCGCCCGGCAAAGAACGAGAGGACCGTACGTCGAAGTGAAGGCGAGGGGAGTTTCCCACCGGACTACGTCGTCGTCGGTGCTCTTGATCTTCCACTGGCGAGCGTTATCTCGAGCGCGGAAGGGAAGGTGGCCATATTTACCGCCGGCGTACTTCGTCTCGCAGTGAGTACAAGCGACTCGCCAGCCGCCACGGTACTTTGCCTGCAAAAACACAAGAGACGATCAGAAATTTGTCGAGCGCCGGAAAAAATAAGAAGGAATTTGGCAACTCACCAACCACCCGTTGATTGGCGCCTCGTCAAGTCCCGCCCGACCAGGTACGCAGAGCTCGAGGAAGTCGGCGGGAGGGTCGATGGGGAGGAAGGGGCGTTCGTCTTCCTTGATGAGCGCCTTTTGAACTGGAGAAGTTGTCCGCAGGAAGATTGATGAGTGATAATTCTAAAGAAATTTTCCGCCGGAATGTTTACTTACTCTCCAAGTCCAAGTTGATCTCGGTCAACTTCTTGCCCGTCGGCGGAATCAAGAACGAACCGGTCGACGTTCGAATCACCTTCCAGTCCTTGCCGATTTTGGGCGCCGGAAAATCCCCTCGCTTCGAGGCGACGGTCTTTGCCCACTTGCTTTGGTCGTCGCAAATTGACGCCCACCAGTGGTGCATGGTGGCCTTGCGGGGATCGAAGAAGTGGATATCGGGGTCGCCGAGATTGTCGTCCAAGTCGAGAATAACGCCGGGGGAGAACTCGATGGGGACGGCGTCGGCCATGGATTCAGGACGCTCACTGTCGATGCAATGTAGCTCGAGAAAGTTAGCGCCGGAAAATAAAACACGGAAGATGTCTGGGCTAAAAGCTTACAGGGTCGTGTCGGTCTCCTTGGCCTTCCTCTTGCGGGCTTCAGCGGAAGGTGCACCAGGTCTACGCAGCGATATATCTGGGTAAATACTACGTCGGACAAGAAAAGTAGTCGTTGTTTGACTTACCGTCGAGGCATGTTGTCGTCGGTAGAGTTCTTAAAGTTATTGACGAGGGGATATAACGAGGGAAGGTGCTAGTACGGAGTGTTTATTTTGCTAAGTTTGAAAGAAGAGAGTAGAGAGTAAGTTTGAGACGAGGGGGGGAGAATCGAGAATCGTTCTAGTATATATATCCTTCTCGAGAAGCAGTACGGGCGAGTTTTGACGTCGGCAAGCGTAACAAACAATTCAGTCTGACGTCAGCCTTCTTTTGTTCTTCTACTGCGTCATCATTTGACTTCTTTGTTCCTGCGTCAGATTTCGGCCCCGATATCTTACTATTACCACTTCGAGTTGTTTGTCGCGCGCGATATGCGACAGAGAACAAAAGAAAAAAAGTCCTTTAACATGAAACGTTCCTGCGCGTCGATCATCAAAGAACATGAACGTCGTCAGCTGACGGCGGTCTTTGTCGGTATTAGAGGCAAACTAGCACTTACTGTAAACGACAATAACACTGCTACTACAGGAACAGACGTAGATCGTCAGTACAATAGAAAGAAGCGGTAACACGCGCGACAAGTTTCACCGCGCGTATACGCGAGGGAGAGTTTCAAAAGGTCCTTTGAGCCTATTGTCTCGAATAGGGGTAATAGCCGTTTTGGGAAGACGGCGCGATCCATGAAGAAGTAACTGTGACCTGAGAATATTCCGGGCGGTATGCTCCGGCGGAAAAATAAGAGTCGCCACCTGGCGAAGGTGTCGCCCAAGATTGAGGAGGCGGCAGTTGTACAGATGATGAAGAGGCCTGCGCCGTAGGATAGTAATGTTGGTAGGATTGGGGGGGAAAGTTTTGCGGGGGAAAACTTTGAGGAAAACTTGGCGCCGGAAAATTTCTTGAGGAACTTTGCGGCAAAATATTTCGAGCCAGAGTTGGCGCAGCCGAGGAAAATGGGGAAAGTTGGGACGGCATAGTACTTTGTGTACCAGTCAGAGGGGCAACTCTCCCGGTAGATGCTGCCAACTGTTATAGCCGTCACGTGACGCGTCGCTACCCCCGTGAGAGACCCCCTCGGAGGTCCCTTCGGAGACACCTCTCGACATCTCCCTAGGGGTCTACTTTTACATCTCCCATAGGTGCTTATTATAATAGGCTCATTGTATGTATATACTTCATCCGTTATTACACCATTACCCTTAGACCTAGCCCCGCGTAGACTGTTAGTCCTTCCCCCTAATAGAATAACGGATCATCCTCTTCTACCCTGGCTAGCGAATTTTCTTTCCCTCGTCTCTTCCTTTTTCACGTCCTTTTTCACCCTCCTTTCGACACCCCTTTTATCATGTCCGACGACGGTCATATTCCCTCTCTTCCGGTTCCTCCCCCCGCACCTTCTCCTATGGAGGAGGCACTCCGACAGATGGCGCAGGCCATGACGCTCTTCGCTCAGAGCCAGCAGCAGCCTGTCGGCGGTCAGGGATCGAACCCCTTTCGGCTTGCCCCGCCGGGACCCTTTGATGGGACCGATACCCCAGACAAACGGGAGAAGGCCACCACCTTCATTCATCAGTGCGAGATGCACTTCGAGACCGCTCCAGCGGTCTACTCGTTGGATCGGATCAAGATCATTTTCGCGTCGACCCACCTTCAGGGTCGCGCCGCTTTATGGGCCCGGTCGTACACATCCCCGGAGGCTGCACAACAGTGCACCTGGGATGTCTTCCGGACTCTCTTTCTTACTTCTTTTGGGTTAGCATCCCGAGAGTACCTTGCCGAAGGGGAACTCTTAGGGTTGCGACAAGGGAACACCTCGGTCGGCGAGTACACCGCGAGGTTTAACTCCCTTGTGGGTCTTATGCCGGGATGGAACAACGCCGCTCTCCGGGGAGTCTTTCGTCATGGACTCCGGTCGGATGTTGAGCTGTCGGTTCGTGCCCACGATGGGTACACGGAGATGTCCCTCTTGGACATCCAGAACTTGGCCGCTCGATACGACCGACCCGCCATCCCCGCTGAACGACCTCGCCGGGAAACTCCCCGCGCACCCACCTTTCAGCCTGCCGAGATGGCAGCTCCTTCTCCTTTTGCTCCGGGACCTCCCCCGGTTTCTTCTTCTCTTCCTCCTCCTCCCATGGACCAAGGTGGTCCTATGGATCTTTCGGCCGCCCGGCAACCTAACCCTGCCGTCCCCTGCTTCAAGTGCTACCAGATGGGACACTTCGCGAACCAGTGCCCGAATCCCCGGGCACCTCCCAAATCGGCCCCAGCCTGGATCAAAGCCGCCAAGCAGAGGCATTCTATGCAGGTAGCCGGCGCCACCCTCCAACCTCCCTCTTCCGCTGCGTCAGCCGGGGCTTCGTACGACCTCTCGGCGTACGATGACGTCCCACTGTGGACCCCCAACTAGACGCGCCGGTGTCTCTTTTCTTCTCTTGTTTCATGGTACCCAGGCCGGGTTTATTACATTCATTTATGGTCCCTCAGTCCGAGGTGTTTTTCTTTACGGCTGGCTCAGTCCGAGCTCTTCTTTTACGGGATCACCATCCCCTTCACCCGACTACATGTCGGTATGGCACCCAGTCCGGGATTCTTTTACGGTGGCTCAGTCCGAGTCTTTTATGGTGCCCAGTCCGGGTGTTTCCTACGTCTCTTGGGATCGGGTCGGCTGCGTCTTCTACGGGTCGTTCGGGGTTACGATACCCCCCCTCCATCGCGTGGATTCTTTTCTTCCCCCTTGGGGTTTTACGGTTGCTCAGTCCGAGCGTTTTCTTTTGGGAGTCGCCACCCCTTCTCCTCGACATCTCTTCGTTGAGGGTAGAGCCCATCTTGGGCAGGTTCTTGTTACACTTCTTCGGGAGTTCCGGTCGTTTTCTTTTTCGGAGTTGGTCATCGGGACGATGACCTAGGGGGGGGATCCTGTTATAGCCGTCACGTGACGCGTCGCTACCCCCGTGAGAGACCCCCTCGGAGGTCCCTTCGGAGACACCTCTCGACATCTCCCTAGGGGTCTACTTTTACATCTCCCATAGGTGCTTATTATAATAGGCTCATTGTATGTATATACTTCATCCGTTATTACACCATTACCCTTAGACCTAGCCCCGCGTAGACTGTTAGTCCTTCCCCCTAATACCAACTCTGCCGCCCGCGTACGTTGTGCGGCAAGAATTGCCGCCGCTTGTGCCTTCTTGTAGTCAGGGCAGGTCTTGACGTTATGGTCTGTACTCTTGCAAAACCCACAAGACCCCTTCTTTTGCTTGGCCTTTTTCTCCGCCGCGTCCATTCGCCGGTTGACTGTTTCACTCCCTGTCTCCAGGCGATTTGTCGCCGTCAAATTTCCCACGATATCCTCCACCGGACCAACACCATTGAGTATCTCTCCTGGCTTTCGTTTTTTCGCCTTGTCCTTCTTCTCTTGCGCTCGCACGAACGCAGGGCGATGCAGTGGCTCCTGTATAATAGCAGCGTCGGGAGACATCTCCCGAATGTTGGCGGCGGAGCGATCATTTAAGTATTCGTTCTGGGGAACCATGCCCCTGTTCGGTTGGGGAACAGAAGCCCGTACTTCATCTCCCTCCGGATAATGCATAAAGAAAGATCCCTCCGCAGAATATCTTTCAACATATTCCTCCGCCACCTCTGCCGCCTTCGCCTGCAGGCTGTTTTGCTGATGCAGATGCCAGAAAGCATGGATTTCGCCGGGGTTAATAAGTGGGTGCGGATTATCCGGCGCCAGAATCCGGGCGAAATCATGCTGGCAAAGCAATCCCATATTGCACTTCATTGACCCTGAACAGGGGTTTAATGGCGCCCGATTTTCTGCGGCGGCTTGCTGCAAACGATAGGCACCCCTGAACATAATTCACTGGGCTCGTTTCGCCACAACCGATTGAAGCTAAGTTTTGACGAACGAGGATATCTTTCAGTTTTTTCCGGCGGAAAATTTCCCTAGAAACTCACCGTCGCCATGCACATCGGGTTTTCTTTGATGCGGTCTACAGCATCCGTCGCATGCTCCTTGAAAATCGACCTATGGGTTGAACGCATGTGTAGGAGACATGCGTGTACGGCGGAGAAAAGATCCGAAGTTGCTCCCTGGATAGAATTCTTGATCGCTTTGTGCAGAGATTCTCCTCGCGACGTAGTAAATTCCCCGAAATTTAGCACCGCTGTGAGTCGGTGCTGAAGGAAATATTCCCCCTCTGCGTCATGCAGGTTTGTGACATATAGCCAGGCGGCGGAAGTTTTCTCGTTGTTCAAAAACGATTCATTAAAGCGCTCGCGAAGCTCCTCATACGTGTTGGCATTTTTTTCGCACCGCAGGATTAAAGCGGCGGATTTGATCCGCTCGAAATCATCCTTCGGCACAAGCGGTCTGAAGTTTTTATTCAGATTCTCTCCGATGTGCCAGACACAGAGCTGCTGCCGCCACTGAGGGTACACGATAGTAAGGGCGTTCCTGAGGGCGTCGCACTGGTCGGTAATCACAACTTCCGTCGGCAAATTCCCCATTAAATTTCCCAGAGATTGTAATCCCCAGATATATTCCTCTGTCGTTTCGCCGTCTAAGAAAGCCAGGCCAACAGTGAAGGTTTTATTCGTCGGAGACATGCTGACGATATGCATCAGCGGCATTTGGTATTTGTTGCTGGAGTACGTGGCGTCGATAATAAAAACGTAGCCGTAAAATTTCGCCAGAATTATAGCCATGGGAGAAGTAAAAAATAAAGATTGCAATTCACCCATCGCGTTCGAACGATAGCGGTGGGGGATTCCCTTGCTTTTTAATTGCCGGATGATAGCGTCGGCGGGTGTGCGTCCTTGGAGGGCGACAGATTTGACTTGATATTTCAAGTTATATATTTCCCGTGGGGAAACATAACACTCTCTTCCTTCAGCGTAAGCTTTCTGTTGTAATTCTTCGATGATTGCTGGCGCCGGAACATTATTGTTGATTGATACTATAGCGGCATCTTTCTCCGCTTGGGTTAATCGGCGATGTTGAGGGAAACCGTATGCGGAGCCAACTAATGTATGATTATGCTTCAAATCCCCACGAGGGGAAACCCTCCAGAGACTCTTTGTCGCTTTAGTTCTGGCGACGTAGAGTTTCCAAGTACATCCTGTTTTCTTAGTTCTGACGCCGGAATCTTTCCTCAACCTTCCTGCCGCCGGGATGTATGGGTGGTCGTCCTTATGTTCCCCACTTTGCACACACAGAACATAGAAGCAGTTTGCTTTGAACCCTTCCCGACGGACGGCAAATCCTTCTTGTCTAGCGACGGCCTGAATCCGAGAAAACACTACGGCGGAGTCTTCTTCTCCTGGGTGATTGCAGAGAGATTCCACTGCGCTGACAAGAGGTGTAGGCTGACGGGGGACATGTTCCGGCGGTGCAATTATCTCGAAATCTTCAGAGGGAGTACTACCTGAGGTGACAGATGACATGGTGGAATTGGGTGTCTTGTCGGTCATAGGGGCATGAATAATAGTATGTTTGGCGGAGACAGCGCGACTTAGGGATATTTCTCGGGAAACGACACGCGTGAGAAACACTCAGGATATTTGCTCCGCCGGAGCAAGTATTACGCAATAATAATTTCCACCCTATACCCCGCAATGGCACGTATTTAAGAAAAATGGCACGCGCCTATCATCTCCGCATTCACCCACCTTTCTTCTGGAATCCCCCTCTCACGTGGAATGACGCCCCGAACCCTCGGCGACGAAATATCGCATCCGCCGGGCACTAACCTCCTTACGTCTAATTACGTCAGAGCGAACCTTATCGTAAGCCTATTCACAAGCGCCTCGATGATCCTGTTTCACAGTAGTCATCACTTATTCGAGACGCAGGACTACGCTGCTCGAAAGGTTTCGGCTGCAAGCTAACGAGCGAATGGTGCTGATACCGGTGGCCAAATGTTGCTTCAGACGATGCGTAGGTAGTGATGCAGCATCACTGCAGCGAGATGAGCTCACGATGTCGCTCGATGGGTCCGCGCGAAAATTCTTGAAAAGACCCTGTGTAGACAGACATGAGATAGGCAGCGAACGGGAACGACAGACACAATTGATATCTTATGAATCTCATACGTCACCTGGATATCATGCCGGCTACATCAGTTACTGTACCCATCTCTCGGCATGCATTCAGATGAACAACGAGACCTCACCGCGCTCGTCGTACCAAGTATACGAGCCACGGACCTCTAGTGCATGGAACGACTGTCTCATCTCGCGATACCTGAGATATTCAAGGCACACTCTTCTGCGACCACTATTCGTGGATAAGGTCACATCATGTGTCATTGAAAGTAAACTTTCCTGGACCTTGCTAGGAGATTTGCCCGCTCTTGAACGAACTCTCGTGCACGTGTTGCGCTCTGATAGATTGCGCAATGTCACACAGAGTCTGTCGTCGAGAATCAACCTAAATCAGCTGATCATCTTTCTACTTTAAGTAATACTCGATTCATTGCGGATCAGCCACCGCTTTCAACGATGTGATCAGTATTGAATTTGCTCAACCATTCGTCGGGCACCATGCAAGGTTAGTGTGGGCCGGCGGAGTAAAAGCCAACCAGTCCAACTGCGAAAGTTCCTCCTCTAGAGCTATGTTCCTTGGGCCAAGACCAGTGTCGCACCGAAGGAAGATTGCAACCAGTAAAACCAAGCTTCCCTTGATCAGTCGGTGGGTCGGAGCGAAGAAAGATCGCAACCAGTAAAACCAAGCTTCCCTTGATCAGTCGGTGGATCTTGCTCAGAGCCCCGCGTAGAATACCCCCCATGCCATCCAATTCCGGCTCAAATACGCCAACATAATCTCCCTCCAGATATCAACTCGCAGTATGCCTCCTTCCTTTCCCAAATGAGAGACCCCTCTGGGCTAGCCAGTGCCGGAAGGCTTCATGACGGCGAGCCGGCGTGAGCGAGGTAGATCAAGGAACCTCCCTGTTGGCCTTTCCGCATGCCATCGAATCGGGTCGAAGTTGACAGTTTTCAACAACGACGGCAGGACGGCTGTTTCTGAGTGTGCTTGTGTTCGGAAGCATAGATGAGACCCAACGATTATCGATGATTATCGATGATAGCGCATCTTCGTGTTTGGCTGCGTGCGTACACCCTACCAGCATTATCGCCACGAACCTTCCTTCTTCGGAAAAGGCGGCAAAATACTGGATTGACAATACATTACTCAACTCGACAGAATTGAGAGACAGCCGGAATCGAAATCCACAAAGGACAAAATGAAAAGACTGGCTCAGAAACGATCGACTCGTGAAACATTCAGATTCACGCGGCACTGTCCTCGACACCCTTCGTCAGATCAATGACTATTTCCCTGCTTTGTCGATCACTGCACAATGCCCTGCGCACATGTTTCAAATCTTGTCTTGAGTTCAACTTGTCTGATGGAGATATCATATGGGACCGAACCGCTGGGCAAAGAACTTGCTCTCAGTGTTGTTGAATGATTGGATATTGCTGAAGCGAGTCATCGACGTCTTCGCGATGTCGGTCGATCCAGGGATTCCGCCCTTTCTCCTTTGGACGATCGCTTAGATCAGAGCGACGAAGAGTTTATGCTCCGATTCTGCGAAGTTGACGCGATTTTGCCACCCACATCTCAGCCAGGAATTCAGCGTGTTAGACGACACACCAGACAACGCTCTCTAGCCTGATCAACCAACCCAAGCCGCGTGACACCTCAAAGCGCACACCCGTTTATCGTTTACATAATTTGATCTGATCATAGAGAAACATAGAAAAGTTGACCGAAATCTCGAAACAGACACGTGACATCTCGTCGATCCCTGTCCAGACCGATCGAGTCACATCCAGCCGGAAGAATCCGACCGGATTGCTCTATCGATCGCGAACAGGAAAGCGTCCGAGAACAGTGAGAGTGGGAATGAAGAAGGGAGTTGGGGGTCATATCTAGGTCGATGGGAGTTCGTATTGAGAGATTGAGGATGATTGACGTAAGTTGAGGGGGGTTGAAATGTCAGACGTTGAAAAAAGGTTGGCGAGACCTTTCGGCACCGGATCCGTGTTTTATCGGCTGTAATAACGCATAACAAACGCTCGATCAGCCAACTATCCCTAACATCCACTCCCGGACCACGGAACCGGATGCCCTTGTCCCGGACTGAAAGACTCACTCTTCGGCCCACTCGTTCTCCCTCCTGATCTGAGCCTCCTCTTCGGGGGTGAAATCGTTCTTGATGTGGAACAGCTTTCGGATCTCTTCCGGCGATTTCCCCTTGATCATCGTAGCTACCGTCCTGCATCCCAGGTCGCTATGATTCAAAATTGGGTTGACAGGGAAAAAGTCAGTTTCTTGACTTGATTCACCCCGCTCAGGTGACCACGGATATCGTTCAACGCTCCCCACTGTTATGGCAGGTCATCGAGGTGACATCAAACGCCCGCTCGACTCACAGCAAAGGCTTGATATCCAGATAATTCGCAGCCAAGATGATCTCGAAAAGCATCTCCTGATCGACCTGAATGAACTTGGCGTCCCACTCTCCGACCTCGCTGGTCCTCCTCCTGGCTTCCTCGGCCACGTCAGCAGAAGGATCCGAGGCGACAGGAAGGGGGTCGGATTTGTGGTAGTCGCAGTATTCGAGGACCTGCGTTGGGTCAAAGGAGGGTTAGGACGAGTGGGAGAAGGCGAATGTGAAGGGGAGAGTTCAGACGGGATGGAAGGACAAGCCGGAGGAGAGAAGGTTGGACTGACCTTTTTGAGGACGTTGCTGGTAACATTGGGAAGAGGGATGGGGGCGTTGACATCACCGATATCTATATGCCATGTCCCCGAAGTTTGCCAAGAAGCCCAAATCGAGAGAGGATGGGTTCCGGATGATCATCGTGATCAGACCAGGATGAAAGAGCGTAGTCGACCCAGACGGTAGTAATCCAAGTTGATTTGACGATTCGGTAATGTTGTATATGTGTTTGAGATGTTATCAGACGAGAGGAATGAACGAGATACATGAACGCCTAATCAGCTTCTCGAATACCTCACCGTTGCCTCCCTTTGGGTTCGAAAGAATCAGAAACCAAACTCACCCTCCATCATGTTGGCGATCAGGACACTCCTGACGGCGACATCCTTCTCGACGTCGTACGTCTCGTTGTCGGAAGCTGCGATTCGAAACAACGAGTTCGATTCGTGGGATGTCAATATCAACAAGAAGATCTAGTTTGTCGAGCTTTCTGTGACTGACTGGTGAGCATAACCATCTTGAGGGTAGTTTTTCGAGTTTGTTTGTAGGGTTTGCAGGTAGTTTTTGGTTGTCAGAACGTTGTCTAGGTCGAGTATTGAATGGATCGTATAAGTAGTAACGTCTAGGAGTGGGAAGAAGTATCGAAATTCCTGGCCAAGAAGGTGAATCATCGAGGAGGTCGAGGTGATCAGGTCGTCGATGCCGTAAGCGGAGTGGGTGAGTGATACCGTCATCATGTCACCCATACACTTTTTTAAGGAGATCGACCTCTTTGCCTTCTCACGCGCCCGCGACGTGTGTCGTGACCCTGGCTGTTAGCGACCTCTAGCTATCTAGGCCTTTAAACTTCGAATTCTCGGGGACGTCTTTAAATTCATTTCGCTTCGAACAAAATCCATATCACCCCACAAGCAATCCAACTACTCCTAATAGCTTCAGATCAAGTCGCACAAGTACTCTTAGTCGGGATGTCAGCTTTATTTCGTTCGATGACGGCCATCCGGTCGAGCCTGTGGGCTGGACCTTCTACCACCGGATCTCTCCGAGCAGACCTTGCCGGTTTCCCAAGCCTTAGTCAGTATACTAATCCCACATCATCACTGCTCTCACGAGATACGTACGATATGAACAAGGATGACATGCTCATGTTGTCTGTCTTGCTTGACGCCTTCGCAGACTCACAACAAGTAAGAACGGCTACGAAACGAGGAGGAGGGTCTTCCAAGAACGGCCGTTCCTCCGCAGGTAGACGGTTGGGAGTCAAGAAGTTTACCGGTCAGTCTTTCAATTCTCAATTCCACGTCGATGGCTTCTATTATACGTGTATACGTTTCTCGGCGTGTCGAACGAGACAGCAGCTAACGGAAAGAAACTTGGCTTGGGTTATTGTTTTTGTAGATCAATACGTACTACCCGGTCAGATTATCGTGCGACAACGAGGGACGCAGTTCCACGCTGGGCAGAACGTGAGCAACATCTTCGTTTTGGTTGTCTGGTATGATCGTTTATGCGTTGCGCTTACGCTGAAAACGAGCAATCGGCTACCTTTCCCCGGACTCGCTCTTCTTCAATCCTGTCAACTTGATCTGTCATGGTCGGCTCGCTTTCTTTTTTGGACGATCAACAAATTATCGACATTGAAAACAACTTCCCCGGATGGATGGTCTTCACGTTGACGTGCATGATATTGTCGTCGACCTCAACCTCGACCACAAACTCGTATCACTTGCATGTACACCAGGTTGGGATCGGCAAAGATCACACCCTCTACGCCCTCCAACCGGGTTACATCAAATTCTACTCCTCCTCCCTCCCCTTCCCGCACCCCTCAACCTCGCCTATCACGTCCGCCCTCTCATCAACCGCCTCGCCAGACTCACCCGACTCTTCCCCATCCGACCAGACCGCCGCGGGGTTCAAACAATCCTTGATAAAACGCCCGAGGGAGAAGAAACAGTACATCGGGGTGGTGAATGCGCGGGAAGAGAGGTTGCCTAGGGATCTGAGTGCGGAGGGACGGGGGAGGGAGAGGCGGTTTTGGGGTGTCGAGCGGGCAGGGCAGGAGGCTGAGGTTCAGATTTAGGACTTGGGGAGGGGAGCACGGTGTATCATATCACTACAGCATGGATCGGGTTCGATGGTCGATTCGATGCACACACATGAAACCTGGAATGGTATGATGAGCGCGGATTGATGTAAAGAGAAGAAGGGTTGAGGCGTATCAGCGCGATAATGTTCAATCGCACAATCAATCTTGTTACAAGCCTATCACCTGAAGGGGGAAAGGGTAGGACGGGCTTTGGCGAGTTCACGTCGGTACAGACGGAGGTTGCTTGCGCTGCTTGCCAATCCTCGTCCTCGTGCAGGTAGACTGAAGCTCATAGCGTGAGATGTACTGGCTGAAGAGGATGCCAATCAGTCATTTCGAATGTTGTTACGAATCGACAGTGCAGGCGAATAAACAAGGGGGAATTCGAGCTGTTGAGACCTGCCCGAGACCTGCGGGGCGAGATGGAGGCGCGCAAGCGCGATTCGTTTCGACGTGAAACCGATACGATGAATGATGCGTTGACGCACAAAGGAGTCCGACGATCTGATGAGAGGCTGTGTATGAACCAGTGCAACAGGTTTATGCTTCTCGCTACATGTTTGACGCCGGACGGAGAGGGCGGGGGGGGGGGGGGGGGGGGGGTTGACTTTGCCACTGGCGGCAAAAGAATTGGATGAAGAAAGGAAGGCCTACAGATTGATTCGAGAAGCAGCTGAGGGTACAAAATAAATACGCAGAAAGCGAGAGGAAGCAGATATCGTTGCAGCGTCATCGAAATCGTCACACTCTTACTCCCAGTTCCGAAGATAGTAGAATTCACTCTCATTCACTTGTTTTACCTGCCGTATAACAAAGCTACACCATATGTCGCTATCCATCGACCTCTCAGAAGTGCTGACGGATGAAGAGATTCAGCTGTTGAGTCGACCATTAGGAGGGCAGGAGGAGCCTTTCGACTGGCAACGTTTATGGGATACTAAGGGTGTTGGTCTGTCTGGGAAAGTCTGCCAGTGCCATCGCACCTACCTAGAGAGAGCAGGGGATGAATGTACTGAAGAAGTGCAACAATTTCGTCATTCCATTTTCTCTACATGGTTAGAAGTGGAAATGAGGAACATGATATTATCGGATAGGACGAGCGTGAAAGCTACTACTTTCAACAATGGTTGCTTTGCAGACTGGCAGTACGACGCTTATGCCTGTAGAGGTGCTTGGTGGATTGGAGGTATGTAATGTCAGTCACCATGCCATAGCGCTCTTGCTCGTTGACAATATCAAATGAAGCATAGCCAGGGATCGTGACCATCTAGAAGAAAGCGAAGCACGCCTCCGCGCTGACTGGATCAACCGGATTGCTAAGCGACGAGCTCGTTCGACAGGTCAGGGAAGACAAATTGAAATCGAAAGGTGTAGAAAGACGAGAGACAGGAGAAAAGAGCAGGGAAAGCTGCAAAGACCAGCAACATACTCACAACTTGAACTGAGCTCCTTACAACTTTCAGGCAACAGCAATGAAGCTACAAGTGCAGAGGACACTATAGGTCAGTCATCTGTGCAGCCCGTACATATGGTCTAAAATCATTAACATATACTAACGTCTTCCACTCAATTGTGTCCTCGCTCGATGTTCTGCAGACGCATGGGTTGGGAACACCATCAGCTCGATATCTAGCAGCAACTCTTTCACGACTGGTATGTCCAAGACAGCCCTCACGTTAAACGGTACCTGCAGTTGGCTTGGAGCTGATATTTCTGCCACTATGACGTGAAAGACTCATTTGGCCGGGTCACTGCAATGCAACAAAGGGGTGAGCATCTCTTGACAGTGATCATAGGCTTCAACTTTCTTTCTGACATATCACGCCGTCCAATGGTATCGTATACCTTCAGAAGAGTGTCTGTTGGAAGAGCAAGACATAGAAAAGCTCAAAAGACCAGTGCTACAGAAATCACAAACTGCCCCCTTCCGGTGGCAAATTTACTCATTTCCGCAAGCCACTTTCAGCCGTGGCAACTACAAGTTTTGTTCTTGTGGTCATGACTACTACCTCAAAGCTCCGCCATCATGCCTCGACAATATTGAGAAGGAAAGACACAAGATAATCCATGGTTGGGTTACAAGGCAAATGTGTCAGGAGATGCCCTGGCTCCGAAATCCCATTGCCGCTCATCTCATTTCGACGTTTATTGCAAGAAACGGCCAATGTTGGACAGAACGCTATGATACGAGCGGGGAGCGCCGCAAACACAATAATAGACTAGCCAACAGGACACTACGCAAGAAACAACCGACAAGGGAAACCCATATTGAGCCGGCTGAATCACGGGGACAGAAGAGACAGACCGGTGTCCTATCGATATCGTCGCAGTCCAACAAAGATCTTCTAGACCCACAGGAGAACGGAACGTCCTCTATGATACTATTGGAGCTGTCCAGAGACCAAGAAGAGACAGTCCCGTTCCCGCTTTTTGGGACGAATGAAGAAAGGGCTTTTGAATCACAGAATGATGATTTTTCTGCTATCTACCCTATGTCGGCCTCTTATGCTCTATTGCAAAACACTGAAAATGGGCCAGTACCCCAAAATTGGGCTCTTCAGTCCTACGATGCTGCTGCCACAGCACCTATACTTTCGTGTTCACAGCCTACAGACGTAGGTGAAGTAATGCTACCGGAACCAGACATGTCTGTACCAAGTCAACGCTATCATACCGAAAGTCAATGGGTGGGATCTTTGGATCCGTCCCTGCACTGCTCCACTGAACGTCCTGTATCCACGGTCGAGGCTTTGCATCCAGAGTCTCACCGATCGCGCTTACCCTCCAGTGGATCAATAGCTCAAGCAGGTGTGCCGGCCATCACCCAGATACAAGAGCCGCATAATCATTTTGGGCCATTGGATCAGTGGGTCCTCCCTGATACTTCTGCTGAGTGGGACGATTACAATAGCTTGATGAACTGGACTCCAGAGATATGATAGCAACCGCAGTGGACGCAACCTCGTAATTTAGTGATCTTCCACCTGCTTACGGATGGTTCCCCGCTCTCACAGCTGTGTATAACGATGATCCTTGTTACAATGTATGTGAACGATTGTATCAAACACGATCGATGAAAGAATGATCATACTTGTTAAAATACGGCTGTTCATAATTGATACGAAGCATGCCCACAGGGGGGAAACGTGAGGCCCGAGCGAGAAGATTGTGTCGGCGAGATACTGGCTTATAACGAACACATCGCCAACAGAATCCCTCGCAGGGCTCTCAGTCCAGACAATGACCTTATACTCCAGTAGGAGATGGTCAACCAATCGAGCCGATCCGCACGAGAATCTCTTCTGGCTACACCTCGTTTCTGTCTACTTTCGTGCCAGCGGTGCTGGAACGCGGCTTGTGACGGCGGATCACTTTCGGATCAAGATTAGAGCATGAACATGAAACAAGGTGTATGAGGTCAATGTCGAATCATACATGTTCACCGGAACCACGATATAGTCGGTAACCTGTTTGGAAGAACTAGCTTAACAATCGATCCATATCGATTGATATGGAGAAATGGCGTCATAAGGTAAGCATCAGCTGAGTAGGCCGGCAGCAAAGCGGCTTCATTATCTTCTGCTTGGCTTCCAGCCTTCGCATACAGGATGTATATCTGGATTTGCGAGGTCGCTTTATGCATGCTAGTACGGTCATTCCAAAGCGTTGAGAAGCAAAACGACGCGGCCCAGTTCCCGCGTGTTTCACTTGGTGAAAGGAAGGCGGCACCGATCCCAAGGAAGCGCGAGTCCAAGCTTCTCAAGCTCGCTGGGAGGATTGACTACAGTCTGCGTTCTGACTTCTTATACTTTATCAATGTTATCGACATGTCTTACACATATGAGCATCTTCGAAGATCGCCATGCCTTCCCTCCATCCCCCCTCGAGTCCCCCGCCTTCCTCCGCCACCATGTCAAAGCAGAGAACTTCCGTACAGCCGAGCGGTATGTGGACAGCGTCTCAGCCATCCACTCGAGAACCTGTCTAAGTACAGGCCCCTTTGTTCCCCATCCTTCGACCTCTAGGCATATTTTTCGACCAGGTAGTTGATAAGCTGCTTGAAAGACCGGCACGCGATGATAACGGCAGGAAATTTCCCTTCAAAAACTTTCTGTTATACCGAGATCACAAGCCAAACTTCGAGGTCTGCCGTGATTGTTGTGTCAATTGGTGGGAACCAGCAGGGAAGGGTTGTCGTGACGAGGTCAAGCTGTTCAGGCATAAGCATCTAAGCAAACTTGTCGAGATAGAAATGCGTAAAGAATTTCCTGACCTAGAGACTCTGCCGCACCTTTATGTACCGTTCGTTCAGAATCGCGGAGAGGACTGGGTGGTCCAAAAAGGTGAGCCTGCGGTGCGATCCAAGCTTTGAAATATCCACTGAGTAGCACATCGAATCGCAAGGACGGCTCATTCCTTCTCAGGAGCAGAAAATGGCACGTCAGCATGACTTCAACATATTTCAGAGAAAACAACGGCAACGTATTCGCGACTCTAAGCTTGCCGAAAGCTTGGACCCTTCGATGACAGAGACTGACGAGTCAAGTCAATTTGGAGTCTCTCCCTCGAGCTCAGAAGGGACGAAACCGTCTTACGGCCAGGTATTCATCTGCGGTAAGTCCTGGTTTAGAAGTTCCCAGCTCCAACCGTCAACACATCTGACATAGACAAAGAACTCTCTAGGGCTACCTTCATCTGCTATCGACAAAGCCTGGACTGGCAGTGATGCAAACCTCACAACGTTGAGTGCACTATGTTCTCCCAAATCCTCCGACACCGGCAATACCTCGACCCTATCCCAGTCGTCACCAGCAGACTTTCATTCCGATCTGTCATTTGGCCATCTTACCGCCCAGACGACCGCATCATCTCAAACAGCGATAGCGGAAGATCCTGATCCGGAAGCAAGGGAGTGGTCTCTGAAAGTCACCGAACATCCTTGGCTGGGGGGTCTGGTCTAGTATGCCGCCGGAAAGCTTCGGTAGCTAGAGACCGTTCGTATGCCGGAAGACGTCATGGCGAGAATCAGGATACAGGCACAGGTCCGAGACAGTTGCTTCATTGCTATGCTTTATACAACTGCGATCCCATATGCAAGAGGATTGAGCAGCGGCCGTACGAGAGCGAGACTGGCTGAAGGCAAAATGGTGGCGAGATTATTTAGAAGGGACGAGTCTGCCTCGACACCCTAGTCGGCAGCGAAAGTCTGTGGGTACCACATAATAGGCACGGATCCATGGATACAGCATTAAGGGTATAATGGGTGTTGTGAGATACAAAGTCGATGTCGTTGATGCAGTCGTGAAATTGTCATAATTCGCAGCGAAGTCAACTACTCGGTAGTCTCACCATCTAGCAGTGCTGCAAAGATCTGAAATGACCAAGACGCGCTGATCAATGTCAATGAAACTCCGGTATGAAGCTCGCTCACCCCGCTCACCTCGTCTAGAATAGTTAATACGATGTGCAGATTCAATAACCTGATTTGCATTGCCCCAAAGACCTGTCGAGCCGCTCTCTGTGCGTTATGTCGTCCAATCATATTCGCAGCGACATCTAGATCGATCACACTCAGCTTCACGCTCGCACGTAGAATTGGTAGGCATTCTGGAACTTGCCTGGGATGAATGCTTGGATCTTGCGGCCTGCATTGAGTTTCGATTTGGATTTCTCGGCGGCTGTCCTCGGCTTGGTTGACGGCCGACGAATTCCCTCTTCCCACAAGGAGTTCTGAAACGCCGCGAGGTAATGCCCAAATGATGTTTCAGAAGTGGCTGTTCTGATCCCGTCGCGTACTTTTCTGGTGACGGCAGAGCGAAGACGTGAGCGGCTCCGCTCAAACTCATGCGGAACAGGCAGAGGACTTGCCGTTCGATTGTACTGCCCAATAGCTGTTGTATGACAATCACAAGAGCTTGCTTTCTTAACCAGTCGCCGTTCTTCAGGCCAAAGACTTCCACCATGAAGTCAGTGATTGGGGTCGTGAAACTCGTTTCTTCAACGATGGCTTGTGGCTGTGTCGGTTCGTGTCGGTCGAGGTCTTGATCTCGTACCGAAGTGTGGGGTTGGACGCTCGGGAATGGGAATGCGTCCTTCTCGTCAGAGCCGACACCTTGTGCAGGTGTCCTCAAGGCACGCAAGGCATATGGACTGAGAACCGAATTGCCGAGCTCGAGTCCATAGTTGCCTATCTGAGCGACACCCGCATCCCAGGCCTCTGCCATGTCCACCGCTTGTCTATTCAGCTTTTCCGCCATGACGTCGATCATGGAAGGTTTCAGGAAGATGTCGTCTAGCGATGACGTGACCTGATTATACAGGGTCTGGACCAGGTTTGGCGAGGCTAGCCCTGAATCCATACCTTGAACGGAACTCGCGGTTCCGGTCGGAGTTGATTGAGATTTCACTGCACCCGACAGACCCAAACGACTCTGAGACAAGAAAATCTTCAGAGCGGGATGGCCGCAAGCTGCCGGAATTTGAAGGAGACCCTGCGTAGGAAAGCAAAACATGTCAACAAGCCATCTTTCCAGAGATCGCTTTACGAACGGCTCACCCGCATATACCGCTCGAGCGCGACCCTCCGACCCTCAACGAAAGTGTCAGTCAATGTCGGTAGCAGCTTCTTCGACGGCACGTCCAAGTTCCTAGCCTTGAGTTCTGGTCCGACCGCCGGGGAAGCCTTGAGCGCATGTTGCAGATCCCAGAATTCGTTGTATCGCCTAGCGACGGCCCATCCTTGCAACAATTCCCCCTCGATCGAATGCTGCTGGATCTCTACCACGTAACGAACGATCTGTTTGCCAGCCTCTTCTGCCAGAACAGTTGCATTGGGTATCGTCAACTTTGTTCTTTCGGAATCCAACCGATAGTCGATCTCTTGCTGTTCGTACTGCATCTTTCGGAACCGAGTAGCCCTGAGTTCCCGGCGGAGATCGCTTTGAGATCTCAATAGAAGCTGCAATTCGCTTTCTTTCCCTGTCAAGTCGGCCGTCCTGATCATCTGGTCAAGTATCAAATCTTGCTCGTCTAGTTTGGCGAGTAGCTCTCCGAGTCGCGCAATCTCCAAGCTCAGCCGAGTGTCTAATACTGTCAAGGGTGTTACGTCTGACGAGACGTGTTTCTCTAGCGAAGAGAACACTGGAACCGAGCTAGACGTCGCTGATCTGAACAAGTCGCCAGATATCGGCGCGTCTTCGGAGCTATCAAACATCTTGCGAGGCCTCGCCGCGGGATGAGGAGCTAGTAAACTGCGACTACGGCTTTCCATACTCGCTCGGGAGCCAGTCTCTCCTACGAATTGGCGATTGCCTGAATGCAGATCGGGAGACATCGAATCCGTCGGTACCGCCCCGAGCGGATCCCAATGATCTTCCGAGTTGGCGACGTCCAAACTACCGATTGACCTGGGGTATATGTTACTGTCCATACTAGCTCGGGGTCGAGTTTCCTCGGCGATAGGTATCCCCCGAGACTGATCGTCGCGATCGATGATAGATGTGAGAGCGGCCTGGATGGCCTCCATCCGTTGGATCTGTACGTATTCGTCGTCTTGCTCTGAAGGGACTCTTCCAGTTTCCGGCGATAATTCCATCTTGTCATCGTCCTCGGTAGCGAAAAGAGCTGATCGACCACCGTTTACATCCGGCGTCTCATCGCCGATGAGAAAGCCGAGAGCATGAAGTGACTGCGATGGTGTGGGCGTCGGACTGATAGCCCCATTCCCACTGCGACTCGAAAGTCCGATCGACCAAGACCTGACTCGAGGCAGTTCTCTGGGCTGAGTCAAAGGAGACGGACCGTCATCTGCTTTGCCTGCCCTGGGTTGAAACGAGGCTAGAGCACGACGGGAACGCGCAGCCACAGGCGTGGCAGGACTGTGCGGTCCCGTCCCACCTTTAGACTTGTTGCCTCCGAAGCCCAATTGATTGAGCCATCTCGATTGACTAGAGGTATTCGGCAAAGGAGATGCAGAACTGATCGGCGATAAAGACCCTTGGCGCAGCATTGCCGATGCGCTCTCTGGCGGGTTCGATATCGCTTCCGAAGACCTTGATCCGAGCTGGACCACCCGAGACCCTTTTTTCGCCGCCTTGTTCAGATCAATCACCGCTTTACGGTAGAGGTCTGTCTGCCTAAACTCCGGAAAGTGGTCTTCCAACATCGCAGAGTAGATGTCGCGTTGAGCTCGGAACGTGGCCTTCCTGGCTTGATCGAGTAGCACAGGAGATAAGCTCGGCTCTGAAGATTCGCCTGTCGCTCCCGCTCGTATGCTCTCGAACAGTTTGCTACGCAATGGCACCGCATCGGTCACCGTAGCGGGATCCAGGAACATTGCCCAAATCATCGACACGTCCTCCCGCATGGTATTCAGCCCCGCTTCATCTAGTCGCTGCATTGACGAGGACAGTCTGGAATAGACCAGCTGCTCATCGTCGTCAGACGAGTCGACCTCTTCCAACGGGTTCTTGAAACTCTCCACGGTGAGCCAGAATTGAACCAATCGGGCCTGCTTCCTTCGGTCCATGAATTCCATATAAAAGCTCAGCGGCGAGGGGTTCGTGAGTATATCCCTCAACGACGGAGCCAGCGGGGTCCCCGAAGCGTCTACCTGACCTTCGTCTCCCCGCCCACTATGATCAGCCGTAGGTGAAGTTCCCGACAACTTCCCAATCTTCCTGTCCACTTTTCTCTTGGCAGATTCCAACCGAAGCAGGTAGGCCTCCATTTGCTTAGCCTTTGCCATCGACTCTTTGTCTTTGTTCTTCCCAACCTCTCTCGTCGGCTCTACAGACAACCTCGCCTGCACCTGCCTGATCTCGCGTTCAACATCGTTCCTCAACCTCTTGGCTTCGGTGATATTCTGTATCTTGCTGATACTTTTGAGGAAAACATCGAACGATCGACTGTCCGTGTTCATCGAGATCGAAGCCGATTGTCGAGCTCTGGTAGCTCTCGGAGTTCTAACGGGTGAGGAGGGATCTGCAGAGGTCATGGCGGGCATCGAAGTTCGTTGACGAATGGTCGCGGCTGGCTGAGAAGCAGCGCTCTCTAAAGCTGCCCGTAGCTGGTTCACTTGTTGTCTATCAAATCATACGGTCTCAGCGTTCAGCTCGACTCTGGTATAGAGCAAGAGTATATATATCGGTGACTTACCTCTCCTGCATATGCTTATCAGCCTGCTGGTCCAACATCCTATTCCAGAAATCCGGATCCGCCAGCATCTCCACGATCGGCAACAAGATCGTACACGTGATGACCTCTCGTGCGATGATCATGACCGTCTCGCTCCCCCTCTCTTCCGAGGGCAAGACCACCTTTAACAGTAGCTCAACCTTGCGCTTCAGGTGAGATTCTACGCTGGGCATCGGGTTGGCCAGAGCTGGTGCCGGCAGAGCTGGATGGAGTGGTGTCTTTCTGTGTGATTGTAAGATCGGGGCAGGGTTTACTGTTGCCTGCGAAGAAGATGTTGATCGGGTGGTAGGGAAGAGGAAAGGTTCTACCTGTCGATACGCCTGCATGTGCGAGGTCATATGAGGTAGGATCTTGGCGACCAGTAAGTGCGGGATATCCAGCTTTTCAAACTTTTCCTCGAATCGCTCTACGGAGGATAGGATTGTCTTGTCCAGAGCTTTCGGGAAAGTGGGCGAGGAAGAGATCCGAGAGTACCAGGGGAGAATGAAGTCTTGATGAACCAGACGCAAGACGTTCCGTAATAAAGCCTTCGTGGAATGGTTGTCGCTGATGCTCATTTCGCCCAAAGTATCCTGAGAATCTTCCCTAATGGTATCCCACTTGATAGTATCCCTGCGCCGTCTCGAACGAACAGGTCGTAGAGCACCGTGCTTGGCGAGAGCTTCATCATACCACCACCTCAACCCTACGCTGATCGCCAACACCCCTATTCCTGCAATCACCAGCCAGATCGGCGCGAAGATGACGACCAACCAGAACGGCATCATCGTTGCAGTCTTCCATAGGACTGCGAATAGTCCTACAAGTGCAGCGATCTTGCCGAAGCCCGACATCTCGATCGAGTAATGACGGTCGTCCGTTGTGCTGATGTCATTCAACGTTGCATGCTCGTCGGCGATTCCCGTAGATCGTCGTAAGGCGAGGTTATGACCATGTCCCGACGGCTAAAGTCACAAGTACCTATACACTAATTGATAGCCGTCCAGATCAATTGATGTCGACTGTTGAATGCGATAAGACCTGGCAGATGTCATAGGCCTCATAGGATTGATCAATCCAGGAGTACGGAGTAGGTGATGATGATGCCCGGTCTCTCGGCGGCGCTGGTTCGCGGTGGAAACAAGACAAACTAAACAAATCTCCCACCCTCAGGAGAACCCTCTGCCGTGGTACTTCGAGATCAGACTCAAAGGTGTCGAATGCCTAGAGATAAGGTCCGGAAAGACCGATCTTGGAGGACAACCACATGGTATACAGCTTCCATTTCCGTGCCAACAAATCGATACACATAGCTCAACAGTCCGCGCCGCCGGTCTTGACATCTCCCCGCTCAACCCTCCAAGGTCCCCATCTCGCCCCACCTATCACAAAGCAAAGCGACCCCGCCACCTCCCTTCCTCAGATCCTTCAAGTCTACGGCATCCACCAGATCGTATTCTTTCCCGAAAGCGACGTAGTGCGCGAACAACGAGTTCCAATGCGCCTCGAGGGAGAGGTGGAGGATGTCGGTGAAATGGGCGTGGTAGATGTGAGAAAAGATGCGGAAGAGTTGTTTGTAGATGTGTTTGGCCGTGCTAGGGAAGGAAGGGGCAAAGTCTCGTCCTGGAAGCCAATATCATGATTTATATGCATGCGGTGTCAGTCCGAAGACCTTCGTTTTCGGGTGTGATCTCAATGCTCGATGCAATGCTCACCGCTCTTGGTAGGGAAAACACCTTCATCATCGATCAACCTCTGCACCCAGCTCATCACGTAATCGATATAAGTCGGCGCGGGGAGGGAGACGGGTCGCTTGTTCTGATCCGGCCAGGTAAAGTTCAACCTGTTTGGTCACGCACAAAAGGGAACGATATGAGCTCGGTATGACCTTTCAGCACAAGAAAAGGAGGCGGGGAGGAGGAAGGGCGTACTCTTTCGCAGCGCCCATCTTGCTGCACGTCTGGACGGTACAGAATTCCGAGACGACATCGTAAAAGTGGTTCAAGTTCTGATAAAAGTCAAAGACTGTCCCCGCGAATCATTCATACCGACAGTTCCGTAAATCAGCTCGTCTCCATCTCAACATCTCGCTCGGAAAACAGCAGTCCGAACGCAAAACTAACTGTTGATAGCCACCCACTCGTTCACATCCACATACTTGGGCGGAGCGACGATCGTCTTGAAGCTCCCCTTGACAAGAGCGGCCTTGACGAACGGTTGACAGAGGTACAACGGCTTCTCTTCGCCCGGGGAAGCAGCGCCTTGCATCTGGCCTTGAGATGGGTTCTGGGACATGGTTTCGTAGTTCGGGCTGGTAGGGGATGTCGATTCTTCGGGGGTCGTGGGGGATCGTTTCGGGGCTCGGAGGCGGCTGTAGGCGTTGCGTGTAAGCCAAGACTGTTATTAGCTTCATCGTCCTCTGGCCATTGAAGGAGATCGCGATCGGGAGACGAGTATACGATACAAGCTCTGAGAGTTTGACTCACCCAATCGAGTTCAAAAACCCAGACATCTGCTCGTCACAAAGGACGATCCGCTGCGTGTAATGCGGTATTACCGATCCAGCTCAGGAGCCTGTGATCAGGATATATCGAATCGAGCTTGTAGGTCTGGTCTTGCTGCAGCTAGTCGATCGAGAGCTGATGATGTATCGTCCAGGTCGTTCCGTACAGATCAGGCTTTGCTAGCAGCTCTAACTGCTGAGTGAGAAGTCCAGCTCTAGTTGTGACACGGCTGATGGGCTTTGTGTTTGATGATGGCCACGCGACGTCGGAATGTGAGAGACAGGCAGGCGAAGATGGGAGGAAGGTCGTCAAAATGTGGTGTCGTATCGTATCTTTGTGTTCGTGACCACGTCCCCGGATCGTCTGGTCGTTGTTGGTGATGTCTGGAGCCAGCTGCTAATTGCTCGAATTGCTATTGTCCTTGAAGGTGGTTGTTCGAGGTTGGAGCTCGGTTGATGTGCCAGACGTGGGGAATGAGACGATGCCGTAAGTGAGCGGAAGTATTTTGCGGGGGATGTCGGAAGCATATCTATGCGTTATGGCCGGCACGTGCTGCGTCATCGCATCTTTGAGGATGCGTGAACACCCATGATCTTGCGACCTGTGATTGATACGCTTGAATGGCTCTGATCGCCAGCTGAGCAAGACTCCTATCTCAAGTCTTGCCTATCTCACCTGCTTCTCATCTTCCCCCACACTGGGAACGCCATGTCGTTCCAGCTATACCTCCGCCCACAACCGCGGACCTTCTACCTCTTCTCCTCCACCCATGCTCTCCTATTCAAACAACCGGATCAAGATGAGCTAGAACAGGAATTGAATGAGAACGTCTTCCGAGCAGCAATATCGCGCAAAGAAGGGAACTCGGCCATCGTCGAGTTGTTAAATTTGGAGGATGTCGATCAGCGAGGTCTGATCAAGGTGAACGCAGGGCGTTCTATTGGGGGTCTTCTCGGTCTGCTCAGTCTACCTATCGGTGAGCCTTGCTATCTCTGCACGTATCCCCAAAGCGTCTGCTGAACAATTCGATGAATATACATAGACACAAATGGATCATCAGAAACATTTCTCGTCCTCATCTCATCTTCCCTCACTCTCCCGCCTATCATCCCCCAGACGCATCTGACCCCCTCCAAAGTCCTCTCGGTGGAATTCCACTGTTTAGGTTCTTCCCTGTGGGACGACCCTACTTTAGTCCCACTCGCACCTCAACCCGGGGAAGAAGCGTTCGAGGATGACGGGTATTATCAGTCCGCCTTTGCCTCCTCGAACCTCAATAATGGCAACCCGCGAGACCCATATAACTCCCCGGCGGCAGTGCCACCTCCGCTGAACCCAGCTGAAGGGATCAAGAAGATCTTGTCTACGGGGACCTTTTATTTCGCCACGAATGGCGATTGGGATATGAGCAGGAGTTTGAGGGGGTGGGATTGGAAGCGAATGAAGCGGGAGGTAGAGGGCAAAGGAGAGGGAGAGGGGTGTTTGGATGGGATGGATGAGCGGTTCGGTCAGTCGACTATATGGACCGGGGGAGAAGTCCTGGCCTTGGAATCCTGATGAAAAGTGTTTCTCGTTCCTGTTCTAGTTTGGAACCAAAACATTTTGCAGCCGTTGTTGCACTTCCGTCAATCCCTCTTGCCAATGCAGCGGGCTCATCTAGACGACCAGAAATTCCTCGTCCCCCTCATCCAAGGATTCGCTGGAGCTGTGGCAATCTCACCATCCCGTCTATCTGGCACTCAACAACAGCCACAAACGAGTCTCGCTTTGATCAGTCGACTCGGCTGGAAACGCGCTGGAGCTCGATTCCGGACCCGAGGTGTCGACGATGATGGCAACGTCGCCAACTTTGTCGAGACCGAGACCATTCTCGCTATGGACGACATGGTCATGAGTTTCCTCCAAGTCCGAGGGAGCGTCCCCCTCTTCTGGGAACAAGTGGGCAATCAGACGTTTGCTCAGAAACTCCAGATCACGCGACCTCAAGCGGCGAGCCAACCGGCTTTTGATAAGCATTTCTTGGATCTGATCGACCATTACGGGAGTGTACACTGTATCAACCTCCTAGGACAGGGCGAGAACGAGACGATACTCTCGGACATATACAACGCCCACCTCGTCTCCCTTTCAAATACCTTGAGGGCGTCGGATAGGACCATCAACCCGTTGACCGGGGAGGAAGAAGATCTAGTCACTCTCACACCTTACGATTTCCACGCTAATGTGAGGGTCAGTGGACATGATGTTGTGAAAGAGGACTTTGGCAAGAGGATATCCAGTGTGAGGGATACGCGGGAGAGGTACGGGTGGAACGTGATCGATAGATCTTCGGGGGATATTGTCATGCGCCAGTCTGGTGTCTTTCGAGTCAACGTGAGTGGCAGAGAAGTGGACTTCAGCTAGTTGACAAGGTAGTTGATTATCCGTCTCGAACCGACTCCGTCCTCAGTGTCTGGATTGGTAAGTTGTAGCTTTAGCGCTCATATCTGATGTAGAGAAAAGCTAACATGTCCCCTTGATCACAGCCTGGACAGGACGAACTATGTCGAGGATGTCTTCTCCTCGTTGACTATCTCCAGCTTCCTCGTCTCGCTCGGCCATTCGACCTCGTCGGCATACTCGACAACCGCCGCCATCCTCTCTGCTCATCGAGGATTGTGGGCGGACAATGGGGACGCCCTGTCGAAAATCTACGCGGGTACTGGAGCACTCAACACGAGTGTCACAAGAAGTGGGAAACGGAGCTTCGCCAGTCTAATCAGCGATGCCAGTAAGAGCGTGGGGAGGGCGATTCAGGCGACGTTCAATGATTCGGACAAGCAGGCCTCGATCGAGCTGTTCCTGGTAAGCCAATAACGAAGCGGAGCTTGGTAACCACATGAGACTAAGCGACATATCTTGCGCTTTTCAGGGCATCATGGCCGGACAAAAGCCTGTCCGAGTTTACGATCCGATCTCAGATTCGATCCAGGCCGCTCTGACATCGAGACTTTCCGAATACTCTAGTCCCAAGGAAGTTTCCATCTTTACCGGGACTTGGAACTTGTGCGGGAGGGCCTTGAGCGGAGACCTGGAGGATTGGTTGTTCCCGGAAGGTGAGTTGACCGATCCGATAGGATAATCTACTTGGCTGATCAGTAAAACCTGTCGGATTGATGAATTTCAGGCCAGAAATCGTAAGATGCCCCCACTATGCACGGACCGAGGCATGCTGTTGATCGATATTTCTCGTCCGCTCTAGCTACGATCTGTATTCGATCGCCTTCCAGGAACTTGTTCCATTGAATGCGCAGCAGATACTACAGACCGATCCCGCGGCGAGGTGAGCAGGAAACATCCAGCTGAACGGAGTGGAGACGGTGCTTACGTCCGTCCTGTTCGCCTGCCAGACGCAAATGCGAATCCGTTCTTTCCGCGACTTTCGAACGTCATGCTGGCAAGGACGCATACGTCCTGCTGCGAAGCGAACAGCTGGTTGGGACCGCCATTTTCGTCTACGTCAAGGCCGACTTGCTATCGTCCATCACCCGGGTTGAAGGCGCTTCCAGAAAGGCAAGTGCTGCTTGTCGCACTGGATCGGTAGCAACTTGTGGCTTATCCTATTGGCGTATAGACCGGCTTGCGCGGAATGTCCGGGAACAAGGGTGGTTGCGGTATCCGCCTGGATCTACATGATACACCTTTATGTCTCATGACGTGTCATTTGGCGGCCGGCCACACCAATGTCGCAGAACGTAATGCGGACTTCCATACTATCAACAACGGGTTGGCATTTCAGAGGGGAAGAACGATCGCTGATCACGAGTGAGCACTCAGCACTATGAACCGGATTGCCTGGAAGCTAAAAATCGTTCCCTTTAGTGTGATAATCTGGGCGGCTGATTGCGTGAGCAGGGCTATCAGATAGTAGTTCTGACATTGCCAGCTCATATCGCTTCCTTCCTGATATCGCCAGAATTATCGTCTCAACCTGTCAAATGAAGAAGTCCGGACAGCTATTGACGGGAGGGACTTCCAGCAGCTGTGGGAAGCCGATCAGCTTCGCTTGTCTATGGTGCATAAAGACGCTTTCGCTGGATATATCGAGGCTCAGATCGCTTTTCCGTGAGTTATATGGCGGATGTAGGTTCATGTCATGATACTGACCGGTTCCGTCACCACTCTTGTAGACCGACCTACAAATAGTAGGTCCGCTTTCTTGCGTTCAGAGAGATGGGTGGCTGATACGAGCATGCGTCTTAGCGATGTCGGCACCGATGATTACGATACGAGCGAGAAACAGCGCATTCCTGCTTGGACAGGTTAGTGATCACCCATAGTGTCTGCATGGATTACCCGAGCTGACATTCGCCGTAACCTCAGACCGAATTTTATGGCAAGGAAAACTGGTGAGCTCTTTTGGATATGCTCGACTTCAAGTCTGAAAGCTCAACCGCTTTGCAACAGCTCGAGAACAGGGACTATACCATTGCGAACATCAAAACCTCCGACCATCGTCCGGTTTACGCTACTTTCGACTTGACGGTCCATATCGTCAACGAGGCCAAGAAACAAAAGATCGTGGATGAGCTGAACAAAAGACTAGAAGGCAAATCAGTAACGATACGACCCTCATCGAATGTCAAGCCTTCAACGCCTGTCAAGCGAGCCCCTCCAAGTGTCCCCGACAGGACGAAAAAGACTCCTGTAGAGCCAGACTTGATCTCTCTTGACCCGGCACCTCCAGCCAAAGGTAAAAGACATTACAGGATGTGAACCAGGATCCGTCCACAGCTGATCTCTTACTGTGTTCCAGCGGCTCCTCCACCCCGGCCACCCAAACCTTCAACTCTACAATCTCAACGTGAGTATCCCGAACGCTGGCACTCTGCCCTAGCGCTTTTGTGCTAATGGTGCGTAAGAACTGCCGCGATCCAGAACGTGTGCCATCCTCCTCGTCACTAGTCTCGACCACCACCGAGGACGACTATGTCCGGGTAGCTTCGCTAAAGCCAATCAAAGCCACTCCTCCGCCTCAACGGAGCCCAGCGCAGACTGGCTCTGCAGCAGTGTTGCCGCCTCCTCGTCGTCAGGTCCCAGCGTCCACTGTCACGGCCTCGAATGCGAGCGCAGTGTACCCTGCAGTTCCTCCCTTCCCGCGATTCCCTTCTGGCTCCGCAACGCGTCAATCCAGCGTGTCCAGCCTGGCTTCCAATTTCTCTACCCTTTCCGACAAGATGGCCAAGACGAACATCGGATCTCAGGCCAGCGGTCTACTCAATGCAGCACGGTCAGCTGCTTCTAACGGTAATGCCGTCCCAAAGTTTGTACCCAATCTTCCTTCCGGCCAAGGTGACTCGAGGCGAGTCCCGCCACCGCTTCCAGGTCGAGCTACAGCTAGTAAGGAGTAAGCGGGAACCGTCTGTGTCTTCAATCAGCCTGATTAATCTCAGATTGACGACTTGAAATACAGTACACGATCTTGATATGACGGTACCGCCCCATCTCCGGGTCTCTCTGCAAGACCTTTTGAAGTGCAGTGACTTGCCAGGGGTCTTGCGAGACGCAATACAATCGAGCCTCCAAGGGTCCCCGGGATATATGCTAGAAGAAACCGATACGAACGATACAAACGACCAAAAGAATGACAATGACGACCCTAACGACGACACTGTGACCGACGAAGAAGAATACATCAGCAGACAAATATTATCGGATATCGCGAAATGGTCGCGGTCTGACGAAGGATCCGCATCAATGAACCGCCATCGTCTGGGTGCGTGGATGGGGGCACTACTCGCTTCGAATTCGAGATATTGACCGGAAACACGCATTCAGATCCCTCCGACTATCAGCTCATTTCTCTCCTCTCCGGGACCAAGACCCGAACGACACGTGCACAGGAACGCTTGATCGCCGCGAACCCCGACTTGGTCAGTCAAAGCTGATCTTTCATTCGATATTTGCCCACTGACTCTGACGCTACCACGCAGGATCACAACCTTTTGCCCTCGCACCTGCTCGAAGCAAAGAACAAGACTAACTTGACTTTCGGCCAGGAATACCACTCGATACGAAAAGAGCTCGCTGCAGCCGCCAACGTGTTGTTCTCGGTTGGTGGTGTGGGAGGAGCTGTCTTTGTGGTGGCTAAAACTTCGGCGGGGTTGCGCCCAGAAAAGGTGCGGCGATAACGAGCTTCTTTCGGAAGCAGGGACCGTGACTGATACTCTGTCCTTCCGTATTGCATCGTCAAGGCGATTCTGTTGGCATTCTTGGCAGCATTGATCGTGGCGTTTGCAGAAGTCTGGCTCTATATCGCGCAAGCCAAGCGCGTCGAGAGGGCTCGGGAAGTGGCGGAACGACTTGGTGAGGGTGACAAGGCAGAGATGAAAGCCGTCATCGAGGGAGGGGAGGCGGAGAATTCAATCGACAGGCTCGTGCCTGAGGAGACGGATCGAACAACGAAAGAGGTGTCCTCGGAGGAGATTCTGCTGGGGCAAACGGAAGGGGTAACGCAAACCAGTCGTGAGCTAGCGAATGTACGATTGCGTCGACGACCTGTCGCAGGACAGGATTAGTCTGTTCAAGGTACAAATGCTGAGGGTCAAGGTGCATGATAAACTCGAGCAATGGGTGATCAGGCGACAGACAAGAACTCTATTAAAGCCTCACGCGCGTGCGCGAGTTCTGTTGCCTGTCGCTTAACCATAATTGAGCAGTCGCGCAGTCGTATAGTTAAGGTAGGGGTTCGGCAAGATCGAGAGGCGACCGCCTTGATGACCTTGAACTTGCAGGTAAATAGTCTGTCCTGAGCAGCATTAGAAAAAAAAAACTCATATACTTAGTAGGCTTTGGGGGCAGTGAGAGTCCGACTTCGTCATATCATCAAAGTTGATGTAAGGTATGCACGATACAACACAAAAAGATGTGACGGTACAAGTTCACAGACTGACTCGTGAGTGATTTCGACCCCAAGCCAGGTTGCAACAGTTGTATTGCTTTCTGCTATATCTGCTAGCAACCTCGTGAAGCACACATATCGCGTATCGCGCCGCGTTCAGCTGATCAGCTGATCAACAGGCTTCTCCCATCCTTTCCTTTGTTGTTAAGATAGCATGCCCATTGGTCGAGAGTACACCCGGTTGCCAGGGGGTCTTTATATCTATCTATACAGTAGTTTAGCATGTCCCTATCAACGTGACGAAACGACTGATGCCACTGAGCAACCGATCTTTTCGCCGAGGAGAAACCATTCAGCTGCGAGCGATGTCCGCACTCGACTTGTCTGTAGACCCTCTGAGTGCAATTTTGGATACGGCCTCGTCCGGGTATTTGCCGTACATGTACGAGCCATCCGCGAACTCATTCGTATCTGTAGAACCTTTCCTTGTAAAGGGGCAATCATGGGCGGTCGCACCGGAAGGCGTCCGGACTGGGCCTAGCAACATCTATGAGCCCGATCGAGCCGCCAGTTCCAAAACCCACTACAGCCAACCAGGCGGGAATCTGCACACGTCCCCTGAAAATCCTGAGTCGCTCGTCGGACACCCAGTATCACCCTCTTTATCTGGCCATCAGCCGGCAGAATATCCATGCCACCTAATGGTACCTGATTACGCCGAATGGAATATGCAGACATACCGAGAGCAGTATTCCAACGTGGACCCATCTCTCTCTGGTTTCCCAGACGGCGCCTTTCCTCACCTGGCCCCTTCAATGATGTTCATGCAAGGCCCTCCGCCACCCTCGGCCAGCTATCCGTCATACGGACTATCGGCTCATTCAGAACCTTCTTTTTGCACGGAAGCGTCGGGATACGTTCAGCCAATCGCACCTTTCAGTCCCTTCGATTTTTCACTTCTACAGGATCAGAACGCTTCCCGAGGTGATAGTGCTTTCCCTAGAGGTCAAGCAGGTTACCCGGCACTTCGAGGTACGGCTAAGCAAGAGCATCAGCGCAATTACCTAGGTTCGTCTGCAGCATACTCCAATGACTTGGCACTTGTCAATGCAAGGGATATGGTGGGCAGCGCGTCGAGCTTGAGCAACAAGCGAGCTCATCTTAGTGAGTGATCTATATACTACCTCTAAATCGCCCAGTCAGGCTAGAACCCTGATTGGTACACATATTGATATCTAAATCTCCCGGTACCAGCTGATATCAAACAGCGTCAGGCGGAACAAGATGCGCAGGTACTAGTTTCAGGCTGCTTCGAGTCGATCTTGGGCGCACATGAAATGTTTCCAAGTAACGATCAGTATAACGGAGAGTTTCCACCTGCAATCCCTGACGGATCATCGCAGAGAACACGATCGTTTCCCGAATCTTCTTTACCGGCCACAGAGTCTTTGAATTCTGCCATAGTAGATTCCCCTGCCCGAGAAATGTCCCTGTGGTCAGGAGCGATCAAGGTCTTAAGGGACAGCCAATCGAAATTGTGGAGCTCAAGCTTCAAGTGTCGCAAATGTAATGAATTGAATTGGTTCGACCCAGATGACCAGCGCTGCTCAGCACAAATCCATAGAATCTACCACAGTGCTGCAGTCGACATCGTAGCGGACAACCTAGAAAATGTTCTCGGATGGCCGCGAGGCACATGGAACGTAGATGCTACGAGCTCGAAGATGGAAAGCTTCCACATCTGGATGTACGTCAATCGGGATAGATACCGGTCGCGTCGAGATGAGCCCGGGAATGCTCTTATCAACCGGAAGGATTACCAAGTACGTCTGGGGAAAATGTTGACGAATAGAAGTTGGAGGAAGAAGCGCCGAGCCGAGAGCAAGAACAGTGAAGGAACCAGTCTAAGCGTATCCGAACTAACGCCGACTGTCGAGAGTACGGTCCCAGAAGCGGGTCCTATTCATGTGGGATGGTCTTCGGATCAGATTGAGGCTTTCCGAGAGAAGTTGATCGAATGGATGAGGACAGCACCCCAAGCAGACTTGCACAAACGCCACGACTGTAACTCGTGCCCGGAAATGCTATGGTATCACCCTGGCAGCTGTGAAGATCAATCCCACAGCGTTTACAATAGTGCTGCGATTGTCGTGGTGAGGGAATACCTTGAGAGGAACGGATACGGCGGGATCGACGTGGAAGACCGCCATATACGGCAATACTTGAAGAACAACACATGCCGTCTGGATATGTCGCAAGTCCGCCAGAGTCAGTTGGCTGTGCTCGCGCAACGGCGCTATAAAGCGAAAAAGAAAGGAAAAGGTCCATCGCATTCGCGACGCTGATACACGGGCATTCGCGCTTTGTTGTAGAAGACCGGTCTCCTTTAGTCTGTATCGTAGGGTAATCGTATATGCAAATGTAAATTTGATAATAGATGGTGACTTGTCCTTTACCAGATCGAGTGAGCTAACAGGTCGATCCACTCTCCTCTAATCCACGGAAATCACATTGCGGCGAGTGTCCACGGGAGACTGTCATGCGCTTTCGATCTGTCGAGATGCCGTCACTCGATGTCGTCAACAAAGATGCTCTTGAAATGATCGGCCTATTCTTGATGTTTCCATTGAGATTTCAGCTTGTCTTCGTAAAACAAACCCTCTGAGTTCCGGAGGCAATCATTGCCAAGTCGAGTCTGGCATAAGCTCCTCATCCGGCGGTCTGCCGGGCACTTTCTCGACGTCCTCGTTCGCCCACATTTTCGAGGGATTTAGACGCTGCAATACATCAAAGCCTTCATCTTGGCTGCACGGCGAATAGCAAGAAGATACGGAGGACCAGATCGTCGAAGATGAGAACGCGACGAGAAGTCACTAGTCAAAGAATATGCTCGACGTGAAACGCAATATGCACCCGATGTGTGACCTGAAACAGACCTGTTCACGCGCTTCGGGTTGTCGTAGAGCCAAAAGCATCGGGTTCCTACTCGGTCGAAGAAAATCCGCTGGGGACGACATCCTGAAACGCAACCTACACACCCGCCAGAACCACGATGCGCAGTACGACGTGAAGCCGAGGCTTTCTAGCCCACACGGCCAATTCGTCTCAAGAGCAAAAAAATGCTCTGCGAAAAAGAAGGAAACAGGGCTCGGAATATATTCCATCGAGGACCGAAACGAATCTACATCATCTTGACCGTAACATCCATCTCATCCCCGTCAAACAACTAAGCGAGACAGAGACGAGAGGAAAGCCGTAACACGGCGATCGAGCGGGGCCAGAGAGAGAGATGCAGAGAGGTCCATCCTTGATAAAGAGCTTCTTCCGAGGTCCGCTGCTTTTGTGTATATGAGGGGGAGATGGGGGAGAGAAGAGTCGGATCGAGAAATGAGGGGGAATGTTGCGAGATGTTTAGTCGAACAGTCCGAATCCCATGTCGTCGTCGGACTCTACAAGCGTCGAAAACGTCATGATAATCAGCCCACCATCTCGAAAGCGACAGCTGTCCCGAATATCCTTAATTCGTTAACTCACCCTCCTTGGCCTCCTCCTTCTTCTCCTCGGCAGCGGGCTCGGCACCACCGGCAGCGGCACCACCAGCGGCAGCGGCACCGGGACCAGCGGCGGCGGGGGCACCACCACCAGCTCCGATGTTAGAGAGCATGGACTTGACGTCCTTGCCCTCGAGGGCCTTGGCGAGGAGGGAAGCCCAGATGGGCTCGACCTCGACCGAAGCGGCGGAGGTGATGGCGGTGATCTTGTCGGCCTGCGAACGTTTCCGAATGTATTGAATCGAGCGATGGCGAGCAGGGCCACAATCCACCATGCGGACGAGACGGAGACCCCAAAGAAACAGAGAAGACACAAAGGCAAAGATAGAATGTGTTAGCAATCCCGCAATCTCACAATTTCTTCCAGACGCCAAGAAGGGGTAGCACTCACGGTGATTTCGACACCCTCGTCGGCCAAGATCAAGGCGGCGTAAGTAGCAGCGAGCTCAGCAGTGTTAGACTGTAGTGATTATTGAAAGATGAAGGATAAAGTCAGTCAAAGGTTCCTTTTGTGTTTTGTAGTGGATTTGTTTGGGCGAGTTTGTCGGCCGGCTCGATTGACAGAGGGTCGTGTGCGTTGTTTGAAGATGAACAGAGGGGATAGAGGGTTATTCCGTGCAGCTCCGGGGTGACGGGGCAGGTTCAGAGTGTCGCTGACAGAGATTCTCGATAGATGACCGAGATTCGGCTTCGACGGCTCTTTCACTACGCCTCTTGCTGCCATCCCGAGTTGCTACGGGATATCTCCCCCTGTATCCTCTCCAAATCCATCCCTTTGCCCTTCCATCTGCTTGACTTCGGCACAGCACGACTCCTCCCGTCCAACCGATCCAGATCCGACGTTTGCAGCCTGGACGCTCACCATCTTGAAAAAGAGTTTTCCGGAGGTCTAAGAACGAGTCTACGGGTGTTGTCTTGAAAGAGGGGACGAGTGCGAGGTAAGGTCGTGTATATGGACGTTGGTATGATAGAGGTTGATCGATGGTCGAGCGCGGACCGCGACAGACACGCTGAGAGACAGAGGTGACGAGAGTGGAAAGAGCAGAGCAAGGTCAACGTGAAGCAATCACGTGATTGACAATCAATGAAGACTTGTTCGAAATCTGGAAGCGCGAGCCATCGACAACTGTCGACACTTACGTAACTGCCACCGGCCAACCATCGACACGCGCGGGCTGTCATACTCGTCGAGCTTGCACGTTGTCGACGGTTACGTAAGTGTTCACGTAAGCCGTCCTCACATTTGAAAACAACTAGAACACTCTAAGTCCGAGCCAAGTTTTTCTGAGCCGAGTCGCTCAGAGTCTCAGCTCTCGAGACCTCTGAAGCTCAGAGTTTCAACAAACGACCTCGTATCAAGTTCGATCATACCACCTAAACGATCTTGAATCCCTCTCCTTTTTCCGTTCGTCCCTCACCACCACTACCAAAAAAAGAAGACAACATCGCAAGAATGGCCGTCTCCACCACCACCCCTACCGCCGAGCAGGTCGCCGTCCCCGAGACCTTGTTGAAGAAGAGGAGGTCGACCGAGAAGTCGAGGGAGGAGAAGTTGGCCAAGGCTGCCGAGGCTCAGAAGGTTAGTACCGATAGACATATCGTCGAGGAGGATGAGACGTAGCGGGAAGAGGACGGTGCCGGTGGATCTGGGGGAAGCGGGTCGATCAACCGGGAATTGGGGAGAAATTTCCAGGGTCGATCAGCAACCTCGATCTGGTCTACCGCATCTACACTTCGGCTGCCATCGACACCCACCTCCTTTCCCCATCGCTCTACCCATTTCCGTTCGCCTCGCAAACCTCATCACAACCACCGCAATCAAACCACGCAATCGAGAAAAGAGAGACCCACGCGAGACAAAAACAGGATGATGCAAAAAATCGGGCCAACACTCTTGAGCCTCGGATCGGCTAGTCTGTCGTGTACCTGGTAAAAGGGGAGGACGACGATGATGCCTGTTATAGTTAACCATCTTTCGGGACTGACTGTTTTTGAGAAGAATCTTGTGGGGAGATGATGGGGATGATGGGTTGCGGTGTTGCGGCGTGGGGTTGTGGAAGAAGAGGATGATTGCGAGTACGGCAAGCTAACTCGATCGATTCTTGTTCTTATATCTTCCTTCGACGACCCTCGCCCCACCATCACGACGAGCAGAAGCGACAGGCCCAGCGAAAGGTCATCTTCAAGCGTGCCGACCAGTACGTCAAGGAGTACCGAAACAAGGAGAGGGAGGAGATCAGGTTGAAGAGGGAGGCCAGGAAGACCGGTGACTTCTACGTCCCTGCCGAGTCCAAGGTCTACTTTGTCATCAGGATCAAGGGGTGAGTCCGAGGACATCGGAGTAGCGGGCAGAGGAAAGGGAGTTGGCTGACCGTTCGACTTGTGCTCGCCCCGTTCAACCCGGTAGTATCTCCAAGATCGCCCCCAAGCCCCGAAAGATCCTCCAGCTCCTCCGATTGCTCCAGATCAACAACGGTGTCTTTGTCAGGGTCACCAAGGCTACCCAGCAGATGCTTCGTCTCGTCGAACCATACATCACCTACGGGTGAGTAGTCGTTCGGTCCGAAAACCCCACTCTCTCACGAGAGGCGCGGGCGAGTAGGGCAGAGAGCTGATTACATCCATCGACCCCCTACGTCAATTTTCCTCAAACGTCTTTTCGTACCTTCCTCCCCTATAGTGAGCCCAACCTCAAGGCCGTCAAGGAGCTCGTCTACAAGCGAGGTTACGCCAAGATCGCCGGACAGAGGATCCCCTTGCACGACAACTCGGTCATCGAGAAGGCTTTGGGCAAGCACGGCCTCGTCTGCGTCGAGGACTTGGTCCACGAGTTGATCACCTGCGGACCCAACTTCAAGGCCGCCACCACCTTCCTTTACCCCTTCAAGCTCTCCAACCCCAACGGTTAGTCCGCAGAAGTCCGTGTTATTACAGGGGTCATCCGTGCTGACGTCTTTGTGTCTCGTGCTACTTCGCTTGTGCTGCAGGTGGATGGGCCGACCGAAAGTTCACCAACTTCGTCGAGGGAGGTGACGCCGGTAACCGAGGCGAGAACATCTCTGCCCTCCTCCACCGAATGGTTTAAACGTCTCTCGTTTATGCTGTCCATCATATATATTCCATTCCCCCCACCCCCGACACGAGCCGCCTTTTTTTTTTCTTTTTTCGCTGGGGGTCTAAGACTTTCGTGTTGTAGTTGTGTGTGTGTTTTTCGGGGCGTCGTTTCCCTTACGGGATGATGCATCGGTTTTCCCCCATGATGACACGAGGTTTTGCCTTTGGGTTGAGCTTTGAGGTTCAGGTTGAGCGGCGTTCCTTGGAGTCTCGGATGCAACGCTTACAAGGTTGGCTGTGGGGTTTCGCTGTGAAGGCTTGGTTCGGGACGTATGAATTCGCGAGGTGTCAAGGCAGGGTGTTTCAGGCTTCGCGCCTTGTCCTTCTCCTCTAAAGTTTTTGAGCTCGAGTTTCCCTTTTGGCGTGAGGTTGAGTGAGGTTGTTAAATTCGAGAGCGTAAGGGGGAAAGAACACGGTGTAAGATCCCGGCGCCAGGAAGTATGATGGATACAGGCTGAGATGTACATTTTGAAAGCGACAACGACAGAAACTGACGACGACACACAGGTTGGATCCAAGAACGGGAACTGAGCTCGATCAAGCGCTGATTATCGTAGATGTCGGGTCAAAAGTACCCCTTTAGCCTCTTTAAGCGTTACCATCGATCGTCCCTGAGCCATGCGAGCAGAGTATCTCCGCCGAGAGATCAGGTAGATGGGTATCAAAGTCAAGTGAAACATCACCATAAAAGGTTCTAACGTTCACCATGGGGGACTGACTGAGGCCCGAATAAGACCCTCGACGCATGATCACTTGGCTCAATGCCGCCACCTCTCCAGCAGAAGCACTGCGCCGAGCAAACAGTCTATTTGCACTGTTATTGGGTATCGCAAACAGTGGTATCCAAACCTCCTGATGTGTCATCTCTACCGTGTATATGCCAAAGCCGGGATTGACCAGGTCAATCCCGGTTGGATTTATGCTTGGAGGACCGGGGGTGAAGGGAACAGCCGGGGCGACCGTCATCTGGTTGTACGAGTGAAGTTTCCAGACGGGACGACGAGCAAACTCGCTGGTAACACGAGGCCGCAAACGAAAGAAAAAGTTCCGCACAGGAGACCTGTTTGCAACAGAGCGCAACATCCTCTAAGTTAACGCTACTACCGAAGGCGAACGTAGAGCACTTCCTTAGCGGGGGGGGCTATCTTTGATAAGATTTCATGAAGGGTCTCAGTCGGAACTGTATCTTTGGGTCGAACCCGCGGGCCGACGATCAAAGTTCTTCTTTCCCTATGCTCCTATTGAGAACGTTACACCATTGAATGGGCTACAACGATGAGCGTGTTGTAAGCCTAGAATCTACAGTCGGAATGCTTCGCCATCGACTATCGATACCGAGCACAATCTTCAATTGTGTCTGTCGACCTCTGACTGAAGACAAGCTTGGCGTCAGGAATGCCAGGCGTCACGCCGGAGGTATCACAGACTTGAAGACCGCGGATTCATCATCATAAAACGAAAAACTTCATATTACATCAAAGGTCTAGGATTGATCGTGAAGTTTTGACGCTGTAGAGCGTTGACTGCTCTCGTAACCACGCTCGTAGGTTCTGAATGGTCGTCCTTTTCGACGGGCCTGATGCGAAGGGCGGGCGTATGGAGAACAGATGATTGATCGCCTCGGCGAATTGTTGGGTCCTGTCTTGGTAGGATTTATGGTCGCCATCGCTCTCCATGATATTACTGATCCATACTCCTACTCGATTATCGCACAACCAGACCAACCCGGTGGCAGCCTTGCCATCTTGTCCTTCTTATCCTAGAAAAGTCGTTGCACAACGGACTTCATAACAAATCCCGACGATCTCGATCCGTCCAGGATCAGCCTTGAATCAGACCCGGATACGGTAGGATTCCATATGACCGTGTCGGAAGCGCGAGACGAGCGGAGGGTGAAACCGAATGCATAGCTCGGAAGGTCATGACGGTCGAGTCAAGTTTGTGCTATAATGGTTTATCGGCAAGCAAAGGTAGTGTAGAGCGAAAGAAGCAGGGTCCCTCGGCGGCGGATCCGTCTTTCACGTATAACAAACCTGACGGAAAGAAGCGAGGCTTTCCTTGCATACACGGGTACTGCCAAAGTTGAAACGAGCAGAAAACCCAAGCGCAGACGCCGGGATGCAACGACTCGCCGCTCGACCACGCATTCTCACCAGGATGGGACTGACGAGATCGTCGGAAATCCCCTGCTCTCTCCTTCAGACGACCGAATCTCCCCGACTGGAACACGGCGCCGTCACGAGACCATGCCATACAACGACCGCCCTTCGTCGTCGCATCCATCTGAAACATGAAAACAAGCCGCGATTCGGTAAAACCTCGCCCGGAATAGCCTGATGGAAGATCTGGCTGACGTAATCTCCCGAACGATTCCCCGAAATGAAAGGTGGAGGTGGAGGTGCTGTTTCGGATCCGAAAGTGACCTTCGGTGTTGCTGACGACGAACGATGAGTACAAGTATATGAACACGACCTCGACCTTGTTATTGACATCCTTTATTCCACTCAAACAACTCTCTTACAAAATAAACCTAACCTCATCCTTCGCAACATGTCGTCTTCATCTGGAAAACTCGGTCTGGCCATCCTCGGCGCGGGAATCTTTGCCTTGGAAGGTGAGTCCCGGAAGGGTCGAAGCCGTGACTTGTCGACATCATCAAAGGAATATCGAAAACTGATCCAATCGTTCTCGTTATGTTTTCAACTCGCAGCCCACGTCCCCGCCATCAAAGCCTCTTCCGACATCATCGACTTCAAGGCCGTCTACTCGCGTTCTTCCCGGACCGCCACCTCGTTCTCCCTCGACAAGCAAGTGGCCGACTTCAAGCTCGACGTCTACCACGGTGACGATGGCCTCGAAGAGCTCTTGAAGCGTGATGACATCCACGCCGTGATCATCGCCCTCCCGATCCCTAAACAACCCGAGATAGTCGAGAAGGCTCTCCGGGCTGGCAAACACGTCCTCTCAGAGAAACCCATCGGGCCGGACGTGGCCAGCGCCAAGAAGCTCGTCGAGATGTACGAATCCGAGTTCAAGAACAAGGGACAAAACCTCGAATGGCGGGTCGCAGAGAACTTTGCTCACGAGCCCGCCGTGCTCCGTGCGGCCGAGCTGGTCGGTTCCGGCAAATCCCCCCTGGGTCCGGTCCTTTACTACGACGTCAAGGTCGTCAACAACGTCAAGTCCGGTTCGAAATACCACGCTACCGAATGGCGTAACGTACCTCAATACCAAGGAGGTTTCCTCATGGACGGCGGTGTCCACTCCGTAGCCGCCCTCCGAGTCATCCTCGGCTCCGCCAAACCCACGCACCTGGTCGGTCAATCCTCTCTCCATCGAACCCACCTCGGGCCGCACGATACCATCTTCGCCATAACCTCCCTCCCCTCGTCCACTGTATCCCCTCACGGTGATCCTTTCCCCCAACCGGAGAACTTGGAGATGGGCAAGTCCACCCCCTCGGGTACTTTCCTCATGTCCTTCTCCGCCCCCAGGACCCCGGAAGGGACCCCTCAGGTGTATACCATCACCTGCCTGAACGCCGTGTTGAAGGTCACCATGGGTGGCAAATGGACCGTCGAAGTGCTCAGCGAAGACCCCTCCGTCCTCTCCTTTGCCGGCGCCGCCGCCCAAAAAGGCGGAGAATCGTTTGACAGCGTGGGTGTTAAAGAGGAAGTGCGTCAGTTTGCCGAAAAGGTCCTCGGCAAGTCGAAAGATGGCGAGGTGAAGAACAACGGAGAGCCGAGGGGAGCGTTGTGGGATGTAGAGTTCGTCCAGGCGGCGTTGAGGAGCGGGGGCAAGGAGATCGTCTTGGCCGATCAGTAAACCGGTCGATGATATCAAGTCGGAAGGGGATAGATTGGATGGGTTTGATTTGGAGCTGGGATAGTTTTGGGTGGTTGGTCGTGTGATGCGCCTGGGAAGGTGGTCATGTCGTATATACGGGATTGACGAGAGATGTAATATGCTACGAAGTATGCCGAATTTGGTTACGTATGTGTGATATATCGCCTCGATCTGAGTCCGGCAAACAAGCGTTCGATACGAAGCCCTTGATCATGTCTACCATTCGCCACATCAATTTTACGGGATGTGCGGGCCGATCCGATGGAAAAGATTACGATTGGATTGTCTGAGATTGTTACGGACGGATGCATGTTACAACCTATTACTGCTTGACCTACAACCACTTCATCCGTTAATCGATTTCGATAGCGGTACGTGCGGTACTCGGCAGGAACTTGCATAATGTCCAGCAGCACGTGCTTGGTGAGACCAGACCATTTTTGCCTTCCTCCATCAACGCTCTCACCTGCGGGGTCAAGCGTGGTGAGACCAGACCATTTTTGCCTTCCTCCATCAAAACTCTCTCACCCTGTGGTTTATTCCATGAACGCGGTGCTCCTCCCATCGCTGTTGGAATGTGCGGCAAGTCTTTCCAACATAGAACCTGTCATCTCCTGCTAGTAGCAGGTAGATTCCATGCAATCGTGATAATAGTGACATGTCGGTATCAATATGGAGGGAGGAATCAAGGTAGGGAGAATCACTGGGTTTGGGCCGGGACCACAGCTCTCCCATGAGAAATCCGTTCAGCGATATTGCTCGACGATCACTGGCACTTTGTCATGACCACCCAACGCCCGCCGACCTAGCCCGAACTACCACTCCACACGCTCTCCCTTCCAATCGTAAAATCCCCCACCATGCCCTGTCATCTCCCCAGTTTCGCCGCGGACATCGCCTCGCCTCGCCCGCTGGATCATTTCCAACATCTTCAACGCCCCTTCTTCGGGCGTGAACAAGCCTCGACTGGGATCGGGTTCTGGGGAACCGATAATCGGGCGGGTAAATGAGGTCAGGGTCGTGCCTGGGTCTGTCATGTCAAATCGTATTCGGGAATGTGGCGAAGAGTCAGCGATAGGGTAGTCGAGCGGGTCGTCTGGCCGGTTGCGGTGTGTTTGCGGAGTGGGGGGAGGACTCACGATACGCCATAGCCTGATCAAGTTCCGTGTGCGATCAAAGAGTGAGCTTTCAGACGATCTGTGTCGACAAAGTCGACGGGTAGAGCGTTCCGCCGGGTACTCACCAAAGCCGATGATTTCTTCATGACCAACTACCGTATCACAGTCGCCGTAGAACCAAGCACAAAAGTCCACGACGAGACCAGACCAGATCGAATCGTAATAGAAACAGGCAAAATCATAGATCAGCTGACATTATCGATCCCCAAAAGTTGACGGCTGGTGCTCACCTCGTGGTCCAGCGTCCGGATCATCTGATTCAAGGCCGCTTTAGATCTACCGTCGGCCAAAAAAAAACAGAAGCACAGATTTTGAGCAATAGTATCGTCAGTATTCAGTACCGGTAGGTCGCTATTATTAAACTATTCGACCCGGGCTATCGCTCTTTTCCCCCTACCCTCGTCATCATCGTCGTATTTTTATCTTTCGTCAATTTGTCGTTCAACCTCGCCCCATCCTAACCTACTTATTCGAGCTCATGCTCATTACCTCCCCACACATCTTCCCGCCAAACATCCCCACAGCGAAAGTTCGAAAAGAACAAGAAGAAAAGGTCCAGAGAAGCCTAGGACCATGACTCACGCTCGATAACTATACCACCCCCCCTTCCGATTATCCCCAATACTCCCCACCCTAGCCGAAGTCGATAGCCAGACACCTCCATCGGGTCTTATCCATCCTCTTGCCGGGTCACCAATTTCTTGCAGATCTTCTAGTTGAGATTGGAATTGTCGAGAAGTAGGGACGAACTGTAAGATGTGTTTATAGAGGAGGAGGTGGCCCAGAGAGTTCAGGGCGAGTGATTGGAGTGCTGTGGAGGGGTCTAGTTGGGCGAGGGATTTTTCCGGGTGAAGCTGGGGGTTAGTTCAAGCGGACGACAAGGGTGATCCGGCGAAAGGACAGAAGAAAGAGGGCGAAGACAAAAGAGAAAAGTGAATCTGATCAGCTTTCAGAACACTCGACCGACGATAAACCACATCGATCTATCAATCTATCGATCTATCGATCTATCGATCTATCGATCCATCGACCTAGCGATCGATCACCCACCTGCCCAGCGAGACAGACGACCAACCTAACATCCTTCTTCCCGCCCAAGATATCCTTTACCTCATCAGCCGCTCGTTGAACAGTCTGTTCATCCAGAAGGTCGACCGAGTTGATGAGTTTGACCCGGGGATGAGATAGGATTTTCGATGAGGCCGATAAGGATGAGGATGAGGATGAGGCAGAGGATGACGGCTTGGACTTGGAAGTCAGGGCGATCACGTTCAACTGAGTCTTTTCCAGTAGTAGTTTGACCAGAGGTAGTCCCAGGCCTGGTTGATAGCAACCATATCGAGAGTTGACGCCGTGTTCGACGAACGGCGAGAACAGAGGTGATACATGCATCGAGTATCAGTGCATGATCTTTGGGAAGCGGGGATCGTGGGGATTGTGAACTTGCCGCCGGTAGCTCCTTGGATGATGGCGGTAGACATTATGGTTCAGTCTGAGCTATTTTGACTATCGAGAGTGTGTAGTCGGTTGTGAACGAAGGAGACGTAGTAAGAGGTAGATCTGCAGATGATCAAGAGGTCCCAGGTCGCAGGTCGATCGTCAATCGTCCGTGACTTCCTCGGGGATCGGCGTCGATCGAAATCGTCAACAAATGACGTCATCGACGATGGCATCGAGGTGAAACATATAGGATAGTAACATGCGAATAAACATCGTTGAACAGCAACTAGCTACATGGAATGCCCCCGTATCGAAACGGAGATAAGCAGAAAGCTACGTCTCGATAATGCATCGCAAGAAGTCGAGGAATCAGAACTTGGGGGTTTGAAGAATCGGTCGAACCGAGAAAGGCAAAAAGTCCACCAGGGACCTCCCACCACCATCTCGTCCGAAACGACCCGGTCACAGGAGAGCTTTAGGCATGAGCCCTCCTAGCCCTGCTCCTCCTCTTCTCCATATGTCCCCTCTTCTCGTACTCCATCTCCCCGACTTCAGCAGTCTGCGCCGCATCGGCTGCAGCACCAGTCTGGGAAGCCTGGTCGGGTCCCCATCGGTTCCCGCCCCTTCCGCCTCGCCCGCCACCTCGACCTCCTCCAGTCATAGTGCACCCGGTGCCGTGAGCAGCAGGAGCGCCGTCAACGGCGCCGTCCTGAGCAGCCGAAGGGAAAGGAACGGGAGGAGCTTGTTGTCCATCCGCAGCGGCTCCGGTAACGGAAGGTCGAGCAGGGTACTCAGCAGTAGGGTTCCCGTTCGTGTTCCCATTCCCGTACCCTCCGTACGACCCAGAAGCGGCAGCGGTAGGTTCGACATCAGCGGGTTCGCCACCGTACTCGCCCGCTCCAGTAGGTTCAGCATCAGACCCAGGAACTTCGACCGAAGCTTGTCCGCCTCCGAGGTTGAGGTCGGAAGAAGGAGCGGCATCGTCAGGCCCGCCGGTAGCGGAAGGTCGAGGACGACCACCACCCGTAGCGGTCGGGATCGAAGCTTCGGGCTCTCCTCCAGGGTTCCCTCCAGCGGCTCCGGTAGGCTGAGCATCAGGCTCGTCAGATTCCATCGTGGTCATCGATCCGGCAACACCAGCATCAGGGGCTGAACCCGATTCGATAGGCGCAACAGGCGCGGGAGCAGCGGGGTCGGCGACGTTGTTGGTAGAGTTGGCGATCGACTGCGTGTTCCCCGCTCCAGCACCTTCAGCTCCAGCCACTCCGGCAAACGCACCCTCCTGAGCGCCGACCTTCCACCCGTAAGCGGCGTTGTAAGTCGGTTTCCCCTCGATCCCGCCAGCGAACTGGTATCCGATATTGTTCATACTGTTGCCCCAATAAAACGGCTGAGTCGGGCCGCTCAAGTCGGACCCCTTAGTCGGTTCCCCTGGGGTAGGGTAAGAAGAGACCACAGCCCCGCCTTGGACGTCGCACTTGAATCCGTTCATGTACATCTCCGGATCAGAGTTCTTCCCCGACCAGAACCACCCGCAAGTGCATCCTCCTTCCGGACAAGCGGGCAGGTTACTGGGGATCTGGAAAGATGTAGCCCGTTCCCTGACACATCGGTCCTGGATGGACATGACGATGAAGTCCTCGGGCTTCGTCTCCGCCCCAGTAGGTTTGTACGCGATGGCCAAAGCGCAACCTAAGAGGCTGGCCTCGTCGTTGCCTTCCCAGCCTATCTGGCAAGATGTATCACCTTCAGGACAAGTAGTCCCCCCGGCGTGATACGCCCCAGGGTCGACAGGACAAGCGACGTCGGTAGCTTGGGGATTGCCGTATAGGGAATGTTCTTTGCGGCAGGCGATGTCCATGACGGTAGTACCACCTGGGGTGAGGGAGAGGGTTCCGGATGGGGTGTCGGATGCGTAGCCGTGGAACCACTATGTATCGCCGAAGGATGGTGAAATGGGTGAGGCAGCATTGGATCGAAAAGGAAGTATGGCGAGGGACGAACGTTGAACGAAAAAAGCGGTACGGAATAATCAGCGTCCTTCCTAAACAAGTTCTCTGAAACACCGACCGAAAAACATCGGTACGTCATCTCCCGCTCAAGCACTCGAACACTCACCCATTGGTCGAATGGAAGATCTCGCAACGGGTTATAGATAGGACCGGAGTCTGCTCCATAGACGTAATCCCCCCAGATGGCCATGTGCGCCATGACCGAGGGCATCGCCAGGAGGGCGAGCGCGGTGGTGTGGGTGAGGACGTTTCGGGTCATGATTTTGAAGAAGCTTGATGTGTGTCGTTGTGTTGTTGTTTTGTGAGGAAAAGGTGGAGCGAGTGATGCGGGAAGATGATGTTGCTGAAATTGATTGAGAGAGAGGGTTCGAAGAGCACAGCTCTGTTTCGAGGTCGAGGTTGAGGTTGTTGTACGTCGAGTACGTGAAGTCGAATGGGGAAAACCTAGCGAGAGAGATTCCTGAGGAAAAGAAAGTAGAAAGAGAAAAGACCCGGGGCATAATTACCTCAAGGAGCGAGGCGGGTCTTTATACTCGTCCAGGTTGAGCAGCGCGGGAGACGAAACAAAGGGTGAGGCGTTACACGGAGACCGCATGAGAGTAAAGGAGGGTCCCGCTCGGCTGCACACTGCGAAAGGTGCCTTTCCCATTCCCCTCCATGGAGTTTGCGCTGTGGACCCTCGTACCCTCGTAACCCAAAAGGCATATGCCCCTTGTCAATAATAATAAGAACCCCTCGGTTTCGCCCTGAAACGTCCTCTCTGTCGCCCTGCGCCCCCGTTTCATGATTCTCGGATCTGGATGATCATCCCGCGCGGATCAAATCGCGCGTCACAGCCACAAGGCAACAGCAGGAAGCGCGTAAAAAACCTGAAACGCGAAAGCGACCTCCTTCATCGACCCTCTTTCGTCCCCACCGTTGTGGTTGTCGGCCGAGGTATCAACGTGCGGGGAGTGGATATGGACTTTGGAAATAGGGTACCGCACTGCTGACGCACATGTATGCAGAAGAGAGCTACATCGGCTGATGACGTCGACCCGCCTTGCGCGTCGGATCACCCGAGAATCGTAACCGAAACTCAAACTCAATTACCCCTTGTGTAAATGACGTATCAGTCGGAACAAGGTTAAAGTCTGCTCGTAGCCGCGGCTTCGTGCATATGGTGTTGTATGCTTGTAAGTTTGCGCTGAGACCGCGAAACGATGGTGACAACGTGCAGAAAGCTGAGGCTGTGATGGGTTTGAATTTATCACAATCTTGCAACATGCCACAAGTCGAAGTCCCCTTGGCAGCAACAACAAATTTCGACTGTTTGACCCGTTATTGACGAGAAATTAGAAAAGAGCTCGCTCATACGCCAACGCGCGAGAAACGTTTCAAGAATTTCAAGGCATAGCGTGCGCGGAGCCAACATGGTTCCGCTGCAACCATCTCGTAATTGAAAAATCCTGGCAAGATGCCAATGGCAGCTTGAACTTGGCACAAATCTAATCACAATGCCATCGAATCTACACTAGTTTACATTGTCAAGTCTGGGCCAATCTATCTACTGTCCTGTCCTTTTCCTACACGGTCACTCCAGCTCGTCATCTTCAAATACCTGCCAAGTGGAAGTCGCCAACTTTCCGTCCTCATGCTGTTGTGCTTCTATCGCTGTCAAATTCCGTAGAACGGTCTGAAGTTGAGTGTCTCGGTCTTCCAGGCCGGGAACAATAGGGGAAGTCGCAAGCCTGAAGTACCTCTCAGTCCAGACGACTGTCCACCTCATGTACTTATCCACCAACGTCTTGTATTCATCATTGTTCTGAGATTTGCACCCATCCCATTCCTTCATGAACTCTGTTCGGTAGTTCTTGTAGCGGTCGTAGCCTTCAGGCACAAATCTGGTCCCTTTGCGCGGGCCGGTAACCTGACTCGTCGTCGAATCAGCCTCGTATAAGGCCTGGCAGCCGACCTGCCGGGTCTAGAGGGAATAAGGTCGCGGGACTGGGGAAAGGTAACGGTAGGCATAGTAATGTAATAACGGATGTCTAACTACTACAAGGTACTAGTTAGACGTCTGCGAGAACATCTCCTAAAAGGTCTCCGAGAGAGTCCCCGAGAGGGTCTCCGAACGAGCCCCGAGGCGACGCGCACCGTAGGCCGCGCGTCAAGTGACGCCTATAATACCTCGTCTCTGGAGGTCTCGGCAGACGAAGGGGTTCCGTCATTCTCGTCTTGCCAACTGGAAGTTGCTAACTTCCCTTCCTTCTGCTGTTCTGCTTCTATCTCTTTCAAGAACCAGAGAACACTTTGAAGTTGAACATCTCGCTCACGTGGATCGAGAACAATGGCGCCAATAGTCTCTCTGTAGTACACTCGATCCCATACCAATGTCCATTCAAAATACTTCTTGACCAAATTAAAGTAATCGTTGTTGTGCTCATGACGGCACTTGTTCCATTCTTCGACAAATCCCGCTTTGTAGTCCTTGGAGCGATCATAGCCCTTGGGAATGAAAGTGGCCTCAACCATCTTGTCAGTATCTACGGTCGTGGAGATGGATTGTTGAGAATCGGCGATCGATACTTCGCAAGACGCCTTTGACGCTTGATCCAGAGTCATCGGGCCGCGTTCGGGATGACGGTGATTGATGTACTCGTAATCGCGAGGCACTCCATCAGGTAGGGCCCATGAATTAAACACCGTACCATCCCTTTGATCAAAACCCCGATGATTGGTCATCTGGTTGATCTGATGCTGGAAAGCTTTGAAGCGGTAGATCATCTCCTGGAGATTATCACTGTCACGGGTTCGTTCGTTGTACCAGACGAGCACAGAATCCTCGAAAAGAGGCCGAAACTCTTCGACACCGAAGGTCAGGTCAAAGAACTGGCTCACGAGCCGCTGTTTGAATTCGTGACCATTGAGTGCAGCCCATCGGGTGGTCAGTTCGGCCTCATAGTCCCGGTCCCCGAGAGCCGTGATCGACCCCAGATTATCTCGCGAGGTTCCCTGACTGGAAGTAGAGGAGCCGAGTGCGGATCCAGCACTATGACCCCCACCGCTAGAGGGAGCTGTGAAAGAGGGCTCTGTTTGATCGGTGGATGGGTTGAACGACATAACGATGGTGTTATATGTCGAGAGGCGAAGTTCAGTTTGTGATGTTTGAGGGTGGATTGTGATGATAGTATAGATGGGGAGACCCCGACAAAAATCGCCAAAAGCCCCCTCGTCTTGCTCGCTTTATATATACTTATTGGCCCGCGATCCAGGTGGACTTGTACAGCCATTTGCCCCTCTTGACTTCCTTTGATCGGATGAAACAGCTCGTTCGTCTCGCTTGCTTTCGGCACAAGGACAGGGGTCGCGACAGTATGTTGTCATGTGGCGTCAGGATGGTCTCGTGACGGCATGCGATGAAACGCGGCAGGACAGGAGGGAGAATACGATCCTTTGTGTGGGTTCTTGTTTCTTTGCGGTTTGCGCAAACAGGGTTCTGGCTTTCTCGCTAGATCATGCGCTAGTGGCGCTGGTGGCATCGATCTCGCAACAGAGACATCGTTCGACAGATAAGCCTACAATCTATCACAATGCACGTAATCGACTTCTGTCTACAAGGCTGCAAAAGGGTTCTAACGATACACTTCGGGGTTGAAACACGGCACGACTGGGCAGAGCACTTGCTCCTTTGTGTGGGTTCTTGGTTAGCTCCACAAGTCAAGAGATCATGCTTGATTTCTCGCTTGAACAGGGATTTTGATTTTGATAACGCGACCGATGTCGCAACATGTAGCATCAATTTGCTCGTTGTATCCTTGGTCACAGCAGGTCGCAACCCTGAATCGAGAGAATGGCAATTCGAGACCTGGCGCTCCTGATACGCGCAGCTTCAGAGATGATGGTAGTTTCTGTCAGTACTCGAACAGACGGATCCCTGCTCGAACTGTTTCGCAATCGGTTTGTTCGGCCGGCCGTGGTGATCGCCTGTTGTTCTTTCTCGCCATGATGACATCCTCGATATGCATCGCATCACCAATTCACAATGTCTTTCAACTGCGCGATATGCATCGCATCACCAATTCACAATGTCTTTCAACTGCGCGAGACCGATAACAAAGCGATGTCAAAGTTGCAAAAATCATCGCTCGCTCAAAACCCATAGAGTGGCCCTGGAGATCTAGGCGATCGCTATGAACTCGGCGTACGCCATCGTTCCCAAGTTCAACTCCCAACTTGGACTACGAGTGTCAAAGTAAAAAGCGGTATTTCAGTATCTGAACTCCTCCAACTCTCCAAAGGTCGAGCGGTCAAATCCGCAAAGGCATCATCGGCCAGTTTCTCTTGACGTCCACTGGTAACCCGCTCAAATACCGCTGACCATCGTACCTCCTTTATCGTACTACACAAGCACGCAGGGGTCATCAAGCTTTGCGGTCTTACGAGGAGCGGAGCTCTGCTGCAGCGCGTGCAGATAGTGCTCATAGTCTTCAAACGTCACTCCCGATATTCAATTTCCGCTGTACCAATATTTCCGGTCGGGTGAGATATCGAAGACGACGACAATAATAGGGATGTGCCACTATCGATCTGACAACTTGCAGTGAGAGCGGACTTTCCTTATCATTAATGATATCCCGACCCCGACCCGCTCTTTTTGCCGCTCGAGCTACCTTGAGACTTCGACTTGAGCTATATAAATCAGGCCATCGAACTCATTGCCATGTTGCGTTACATCCTATCCGGTGTAGTAAGTACCCCAACACCAGCGTTGGTTCTTTCATCATACTGCATCAAGTTCATACACAACAAAACATGTCATCTGACGCATCGTCGAACCCCTCTACGGCTGGTGAGTACTGTATTTGTTTCCTCGAAATACCCAGTCAGTGGAGGAGACTGATAGTCATGATACCGGTGAATGTCCAGACCCATCTTTGTTGAGCAGTTCTCAATCGGAAGCGGGTACCGAGGAGAATCGATCCGTTCCCACCCGCATCGACTTCTGGAGCAAGGGCGACAAACGTGTTCGCATAGGAATGCATTCGCTCGCCGGGGTCCATGATTCTCTGCTGAGTTGACTAGAATAGCATTATTGTGGAAAGGATACGACTGCGTTTTCGTCTGGCCCGAGTAAAGTGTTCGTGCTTCATAGACGATATCTTGTCGAGCGCTGCTGTGGCGCCAGCGCACTTTGGCTACCATCACATGAGATGCTATGATCGCCTTTTGTTCGAGCTGCGATTCGAGTGCGCTATCTTTGCAATCCTCCACTGGTATCATTGAATGCTATGTCATCCCACTTCCTTTTACGTGAAGGACAGCCAGTGCGCCAGTGCCCAGATCAAACGAGGGTGAAGGGATCGTCGCGAGGATCGATTATGGGACCCGAGTTCGGAGAATTTCGCCTCGGGCATCCGATCCGGATCCTTTTACGCGTGTTTCTTCTTGGACGTTTAAGTATAGTGAGCCGAAAGCGTCAACTCGCCGCGACGTGTTATGTCCGTCTCGTCGCGCGCGATATATTACCATGTCCGCTTCCGCGCGAGAGATATATTACCAGCCGTAGCGATCAGAGCGGTTGGAATCACAAAAAGCAGCTCTTCATCCCAGTTTTTGTTAGATTGGTATGAAGTTATCTCGGGCCCAGACCTCTCGTCACGGCGTACACCTCGACCTAGCCCTCAGACGTACACCTATACCTATACCCATATCTATACTCTATCCTCCACACCGTTACATCTAGCACCTCTTGTACCTTCGCCCTTAGCACACCACGTTATACTATACAATTCAAAATGTCTGACGCCGCTCGACTCGACCGCCTTGAAGCTCTCATCATGAAGATGGTAGCCCCTAATCGACCTGCAGATGAACCTGCTCCCGATACATCAACATCAAGCCGCCTTCATGTCATCCCTGAGCCATACCGACGACCGAAAGCTCCAGCCCAGCCCGTGTATAGCGAAGACGAGGCCGAAGAGGACTCATGGGATGGAGAGCAAGACGACCCCGAAGACCCAGAAGCTACCCCTCCCCCTCTGCCCAGACACAAACCAACCCGAGGTGAATCATCTGGATATGCACCTAGGTCGACTCAGGCCCGTAGTACTCGTGATTCACCAGACGTCGGCCCATCCAACCTTGCTCGACGAGCTCATGCACTGGTACAAGCCAACAAGACTACGCCCTTCATTCGCGCAGAGGGTATAAGGTCTGCAGGTGCTGGTAACTTCAAGCAACGAGGCCATGGTGGGGGCTACGCTTTTGGAGGTCATCCTCTGCAGCAGACCTCTCGTCCTCCCAAGAAACCTGGCAAGGACGTCAAGGCTTGCAAAACCGGAATGGTCAGTACGCGTACGCTTCGTGGGCCCTCCGTAGTGATACCACACGTCAACTAACTTGCCCTCGATCGTTTACACAGGTGGTCTATATCCCAGACGGTTCTTTTGTCAGAGACAAGTTGACCCTTGTTTCTATCTTCAAGAGCAAATGGGCCGGTACCAAGGAGTACCTGTCTACAGCTGGCTATATGCAACTTCTCCATTTCAAGGCCCACATGAGCGCGAAAGACATGGTTGAACACGTTGAAACGATCTTCAAATCAAGCCGACCTTTACCCCGCCTCTGGTCTTGGGCCTTCCTTCAACCGGCTTCACAGAGTCTCAACCCTGCCGCTGTGTATTCACCCTGGGATACGACCCTCGACAATCTCCGTGCGCGTTGCCTCGACACGCAGTTCATCTGCATCATTCCGGAGACTTGGGAGACCCAGCACCACTCAGGCTTTCGGCGTGCTGTTGCTCAAGCAATCAGCCGTGATCCTGTGTCTTGGCAACCTCTACCCAAGACCCCCATGGGCCCTCCCTTGAGCCAGGCAAAGAAGGGAAAGAGAAGGGCCGTACGCGAGACGTCATCCGAATTAGACCGGGAGGAACAGCGATACCGCGATGCAGAAGCGTTAGAGATCGCTATGGCAGATCCGACATGCCCAGGTTGTGGCAGATCATACCCTACGGACCGGCTAGAGTGGCATGTCACCAGCTGTGCCAAGGCTATTGCCCTGAACCAGGTGGAGAGCTCAGAATCGGAGCCAGAAGGGGTCGTTGATCTAGACGCCGTTCAGCGTGAAAACACGCTCGACACAGACCCAGGCGATCGGGATGTCATCACGATCGACGATTACGACAACCTGGGCAAGATCACTGAAGACTTCCAGGCCGTGAGTGATGTGGGGGGAACGCCTGAACCGCAAGGCCCAAGCATATCGGGTCAGTACTCAAGCTAGCGTTGGTACAATATAGTTTGCTCACACCTTGCGTCTGATATACAGATCTGCTGAAGACAAAGCTGACACCGGAACAGTTTCGGGCCATATGCGTTCAATTTATCGAAGACCATGGCCGAGAAAACTTCAATATGCATGTGATGGTGGCCAAAGGTGTATCTTCGGATCAACCTGCCATATCATCAACGCAAGCTGCTCAGGAAGAGGTTGTAGTCGACTGGGAGTTAGGCACACATCTCAACGGCGTAGAACAAGACGGAGAGTCTAGGCTATCTGAGCCAGGCGTAGTTGAAGAGCCAGCACTTATGCCTGGGGTCGAAGTTGCGGTTGGCAACAAGAGGGCAAGGTCTAAGTCTTCTCCAGAGAAAAGCGGCATTGCTCATGCACGTCGCAGACTCCGAAGCCACAACGAAGCCTCATCTAGCAATGCGTAGACCTTTGTACTTGTAGACCGCAACGGTATAGATAAAAACATAATTTAAAAAAAGAAAATACATGTATAAATAAAAAAAAAGAGGCCCGACTACCTCCTTCGCCCACCTCGAGCAGCAGCCTTGAGCTGGGTGCTCGTAGGCTTCGCTTCTCGGCGAGACGAGCACCAAGGGTGAGTGACATACTGGCAGTTCTTGCCGTTACGCCAGATGCACCTCAAACACTTGCCCTCCTTACCCGGGATGACCGAGCACTCCGCATACCTCTCGTTCATGGCAATCATGAGCGCATCGTCTTCTTGGGGCGGGCGTGTCTCCCCACAACAGACGTTGCACTCGTCACCGTCGATCATCAAGGCGGCCCCGGGATCGTTGTACAGGGCCTCGGCGGCCTGCGAGGGATA